CAGGTACTCAGCGCCCCGGCATGTACTATATCTTCTCTGGTATACCGCTGTTCAAAACGCGCAACAATCCTCTCTCGGGCCCTTGTACCGCTCGTTCATCGAATCATTCGCTGCCTCTCGTGGGATCCCTACGTCTATCTACCCCCAGCTCCATTTTTCCAGCCCACATTCGAGTACCGCGAGCCCTAGTTACGCACAACCCATCCCTGCGGCATCTTCATTCGACCACCGGTTCTTCGGCCTTTTTATGAAGGCCTTCGCTGGATTCGGAGAGCATCACTCTTCCAGGGGCGTTTTCCTCGACATGTTGCGCTCAGGACTCTCGCCCACCGCTGAGATAGAGCATGTCTTCGCGATCAGGATGGCACTAGCTCCCGGCAACGGATTTGAGCCCGCCATGGACTACCTCAAGCTCACCCGCGATCTCGTGGACAAATTCCTCACGATGTTGGACGAGCGTTCGCCGGCGCACGGAAATGCCGACAATCTCCGCGATGTCGCCAACGGCTTCTTCCTCGGTGTCTTGATCAGGCGTCTTTTGACAGACAAACGCACCGGCGACGCTTGGCACGTTCTTGTTCGCTATGGGGACGTGAACCAACATTTTGGACGGAGGATCGCGCAGCAAATCGCGCAACAGGCTCAGCACATGGCCGCTTGGGTGGGCGCTCATAAAGGGAGCCGCGACACAGTTTCTTCGGGGATTGAGGTGGACTTGTCTACTCGCCTTCCATTGACTCAGGTCGTTGAGTACGTCACGCTTCTCTGATGTATACGAGATTTTGTGTCATGTCTAGTGGGATCATCGGCGGCTGCTCAACTGAATTATCAGCGGTGTCTATTCAGGTGCTTCCTAGTTGAGCGCAGAACAGCGATCGAACCTTGGCTTCTCCCCACATTATGCCTTAGGCCCCACTCTGACCAACACCTCGCTCGTTGCTTCGTCAATTTGGTATGTACATCTGGCTAGTGCGCCCCATATCCATTCTCTGACGACGCTTGTATTAAGATAGGCTAGTTTCGATGTTCATGTATTAGAGCATAGACATTAATTGTAATTAACCTCACTGTGGGCAGCAGGTGAGCGTGCCTTCCATTATTTGCACTCCCGATAAACGACGACGTCTGATGAGACTCGGATGCGGCAAGCGATTCGGCTTACACCTCCGGGCCTCTCCGCCCGGCAGCAAGTTTTCAATCGTTCCCTCTAAACATGTACTCGCCTCGTGTCAATCAGACCAAAGTCCACCAGAAACGACTGCTCAGCTGATGCGACTTGCCCCATTCGGCGACTGCTTTGTTACGTGAGCGGGGCTGGTCCCTCCCGTTCCGAATAGGCGTCACCAATGCTCCGCTGACTTCCGTCGGTATGTTCGCAGCGCAGTTACACAAAGGAAGCGCAAAAGCCACTGGCGATGGTCGGGCTTCTACTATCTCCTTAACGCCAGTATGTATTGCTCGCTCCTGTGGTCCGTATCACCCACTTTTCTCAGGCTGCATCCACAATGCGGCATGTTCCTGTTCTAATCTTACTTCATTCCGCTGTCAGTGGGTCGGCAGCGGCGAGCTAAACGCCATCGAATCCTTCCGTCAGGTTCCGACCGGCGATTCACGTTGAACGACCCGCTCCGGAGGCTGCTCGGGTGACCTCCATGGTTCTAGCGCAGTGTTCAAACCGTTCAAGCCAATGCCACGCATGCCTGACCTGGATGTACTGGCTGCAGGGCACTGGTGCTAATGATGCCGATGGACGGATGCACCGGACGGGTGGGTCGGAGACAGTGCAACACACTGCGCTGGTATTCATCGGAAATCGGTCTTGACGTGCTCTGGCTTCTTCGCGTCTTCCTGCCCGGGCAAGTTCGGTTCAGGCCCTGAGCAAATGCAATCATGGCCGGGTGGCCCGATAAGCCGGGTAAGCTAGAGCATACTTAAATGCTAGTGCTCGCCCGCACACGTCATTTCCGCCCTCATCTCCTCCCTTCTTCCATGGCGCCTCCTATGCTCCCCTACGCGGTCGCCGCCGCGGGCGTCGTGTGGGTGTTGTACAAGGTATTGCGCCTATTTGCGGCGAAGTCTCCACTCGACATCGTGCCCGGCCCACCGCGCAAGTCCCTCTTGGCAGGTGAGTATCGTGAACTGATTCGCCTGCCCCTTGACACTCTAATGGATCTGACAGGAAACCTGGAACAACTTTTCGATCGGGATGCATGGGGTTTCCATGATGAGGTGGCACTGCAATACGGTGACGTGGTGAAGATCAATGCCGTCCTCGGGTGAGTTGTCTTTGCAGTGCGCGCTCTTCGACTCACCGTCGCACTCTCGCGCAGGACAAATGGCTTTACGTCTTTGACCCCACTGCTCTGCGCCAAATCGTGTTCAAGGATTCGGCATTCGACCAGATCCCATGGCTCATCGAGTGCGTCCATATTCCAGACCCCAGACCCATCTGATCAACCTCCCGCCCGTCCCTGACCCCAGGAGCACCCGCATGCTGCTCGGGGCCGGCGTTTTGGGTGTCCTCGGTACGCACCCTCCCGATCGATAGGCGACGTCCCGACCGGCTGATGAGCGCACGATCACTCGCGTTGCTCCCCGCAGGCGAAGCACACAAGCGGCAGCGCAAGATGCTCACCCCCGCTTTCGCGGAAAACAACCTCCGCGAGCTGACGCCGGTCGTCTACGAGGTCGCGCGCAGGGTGAGCCCTCCGATGTCCGCCGCGCGCGTTTGCGATTCGGACTTACGTTTGATTCCTTGCCTGCGCGCGCAGCTCGGTGATGCGGTCGCCGGTACCGTTGCGGGCGCCCAACGAGACGTAGACATGCTCGACTGGATGGGCCGCGGGGCCTTGGAAATCATCGGTCAGGCCGGGTTGGGACACTCCTTTGACCCGCTGACGTCCGACACCAAGTCGGATGCCTACACACAAGCCGCGAAGCAGTACCTGTACGTATCCCCTCTTCCCCCCGTCTCCTTCCTTTCCACAACTCCGTTGCTGCCGGCACATCGAATCCGGCACCGATGCGGTGGTCCCTTCTTTTCTCGCTATACTGCGCAGTCTTCTTCTTGATCGCAGCAGCTGACGTACATGCTTCTCTCCCCACCACACATGACCTCGGCCACGATGACACGCCAGACCGCTCTCGTTCACGCCGATCATGGTCGCCGTCCGACAGCTGAGCCCCATCTTGACGAGGCTCGGTCCAGCGTGGTTCCGCCGGCTGCTCGTGAAGTGCGTGCCCGTTGGACAGGTGCAACAGCTCAGGAACGTCGTTGATACCCTCTACCAAACATCGGTCGACATCATCGCGCAGAAGAGGGCGCTGCTCGAGAGTGGGAAAATCTCCGTGGGGAAGGACATCATGAGCGTCCTGCGTAAGCTTGCGCCGCCGTCGTCCCGTTTGATGAGTAGTCGCTCATGTTTGCACGTTTAGTGAAGGCGAACATGGCTGCATCCGAGGCCGATCGACTCCCCGACGAGCAGATCCTTGGGCAGATGAAGTGCGCCGAAGCCTTCCTCTTTGGCTGTGGCCGCACCCTTGACCATCTCTCGCAGCATTCTCCTCTTTGCGGCAACCGACACGACTTCGCATGTCATGGCGCAGATCCTGCAGCTCCTTAGTGAGAACCCCGACATCCAAGAACAGGTTCGGCGAGAAATCCTCACCGCGTGCGACGGCGACCCTGAGCATGAGATCTCATACGACCGGCTGCACGCGCTCCCCCTCCTCGACGCCGTCTGCAAAGAGACTCTGCGCCTCTATCCCCCGACCCCCATCGTCCTCCGCACGTGCGTTCCCCGTCTTCCTTCCTTGACCCGGTACTAACCCCACCCCTACCCTCGTCCTACACACAGGGCCTTCGAAGACTCGACGCTCACCCTCGCCCGCCCGCTTCGCACGGCCGATGGCACGTTCACAGACCGGCTCTTCGTGCCCAAAGACACCAACGTCCTCGTCGGCGTCCGCGCCTGCAACCGCGCTCGCTCGCTCTGGGGGCCCGACGCCGAGACCTGGCGCCCCGCCCGCTGGCTCGCTGAGGACGGGCTCCCGCCCGCGCTCGCCTCCGCCGCCGTGCCGGGCGTGTACGCGCACACGATGACGTTCGTCGGCGGCCCGCGCTCGTGCGTCGGCTTCCGGTTCGCGCAGATCGAGATGAGTGCGTCGCCTTCCCCCCCCTCTCCTGTGTACGCGCGCGTCGGGTGAGGGTGGATGCTGACGACGACGACCCCACAGAGGTTGTGATCTCGACGCTGCTCTCTCGCTTCGCCTTCGAGCCCTCCGCGACGCCGATCTTCTGGAACGTGTCCGCGATCACGTTCCCGAGCGCGGGCCGCGAAAGCGAGAAGCCCGAGATGTGGCTCAAGGTCCGCCCGCTCGCGCCGCGCAAGTCCGGGTAGGCAGGATGTGCTAGGTGCCCGCACCACGCCCAACACCCTATACATGCACACTACACGGGGACGATACCCTACTAATAAGTACGCTCTCGGTGTCTCAGACCTCAGGGATGATCCTGTACAGTACGTAGCTGTTGTCCTGCGCCCTACATAATCTGTAATGTACAACATACCCCCGCGCACCCTGCGTAGAGCGTCCCTGGTGCCTACCGACGCAGCCAAACCAACGCGCGAGCTCATGCAACACAGCACCGCAGAAGATCATCGACGCTTACGTCGAAGTCAATCGAAGGCGTGATGTCGAGAGGAATCGATCGCGATCGTGTCTCAGACAACTTACATATGTCCGTCCAAGTACGTACTTGGGACGGATCGAGGCTGTGGCAGACTCCTACTAGCGGGACCCACACCCGACACGACTTCATTTCTCCGACCCTCTGGCTGTTGAACCATGCCGATACGGAAGATATCCTGGTAGGAGTCAATTCAATCGACTCTAATAGAACAGCAGACACGTAGTATCAACAACCAACAATTATAGAAAACCGTACACGGAAGTCGCGAACGAAACACGAACTCGGTCGCATAAGTAGTAACCCCCTTAGGCCTTAAGCCCATCTAGTGCGCGACGACCGCCTCGCCGCGCCCGCCGCCGCTTCGCGCACCCGCGCACGTGCCGCCTCGCCGCGCTCTCGCGCATCCGCCCCTCGTCCCCGCACACCGGGCACCGGAACACCACGCCGATGTGCACGTTCAGCCAGTGCCGCCCGACGCACTCGAGCGTCATCCGTCCGTCCCCCCTGCGACCGCTCGCGCCCGCGCCCGGACCGGACGTGGCGCACCCCGGCATCGGGCAGCGCGCGATGCACGCGCCGGAGGGAGCGCGCGCCGACGGACAGGCCGCGCACAGGTCGTCGTGGTGCGCGCGCTTGAAGTGCGTGCGCCAGGCGGCGTCGGTGGCGTGGAGCGCGGCGCCGCAGCTGGGGATAGGGCACGCGTAGGTGTCCGATGACGATGTGACCCGGATGGGCTGGAGGTGGGAGGGGAGCGGGGAGGGTGGGGCGCGGCGGGGACGCTTGCATGGGTGGGCTGGTGGAGGGGACGCGACGCGCTCGTCGTCGAGCAGGCGCTTGCGTTTCGGCGATTGGGGGCGGTCCGGGGTGGGGACAGCGCTGTGCGGGGTGTCAGCGCAAGACTCAAAGGTGTTGTAGGTGTGGATGTTAACACACCTGTAAAGACCCAGCACAGAAGGCACAAGGGTATCCAGGCGCGGAGACGAGTTGAAGGAAGCGCCCACGGTGTGTGGTGCTGCCTGATGAGGGCTAGGGCTCATGCTGCGCCCGAGGTCGATGAGGTAGTCGACCTCACGAAGAGGCTCTGGAAGAGGCGGGTTCACGAGGCCCCCGCTCATCGCGTCCGGCACCGAAGTCCAATTCAGCAACTCGAAGTCGACAAAGTGTTGAGGCATATCGACCGCGGGGTCGCCACTGGCGCCAGGCTCGAACGGACGCAAGTCAAACGATCCGGCGCGCGTGGAATCGTCCTCTTGCGTGGAGCCTTCCGGAGCCCAGCAGTTGAAGTCGTCCTGGACCAAGGGAGCGCCGAACACACTGCAGGAGACGGGACTATGAGCGCCATGAAGGAGGACGAAAGGATATGGAGACTTACCTTATCGGATCAAAGACAGGGCCACAGACAAAATCAGAGTAGAAGGCCATCTTGCGCAGGAGATGGGGGGGATGGGGAGGTAAAGGCCACGCGTCTAAGGGGGTCCGGGGGAGGCTGCGGGGATGCCTCGTCCTTGTCGAACATCCCGAATTTTATACGCCATGGTCCCAATGCCCGCCAGAGAGGCGTGAGTGTGCTCCGCGCGGCGGTGGACCTAGTAAAGAGCACGGCAGCCAACGAGAGCGCGAGTGAGCGTGGTGCGGACGGAGTAAAGAGCGTCGAAGCTAGGACGGGCGGTGGGTAAAGAGCGTCGAAGCTCGGTAGTGCGGAGATTCGGACTCCGACAATACAGAGTAAAGAGCAGAGAGGGGCGCCATCACAAATGCTCTTTACTTATCATGATGAGGTGGTGGCGGGCCTGATACGGCGTGTTTGTGAGATGCAGAGGCCTCTGGACATGTTGAGGATGCTCCTGCCTTTTATTTGACACCACTCATGAGGGATTTTGTGCACTCGAGGGCGAGGGCGAGGGCGAGGAGGAGGACGGGAGAAGTGGATCAGAGTCGAGCAAAAGACGGACGATGAGGCAACTCTCAGAGTTTGACGTCGGCTAAGTGCGTGTGGCCGCGCCAAGCGAACACGTGTAACAAGCGCGCGTCTACAGCCCGCCCAGTCCGTGAGGCGCCCTGCCACGGCTCTTCGTTGCTGGTGGCGTCTATTCATCAGTAGTAGAAGGTTATGATTAGGTTGGATTCAGAACGGGGTCTAACAGGGTCTAACGCAATAGATCGTGATCCGGAAACAGGACACACTGACCGGTGTTCAGTCTCTAGATACGTTCGCCGCGTGCGCGAACTGGGTCTCCGGATGATCAGCGTCTGCTGCGGTGTCATCGCAGCCATGGGTCCGCAGACCGCCGGGCCGATCCTCAGGCCTCAGGCCTCAGTACTCAGTCGCGCACCACCTGCAATATTCGTCGGTCCCACATAAGCGCACACCAGCTGTTTCGACAAACAGTCCACACGGAGTTGGTTACTCGTACACGTCCTACATAATCGTACAGAGCAAGGGGGAAGACACAACTAGCACAACATACTACAGGAGTGCTCTACATCTCCATCCTGCATCGGACCCCACTGGTCCGCGACCGCCCGCGCACGTTCGCCTGTTCCTCCACATCCCCATCCTCATCCTCCTCCCCGTACGAGTCCACCGAGAAGTCCCAGTCACCGATCGGCCGCCGCGTCCGCGTCCTGCGGAGCTCGCGCCTGAGCGAGCTCCTCGTCGTCCCTACGTCGCGCTCGAACGTGCGGACCGGGGCAGCGTTCCGCCGCCCGCCATCCTCCGCCCACAGGCGCGGCGGCGAACTCTCGACGGGGGCGGACATGGGCCGGCGCATGCCCAGGGCGTGCGGGAGCCCGAGCCCGGGCCCGCCGGACGAGCGGGGGCGCTCGCCGTCTGCGCTCATCACGCGGATCGCGCGCGCGGGGGTGGGTGAGATGGGCGAGGCGAGGAGGGTTGCAGGCATATGCTCGGTGTCGATCTCGGCGGTGAAGGAATAGAGGTCGAGGCTGATGTGCGGCACAGCGTCGTGGTCAAAGCCGTCAACAAAGGTGGGGGTATCAACTTTTTGCCTGAGCGCGACCGTCTTCCGAATGCTGAGGAGGAGGTGACATCCCTAAGCGGAGATGAGCGCCGAGCAGAGAAAACAAGCTTATAGAGCCTAATGCTTACCGAATATGACAGGACGGCAGGGAGCCAGCTGTTGAAAAGATCGTTGAGACGGAGACGTAGAGCCTCGCGGTGCCAGAGACTTACCTGGAGAAAATTACTGCCGTAGTTGGGGTGCCTATGGCTTGAAAGATCGTGTTCAGGGATACAAATACTACCGATGTCGTTAGGTTGAAGTCGACATATGAATGTGACCCCTCGCAGCTCACCCAATAGTCTGTTGGAGGTACGTAAGCTTTATTGTTCCACTGCCCATAGGGATACGCACATGAGGTAGTATGCACTATTGTCGCGAACCAGTTGATAGACTAGAGGCATGTGTTTTAGACGACCATATGATATACACTTGGCGGTATTAAGGCCGAAAATCAAAGCTGCACGCTTTCTGAGAAACTTTGTGTGACGGTATCACGAAAGCTTACTTTCGAATAACAATATCGGGACCCTGGGTTGAGACGTTAGTGCCCCGGCCGGACGTGATATCGATAGGGCTTACCAGGTTAGTTTGATCGCGATATCATCCGGAATGAAGCAACCTCTAAACGGTACTCCAGGCGGTAATTGCAAGGGCGTAGGGTATAGCATGAAGGTGAAAATGAACGACGACTATGTGCAAGTACAAAGTCAGTTCACATGGGCATCACAAGCGCAAGATCGGCCGTACCGCAGTCGTGACTGTAGCTTGGTTGAGTGATATTTAACGAGTAAAAACAAAGGGAGAACGCACGGAGGAGAGAGACTCCAACCACCCATCGCACTGCACGCTGTTTCAGTTCATGTAGACGCATGCGAGCACGATGTTGGCCTCTCACCTCTATGTGAGCGATGATATAATGCGTCGATCCTCAGAACGAGACTGATTTCGACGCAGAGGAGTAGGATCGTCATCTCTCTGAGCGTCATTCCAGTCAGCAGAATATAGATTCGTGCAGATAAAGTAACGCACACAAACTGGAATACTAGCATGGGGAAGCAGCTAAAACGGGTGTAAGCCAAGAGCATGGAAGCAAAGCAGCACGACGAACAAAACTTCGAAGATTCCCGAGGCGAGAGTCCTGAAGAAACGATAGAGAAGAGGTGATAGAGGACTTAGCCAAAGTTGAATGATGCGCATATATGGACAGAGAGTGCCCACAGCTGACCGGCTATGCCGACATATCTCGACAGGAAAAAGAGGTATTTCGGGAAGGCTCTAGTTGACCTGCGTGCGTGTCGCAAGTGAGCTCATCGCGTGAGAGGCGGTGTGGTGGTGGTCCGCACCTCCAAACATATTCAATCTATGAGACGATACGTGAGCCCAGCAGCAGCGATCGAATGCATTGGGACGTGACAGACCTCGTCATCAAGAGTCGTTAAAAGATCGAAAACCAGGAGTGACGACGAAGCGGCTATATGCACGCGGTAAGGGCATGGAAGGCCGAGTAGGCTGAATGGAACGCGTACTGTAGTGCGTAGCTTGCCCGTGCGCGGCCGAGAAGAGCACGATGGCGCTCATATGCGTGGGCGGGCGGCAGTGGTGGGGCAGACGGCGTATCACGGCTCATGCGGACGGAGGGAAGGGGGCGCGCGGGTCTGCGGGAAAGATGGTGGTGGGTGGACAAGCAGGCAGGGAGGAGGTGCCGCCAGTGAAGGTGGAGGGCGACGGCGGGAGATAGGCTGAGGGCTCGCGCACACGCCGCACGGGCCCAGTGCTGCATGTGACCCAAGTATGCCTGCCGAGATGTTCTAGAGATGTTCGGGAGCAGAGCGGAAGCCGCCAGGAAGGTGGATGGGTCGCTCCCGTTCGTTGATCCCCTTCCTCCCCGAGGCGGTCTGCGGCATGAACCAGCACTTTGTTTCAGAGCCCTCATGACAACCGCTCAGGCGGATCACGTTGCCCCGAGCGGGTAAGTGCCGCCAGCCGAGTATATCGGAGTTCTTGTCTGCGGTTGGCCCACTTTGGGCCCACTGGAGAACCGCGCAGAAAGGATCATGCCCAGAGAAGGACAACCTTCCCTCTAGCTTTACTGCTTCGACCAATTGCATGGAAACAAGTCCTTGGAAGGAGAGTAGACGAGTAGCTTGAACAGTCAGTCCTCGTGGAAGTAAAACAGCAATCGGTGTGGCGAGATAGAGGCGCCAAGGCACATCGAAAATCCTCTTTCAAGTTTATCCACAGTCAATCTTTTCATTTCCAAAGCAAATCGAAAAGGCACCGTATTGCTACGCGACATGAAAATGAATATCCTCCACCGGCATCATCTTCCCGTTGATATACTACTTACTCGCATACCAGCACATCCCAGATCACTGCTCTTACCGCTCACCCGCTCCAGACGGCCGGGCCGGCTGAGTAGAGAGAAGCAGGAGCGTCAGCCGCCGCACGCCACCAGGAAAACATCCACGACACTCACGAGAGGTGTACCCGGTGTAGCCCGCGGGGAGGTTGTAGATGTTGATAAGGATGCCGGGCTCCTCCCCAGTGTACGCGCCCGGGAAGGACACGAGCGGGCCTGGCTTGCCGCTCCCCCGTTGACGATGTTGACCTGCGCGCAGCCGATGTAGAACTGCGCGCCGGCGAACGTGCTCGCGACGTGCAGCGCGATCTGCGGGTGCGAAGATCAGCGGGGCGAACGATACGCGACGCGGGGCCGAGGCGAGACGCACCTGTTCGGCGCGGATGAGGTACTGCCCGCTCGGGGTGTTCTTCGGGATCGTGAAGGTGATCTGGTCGATGGCTGTCGCGCGCGCGGTGAGCGGGCGGATGACGTGAGGATGGACGAACGGACGGGGCACGCACTCTGCGACGGGAACGTGAGCGCGCCGTTCTTGTACACGGGCGCGTCCTCCCAGATCTTGAACCACGTCTTGCCCGTGCCGGCGTTGGGGCTGTTCGCGGCAGGCGACGCCGCGCTCATGTATGCGGCGAAGTAGCCGGGGTGGTAGAAGCCGTCGTTCTGCGCGCAGGGAAGGGACAGTCAGCGCGTCCGCCTGACGGCGACTGGGGGGAACTCACGGCTGGAACGAATCGCGCCCATTAGCGTTTGTTATGGGTCGATCAAGCGGAGGAGGTCTGGCTTACCCTTGAACCCGATGGTGGACCCGGCCGAGACAGTCGCGATGCTCGTCTCCCCGGGAATGCTGCCGAGGTCGAGCTCGTAGCAGCGGATGGCTTCCGACGTCACGTCAGTCACCTGCGAGTGCGTACGTACATCGATCAGCGCACGTCCCAAGCAAACGAAGGACCGACACGCACCGGCCCGTTGGAGTAGTGATTCTCAGTCTCGCGGACGTAGACCCAGTCGCCGAACGTGGTTCCGTTCGCGATGAAGTCAGGAAGCGTGTCTGGAGTACACCGTGGTCAGTTCGATAAGATTCAGCCGGAGACGAGGAGAGGACGCACAGTGGGCGGCGACCAGCTGTGCAGAGAGCGCGGCAAGGGTGACGAAGATGGCCTTCATCTTGGGTGGCGAGTCCGACTGGTCAAGAGGTAGTAGGAGATGCCTGCAGATTAGCTTCGTGTGAGCCTCCATTTTATATGTTCCCAGCTCGCCGACATATGAGGCTGACCATGTCACACGTCTGCAAGAATGTCCCCTGCGATGGCAGATAGAACATAGTGGAAGGTGTTGCGGGTCCGGGAGGTATAGCCGCGAATAAGTCCGAAGAATACAAAGTCCACGGTTCCGTGAGGTCACCGGTGCTCACCGACTGTATGTCGCGGAGATACGGAGTGTAGGCCTCGGAGCCAGCATGGACGGTTGAGTCCTGCACAGCACTTACATGCGCGAGCTGTAGCCTAGTCACAACCCCCACCGGATCGTACGTTGGCCCACTGAGGAACTCCGAGAGCAATGGCCAATATGAATGGTAGGCGTATGAGGAAACACGGAGGTGGCGGTCACGGCTCCGAACTACAGCCGCACTTTAAACGAGAGTTGACCACGGATGGTTCAGGAGAATCAGGAAGTTGGGCCGGGCATTCATGTTCGCTGCGCTGGAGCTATTGATAGATCGAGAACATACACTGAGTGAAGCGAATAGAGAGATATGAGTGGCCCGTCCGATATGTCAGCCAGACGAGACAAATGTGCGGGCCCGAACGTTTGGCACCCGGTTGTATCATAGCAATCTGCACCTCCTACGGTGGACACATGACGATGGTAAACTTGCGAAAGGGGTTGAAGCCTTAAACGAGACTACAATACACGCAAGCATTAGTTGCCCAGAAGAATACATAATCCATACCTGAGCTCCGCTACCCAATCATCCTAGCACGCCGTACTTCAACCAAGATCCACGTACGAGCCTCCGCCCTCCCAGCCCGAACCGCTTGTCGGCACACCATATGCATCCTCTTGCACGCCGCCTTCGACCGTGTTCAATGCGAACTCGCGCTTGAACTTGCCCTCGAGAGTGGCGAGCATACCAATGAGATTCGTGCATGCCTTCTCGAGGACAGCGGTGGGGGTGATGGTACCGTCCGTCTGGATCTTGAGCAAGAAGTAGGGGTGAAGGGGATGGGGGACCTTGTAGCCGGCGAAGAGGACCTGTGGCATGCTGAGGAGTTGACTGAAAGCGGGAATTGCATGGTCAGACGTGTCGTAGGGGGTGAGGGGAGGAGTAGGAACACCGATGGGGTATGACGCTGAGAGAGTGAAGGACTCACGCCCGTATCATGTTCGCAAGAGTGTGGTCCTGCTTAACGATTTTGATTGTGGCAGCGTTGGGAATCTTGGTATCCTCAGAAACCTCGACTCTGAGGAGCACGGATGATGAGCCCTGGTCACGTTCACTCAAACCCGGGTGACCCACGGTTTTTCACCCTCCTCAAGCACGTAAAGTTCATAACGATTGATAGCATTCATTGTGTGTATCTACCGACTAAACGACAGACACGACCGAATGGACCGACCTAAGAAGAAAGGTCAGCGAAAAGTTTGCAAACATACGTCAGAAGGTCAGAGAAAATATAATGAAATCACGGAGATTCATCGACAATAAATATCAGGCTTGTAAAGCCACCATCACTCAGCGGAAAACAGAACATATACTCACCAGGCAGTGACACTCGTCGGTGCAAGTGAGCAAAGCAAAGACAAGACGGGAGTAGGCGCCGTCAGACATGGTCGCGCTTGAAATTCGCAGCATGTTAGGGCGCCTATATCACCAAAGCCCAAACACAGCCAAATCTCCAGCCACCGCGCCAGAGGATCGCAGTCTGTAGCAAGGCAGCCTCGTATACGCCCTCGACTTCCGCCCTCCTCAAGGTATGTCCCGCCGGCCTATGTCACGATGCTCGACACCGCTAGATTCTCCTGCTCGCAAGCTGTACAACGGATGTCGTTTCAGCCGGGAGTGAAGGGAATCTGGTGGTGGATGGCTCACGGGGCAACTGGATGTTATTGGGTGTAGACAGACGCTGATCTTCTCGTTCGCTCAACAGAAAATGCCGACACGGTTCACCAAGACTCGCAAGCACCGTGGCCACGTCTCGGCCGGTCACGGTCGTGTTGGCAAGCACCGCAAGCACCCCGGTGGTCGCGGTCTCGCTGGTGGTCAGCACCACCACAGGTGCGTCCCCTCTCAGCCCTTCCAGCCAAGTCTGTTCCCTCATGAATGCATATCTCCGCACCCCTACCTCTTCGAACTCTTCGACGCCCACATTCTTGCCTTGATCCGCGATGAATAGGACCAACTTCGATAAGTACCACCCTGGTTACTTCGGTAAGGTTGGTATGCGCCGCTTCCACCTTACGCGTAACCTCCAATGGCGCCCCATCATCAACATCGACAAGCTCTGGACGCTTGTCCCCGCGGAGGAGAAGGAGGGCCTCACCGAGAGCTCGGATGTTGTGCCGGTCATCGACACACTCCAGCACGGGTACGGCAAGATCCTGGGCAACGGACAGTGCGTGCACCTATCGTCGCGTCACTGCGAGCATTATTCACTGAGGCACTCTCTGCAGGCTGCCCAAGCTCCCCTTCATCGTAAAAGCGCGTTACGTCTCGAAAAAGGCGGAGTACGTGTTCCCCATCCGTCCTGTACTTCAAGGTGCTTACTGGTCATTTTCTGTTCAGAGCGAAGATCAAGGAGGCGGGCGGTGTTGTCAAGCTGATCGCATAGTTTTGTATTCTGCTTCTGTCCTTTTACTCCCTGTCACGACGACTCTCCTGCATGCATATGACATGAGACTGCAAGGCGTTCTATGCAATCCATGCTGTACCATCTGCTACTGCGCGCGTACATGTCTCAGTTTGTGACTGCACATCTCAAGTCAGTGGAACCGCCTACACCCATGGTACAGGGGTCGTAGGCTTGAGTTCTGGCCTCTCAAGGACATGTGTGTGAACTCGATCGGAGTCGCTGTGCTATGCACGATCTTCCGTGTTCGTAAGGCGGTCAGTGCCTTGGGATTGGCAGCCACCGCCCAGCTGGTGGCCACTGCGCCTGCCAATGTGGATGTGCAGTGCCGCCTTCTCACCGAAGATGACGAAATCTCGCTTGGTCTCACGCACACGCCGCTGCGCAGTCGCAGATGGAACAGTGAGGACTGGCGCGGATGTCGGTGGTCCCTCCGGCCTCCTCGGACGAGTGTCGGGCATTACGAAGGCTGCGTCGACGACGGACGGATGAACCTCAGCTCGTTGCTGGATGGATACCGCCCCGTGCGCAGTCTTCTGGCAGATAGAGGAGGTTCGGATGGCGGATGTGCGGGCAGACTGGTCGCGGAAGTGGAAGTGCCGTGGGGATCGAGTCAGGCGCACTGACAAATGGATCCAAGATTAGGAGGAGCTGCATAGCTCGCCGTCGCCGCGCCTGCTCCCGCGCTCCCTCTCTCCCAGACTACAAAGTCCCTCCCGTCGGATGGCCAGCTTCACGACCTGGTGTGCGTAGCCGCTCTTGACTCTCCCCTCTGCCCGCCAACTGCCCTCCTGCATCCTTGCTCTCTCCCCTCCACACCCCACACCTCGCATTCCGCTCCGCGCCTAACCGCCTCGGTTGTGTAGACAACAGCCAGTACGCGACTTGGAACCGCGTACGAAACCTCCACCAACAACCCTACCTCGCTCGTGTGGACACCCGTGCCTCCCGCGCCGCCACCGAAATGGCCTCTCAGACCTCACCCACAGGCAACCCTGTCGTGATCGACATGGGCACCCCCGCCCCCGCCCCCACCACCACTACCCCCACACCTGCGTCCGCGAACAAGGGCAGCGACACGCTCTTTGGCCCAAACATCGGCGTCCTTGGTGGTGGTCCAGAGTGGACTGAGCATAGCGAGAAGAGCGCGGACGTCCTCACGCCTGAAATTGTGAAGGGCTGGATTGCGAAAAGCAAGGAGGTCAGTCTGCAGTCTGTCTCGGAGTCCCTCTGCGGCGGTGGGGTTCCCATTTGCTGCACGCACAGGTGGTGGATCACTTTGCAACTGCTCCTCGACGACTGGCATCGTTTTTTGTCGATGAGCGGCCGCACTTGGCTGCTGCGACCGTCGTCCGACAGGGTGGGTATATGCGCGCAGCGTGCTCACACGCTTCAATTATAGACACACTATTCCACCACGACGCTGCAGGCCCTCGTCAACCTCAAGCGTCCGACCATCCGCCTCTCCCCCCTCGAATCCGACGCCACGGACGACGCCGAGCATGCCGACTCGCAGCATCACCACGCGCTCGAGTTCGAGTACGACTGCGACGCACCCAAATGCGCCATCCGCGTCCACGTCCTCCTGAACCCCAAGCACCCGATGGCTGGCAAGCCCGACGGCACCGGGCTCTCGAAGCTGCTCATCTTCGAGCAGATCACCGACGGCGGCTTCGGCCGGATGCTCAAGTTCGAGGACGGCGCGATGCTCGAGCTCGGCCGGTTCGACTTCACGCGCGCGGCGACTCCTGCCGGCGAGTCGTCCTCGACAGGGGACGAGAAAACAGCAGGGACCCCCGCCGCAGAGCCCGCGCATCGCAAGAAACGGTTCACGAACTTCCACTTCCGCAAGCGGAACCAGGAACGCGGCGTCGCCGGCCCTGCCCTCGCCGTCGTAGATGCGGATGTCCATCACGCGGAGGGTGAAGACAAGAAGGAGAAGGAAGAGGACGTTGGAGTTCGTGCGACCATCCGCCTGTCTGCCCTCGATGAGGACGGCAAGGACCTTCCTTCGTCAAACGAGCAGGTGACTTACCTCCACGTCGTGCGGTTTGGGGCCCCGCCGGTCGCGGTCGAGGGCGCCGAGGAAGAGGAGGACAAGCGTCCTTGGGTTGTCAAGGTCGTGAAGCGTGAGGCTACGGTAAGTCGAAGCTTCTTTATTACCCCGAGCCCATTCTCAAAGGGTACTATAGATCGGCCTGCACACCTTCCACCTGCACGAGATCTATGGTCTCTCTGCCAACTCTACAACGTCCACAGCCCCCACAGCCCCTCCTCCCACCGCCCAGCTCGACACTCACACATACCCGCCGGTCACCGCTCCCGCTCCTACCAACCAGGAGGACGAGCCTTCCTCCGAATGTCTTCTCTGTCTATCATCCCCTCGCGAAGTCGTACTCCTTCCATGCCGTCACCTGGTGGCATGCCGCGATTGTGCCCTGAACATGATCGAGTTCGGTGCCAGCGGGACGATTGTGCAGAACGAGGAGCCCAGCGCTCCCGGCGAGACTGCTTCCGGCGAGGTTGCTCCTACTGAACCCACAACCGAAGCGTCTCCGCCTCCGGCAGCTGAAGGCGAGGGTGGTGCCGCCGCCCCTCCTCCCATTGTGCCTCCCGTCCCGATCAACCCCCGGCGGAAGAGGAAGGCCAAGGGCTGGTTCTGCCCGGTCTGCCGTCAACGTACGTGATTCCTTGCAGCGTCGTACATACCCCCCTCTTAACCTGAACCCGCCTTTCCAGCGTACACTTCCCTGCTCCGTATTACCACCACGCCCCCGGAGAAGGACGAGCACCGCGAGTCCACGTCGTCCGACGAGCACTCTCCGCCGGTCCCTGCGCTCCCCATCACGCTCACCGTGCCCCCGCCGACTGCCCAATCAGAGCGTGGTCGTTTCGGCTTCCTGCGCTTCGGCCGCCAGGGTGTGCCGCAGCCCGACGTCGAGCGCGGTCAGACGCCTGCGGCGAACGCAGCTTGAGCGTCCTGGGCAGAGGCTTACTGTGTCATTGACATCGGTTTGTTCTTCGACCTTGCTCTTCCTCGAGCATGTACGATATACTCGGGAGTCGTGGGCTGATGTACACTGAGCGCGTGCGGATGGTTTTGTTGTACAACATACGAGTTCTCTAGTCTACTTGTTTTTACTATGCTTTCAATCTATGTTATTTCACAACCCTCGATACAACGCGAGTGCCTAGAGCGATGTCTAACGACTTCACTGAACGTAAGCACACCGTGACCTAGCCGACCCACGGGCGACGGGCCGACGTACGCGCTTGCAGGCCTGCGATGTCTCTCTCTTGGCAAAACCCCCACTGCACAACTTGTTCCCCGCAACCGCCACACGCCGACCTGACCGCCGTTCACGTCGACGCATCCACTCCTTTGCAAACCCGGCCCCCAGCCGCTGCGCTCACCACCCCCACCGCCCCGCACCCACGCCGGACACCGCCTGCCCCGGCCCCCGTCCCTACACACGCACTCTGAGCGGGAGAGCACACGCACACCGAGACCGAAACGCACCACCCCACCGTCACCCTAGCCCCCGACCCCGGCAGGATGTCCACGGACCCGTACCACGCCGTGCAGCAGGAGATCCAGGGCTCGCTCCAGACCGCGTCGACGCTCCGCGCGTCCTTCCTCCGCATCCGCAGCACCGCGCGCGAGGACAGCGAGGAGCTCACCTGGGCGCGGAACGAGGTGCGTCCCCGTCCCTGCCCCCTCGCCCCTCGTCCCGCGCGAGCGGAAGCTGACCGTGCTTCTGCGGGGCACACGCTCAGCTCAAAGCGACACTGGCCGCGCTCGAGGCGGACCTGGAGGACCTGGAGGAGAGCGTGAAGTGAGTGCCGTCCCTGCCATGAGCGCGTGCGTGGTTCCCGCCGACTGACCGCCCCGCGCACAGTGTCGTGGAGTCGACCGGCGCGCGGCTGTTCGGGCTGGAGGAGGCGGAGGTGATGGAGCGGCGGCGGTACGTGGGCCACGTCCGGCGCGAGATCGAGGTGCGTGGCGCGGCGGGGGGCCCGCGGGCGTCGTCTGCTCGCTGATCACGACGTGCCGCAGGACATGAGGGCGGAGGTGGAGGGCGGCCGCCGGTCGCGGCCGACGTCGATGTTCGGTGCGCCGAGTCCGGGCATCCGCTCGCCCGCGCCCGAGAACGAAGACAGCCAGGCGGAGTGGGCGAGGCAGGAGCAGGAGGTGCGCGGCCGGCCTGTCGCGGTCTCTGCGGGGTGTTGACGCGCTGTTCTGCGGTAGATGATGATGCGGCAGCAAGACGAGACGATTGACACCATTGCTGGGACGCTCAGCACGATTCATGAGCAGGCGGGCTTGATGGGCCAGGAGATCGGAGAGCATAACGAGTGCGTCGCTGCGGTTCTGTCTGTGTACTTCCGTGCGGTCCTGACGTTCTTTCTCTCCAGGATGCTCGACGACCTTGAGCGTGGCGTGAGCAATTCTGACGCCAAGCTAACAACGGCAATGGCGAAGATGAAGAAGTTCATCCGTCAGACCGAGGGTACGTTTCCCTTCCCCCAGTTGTATGTTCTATTCGCTGACTTCGAGCTTTCTAGAAACAAAATCGGGCTGGTGTATAGTGATCCTCATCATCATCCTCATGGCATTGCTGCTCGCCGTGATCCTTGTATGATTGCTACCTTTGCAGCCATCCGTGTTCGCGTTGTTATTGTACGCTCTCATATTTACGCAGCATCACCACGCTCCTTTGACTCTATCGGGACATTTACTGGCATGTACATCTCGGTATCATAGACACTGTTCTCGTTGTAATTGACTCACCCGGTCTGTGCCTCGCTGCATAGAGCCGGACGTGTTTATTCGGACGTGTTGTTTGCGCGGGGTTTGTCCCTACAGCCAACTAAAGTCAGCGATATATCAAGGCTCGCTGTACTAATCGAGCCCACGCTCGCCCGGACGGTGTTATAAGCACCCTTCTCACCGCAGTTGTGTTGTACAAACTGTCCCTCGTCCATGGAGATGTCGCTCCTTTCGGAACACCGCAAGGGCTCGGTGTCGGGCGTCGAGATATTTAATGCGCATATATCAACACGTCAAGTGGTCAGGGTACAAATCAACTGGATTCAGGACTCGGAACTAGGCACCGTTTACAGGCTTTGACATATAATAATGGTATCGTGACGAGGCAATAGATGGACTCGGTGAAGAGAGATACAAGGAATGTTGATAGAGTGTGAGCGCATACCATGCCACGGTCCAGTTAAAGGAGCGTACAGAAGGCGATCAAGTTGGCCACCGACATACTGGACTGCTGCCGCACGGCGGTGAACGCAGGCACGTCCCGGTCGAATTTCTCGGGGTCGCGCAAGTACTCGTCCCAGTCCGTGAACAGCGGCTTCCACACCTACCCCTCCCCCCGCACGCGCACGAAGTTGCCCGGGACGGCCACGGTCGCGCACGTGTCGTGCAACGAGCGCAGGGAAGGCGGGTCGTTGACGCCATGCACACACACCTGAATGGCGTCGAGCAGCTCCTTGCGCATGTCCGAGACCGGCGTGCGGCAGATGTCGGGATGGATGACGCGCGGGGGTGCACGCGCGAAGGCGTCAACCATGATGTACGCCGAGTTCTTGACGCCGAAGACGGTGGTGATGAGGATCCAGTGCGGGGGTGTCTTGTGGTGGGACCTGAAGCGTCGGCGGAAGCAGGCGATGGGGTCTTCTGTTGGGTGGCCGGCAGACGCAGCGCCGCTCTGAGTGGTGTCTTCGCCGCCCCGTGGGAGTACGAGTACACCGCAAGAGGGGGCAAACGCCTCGTCCTCTATCGTCGACGGGTCCTCGGCGATGCATATCTTCTTGGCATCCACCTCCCCGACGCCGCACACGGAGAAGGCGCGCGAGGGGCCCCGAGGCTGCTTTGATCCGAGATGGCTGTGGTTAGGCTCGAGGAAGAATGTCACGGCGTAGCGCTCGAGTTGGTTGGCGTAATCGTCCCCCCACGTTCGCAGTGCGAAGGCGACGCCTGCGGTGATGAAGGCCCATTCATGTGCACTGCAGAACTTGCGGAGTTGCTCGGAGAGCTTGGGGAGAGGTGGGGCGGTCGCGTCCGGAGCCTTCTTGCAGTACATCCTGCATCGCAGAGTGTGTGGATACCAGGGGCTGCGATCGGTGCGGCGGGAGCGTACCTGTGGGACTTCCAGTGCACTTTCTGGCATTCCTGAGAACAGTACACCGGCTTCAAGGCGCACGGACCCCCGCATCTCCTGAAGGATTGGCCAAGGACGGGAAGTTTGTTGCATCCCTGGCACCGACGGCCAAAAGTATCGGCACCGGGGGGCTGGGGAGATCGTTCGTCTCCAGCAGAGGAGGGCATGATGGCGGTAAGCGAGAGGTGCGTGGCCCGGACCGACGTTCATATCATCGGTGAAGCTGACGGGTAAAGAGCTTGCGCAGGGTTGTCATCAAATCGGGTGCTGCCTTTAAAGTTCAACGTAAGCCCGTAGCGTGAACGTTTGAACAACGGTCCACGTACGATGCCATCTGGGCATTCGGGTAGGTAGGGCATCGGCCTCTCATCGCTCCTCCATTCTCGACGCTCGATTTCGCAGCCTCTTCAAGGGAGTCTTGGCCCATTTGGTGTGTTCGCATGGGACGGCGCAGACCGGCGATTGAAGAAGACGAGGGCGAGAGGAAAGACGCGGGATCACCGGTCCGGGAGAGGATCGGCGTCAAAACCACACTGGCGCCTGGCAGTGCGCGGCTGGAATCGGTGTCGCCCTAGGCCTGGCTCGCCCGGTTCCAACTCAACATCTCCCTCTGCCGTCAGGCTGCTTTTAGGATGTATCCATGCTCACATTTCGTGTATCCACTCATAAGACGATGGCACAAGAAATTCAAAACAATGACGTCATAAGTTGCTAGGAGGAGTTTCCCAAGATGGAAGGCACCTCGATCGCTTGAGGGCAGGTCGTTTAGCGCCCAATCCTTTTGCCTCCCCAGTCCGCTCTCGCGCAGCGTCCTCCTCTTCCATGTCACCAGTGAACAGCACAAGAGCAGTCTGGAAGGCATGTGCTTTCGTTGTCCGTACTCTTCATATGCGAGACTGTTGACAGTATCCACACTTTCCTCGCATTTGAAGCCCTTCTGGCGTCACTGGCAAAGTTGTTTTTTGCTTCACGCCGATGCCAGCGTCCGTCCCTAACAACATGGCAGCGTCCTTGGTGGGAATGATGGCCGTTCACACGATTTTTTCATCCCCCATCCCCTATTTGAAGCGCACACGTAGTAGACATCGGCCGATACCGAAGTTCATGGTCGATTATGCCAAGATCATGCACTGCATGCAATATCAGGCTCGAGTTGAAATTGCGCATCGGGGGTTGCAAACCGCCGCGTGTCTGGAGCACTCGCGCGGGGTGGCTTCGTCCAGCCGGGGTGCTACACAATCGCCAATCGTTGAAAGTCGCGCCCTGGCCCGATGAACCCGCGACGTATGATTCCGAACCGTCCTTGAGGCGCATCACCTCCATGTTACGGCACGGACGTCGATATTCTCACCCAGAGTGGAAGGCTGTCGGGGATACTCGCGGCATTTGATCAGAGCAACCCCACCGGGGAAACCAACCGACAGCCACGGTCCGACCCTGGCCAGGGGGTTCAGGACACGACGGGCACTCCAATGAAATGTCATTTGGCTTTGCGGAGCTATACAGTTGGAGTTTGTTGCAGCACGCGAAGCAACTTTCGACGGATTGTTGCCGGCCCGGACGTGGACTATCCACCTGAGCCTGGCAACGTTCGGCAGACCAAGCCCTTCCTGTGTTCGCGTTCGCGTTTGGAATCTGAACGGTGTAGAGAAAGTGCACGCCGAGTACGTACGCCGAACGGCGTTCGATTCGGCCGCAGTCGCTTCAGTCGCTTCTCTCGAGTCCTCCCCGAGAAAGCCGCGACCACGAGCGCCCCTATCTCGAGAAACCACGGATACGGCAAGCTGACCGTTAAAGCTACTACTTCCCAGGATCTATCCTGTGCTTGTTCGTCGCCCCTCGGTCGGCGTCTGAGGAGTGATTCGATTTTGAGAGGACAAATTCGCCAGCCCTAGCGATCGGCCGAAAGTGCGACTCGAGTCAAGAGCGGTGCATTACATAGACGATCTATGAAGGGAGGGGATTTAGAGTATTCTACAGGGAGCATAAGTTACGACAGGGTATCAGGAAGCTAGCACGGTCCAAGTAGCGTGTCTATGCTACATAGCGGTGGGAAGCTCGATCTATAGAGTCTTGGGTACCCGATTGATAAGAGGCAGGCATCACAGCTCCGTGTTCGGGACGAGAGTCGACAAGGGATTGGCAGCCGGGCAGGCTCCCCGAGCGGGCGCGTAAGAGATTGACAGAAGCGAGGGCGGCGTCGCGTCGCGCCAGCGATCAATAATGATAGAACCGCTCCCCGGACCCAACGTATGATCAATAGCGTGCCGTCACAGGGCACGGGGCACGGAGAGGGGGGAGGCCGCACGGGGCCGCGGAGCGATGCGCTCAGTCGATGTTGTGGCCGGAGGAGAGCATGGCGGTCGCGACGAGCGCGGGCTCGGTGAGGCCCAGCTGCACCGCCTCCGCGGTGAGCTCGAGGGAGACCGCGGTCGGGCTTCTCGAGACGCGCCCGAGGATGCGAGGGGCGCTGCTGTGCACCTTGTACAACTGCACGCGCCCGAGTGTGAGCGCGGCGCGTCGGCGGGGGAGCGTCGACACGGTCGATTGCATGACGAATGGGTCAGCAGAAAGTCCCACCGCGCAAAGGGAAGTAGTTCGGCGATCAGCGTGAGGAGGAGAACGGTCGGAGCGAGCGAGGACGTACGCAGACGAATCCGTCCATCGGTGCCCACGCGTACTGCACACGGTTCGCCTCCATGATCCGCCGACTGAAACGAGAAGCCGCTCGAGATGAGCGACTGAGTCGACCAGGTCCGTGGAGCGGCGGATACTCACCTCTGGTCTGACGACAGCCTGAGCCAGTCGCGGACGCGTTGACGCGCGGACCCGCCGCGAATCTCCACGGACGCGTAGGGCTGCCACTGGACCATCCCGATATTTCTTTTCTCTGTGTCCTTGAAGATGGTGTATGCGGGGGCGTTTGCCTCCGTCGAAACGATGTAGGCGGTGCGGCCATCTGGGCCAACGATGGTCGAGTTTAGGATCGTCGACTTGAAATTTATGAATGTGTAGGTGACCGTGTATAGCTGTGTTGCTGGTGTGGAGAGAGATGGGAGTGCTCCGTACACCGAAGTTGATTGTCCATTCCAGTTGCCTTGAGCGAAGGGGTTCATGTCGAAGCGACGGTGAGGCAGCGATGAGAGTATGGATGGGTGCTGCAAGCTGCGATGGGAGGTATGGAGACCTGGAAGGGAAGCCGTCGAAGCCTTTGTCGAGTGGTGAGGAACTGGGATTTGCATCACCGTATATGTACGAGGGAGCTGAACGGGGCGCTGAGATGAAGGGTGAGACGGGCGACACGAGCAGGCGTATGCGACGGTCAAGCATCTCAGCATCTGTGTGTTGGAAAAAAGGAAGTACTTTCGGGTGGAACCAAGGTGAGCGTACCAGCAAAGACACGAAAGTGAAATGACATGGGGTCGGGCGGCGGTGACGGATTGGTGACGGACATCTCGGCCCTCGCGTCGACATAGCTCGGCAGAGCCTCCCGTGCCTATCATTGTCACAGACGGGCGTGCGGTCTAAGATCCAGAGCGGTGTATTTGCTCCTTTGCGTAACGCGCGGGGTGGTGTGGGGCTCCAGTTCCATCCCAGTCTCGTCCTATGGTATCTGTCAGCATTGTGAGCACCGAAGGATGTGACTAGAAAAAGAGGAAGACTAGGAACTCACTTCCATAGTACGCCCTCGTAGGCAGATGCGAATTCCGCTCCGAAAGCGTCGACGCCTTCATTCCGGCGGTTCGGTAGTGACGGAAGCACCTGGACCTCGCGTTTTGATAGATTCCTGATCCAAAACGTGGGGTACAGGTGGACGGCAGGAGGAAAGAGAAGACGCTGGGCGCACGTGAAGCCCATGGCGATGCGATCAAATTCTCGCGTGGCCGGCCCGTGGTCAGTTGATCTTGACCCGCATCCATCCTCATATGCTGGCTCCGCGTGAAGCTATTCTCTCTCCGCCGTCAAGTGTTACTCTGGGGTGAAACCATCGTCCAGGAGGATGCCGCCCTAGCTTTGAAGAGCCAGGGCACGCTGTGCAACTTCGTAGCTTCTTACATCGCCAACTCGTATGCGAATGCCGATCGGATTGCGAGTGCGGTGAGTAATATGATTTGCACGCCTTCGCGACTTGTTTCGCCACTGTCCAGCGCCCTTGCGACCCGAGCCTCCTAGGCCTCAGTACCGCCGAAGAGGACACACCAGCTGCGGATTGGGATCGGGCCCAGTGGGTCACCCTTCCGCGGCAGTGCTCTGGCAATGGCATGCATCGCAACCCGCAAACGTCCGAGCGCTGTGAGACCTTTTTGCTTATTTGAGAACGCGGGCACTTGGCGACGCAGCTCTCGACGTCGAGACAAACGATCGGTCCCCTCGCGCGACAAGCAGGTTCTAAACGGCGTGTGAAGCGTGCCGGATTACCGGGTTTGCTCGAGACCACGCCGCACGAATGTCGGGCGATGCGCGCCGTGTGCAAAAGTGATGAGCGCGTTTCGTATACATTTCATGGGTGCCGTGCACCGTGGCGGGCCACACCAGCCCCCGCACTAATCATACATACTCTTGATCACGACACAACGAATCGAAGGTGGTTCGGCCCAAACTCACCGCTCGACACTGCGAACTTCGAAGCCGGTCCTGTCTCCCGTCAATCCGTACGCGTCTCCTTTGCGCAGCCCACGTGAGCTGTTTTCCGCCGTCTTCGCCTCTTCGTCCGCGCGACATCACCACGCTACGCCGCGTAGACGCTCGCGTTCGCGCTCTTCCCGTCTGAGCTCGCGTCGCCGTCGATAGACGGCTTCCCCCCAGCGCTGGAGTCGCACTCTGAGACGTCGACCTCCTCGAAGCGCATACACGCCTCGCGCACGCCGCGCGCGGGGAAGAAGACGTTCAGGGACCAGTAGACGAGGGCGGAGACGCCGAAGCCGGTGAAGAACGACATTTCGTAGATCTGCGTCGCCGCGAGCGGGACGGTGCGGCCGGTGGCGCCAGCGAAGCCGACGACGTTGATGAGGATGCCGGCGATGTACGCGGCGTATGCACTGTACGTCGTTGAGGTGAGGGTGGGAGGAGAGGGTGGGGGAGAGATGGCCTACCGAAGATTGAAGCCATAAGTGTAGTAGTACCATCCGTCCCGCTCGGCGCGGTAGAGGTCCTTCACCTTGTAGTGACCTTTATGGATGACGTAGTAGTCCGTGATCTGTCATGACACGTGAGTGAGCAGATCTTGGACGTATCCTGGTAGCGCGCGCACCATGACTCCCGCAATGGAGCTCAGGAAGACCGAGTATGCGGAGAGGTACGACGCAAAACTGTTGCTGCTCTTGAGCAAGTTCCAAGGGAGCATTACCAGGCCGACGATCGCCGCGACGTAACCTCCCCGGCGAATGTTCTGGGTATCGTTGTGCACAGCGTCAGCTTCATGCGCTTCTCACACAGTAAACAACGAGGACTGACAATGAAGCGCGGGAAGAGTGCAGTCAGATCACAGCCGGCGCTGATCGAATTCGCGGAGATGTTGGTCCCTAGCTATGGAGGGCAAGCGCGAACGCGTGTGAGCAAAGAGGGTTCGCGTGCGCCTCCACAACCACAAACGCACCTGAGCGATGATGAACGACGCCGAGATAAACCACACCCCGAAGCGCGTCGCGCTGCTCGGGGATCCGTCGAGGAACATGTTCAGCAAGTCGATGGGTGACCAGATAGCCTCTCCATAGATGACTTGCGACGAGGAAGAGACGATGATGCCGAGGAAGCTGACGATCGAGAACCCAAGCGGGACGGAGAGGAGCTGCGGAAGCCCCGCCGCGGACGGGTGGCGCGCGCGCGAGGCAAAGTCGGGGGCGTTCGTGACGAGCGTCGCCATGTTGCTGATGCACGACATCAGGCTCGAGACCATGCCCCAGCCAAGCGCGGAGCCGTGCAGGGTGCTGGGCTGGGAGATTATCGGGCCGACGCCGTGTGCCTTGACGATGCACCAGATGAAGAAGGTGATGCCGGCGATTGGGGCAACGACTGCCTTGAGCGTGAAGAGATGACGGCTGGTAGAGGTGGCGCGCATGATGTGAGCAAGAAGCTTTGCGGATGGGAGGCAAGATTGATGCTCACATCTTGTGAATGGGGAACCAGATTGCGGGGAGAGAAATGAGCCAGAATAGGAAGAAGCTCATGAAGTCCTTAGTAGTGATGCCCGCTGATTCGGGTAGGTGGTTTGCTATAGGTGAAGTCAGCCGATTGACCCTGAGAAGGTTCAAGAGTTGCGACTGACGGATGTTGTTCACCGACGGCCACATCGCCCTGAGCATGACAAACACGCAGGAACCCCCGAGGCTGGCTTGTACGCCGTACCAGATGCTGAAAATATTCCGATTATATTCCTGCGTGAAGTATAGTACTGAAGACTTACCAGGCCATCGCGCCTCGGTTGAACACGCACCAGAGACTGCCCCAGACGCCGAAGCTCGTGCGAGCGACAACGGGAAAAGTGACATGGAACATGGCGCCAGGGCGCGCATTCGCGACAATGAACGGGGCTACAACGCCATATCCAATCCAGACGCAAATCCACGCCTGCCACCAGGAGAGCCCTAGCTGGATCATAGACGAAGCAATCGTCCATCTACGGCAAGGTGTTAGTCACGCACACGAGCGAGCAGAACACGAAGACATACGTGTTGATGTTGAAGCTGTCTGCGATCCAGCTGTACGATCGAGTGTTCAGCCATATATTCAAGTGCTGCTGAAAGCTACATACAATGCAATGAAGTTCCACGTTCCCCACTGCCGCTTCTCCTTGGGCACAGGGAGAAGGTCGTCATTCTGTGGAGATCACAAGCGACCGTCAGTGCTCGTGTGACTAAACAATCATTCGTGTGTTCCCGCGACGCACCTGCAGGAACTGCTCGGAGTAAGGGAGGCCCCTGGTGTCGGACACCTCCAGCTTCTCGATGATCCCCATGATCGCGGCACCCAAGCAGAGAAGGCCGAAGGTGACAGTGCAATCTGAAACAGAAGCAGACCAGCCCGCGAGGCGGCTCGGGGGCCCGGTTTATGTATGTGGTCGTGGGGCATAGACGCAGAGATAACGACGTCGGGGTGGAGCTGAGATGCTCTTGTTTGGGCTTGCCGGCATCTTCTGATAAGTCGGTCGTCCGATAAGCTCGCGTTTATACAGCGCTTGAGTTTGTGTCCACACGGCCAGACGTCACCTGTCGTGTGAGCAATGGTCAGCGACCCCGGTAGCATGTCTTCGAGGAGCACTTGGAAGTACAAACTTACCTAGAAAATAGGCAGATCAGAGGTTTGAGAATCGCCAGCTTCCGAACGAATGCAGCGGAAAATCCAGCATGGTCTCGGATGAATCGCGGGAGTGAGAAAAAGAACCTGTGGCGATTGTGCGAAGTGCATTCCGCCACGTGCCCAGCTCGCTTAGATAGTACGCGAACGGCCTGCGGAGATGGCCGAAATCCGAGGCCCGCTTCATTCTCCATCCAAACGTTTTGGAACTTGGAAAATGGCTTCGAAAATCAGCGCAACCATCATATCGAAAGCGGCCGGAAATGCTTGCGTTGTAGCAGACTTCAAGCTAGTTCCGCGGTGGCCATCGTTAATGCGAGGGGGTTTCACCGTAAAGATTGTGCTCGTTGAACGCGCGGCCGAGGCCTAGTTCATCGCAGTTGAGTTGTCAGCCATATAATGACATCAAGTGGTAAACGTATCACATGGGAAGAGCCGGAGGACCGCGAGAGGGTGAGAGAAGACCGTGACCGCTCAGCGCTCATGCCGGCGACCACTTTGAAGATGGGACGACGTCCTTCCTGGCGCGGAACTACGTCGCTTGACCGCGTCAAGCTAGGCACATGGATGAGCCTCTGCTCACCGAAAGCAACAACTGGGCTGAGCTGAAGACACAGCACAATGCCGACGACGCCGACGCGCCGCGTTGTGTCCCCATCAAAGCGACGTCGGGCGCGATCACTGTCCATTGTAGTATGCGGAAGCTGTGTGCCGCGGGCCCTGTTGGAGGTCCGAAAGCTGTTACCGTGCAGCCGCCAGCGGGACTTTGAGGGAAGGGTACGCACTGGGATCGGCTGTGGCGGGTGGGTTCCACGCGGCTGGGATGGTCGAGAGCGCATCTTGTTACGTACACCGTAGCACTGTGTGGGGAGACGAACAAATACGTTCAGGGCGGCCGCCAGCAAAGAGAAGGAGATACGAGTGGTAGAAGATGAGTGTGTATGCGCGTGATGACAGGAAGCAAGGGGCGAGTGCTTCCGCCTCCCTAGCACTCCGTGGACTTCAGGCCGGACCTGTTCGACAGCCCTTCCACCAGGTCCATATCCACCGATACCGTAATCCGGGCCGATCAAAGCAACTTGAACCTGTGTGTCGGATCAGTCTGGTACATGGTTCACCGGGTGTATGCACGGGCCTGGCGGGACGGTTTCGCTAATTTGATTTGCAACTTGGGGAGAGGTATACATATCAGATGGGGATAGGGAAGACGGACATGAACGCACCTGGAGCTTCTCGCACTGCCATGCAGTGCATACGGTTAACAATAAGTGGTCCAACAATCGGACCACTGACCTCCAGGATAGAAGGGGAAGATAGATAGATGCAACGAGAAACAACAGTACACACCGCGCATATAGTACAATGATACGATCCGGGCAGAGCACTGCTAAGAGATGAACACCTTGCGAAGCTCGCTGAACTTTTGCCGCTCGCCGGGGTCACGCGGGTCGACAACATAGCCATCGTTGCGCGCCGCCATCTCCTCCAAAGCCTGTCACGGAATCGAAGAGCTAGTCAGTGTCCCCGTCACCACAATCGCGTGGCCCATGTGGCCGCACGGATCCTCCAGCCAGAGTCCGGCCGCGGCGGTTTCACGCACAGACGGCAAATGCACAGAGCAGAGCAGACAAAGAACAACGCACCTCTCTCGAGTACACCTGCCCGTTCCGGAACGCAAGCGGCATGTTGTCCGCGCCCATGATCTTTCCGCTGATCCGGCACACGATCGTCGAGTTCACGTGGTGGCTGAATGGGGCCTCCCGCGCGAGGGTGCCGAGGTCCGGCTGGCACACCGGGCAGTCGACGTTGCGCGTCTCGTGGCCGTAACAAGCGGGCAATTTCAGCGATGCCAGTCCGGCGTACATTGCAAGGTGCAGGAGTGGCTCCGTCGGGAGCGTGCTGAGGTGGTAGATCGCGAGCCGGAATGATTGGATGAGTGTGTTCCAGCGACCGAGGTCGTAAAGGCGCTACGGAGCGGTAAGAGATCAGCATTAGGGATCCGTGGAGGGACGGAAGTGAGACGAGCGGGTAAAGTGGAGAGCGAGGGGGAACACGCTATGATCGGGGTTCTGCAAAACGAAACGCAGTGCACCAGAACACCCGAGGGTGTTTGAAACAGTGGCACTGGCCGTCAAGACGGGCGGCTACCAGTTGTAGTCCTGCACTCTCCTAACTCGGTAGAGCGGAATTTCTACTGCCTCAGACCACACGAAGGCGAAACAGAAGGGAAAGAACTGCGGAGACAAGAATGATCGGTTTACTCACTTTGTATGGGCCGAACGCTCTGGCAGGCGGAACAGCGAGCAGCGTCGCGACTTGTATGATTTGGTCATGGTGCGTCTCTTGCCACGAAAGAAGGTGCTTCTTGCTGTATGCCATCGCTTCCTGTGCTTTGCCCACGCGGGCAAGTTCGATGTATTCTTGCAGCCGGAGATCGAACTCCAGAGTGTTCTGAGGCGGACGGCTTGACGTTAACACGTGTCGTTCGTGATGAAGGTGACGTTACCCACCTTGAGCTTTCGGAGCGCCTGCTTGTTTTCGCTGCACCAGGTGAGAGCCTCAGTGCAGCTCCTGCGGGTGAGACCGTCTTCAATCCTCCGAATATCCGAGAATAGATCGATATCGACCAATTTCTGAACAAAGCGCGATCAACTCCCTGCGTAGACCGTCCATCGCATGGAGAGATCGTACCTCGATGCCCTTCTGTGTTGCAATCATGCGAGCAGTCTTCTCCTTGCCGTTCCGGAGACACCAGTCGACGAGCCATCGGTCTAGACGAACGTCAGCCCACCGCGTGAACTCGGGCGCCGTCAGACTTTCTACGTTCTCGACAGCGGCGAGGTGTTGGAACCGCTCGCGCATGACCCCCAGGGTCGGGCTGCCTGACGTTTCCTGCATGTCCGAGAGCTAACTCCACACGCATGGGGCCGTGAGAAGAGACGCCGCGGAAGCGAGACGACCGGCGCAGGACGAACAAGGCGTAAGCGTCGAGGTCGGGATTGGCAAAGACGGGAGGACGAACCTTGCGTTTGAGGCCATCGACGCGTGCGATCATGCCGTCGATGGCCTTGAGGGTCGCGTCGGCGTCAGCATCGGGGCGTTTGGCGAGCTCGTTTGCTGCGGTCTGAACGGCGCCCATCTCTTTCTCGATGTTCTTCTGCGAGGTCCGAAACACTTTGCGGTAGTTTTCGTATGGGACCTGCTCCTGGATGTTAGTCCCGCGTCGTGACGGAAAGGGAAGACGCCAGTAGAGGAGTAACAAAGGCGACCGGAGGAAGCATACCCGGGCGAATGGCTGCTCAAAGAGCATTACGCCATCAGAGTTGAGCTTGCTGAGACTCATGGCGGAGTCCAGTCAGAGTGAACACGAGTTTCTCTGCCGATGATGGTGAGAAGGGCCAACGCGGCGACAAGCAACGACCGCGGTTTGGGCCAAGCTGGCGGGCGCCTGTTGTCGGCGGATGACACAGCATCCACAAATGTAAGACGTTATATCATATTAGATAATTTGACTTCAAGAACCGGAGCAAAGCAATCCGGTCCAGACTCGGCGGCATGCGTGACAATTTGTGGGAGGAGCACCAATATGCATGCAAACCGTTGGCACAATGCGAGTGCAATCGAAACAGTGTGAGGGTCACATAGATACAACTGTTGATTAGACATTCAATTCTAGTGAGAAGGATTAGACGCGTTTATGCGAGGCGGAAAGAAGAATGAGAATGAGCGCGCTTTACTAAACGTCATCGCATCGCCTGCAAGTGCCAGCACTTGCTAGTAACTCCGTGCTGTTAGGAAGGTTTCGTGTCGGTCCAAAGGAGAAAAAAATGGAGAGCGGGGATGATAGGAGTGAGTGTGGTGCTTGGGAAATAATCTACCCCTGCGTTGCCCCACTTCATTGCTTGTTTCACGTCGACAGCTCTTTCGGGCAGCGGCAATCTGTGCTGCACAGTGCACTGGACGAGCGAGGCAGCCGGCGACGTCGGAGAGGAGGCGCGCACGTGGGTGCCACGCGACGAACCATCACTCTCGCACGTGGAGTTCACGCGAGACCAGCAGCCGAATTTCAACGTTCAACGCTCGCCGTGCGGGGAGCTGAGCTCTCGCCGCCCTTGCTTCGACCTTGCCTGGTTTCACGCCTCCTGTTTCGCACCTATAGCAACGCTTGCCCTCAGCATGGCTGGGCAATCATCACCTGCACAACTTCAGAGCACTCGAACGTACATTGTGAACATCGGAAGCCCGACGACATTGAAGACGGAGCACGACCTTACCTCGAATGACAGAGAACGTGCTCACAATGCTGCTAATTCACAAGCTTATCATCGATGTCTCTTGATCACCGTAACGGCAACCTCGGAACACCCACACGACTTTGTGCCATGTGGCTGGATGGGCGCCGCAGCCGGCGGCAGATGTGGGTGCGCCGCCACTGCGAGCTGTGAGCGCCATCTCGGAAAGCGGGTTCATTTTAGGTATTGGCAGGAGGCGTCTCTGTCTTCGCGCCAATTGCACACGCTGATGTCTCCTCTCAACAGGGTAGATCGGCTGCATCCGTGGGATTCCAGTGACGGGAGATGACCTGGAGGAGATCCCGTTCCGCGCCCTGGAGTCGGTCGTGCGTACGCTACATCTTTGCAAGTTGTGGTTTGTCTTTCATCTCTACAGGGTCGCACACCCACCCGGACGACGCCGCGCTCTCGTTCTCAACAAGCATCCGGCTTTCTTGGTCGCCGTTCCTCCGGCATCGCGGCAGACGAGTCGACGCCCTCAAGCTGCACAGCCGCCCGTTTTCGTATGCCAAATCGCGGTATTTGCACAAAATCGAGATTGCCGTGCACGCCGCGGATTACGCAAAGCGACTCATGTCGTCCTCCTCAGGATCTCCGCCCATATCGGCAGGTGCCCGAAATACCAGGCACAATGTAAACGGCGCTCTCAGTGTTTGTGGAATTTCATGTACGCCCTCGAATGTGATGGTCGGAGCGTGTCTCATCCACCTCTAGGTGCGTCCATATATACGCTCTTGTCTCGGCATGAGCTCTGCACTCATCTTCTTAGCCTCACTCCTCCCGAGCCTCGTCCCTCGTACTCTCACTTCTTTCGTTCTTCGTTGTCATTCACTTTACTTGCAATGAACCCCTACAACCAGTGGCAGCAGCAGGGCAGCGGCACGCCCTCCATCTTCGGTGCCCTCCCCTCCCCCACCTCGTCCAGCGCGAGCACGCCGCACGACGCCGCGACCTTCACGCTCACCAACTTCAAGACCACTGTCCTGAACTCGACCGTGTACGATCCCAGCCGGCGCGAGGCTTACCGCATCGTCACCGAAGCGAGCTCCCCCGCGTGCACCGTCGTCCAGAACAGCCAGGGCCGAAACATCGCGATGATCAAATGGCAGCCGCACGCGGTCGTCGAAGTGCGCGGAATCGCCGCGGAGCAGCGCGTCCGCGACTGGCTCAAGCTCGCGTCCGACCAGAAGTGCGCGCGCTTCCATCCTTCTCTCCTCCTGCCATCGCTGACGGCCTGGCGCCCCCACAGCCGCCGCATCATGGACATCCGCGGCGTCCAGTACGCGTGGGCGCCGATGGACGGCTTCATCTGCGTGAGTCACGGTCGATTCGGCAGCAATGTGCCCACGCTGACCACTCCTGCCTCCTGGCAGATGTACAAGGTCAGCTCGAGCGCGCCCCGCGTGCTCGCGCGCGTCGCGCGCATGCCCAACTCGGTCGTGCTCGACGTGACGCAAGACGCCATTCAGCAGGGCCTGCTCGAATCCGCGCTCATTGCCACCGTGCTCATGACGTCCGGCCACTCCATCGACTGAGCGCGCCTCACGAAGTCCAGACGCGACGCGACCCCAGGTCAAACACCCCGCACACTGATGCCCACATTCGTTCTTGGTCTATATTCGCTCCCGTTTCCACCCTAGAGTCTTGATCGCATACTGTATCGCCTACTAGTAGTGCTCTTTGTGTCTCTCTTCTTGCTCTGCGCCTCGCATCCTTCTTGCTGTATCCTCGCCTCTCCCTTGTAGCATAACCTCGCTTCTGTCCCCGTTGTATCTATTGCAGCTGTCGAACTTGCTCTGCGAAATGCTATATAATGTTGCCCTACAAACCCGCGACCGGCTCCCTGCACCATGTTCATCGTCGAAGCACATTGTCGGTCCTACGGACGTCGTACGCGCGTTCTCTGCGCCGCACATCGACGCCATTAGAAATACCCTCAGCTCGAAGGCTTCATTCGCACCAGCATGAACAGTTTAGCGCGGTCTGCCGCGCACGACGCGCAACCTCATGCCGATTTTGAATATACCGAAGTGGAAACCGATCCCAGACTTTCGAGCGGGCGCGTCGAACGTCGGACGGTGCGGAGCTCCGCGGCGGCCGACAGCTTGCTCACGCGGACGTGCTCTGTAAGTCCGTGCTCGGGCTCTGTCAATTTCTCACGAGCTACGTCAGCTCCAAACGCGATAATCGTGCACTTACAGGTGTGTTCACTCCGCTCTTGCCCCAGCCGGCTTGGATAGAGAGAGAGAGATCCTACTGATAGTAGTAAACCGTCTAATCAAACGGGCGTTTAATATGAACCCCGGCCCGCTTCAACCGGCCCGCCCGAGTCCCGCCGAACCGGTCGGATCTCAGGCCCAGTACTCGTACTTCAGTTCGCGACCCCGCCCGTGCTGCGTTGTGTCCGGCGCGTAAGTGCGTGACTCGACACTACTCATCGTCGATGACTCGCAGGTCACGCCCCAATGCCCCCAAGCACGACCCGCGCAGCGCGCCTTCTCAGATCGCGCCCGTGCGTCCGACTCCGGATTCGAAACCGTGCTTCACATGCACACGTCGCGACGCCACTGCGCCCGCCTGGACCAGCGGCCAGGTCCCAGGGCGCGACGCGCTACTGCACGCGAGCGGTGCAGGCCAGGCCACCTCGGGCACTCAATATTGAATATTCAATTCGCGGCGGAGGCGGTCCGACGCCCGCGGTGCTTGTGCGGGGTTTCGGCCGGGACACCCGCGTCCCCGCCGCGACAATGGCGTCGACACGGCGCACAGCCAACAACGAGAAGTCGCCAATCGCCCCCGCTCCGCAGCGGCGGTGCACCCGTCGACGCGGGCGTCCCCGAAGTGCAAATCCGAGGTTGGCGCCCGGTGGCCAGGTCAACGGCGTGGACCCAGGCGTGCTCCATCACTCCGGAACAAAACACAGGGGACCTGCATGCAATAGGTGAAACTGAATGCAAAAATAATCGTTAAGGTAGATGTACATATACTCTACGGATATCGACACCGATACATAGCGATAACAAGGCGTAAAACTACAACACTTGCCGAGGCCAATCGTAGTGATACAATGCAACACAACATCCGAGCCGGTGAAAGTCCATGGGTATCATATAGTCAGAGTAGCGACGTTGAGGATCTCTTCATCCAGGCGGAGCTGAAAGGCCGCCTTGAATGGTTGGAACAGGCGTCCAGGAACAGCGAAGACGACCCTATCAAACGAATTCTTGAACCGTGCGGCCTTCGCGACGTTGCCAACAGTCTCTCCGCACACGAGGAGCTCTGCCCAGATGCCAGCGACCATGTCGACCTTGTTCTCGGATGACCCGCATCCAAAAGCGCCGAGGACAATGACTTTGTCACCGTGGGACTCGAAGGCCCTCAGAGCGCGCGCCATCCGCTCCTTCATAGCGTGCCTGATGCCATCCTCGAAGACCTGCTCTTGACCAGGTTCGATAATGTGCTTGGCGCGGACGGCGGCAGCGTTGACCGGGACAACAGAAAGAACGTTGACATTATAGGGGGCGATGAACTTGCCGCCAATGGGGTCGACGTTCGCCGGAGGAGGTGCGACCAGTGCGACCAGACGGTGGCTCGTTGTCGGCGTCCTGGCGGAATACGACGACACCTGGGGAGTAAACCATAGAGTGGTCATGAAGACCACTGCCGTCTTCGTTGCGAAACGTCCGATGTTCTTTGTAAAACTCTTGAGCAGGCGGCGAAGTGAGGCTGGCTATGAGGGAGCTCGAACGGGTGATCACGTCTTCTTGCTCGGCGCCCCCATGGAGAAAGCTACCACCCGCTCGCTTGGGCGAGGCAAAGGAGAGGACACCGACGTCGGTGAAGGCCATCGGGTCACCGAGACGAGGAAGGACGACGGAGCGGGCAGTGTTGAGGGTGGAACCGTCGACAAACTCGATCTGTGTAGACGAGGAGGAGGCATCTTGGTGAGCGTCCTGCCATCTCGCGAGGGTGGGGGAGTAGTGGGGGTAGAAAACAGTACGCTGACGGCTTTGGAGGACGGCGAGCGAGATATTGTGTGCCACCCGGTGGGAGGGTGTGGGGCGGTTGGAGACGACGGTCCTTCGCCGTCGGGTGGGTGAGTTGGAGGGGATTCAGCAGAGAGCGGGCGCTCTTCGACGTACTGGCCATCCCCAAGAACAATGTCCTGCGTCTCCGCGGCGATCTTGGCCCAACGCTCTCGGCGGCGCGCTGAGAGGAAGTGACGATGGCAATGACCCGTTTGGCTCTCCGAATGGCTCTGTCGTCTTTCTGTTCCTTCGCCTTCTTGATCTTCTGGCGTGGCGTTTGAGATCGCTGGTGGATGGTTTGCGGATGTCGATGGGAGTGGGAGTGGATGCGCGGCGCTTCGCTGAGGAGCGACGCCTGCTTGGACGGGAACGGTGTTTCGCCATTCTTGGGCTGAGGCGACACTCGAGGGATTGAGTGTGGTGGAGTGGTTGGTGGCGAGGATGAGGCAGCATGGGTGGTGGGGCTGCCCGCGACTCCCGGCGCTCTATATAGGCGTTTCAGGCGCCAGTTCATCTGAGTCAGCCTCGCATGGGCCACCCCGTTTGGGAGATAAGATTAGATGCTCAAGTCGGAATCGGGACTCGGGGCTCGAGTTTAACGAGCGACCGCATCTCCGTCCCTCTCCGCCATCCTGCACGATGGTCGCCCCACTATACACCACGGACTCAGGTCTTCTCTTCCATGCAGGCAAGATCCTGGTGTGCACCGTCGGTCTCCCTGCCCGAGGGAAGACGCACATTTCTCGCGCTCTTGAACGGTATCTGCGATGGACCGGCGTGAAGACAGCCGTCATTTCCCTTGGAGACCACCGGAGAAAGGTTCTCGGTGGAGCGCAGCAGCTTCCACAAGACTACTTTACGATGGGTGTGTATCTGGCTTTATCGTAGGGTTTTCAGAAGCTCATGCTAAGGGAGGAAAGGAGCGAAGGGCCCGGAGACGTTGCAGTTGCGCCAGAAGGTCATGGAGAGCTGCGAGCAACTCATCTGGGACTTTTTCAACTCGGGAGGGCAGGTCGTGATATATGATGCAAACAACGGCACGCGTGAACGTCGCCAGTTGCTCGGAGAGAAGGCTGAAAAGAACGGCGTCCATATCATCATGCTCGGTACGTTGGGCAGTGATCACATGCGTGCCATCTTTGAACCCGTGGAGCTTAGAGTCGTCATGCGACGACGAGGCCCTCATCTTATCGAACATTCGCAGCGTCAAAATCTCATCCCCCGACGCGAGTATCTTGTCCTATGCGAGTGGTAGTATGCTGAACCTCCTTGTCTAGTATCGGAACTGGGACCCAGAGAAAGCCGTCGCGGACTACTACAGCCGTATCAAAGATCACGAGCGCCACTACGAACCCGTCGAGGAGACTACATGGCCGTTCATCCGCATCAAGAACGTTGGCGAAAACATCATGGTGAACGTGAGTGACATCGCGTGCTCAGTACAGACTCTTTCTGATCACGCGATCTTCAGAATGTGTTCGGCTATCTGCAATCTCGAGTCGTCTTCTTTCTTATGAACATTCATAATCGGTTCCGTACCATCTACTTTGCACGAGTAAGCAAACCGATTGAATCGGCGAGCCATCGCTGAGCCTCGCAACCCAGTCTGGCCAGTCTCTCATTGAACACTCGTATAAAGCGGACTCCGACCTGTCACCGGCTGGGTGGGAGTACGCCGAGAGGCTCAAGGAGTTCGTGCTCGAGAGGCGCATGAAATCTCTTCAAGAGCGGGGACTCGACCCCGCCGAAAGGCGTCTTGTAGTGCGTTTCGTATCCCCTCTGAACTCTCGTCCGATTCCACTCACCCGTTGCCACCTCAGATCTGGACGTCCGCCCGTCGCCGCTCTCACCACACCGCGTGGCCGTTCCTCACGCACAACGCGAACGACCCCCTGCCGCCGACGCGCGTCAAGGTCATCGAGCGGCCGCAGATGTCAGAGATCAACCCCGGCGTGTGGGACGGGCTCACGCCGGACCAGGTGCGCAAGTACTACCCCGACGAGTGGGAGCGGTTCTCGCACGACCCGTACGCCTACCGCGCGCCCCGCGCGGAGAGCTACCACGACCTCTGCGGTGTGTCCTCGTTTCGCCCTTCCCTTTCCTGTCCCGCTTCGTTCAAAACTGAGCATGCGCCCCCTCCCCACAGTCCGCCTGGAGCCAACGCTGATCGAGCTCGAGCGCGAGCGCGAGGACCTGCTCATCATCGGCCACGCCTCCGTCATCCGCTGCATCCTCGCCTACCTCATCGGCCTCCCCGCGTCCGAGATCCCGGCGATCGAGGTCGCCCGCGGGGACCTGCTCGAGGTCGTCCCCGCCTCGTACGGCGTCTGGTCCCAGGCGCACCACTTCTGGGACGGCCCCGGGCGGAGCTCGCAGGGCGGTGCCGCAGGCGGCCATGGCAAGGACGAGCACAACTTCTACGAGAACTACGCGGAGGACACCAAGGGCAAGCGCCGCCCGAGCGAGACCTCAGTCACGGCCGGGGGCGTGCCGAGGATGTCGGGCATGACGCCGTCGACGCCGGCGACGGGGAGGGGCACGCCGCTGCCGCAGATTGTAGGAAGAAAGGAAACGGAGGAATATCAAGAGAAGTAGGTATTAATGTTTGTAGCATAGCGCGGTGGGGCAAGCCGCTTGGATGTATTACAAGGACTGCATGGTGTCGTCAAACCGGAAAGGAGATCGGAATAGAGATACAGCATCGGGACGACGGGGCGCGCATGTTCAACAGAAGCACCCTCCACCACACCGCACCACAAGAAAACACACAACGAGCGAAGACAGCAAAAGCGCAAAAAAGCATAAATCCCACACCTGCAACCCCTCATCAGCCGGCGACCGCGTTGTCCTGCGCCCGGTAGTTGTCCATCTCCGCGTCGAGCTCCTCCGCCGTCTTGCGCTTCGGCCGCGCCCGCTTCCCCTGCAGTTGCACGTTCTGCTTGTTGAGCCGCCGAGGGCCCTTCTTCGTACGTAACCGGACCCTCGTCTCCTCCTGCTGCTGAGCCGGCTGCCGCTGAGCTGGCTGCTGCTGGTTTGTCGGCGCCCCTTTGTTCTGGCGGCCGTTCTGGCGACCGTTTCTATACGCAACTGGGTGGTCAGAAGACGCATGACAGTGCTTCTTGGTGAGACATACGCCTGCGGGACAGCAGCGACTCCGTTGGGTTGCGCAGGAGAAATGCGGGAGAGGAGAGTGGGGACGGGCGGAGGAGCGGCGGGTGCGCTCACAGTGCCACTAGGGCCGTTGTCATCCCGGACGATTTCGATCTTGATTGGCCTCCCTGGAGAGCACAATCGTCAGTGCTAGTCCGCCGGCAACGGGCGAGTCTCAACCGTGAGGTCGGTGAGGACCCCTTAGTAGCAGGTTCGCACACAGCCGACGTAGTGTTGCATCGAAAGGAGTAGGAGAGATCAAAGGGCCAAGGGAAGCACTCACGTCCGTCCACGATCTTCCCGTTGTACTTCGACCGAGCGAGCACCGCGTCGTCCGGCCGGGTGAAGGTCACGATGGCCATGCCCCTCGACCGTGCTTGGGAGTTGTACACGATCACTACCTCCTTCACGGGCCCGACAGTCTTCGAGAATAGCATCTATCCGCCGTACGCAGGGCGACAGGAAGACCACAGACGACGCCAAAGCAATAGTCAGCCGCGCACCCCGAGTTTTCGAGACCGAAAGCACACGCACTTCGACTTCCTGCTCGTTCACGTCTGGGGGCAGCCGGCTGAGCAGGATCCTGCTCTCGAGGGCGGACCCGGACGCGATGCGCGCGTTCGGCCGCCACGCAGGCGCGACCTGGGCGGCGGGGTTCCCGAGCACGCGTTGCTTCGGGGAGCGGTAGGTATTCAGGCGGGGGTGGTGCGGCTGGGCTTGCATGGCGGCTAGAGCTTGGGGCGTGTTGTCGGGCTCGAGCTTATCTCCGGTCGGGGATGGCTTTTCGCTCGCTGCGAAGTGTCGGGCGGGGACGGGAGGTGAGACGGGGAGGCCGAGACGGGGGAGGGGCTGGGAGAGGAGTCGGAGGGAGCAGGGCGCGAAGCAGGCCGTGTCCGAAGAGCCTCGCGCGGTCACGAGGGCAGCGTTACGCGCCAAGGATCGCCGGCTCAATGCAGCACTCAGCCGTGCCAGCCTCTTCCTCCGCACCCACGGCGTATCTACATCGTGCAGGAGCTGTCCGGCCAAAACCAAAGTTCTCCGCGATGCATACCAGCGCATATGGCAACCTCCAGGACTCCAGGACTACCCCGGCTGGGTCGACGCAACCCTTTGCAACTAGTATACAAACGACTTCTGCCATCTTTTGTCGACTACACGTGGCATTGTTCTACGACACACATCATAATACTTATCGCCACTGCGGTCGGCACACCAGTAAGTAGCTACTACCCGAACAGTGCTCCGTGTAGGCAATTGAGTGCCGTCAAAGAGGCTAGCTGACGACTCCCATGCATTCCAATCTAGAACGCACAGGAGATAGCATGTTTACTAAATAGTACACGCTTCGACACAACGTGGTCGGCAATTTGGAAGGCGACGATATCGAATGCATACAGCGCAAGGATCAAGTCACTCGTCTAAGAGCACCAAAATACACCTTGTCAAGCTTTCTCCAAAGGAAAACCCTCTACCCAGCCTTCTGAGATCTTTCTGGTGGTGTCCCAGGCTACAATAGGGAATAAATGCAACCCACCCCTCCCGGAAATTTGTCGGGGGTGAAACTAGGAAAGGACAACCACTGCGAACCATCTGCGTCAAAACGCGAGTATGAACGTCGGCTTCATTGCGCCCCCGCGCCCCCGCATCGAGGGGCCCTGCGCACAGACCAAGCTGCCCCGGCCGCCGCCTGCGCCTCATCAATGCCGGTCCGAAGCCCCGTGGTCATGCCCGCCTGCACGGATCTCCTCGTCTTTCCGCCCGCCCAGAGTCCAGAAACCGACGGCCGACGCGCCATTGGATATTCATTACATACGTGCGTCGCCAGCGTCCCCCACGCCCCCAGGCCTCAGCGCCCGCCGCCTCACTCATGAAAACCGACGGGGCAGAGGGCGTGCGCCTTCCTCTCTCTTCCCCTCCCCTTCCCCCACCCTCAGGCCTTAGGCCGCCCCGCTGCGCACATGTCTGCCGAAGCCCACCTGGCCGCCGCGGCGCCCACGTTTGACGACCACGCCCAAGACGCCACAGCTGCGAACTCGTCCGCGGTCGACCTCTCCGACACCCCCGTTCTCGCGCTCCCACACCACCTCACTAGCGACCGCGTCCGTCGCCGCTCGGAGATCACGCGCTCGCGCCCGCCGACCACTCCCGGCGCGGTCGCAAACTTCGAGGAGATTGAGCTCCCAGTGATCCCTGAGGCACCGAAGCCGCGTATCGACGCGCTCGCGAGCGCGTCGGGAATCTCCGCTCTGGGCTCCGATGCGCCTGGCCCCACCGTTATCTTTCGCGCGGACACGCTCGACAAGGACGTCGAGATCGCGCCTAGTTTCCCGAATTCGCTCGCGCCGTCTGTCCTTTTCGAAGGGGAGACGGGGTCGAGCGCGAGCCTCACGCCCGCGCAACAGTCGGAGAACAAGCGCAGAGTGCTCCTCAACTTCGTCACGCTGTGCATTTGCGTCTTCATGAACGGCTGGAATGACGGGACAAATGGCCCGATGCTCCCTCGGATACAGGAGTATTACCATGTCCGTGCGCGAGACTATGATGATTAGCTCCACATATCCTCAATTACCCGTACAGATTGGCTACGCCGTTGTGTCTCTCATCTTTGTGTGCAACACTATTGTGAGTCACCGCCGAGTCGGAATAATCATGATCTAATAGTTGCATCTTTACAGGGTTTCATCTCGGGTGCCGTTGCGAACGTCTGGCTCACCGACAAATTCGGGTTCGGAAAGGTGGGCAGCGAACGACGTCTCTATCTGATCATTTATTGATCTTGTCCGCATTCCAGGTTATCGTGTTCGGTAGGAAACTCCATTGCAGCCGAATGATTCGAAGCCTTACCGCATAAACTAGGATCACTCTGCCAGCTCGTTTCGTACGGCATGATCATCCCTGCTGGCCCGTTCCCGCTCATGTGCATCGCGTTCGTCTTCATTGGCTTTGGCCTTTCACTCCAGAACGCGCACTGCAATGGCTACGTCGTTTCTTCGCCACATAACGCTGCCACTAAGCTTGGTTTCCTTCATGCTTCGTATGGTAAGTAACTTTGTTACGTGATGGTTCTCGCATGGCTCCATATCTCATCACGCACCTAGGCCTGGGAGCACTAGTCTCGCCCTTGGTTTCTACCCAATTCGCTCAGCTCAAGCATTGGTCGTACCACTACATTATATCAACCGTCCTCAACGCCGGCGTCGTCGCTCTGCTGATATTCATGTTCCGTGGCAAGCGGCAGGAAGGTCAGGGCATTTTGTCGGCTTGATCCCGCATGCTCTGAGCTAGGTTTATCAGTGCTCAAAGCCGAGTCGGGCGAAGCTATGGGCGAACCTGAAGCCGTGACTTCGAACAAGTACAAGCAGATCCTCGGCCTCCGCGAAGTCCACTTCTTGTCTACCTTCTCGCTCATCTACGTCGGCGTCGAAGTGACCATAGGAAGTGCGTAAATATTCTTCCATGACGAGCCGCGGCTGACGTCCGTGTCCGTTCAGACTGGAGTGTCACGTTCCTACAGCAGACGCGGCACGGAAAAAGCAGCGCGGGATACATCTCTTCTGGTTTCTTCGCCGGGCTCATGCTCGGCCGCATCCTCCTCATCTGGCTGAACAAGAAGGTAATGGTTATCACGCAATCTCGCGATCGGTCTGACACCCCCCACCAGATCGGCGAGCGCCGTGCTCTCTTCATCTATGCCCTCATCGCCATCCAGTGCGCCCGACCCTTTCTGTGCGCCGTACGCTTTTCTGACGCCCGTCTCATAGACTCGAAGTGACCGTCTGGGTTGTCCCCTCGCTCGTCGAGAACGCGGTCGCGGTGGCACTCATCGGCCTTCTCCTCGGCCCAATGTACCCCATCCTGATGAACCACACCACCAAGATCCTCCCGCGCTGGCTGCTCACCGGCTCGATCGGCTACATCGCCGGACTCGGCAGGCCGGTTCCGCCGTCCTCCCCTTCCTCACTGGCCTCCTCGCGAGCAAATTTGGGATCGCCAGTCTGCAGCCGTTGTAAGCCCAGCTCGTTCGTCTTTCTTGTGCTCTGAACTCTGACGTCCAATTGCCTCGCAGCATCGTGTCGATGATGTCGACCATGATCGTCGTGTGGGCGTTCATTCCCCGCGTCCGCACCGTCCCGACATAATTCTTCCACGGCTCAATTGTGTTCCCCGCCCAGGTCCCCCCAATTTTTGTCCTCGCTCGCCTTTTTTTCTTTTCCGATAGGATTCATGATAGATTCTCTCTTTCTTTGGTATCGTCGCCGTGTCTCCATACTTCCTGGGTTCCGTGCTGTCTCCTCGCGTGTCCGGATTACTGCTCTCCAGCCGTCGTCTCTCGTCTCGTCCCCACCACCTGTACAAGTTTACAATATACATTGTTTGTTGTGCTGCATGCAGATGCAGGCCGCTATCCAACCGCCACGCCCGATCCGCATATCAAAATCCTTGCGACCACGTCACGCCCCCAGCCCCCCACGACCCTCACGCCCCCACAAAGTCCACACAGCTCTCGTACGTCTGCCCGTTCTCGGTCGCGTACCACCACCACTGGATCGCGCACGCGCCCGCCTCCGCGCACACGCCCCCGAGGTCCGGGATCGTCACGTTGAAGTTCGCTGCGCCCTTCCCCGTCAGCCTCTCCGCGACGTTGTGCGAGCGACATGGCGACGGCGCTCACTCTCGTTCGCGGGCCAGTCCGCGGGCCCGAGGTTGCTGTTCGCGTACACGGGCCAGGTGAAGAGGCGGGCGAGGGGCGCGTCCGCCGCGAGGTCAATCACGGAGATGTTCTGCGGGCGTCGGCGGCGGCGGCGGCGTGAGCTCAAAGCGTCGGAGACGAGAGGTGGGAGCGGGGAGGCAGTGGGCGCAAGGAGGAAGGGGCAGGGGGCAGGGAGAGGCGAGCAGGAGAGGGCACACGCACGGCGAATCCGGTGTGGTGCGCGACGAGGTCGACGTGGAAGTTGACGACGTCCCCGGGCGAGTACGTCGCGACGTTGTCCGCGTTGTCCTCGAACTACGGGCCGGTCAACGTGCGGCACAAGAGGGGGAGCGAGCGGCGCGCTGGGACCCGCCTTGTACCCCCGACACTGGTACAGCGCGCAGTCGGTGGTGGTCGTGCTGTCGATGGCCTTGACAGAGTTTTCGATCTGCCGCGGTGGGACGACGCCCGTGAGCTGTACGTATATACCTCGCTCACAAAGTGCAACTTGAAAACACACCGGGCCGGTCGGGTCTGAATGCGTGTAGTTGCGGTTAGAGCGAGTGTACGTGGCGCGAGGCCGATATAAGAACGCACCAGATTTCAACTTGGCCTCGACCGCGGAGCCGCACGCTGCGAGACTGGCCGCCCCAGGCTGTTCACAACCGGTCAGCATCCACACCTCGGGACTCACGAGGCGACGGACGCACCTGGCGCAGCACGGGTTGCGTTACCACGGCGTGGCCCATGGCGAAGGCGGGGAGGAGCGCGAGCGCGACGGAGAACCTGAACATATCTGCTCAGAGTCGTGGTCGATAGAGGCCTAGGAATACCGCGGGCGCGGGCGATTCGTGCTGCTCGGAGGCGATTATACGCTGACTGCGTCCCGGCCGGGAGACGTGAAGTGTCGGCGGACAAACTGGGGAACATCCCTGCTAGAACCGGCGGAGTAACGCTGGGTCAGCGGGAGGGGACCTAGTATGCACCAGGACGGTCGCGTGTCGGCCTTCGAGAGCTTGGCGCGAGTCATTTGTGCGCAGCGCGCATGCAGACCTGTGCGCGGGCCGCGTCGAAGGCCGAACGCCGGGTTTGTTTGAAGGAAAGTATCGGAGGGGGCGCGGGCGCGACGTCGCCAGGAGTGGAGTGAATTGTCCGGGCATGCCGCGGAGGATCATGGGAAGACATGCGCCTCGGATATTGCTCTGCATTGAGTGAGGGTGAGCGGTGCCGCGTCGGTCCGTTGCACAAGAGAACCATGGGCCGGAACGTACACGGGTCGAGGGTGCGACGTTCCCTGCAGCAAGTTGGAGGACGACACCCCCAACGATGCCTTTGGCGCCCTTGTGGCCAGCTTGAGAGTAGGAAGCCCGAGAAGCATACGTGCTTCAACTACAGCTGTCAAATGGGCTGTCTGTGTCTGGCTGCTGTGCATCAGACGCATGGGCGACTGGCGAGGCATCTATCCACGGCCAGTCGTGTCGGTCAATGCCCATGAACGTCAACGCCGTGGCAGATGGCAGATCTTCCCTCCGAAAGGTTCGGATGCCTTTGTGCGCAGTCGCATGCCCTGTCATCGGCTTTTAGCGACGGAACAGAAGGCCGCAGAGAGGGAGCACAGGCGCACTGAAAGATTTCCGACCGGTCCTACCCACCGGCTGCCTGCACGCCAGCCAGGCAGCGGCCGCAAGCCAGAGCAGACCCTCAGACGTCGGCCCCGTGATTGATTCAAACCGCCATAAATCACATCCCCCATCTATCCATTCAACCCAAAAACCCGGCGTACAACTTCACGAGCATACAGACGGGCGGATTACACCGCCCCACGGACGCATCGTCGTTCCCTAGGGTAGCCGCACACGGCTCCAGATAAAGCAAGAGCAAGACGGAAACGAGAGCGAGCAACTTAGCGGTCGAACGCCCCCTAGACCTGCCCACCCTCACTGCGCCTTCATCCGCGGCATCGCCGCGACGTACGGCAGCGTCACCTGCCACCAGATCGCGAAGAGCAAGCCCAGGATGCCGTGGAGGCACCCCCAGACGTGCTCGGGCGTCGCCTTGTACCTGCCGCCGCCGTGAGCGCCACGTGAGAGGGATGGGGAGGAGAAGACGCACGCTTCGAACACGGGCCCGAACGTGTGCGGGATGAAGCGCGGCGCGTTGAAGAGCACGGTCGAGACCGTGGCGTGGTAGACGCAGAGCGCGATCGCGAACGCGCGTTTGCCCGGGAGGAACTCTGCGCACCGCTGCCGGTCAGCCCGCGGTCCGCGTGCGCATGCGCGTGAAGGACGCACCGGGCAGGTTGAAGCTCAGGAGCGCGGCGACGCACGTCCCGCCGACGAGGGACGCGTACATCTGCGGCGAGAACGGCGGGCGGCGTGAGACCAGCGAACGGTACGGTGGACAGGGGCGCGCGCGGCGCACCTTGATGAAGACGAGCGCGGTGTTGTTCAGCTGGAGGAAGGGGAGGCTCAGGGGCGACCAGAGGCCCTGGACGGCCATGGGCACGTCGAGCGCGATGTGGAGGAGGAAGATGAGGGACCTGGGAGGTGCGCGCGGGGAGGTGAGTTCTCACGCATCGCTCGCCGGGCGCGCACTCACATGGGGTGCATGGCGTTGAGCTGCTGCGACATGGTGGGCGATGTGCGGCGGGCGGGAGGCGGGGCTCGGGAGGCGGAGGGCGCGGTGGTGAGCGAGGCAGCGGCTGCGATGGCCACGGCAACGGCGGCCACGTGTTCTCGCCGGCGTCCCGCTCCCACGCCGACCGGGAAAGTCGGGGCCCGGGCCCCGGCCTCGTAGCAGCCCGGGATCTGCGATAAGATCGTGATCGCGCCTGGCCCAGCCGCGCACCGCCTCCGCGCACACACCCTCTGATCTGAGGTAAACACGCTCGTGGCCCGCGGGTTGCGAGCCTCATGCCCCCCGCGCGGCTGCCTCCGTGCTGCACGCCCTCAACGCGGCCCTGCGCCTCGTGTGTTCCCCGCGGTGACGGTGATTGTGGGCATACCGCCCTAAATTGTTACAACATAACATACCGGGTATTACTGATCGACACAACTCTAACGCACATTGTCTGCAGATCGAGCACGCATTTCCATAGCCCACCGCCCCCACAAACCTGCCCAGGCCCGTCCGAGAACCCGTGCACCCACACACCAGCAGGCTGCCGCCAGCCGTCTACTCCTCGCCCTCATCGTCGCCCTCGAGGATCGAGCCCGCGCGGACGCCCATGCCCGCGATCGCCCGCCCGAAGATCCCCGCGGTCTGCTCGCACGCGTCCAGGTCGCACTCGAGGTCGATCGCCTCCTGGCCCTCCGCCGACGCTGCCGCCGTGTCCTCGCCCGCGCACACCTGCAGCCGGCGCACCTCCTGCCGTAGCCGCTCGATCTCGTCGTCCCGGCGGTCGATGCGCCCCTTGAGGACCTTGATGAACTCGTTCCCGCACCGGAGCAGCTGCAGCTTGCTCACGCCGCGGTTCGGGCCCTCCGCATGGCCCTTTGGCGGGCCTCTCGGCGGCATCGCCCCGGGCAGGATCGGCTCGTCCGGGAAGCCGTCCTCGGACGGCAGCGGGATGGGCGGCAGGAGGATGCGGAGGTCGTCGAAGGACGTCTTGAGCGAGTCGCGTCGTTTTTGCTCCGCGGCCTTGTGCGAGGACTTGCGGACGCCCGGCTGCATGAAGGGCGAGCTGGGGGACGCCGTAGTTGGCGTCACGACCGCATTGCCCGCTGCGAAGGCGGCGAAGCGTCAGTGAAATGTCATAGCCGCATGAAGCACATTCCTGAGACTCCGCTATATGCAGGCTCCGAATACCACTCCGGCAGATAGGAAGCGAGCAACACGCCCGAGTCCTGTCGTGCAGGGAATTCGGACATCCTAGCCACATGAAATTAAGGTGGGCATCTGACCACCATCGCGAAACGCTTCGCAGCCCGTTGCGCATCATGTATGCGGTTAGTTTCCCCGCAAAAGGCCTCAAAACTCGACAGACCGCCCGCCTACGACCGCATCCACCCGCACGACCGCACGACCACGACAGAGAGCGCGACGACTCACCAGGCCTGATCGGCTTCAGCGCCGGGCTGATCAACGGGCCCCCAGGGCCCTTATCCGCCGCCTTCGCCTTCGCCCCCGTGCTCGACCTCGTCGCCGGCCGCCCGTCCTTCGCCTTGCCGCCCCGCCCCGCGTTCCCGCCCGCGAGCCGTCCCAGGTTGAGGATCGTCGACGGCGTCACGGGCGTGAGGTGGCTCGGGTGCGCCCCGACCCCACTCCCGCCCCCGACGGCCGGCGACGCGGGCGTGGCCGGCAGCGGCGGCGTGGGCGAGTGCGACGGGCGCGCGACCGCCGCTGGGGGCCCGTCCGCGGGGCCCGTGGGGTGCGCCGGGGGCGGCATCGGCGGGTCGACGGGCGAGGGCGTGTCCCCGGGCACGTCCCCGAACGCGCGCATGCCGCCGCCGCCGCCGCCGGGGGCGGTGGCGGGGAAGAGCGGGGTGGACGTCGCGGAGCGCGTCGCGCGCATCGTCGGCCGCTTGCCCAGCGCACGGTCGCCGGGCGACGGCCGCTTGCGCGCGGGCCGGCTCGTCGCCGCGGACTCGTCGCCGCTCGAGGACGCGTTCGGCCGCTTGGTGGCGGAGGTCGCGCCGCGCATCCGGGTGGCGGGGTGCGCGGAGGGGCCGGGGCCGGTCGGGGGCAGACTATTTGCCGAGGTGCCGTATGAGTCGAGCATCGGGCTCGAGATTGGCGGCAGCTCGCTCAGGTCCATGTCGCCGGGCGAGGGCAGCGGGAAGCCGGGGCTGTTGAAGACGAGATTCGCGGGCGCGGAGTGTGGGGCGCTCGGGAGCATGTGGTGGGGTATCTGAGGTATGAAGTTGGGGAGCATTGATGTGTTTTGCACCATGGAGCTCAGGTTGCTGCCGTTCGAGTGGAGGAGCATGGGGGAGACGAAGTCCGTGTTTTGAGTGGCCCGAGTTCACCCGACGGGCCTGCACTCCTCTCAGGACGAATGCGCAGAAAAACGAACTTATCACACACCTGGAGTTGGAAGTCCATGTCCATACTGCGCGGCATCTCTCGAGCGGTCCATGATGGAGGGCAGATTGCTGCCGCTGTTGCTGAACGACGTTTGGCCGCTGAGTATCTCCAGCTACACGAATCCAGAACCATGAGTGAGCAAGGTAAACGCTGATAGGGTCCCTCATCCTATCCTTTTCCTCCCAGCGCGTCCCAATTCCACCACCCAGCCTCCTCGCCACCAGAGTGAAGGCAAAGGCTTACCTGCTGCTGGAAGATCTGGTTCTGCAACTGCTGCAACTGCTGCAGCTGGCTGAGCCTCAGCTGATGCTCCAACAAAGCCTGCGGCGTCGACCCGGCCTGTCCGTGTCCTTGGTGGCCGCCGCCTGAGCGGAGGGGTCCTGCATGGCGAGCAAGTTCTCGAGCATGTCCATGTTGACCTGCTGCTGCATGCTGCCGAGCTGCTGTTGGGAAAAGTTTATCTGCTGGGGCGGGGCGCCGGAGGGGTTGCCGCCAGCGTAGATGTCCCCGCTGTCGCGCGGGCCGCCGTCCTGGGGGTAATAGGAGTGCATGGGTCCTCGGCGGAGGCTGGGGGGAGGGGCCGAAAATGAGCAGCAGAGGGCGAAGAAGCGAGGAGGAGGAGTGCGCCCCTTGCCACTGCTTGGCGAGCTCACCTCGCGATTTGCGACTCGGCGGCGCTCCGATATCCCGCCGATATGATGCGCATTGATAGCTACATTAGTTGCTAAGACTCTGAACATCTAATTCCCGCTTAGCTCAGCTGGTAGAGCGCGTCACTAGTAATGACGAGGTCAGTCGTTCAAGTCGGCTAGTGGGAACAATCCTAAGACTTTCAATGCTTTTTTGCTGATGTATTGTCCTATCTCTAAGTCGGCGCTCGATACAAATGGCTCCCGATTCAGGTTTTGGCTACTCTTCGAGGCTGTAGACATCCAGCCAGGCAGTTCGGCGCCAAATCTCCTTTCGCCCCCCTTCCTCAACATGATCTGCGCTGTGTCGTACAACGCCGTAAGTGCAGCTTCTCCCTACCCGAACGGCAGCCCGGCGGGGAAGCAGATCCCAAGACCCCCGTCGCTCTCCGGTGCCCCTCGACAGAGCCCAGGCTGCACCTGTTCAGGTTCGCTGCCAAACCGTGCCGGAGTGCTGGTCGCTCCCCCCTTGCAATTGGGCCATGACATCCGCGTCTTGGCGCCGCGGCTCGAGCTTCGCGCGCTGCTGACAGCCTGACACCTGTGCGGTACATATATGTGCGTGTATCGTCGTCCTTACGGCCGCCACCGTCGCCGCCAGGGCGGCGGGGTACAGTTGGCCGACCGGGGGGCGGGGTTCGCGAAGCCCGCGCGCGGACCAATCGCGGCGTGGCGGGCGGAGGTAGGTCGCCGCGGGGTGCACTGGGGGCGCGTGCCTGTGTACGTACACGGAAAGGGGTTTTGCGACCGTGCTGCAGAAGCCGCACGGTGGACTCGATGCGGCAGGACGTGTCCCGCGGGGGGATGGTACTTGGGTTCGCGGTGCGCCGACGCGCCGCACAAAGCACTTGCCCAGTCAGAGGTCCAGCGCCGGGGCCGCACGCCCAACTCCGCCGGTGATGCTGGACGGTTCGCTGCGGGCCGCACCGTCCGCGCGGACCGGGCGGACCTCCCCAGCCCACGGGAGGGGAAGCGTGCGGTGGTGCTTGGTGCACGATGTGGACTTGCGGGCGTCCGCATCACCACCGTCAGCATCCCACGCGCGCCCGCCCGTGTATACACGTCCGTCGCGCTTGGTTGATCTCGCTGTCAGCCGTGGACCGGGGGAGGCAGAACGATCGCCCGCGCCACCGCTCGGTCCTCCGCCAGCACTACCCCCCCCCCCCCCCCCCCCCCCCCCCCCCCCCCCCCCCCCCCCCCCCCCCCCCCCCCCCCCCCCCCCCGCTACAGAAGATCTGCCGAGCCACCGGGTCCGTCCGCCCAGCCAGACTAAACAGTACTGGGTCCCGTGGGGAGGCGGGGCGCGCGCGTCCACCGGAGCAGGATGCGGAGGCAGGTGCCGCTATGCTTGCGGAAGCCCCAGCGGCGTGGGGGTTTGCGTAACGTATGGCGGCGCGCGGTCCGGGCGGGGGCGGGCCGGCGCGGCGGGGTCGTATGGCGGCGCGGCGCGCGCGCCGGGAAGTTCGGAACGGGCTCCAAGACTAGTAAGTATCATGTAGTCGCGGGGACGACCCCGCAGCCGACCCTTTGCGAAAGCGTCCGGCGAGAAGACGCGGGACCTGCGGGACCGGCATCGCTTGCGCACATCCGCAGAGAACCCGCGGATGCTGTACCTGCGCGTGCGCGGGCGTTCGCGCGAGCGAGTGCGCGGGCGGCGGGGACCGGGGAGATGCCAAACTAGATTGCCTCGCCGCGTGCCGGGAGCCCGCGAGGGAGTTCGCCAGAGTTCGCCGTCGTCGCGCGTCGGATGCAAAGGCGTGCCATTGATTGTCCCGGGGGTTCCCGCCGCACGTACGTACGCGTGCTGGAGACCGTGCCGGCCGAACCTACTTCGGACGCTTGCGGCTGCCTGGGCGCGGCTGCTAGCCCGACGTGGACACCGCAGGTCTGGTGGCGCCGGGCCGAGACGCGCGAGCTCTGGCTTCTGGCTCTGGACGCTGGGGCCTAAGAACGGAGCGCAATAAATCGGAGGCACGCGCCGGTGTGTCGGAGCGCATGACACTGAACGCTGCTGCTATACTTACTCGTTCTCCGTAGACCTGCGTGACAACAGGAAAATGCCAACGAATACTCACGAGAGCGCCGAGCGGAAGGCAAGCAAGCATGCATTGACGTCGACCCCAGAACAATAGCGGGAGCGGTAGACGTATGTCGACTTCGACGCGTGGAATGATGATCCTGTCGCCGGCGAAATGGCGCGGTGGATGATCGCTCCGGGGGGCTCCGGCCGGAGCCATCACGGCGTCCGTCAGGTTTTGTGAAGATTTACCGGCGCGCAAAAAAAGAAGGGAAGCGGAGTCGAGCGGGTCGGTCGTGGGCGGCTACCTTTGCTGAAGGGAGCTGTAAGGCATGGTGAATTCGACGGCTCAGGCCTTGGGATCGCAGGCAGCGAGGCGGAAGGAATAGCGAGGCGGTGAACACCGGCATGGCATGCTGGACCCATCGGGCTGTGCGTGGTCAGCAGGCTCGCTCCGCAGAGTGCAGGATCCACCGACCAAGCCACAGATGCCATGACAGTCCGACATGAGCTCGAGGCAGGACCTCGGTCCGACATCGTTGAGTACGGCGACGCGATAGGTGGCCGATGGCGGACGTCGGAGCGGCTGTTGTCGGACGCGGGGAGTGGCACCGCCCCGTTCCAGTGGCGTCCGAACTCGCATTCCGTGTTGGTTCCATGCACTGCTGAGACCGGGACGACTGGGCGGTTGGCTGTGTTCCAGGAGCCTCGGGGCGATTCCTTGTGGTCGACCGGACAGCCTCCCACCACGTCGACAGTCACCGGAGCACGAGAAAGGCAGGCGCGGGCTGGGGACGCCCCTATCGAGTCATCGACTTGCGCGAAGCTGGGAAAACGGTCAGCAGCCAAATGCGATTATTCTGTAACAAAATACAGGCGTTAGCAACTGTTCCAGAAGTCCCAACTCAGCGGCGGAAGCTGAACCGCCCGCGAGCTGCGCATCCCGCGTCTGGTTGGTTTGTCCCATGGGGGAGCCCTGCGGAGTGAGAGGCCAACACGCGCAACGTCAGCGCGCTGCTATATCCGCACAAGCTGCGCGCCGCACCTTCTGCCGGGAATTCAGAGTCAAGGACGAGCGGCCGATGTGCGAGTGGCGAGTGGCAATTGGCGCAGCGGGCGAGCGCCGACGACGACCCGGAGGCGCCGTCGCGAGACCGAGCACTCTGCGGGGCCGCAGGACCTCCCGGAGGTGCGGTGGAGGGGGGGGCCGCGCACGGCGGCGGCGCGTCCTAGCGGCTGCTCCGGACTGCGCGGCAGGGGGGCCGCCTGTGCGGTAGCGCTGCGAGCGACGACGGCGGGCGGGTGCCCTGTTCCCGTAGGCCGTAGAACGCAAGCACGCGCATAGATACCTATCGATATGCCTGCCGACGGAAGACAAAAGCGAAAGGCCTAGAGGACGCGTCGTACAACGCCGGCTGGCAAGACAACGGGATAGTGCAGGCGCCCGTGGGTCCGTGCCCACTGGCAGGGCGCCAAGGGAGACGCGGCGAGTCCGAGCGGGCGACTGGGGGCCGGGGTGCGCGAGGAGCCCTCTGGAGTGCGGCGGCGGGGTGGGAGGCTCGGGCGGGGAGGCTGGCGAGCTGAGCTTATAGGACGGGGGAGTCGGCGCCACGGCGGCGAGCGAGCGAGAACGCGGCCGAGCAGCGCTCCTAGCTGGACGTAGAGACGGCAGTGAGAGGCCGCCGTAGCGGGAGGAGGGCGAGAGCGAGCTAGCAGATCCAGCGGGCCGATTGGCGTGCAGTTGTGGGTGCAGCGTCGCGCGGGCGGCGGTTCGCTGCGCTAAGCGACGTCGGTCGCCTTGAGGACGGCGGGATCAGAAGCACGCAGGCGGGGGCGTCGACGAAAGGCCCGCCGTGCGAGCGCACGGATGGAAGAGGGAGGAGGAAGCGGGCGTGATGCCTGCCTTGATGGGCGGGCAATTGAGCTGGTCGCCGGGAGAGCGGCTGAGCGGCTGTCTCTTGACTCGGCCGTCCCCTGGGCGAAGATCTACGTCGGGCGGCAGACGTGGGACGCCGTCGAGTGGTGGGTGGGACGAGAGGGCGGTCGCGGGACTGGCCAGGGCGCGACGCACGAAGTCGAGATGCTGACTCAGGACCAGTCACGGCGGAGATGGAGTTGGGCTATGTTGAGGGACCCCGAGCGGGTGACCGCGGGAGGATGGAGAAATAAGGGTTCCTGCGCCCGGGACGGAAGGTGGGGGCGAGAAGTGGGCAGGGAGCACGAGGACGTTCGATGAGGTCGAACTAGAGTGACACGGGGCGCGAGCGATGGACGAGTGTCGCGCGCCCGAATGGGACCGGCGCGGTCATGTGCGGGCGAGGACCCTGGTTGGGGGCGGGTATTGATGGATGGCAACCCGGGACCCTGTCTGCGGAGCGGTTCTGGAATGGAGGCCGCAGGGAGAGGACGATAGGACGACCGTGGGGGGCGCGGGCGCGGGCGCGCGGGCTGAGCGTGTTGTGGTGCAATGCTGGGTGCGCGGGAGGCCGGGTGCTGGGTTCTGGCGGAGCAAAGGGCAGGCCGGACAGAGGCTGGCCAAGGCCGGTAGCGTGGGCGCGGAAGCTGGCGCCGGGAAGGGGTGAGTGGGCGTGGGAGGTTGAGAGCTGGCGGTGGATCTGCAGCAATGGAAGACGGCGGGCGGGCGGGGCTGGCCCACGGTGGCTAGTGGGGACTGGTGGAGAGGTGGGAATGGGCAGGGGCGGGAAGCTGCTGAAACCTGGCTGGGATCAGATGCCGGCACGAGGACGAGGCGCGGGACGGAGAACTTTAATTTTGGGACCTATGGCGGACGGCGTGGGGGCACCATACCCAGCTAGCCTGCCCCCCGAACCGAACCGTCCTCGGCCGGGCTCGCGAGAGGGGCTCCTTCCGCCCGCGCGCGGCGACGGCGGGGCGGGGCCGGGGCACAAAGCAGCCTCCAGCCGGGCCTCGCGGACGGAGGGGCGGCAGGGGCGAGAACAAAAGCGCATTGTCGAGATTGAAATCAGATTCGAGCGGCGAATCCCATGCGATAGAAGGGGGTTCGAACTTTCTATATTATTACGTAATTCTATTCTCGCCCAGCAGAATACAAACCCCCGCCATATCTCTCCACGCCCCGCTTCTCTCCCCCCAACCACCACCATCCCCCTCTCATGTCCTATCCCGCCAAACGGCGCCGCACTGCTACCTCCGTTCTCTCTGGCGACTTCGACCCGCGTCCCACGCGCGACGTCCTCACAAGCTTACTGAACGGCGTCCCCATGCCCCGCCCGTCCGAGGAAGAGATTCAAGCGAAGCGGGAGCGGAAGAAGGAGAAGCGTGAGAGGCACGAGCGAGACCGGGAGCGCGACAAGGCCGCGAGGGAGAAGGAGGCCGAGCGCGACAAGGCCCCCGCAAAGCGCGTCAAGACCACGCACAAGTCGTCCGACCTCCCCCCACCCCTCCCACCATCTCACGCGTCTTCCTCCACCGACAAGCCCAAGGCCGCGCCCCACGCCCCGCCCCGCACTACCGCGTCGTCCTTCTGGCAAGCGCGACCACAGATCGTCATCCCTAGCCTGCAGCGCTCTGCGTCCTTCTCTCCTCCACCCATGCCCTCCTCCCCGCCCCCCACCCCCGGTCCCTCGGTTTCCTCGCGCACCTCTGCGTCGTCTAAACGGCCATACACCCCGGACGACCTCGACGACCTCACGGACCGTGCGCAGAGCGTGGAGAACGAGATGACGGCGCCGAAGAAGGAGCGTAAGAAGCGGGTCGCTACACGAAAGGGATGGAAGGGATGGGTCGAGGGTCGCCACCGCCGTCTGAGAAGCTCATCAACCTCGACGCGGTCCATGTGCTCAACGAGCGCAAGACACGGAGCGGGAAGAGCTTCGACGCCATCGGCAAGGGTGGAGACGGCTGGGTATGAGTATGGTACGTTGCTCGCTCTCTAACGGCTGGATCTCGCTCAGACGCGCTCCAGACGTTCGTGCGTTGCCCCCCGTGTCTATCGCTGGTCGTTCGCGGCCCCCCGCTCCCCACTGCTCCCTCTATGTTGTTCGACGTCCCCGGCATGCTGCTTAGTACGGATATGAAACCGCATATATTCCAGGCTCCGTTATATCCCCATTCCATCACGCTCGTGTGGCAAGCCACTCATCTCACTGGGTTGAATTCTTGATCATGCTCGCTCTTTTGTACATATCGGTAGGCTCGCTCTGGAGGTCGTTAGGCTTATGACCTTGGTGTACGTATACGTAGGTTGGTTTCGGCTAGGATAGCTTTCGAGGGCAATGGTCAATTCCAGTAGACTGTCCCCGCCACTCACGCCGCGACTGGGTGCTTTGTCCTCGTGGGCTGCGGAAGCACTGCATCGTGTGTTCTGGGGCCTCTGCGGTCGGTCCTGTGTACGCCCTGTGGCACGCCGAGCGAGGTGCGCGTCATCCCCGCGCCTGCGGTTCGCTCGCGATCAACCGAGGGATCGAAACGATCGGTCTCGTCCCCAGCGGCGATCGAGAGTGGACTGGCGCGCGGCGGCAGCTTGCCTTGTGGGTGCCGTGACTCGTCCACTCCCGCGTGGTGCCTCCTCGATGCGTCCACGCCCACCGCCTGGGTCCGTAGCGCGCGTCAGCGAGCGGGCGTGCTCTGCCAGCGGAGGACGCGCGCGATGGTCTGCGCCGCCGCCCCACGGGTGTCGCTTGGCCCTGGACCTGCGCGCGAGGGAGGTGACTCTGGGCGCGACGTGGCGGGCCCGCCAAGGGCTGCGGCGCGGCAGCGACCAGCGAGCGGGGGACGGTCGGTCCGTGCGCGCGAAGGGGACCCGGGACCCAGGCACGCTGCAGCCCGCGCGCCCGACCGATCGCACGGTACTCACCGGGAGCACCCGAGCGCCGGCCGCGTCGTGGGCCGTGGCCTGTTTGGCGCCCCGCCCGCCTTCTTCCTCCACCGTCACCGTTCACCGCCACCGCCGAGTCGCCGACCCCGTCCCGCCCCTCGCCGCCGACGCCCCGCCACCCCCGCCTTCGCCGCCGAGTCGCCGACACCCGCGCCCCCGGACGCACTCCAAGCCCGCGCTCGCCCCGGCCCCGTCGCCCCCCAGCCACACGCGCCGCGCCGCGCCCTTGTCCACCCCGCCGCACGGACGCATGGCGCTGCTGACGCACCTCCCCTTCCCGGCGCTGCCCGCCCCGCCGTCCTGGTTCCCGGGCCACATGCTCGCGTTCCAGAAGCAGCTCCCCGCGCTGCTCAACAAGACCGACGTCGTGCTCGAGCTCCGCGACGCCCGCCTGCCGCTCACGAGCATCAACCGCAACTTCGAAGGTGCGCGTCCCCGCCCGCCGTCCCCGCCGCTCACCTCTCTCCTTTTCGTCCTTTCGTCTCAGACTCGCGCCGGCTCTGTGCCCGGGGCCAACGACGCCTTTTTGCCGGGGCCTTGGGCTCGGGCTCGAGGGCGTGCCTCGAGCTCGAGTCCGGGCTGCGGGGGGCTGCGTGTCCCGCGCTGGCACCGCGCCATCGCCTTCGTGGCGCGGCGCTGACACGGGGGCACCGTCCGCTCGCGGGCCACCTTGTTACGGGAGGCCTTAGAGCGGTCCCGCGTGCGAGCGTGATAACGAGAAGCTGCCGTGCTGCGTAAGAATAGCGCGTGTGCCTGCCTCTTTGTGTTGAGGGAGACAATGAGAGTGGGGCTCACTCGCAACGGGTCGCCAGGCGCCGTAGCGTGTGGTACAGGTTATGGGGGACGGTTGTTCTGCTCTGGCCTGCCCGTAGCGACAGGTCGCTACGGACTGGGCACTGAAGATTCGACCATCCGGCGTCCAGGTGCTTGATGCGTCAGGTCGCGCGTGGAGCGACGCGGAGATGGCCGTTAGCGTTCAGATTATCATGACGCCGATACTCATGTCGGAACCATGTCGGTGGATAGAAGGATGATCAATGGAGAGCATGGTTGCACCGTCAGATGGGCCTCTGATTTTTTGGTGTGACAGTGCCCCATGGGTTTTCCTTCATCGGCCGCTTCAGCCATGTCATCTCTCGTTCCTCCATGCTCCAGAGCAGTATACTGCCAAGGGCACGGAGTATGTAAAAGCGTTGCCGTGGATGCCTTCCAATCTTTCATCGGACCGGCCCCTGCACTGTTGCGTTGTGGGTCACCAGCTGGTTAGCAGTTTACGTCGACCCGGGCTCGCGTAGAAAACATGCAGGTTCCCACTGCGATCTCATTTTCGAAGTGCAAGCCTCCTCGAGGAGTCCTACCCCGCTAGGACCACCGGGTGAGAACAGACTCGACGCGAAAGCCCCGCACCGGCTCAGCTTCCGTTACAGCGGGCACATCAGTCAACTGTACTCTACAGACGTTTATAAGTCTGTGCGGATGCGTCCGTTGATATGTGACTCTTAGGACCTAGTTCTCGACTGGGTTTGAGGTCTGGTTCCACGGATGCCGTGATCGTTTTCCGGATGCATGAGTGAGAGGGAAATGCCATTTATCTGCGACAGAAAATTTATTTCTCATCTGCTTCCTAGCCCCTTCAATTACCTTCTGCTGACATGCTTTGTCACAGACATTCTACAGAAATGGAGAAAAGAGCGCGCCGGAGCTGCGGCTCCGTCGTCCTCCGTCGATGCGTCACTCAACGGCCCGAGCTACTCCGCAGTCTGCGAGCGGCTTGTCGTCTTCAGCAAACGAGATCTCGTACCGGAATGGGGCATCAAGGTTCGCGACCAGAATCTCGTCGGCGCACTGATGCTCACTCCTGATCCTGCGCAGCCCTTCCAGCGCGCCCTCGCGACCAAGTACCCCCACCAGAAAACCTTCTTTGCGTCTTGGAACCAGCAGCGGGACATCAAAGCGCTCAATGAACTTCTCGTCAGTGCGTCTCGTCACTGTTCTGCGCGCGCCTCTTCCGCAATTTTCACCCTTCTTTTTCGCACAGACGTGGCCAAAGCCCACCCATACCGGACGGAGCTCAACGTGCTGGTGGTCGGAATGCCCAACGTCGGCAAGTCGACGCTTCTGAATGCGCTGAGGAACATCGGCATAGCAGGACGTGAGTGGCCGTCTTCTTTGATATTCTTCTCGCCGGCACTCACGCTCCCATCTCCGTGTTTCCTCTCGCGTGTGCCCACAGCGACGCCCAAGGCGTTCCGCACTTCTGCGCAGCCAGGAATGACGCGCGTGCTCTCCACTCGCCTCAAGCTCTCGACGGACCCGCTCGTGTACGCGTTCGACTCGCCCGGGGTGATGCTCCCCTTCCTTGGCAACGGCGCCGCGGGCGCAGAGCGCGGCGTCAAGCTCGCACTCATTGGTCCGTGCGCCCCTTCCTTCCCGCTCAGTCCGCCGCTCATGTACTTCCCGTCCCCCCTCGACCCAATCCAGCCGGGATCAAGGAGGGCCTCTACGACACCGAAGCGCTCGCGGCGTATCTGCTCTACCGCCTCAACGTGCTCGACCCCGCCGGTGCGTCCCCCGCCGGGCGTGCCCCCCCACACGAGGTGCTGACCGCCTGCCCCCTCCCTCGCGTTCCGTCTTCCTTGTGTGCGCCGCCGCATTACGTCCCCGGCAGCCCCCGCGTACCTCGGCCTCCTCGCGCCGGGCACGCCCCCGACGCCCGACCTGCACGACTTCCTCGCGGCGCTCGCCCGGCGGCACGGCATGCTCCGGCGCGGCGGCGTCCCGGACGTCTCCCGCGCCGCCGTGTGGTTCGTCCGCTGGTGGCGCGACGAGGGCGGGCGCGCGACCGCGACCGCGTCCGCCGCCGTTCCCCTCGCCGATGGGGGCCGGCACGGGTGGGGCTTCGACCTCGAGTGGGCGGTGCGCGCGGGGGAGCGGTACGACGCGGGCGCGGTGCAGGCGCACATGGAGCGCGCGATCGACGCGTTCGAGGCCGCGAGCGCGGCGGAGATGGAGGCGGGCGGCGGGCTCAGCCAGACGCAGGAGAAGAAGATGGCGAAGGCGGAGCAGCGGGCGCGGCAGCAGGAGCGCGCGAGGGCGCGGTTCGCCGAGCGTCGGAGTGGGTGACCCTCCCACCGTGTGGCCGGGCTGTGGCGTGCGGCGGTCTGGGTGGTCGAGTCGTAGAGGGAGTCGAGAGGGGCGGCTGGTGTGGGCGTGATGCTTAGAGCCTTCTACATTGGATAGCGGACCGCACTCATACCGCCTCGGGCGCGGAGAAATTTCCGAGGGTGACTCACAGTGCGCCCAGCCCTCAGACGCCTCGCCCCAATTTTCACGGACGTATTGGTGCGCACAGACGTCCGCCGAATGCGGGGGAAATCAACGGTCGGATCGAACGGACAATTGGACGTGGACACACAATTATCCATCAGCGTTGATGGACAGGAAAGAACGGAACGGTGTCTGTGCTCGTCAGTTGCTATTTGCGGACCGCGGACGTACTTGGAAACCGTCTGCGGCCGACCACAACGCGCAGCCCAAATAGTAAGCTTCCAGAACTGTTCCCTAGTCCCGCAGGAATTTCCCGACTGGTCGGGATGCTGTGGCATGAGGACTGCCCACCGACACCGCCCGTGTATAATTGCTCTCAGACCCCAGCCACAAACTCGCACCCGCGGAGTGGTCCCAAAGGGGAGCCACTGGCTGCGGCTGCCCGGCCAGTACTCCCATCCCGATCGGTCGGTCGCGGGCACGAGGCCTTCCGCACTGGGGGCGCAGCCCGCGCGTCATTCAAACGGGAACCTTCGTGTGGGCACGGTCGGAGATAGGGAGGCCACGGCGAGCACGCATGCCGCTCGCCCACACGAAGGACGACGCATTGGGCGGACTACTTCTTCGGGGGAACAGCTGCTTATGTACACTATTGTTTGAGTTCATACTTCCGTCGCGAAGGTCAACGCCAAATCAGGGACAAGGCGGGCGGAAGGGGGCACGAGTAAGCACACGTCCATGTCGAGTAAAATGCAAAGGGGTCACGAGTCTGTACCGAGAACAAAGGCGGGGCCGTGGCGGCCGTGTGAGGCCGTGCCGCACGCGCGGGATGAGTGCCCAGATGACGATCACGGCCGACATCATTGACACGGTGCTACGATTCGGGATCAAGGGCGCCAGCCTGTGGAACAACAGACGGGCACAAAGGCAAGACGAACAAGGACCGGAGGCTGGTGATGCCGATCTGGGAGGCAAGCGCAACGGTAATAAAGGGCAGACGGCGGAACCGGCTCAAATGACGTCAGTAACGTAGCCCACGCAGCCGGGGAGTACCCAGCGCGGGAGGATCTTGAAGTATATCAGGTCGAGGGGAGGCCGATGACCACGACTGGGATCGCGTTGTCGACCGGCGACGCGACCCGGGCCGTAAATTCGAGTCTGAAGGAAATGGCAGGAGGCTTACTGAATGGCGATTAGATGAAGAGGGGGAGGCGTTCTCCGATTTTGTGGTTAAGCCACATCGGCGGGACATGTCCCAGCACGAGGCCTGGCCTAATGATCAGTACGATAGCGAGCGCACATGCCAGGAAAGAACGGCATAGGGCCACGCGGTAGAGTCCGAGCTAGCGAGTTGGTTTGAATCGACATCGCGGCTGTTGGCGTCGCGGTGGAAGAGGATCGTGGGACGGCGGAGAACGCATTCGCTGGTTTTGGGGACGTCGAGGGAGGGGACGGAGCCGCCTTCAGTGAGGTCAAGAGTGTATCCGTAGATGCGGAAGCGCAATGGGGCGCGGCGCTGACGTCGAGGTCGGTATCATCAATAGCGTTGTCGAGGCTGACCTTCGACGCGGCCGCACGGAAGCTGGAGGCTTCGGAGTCATGCATGCTGCGTGGCTGGGAGGGAGTGTGGCAGAGACGAAGGAGATAGAGGAAGGAAATCACGGGCGAGTGACAATACCAGAGATAAACTTTACTTAACGGTGGCCGAGCTAGATGTAAATCCGGAACGCACAGACTGCCCTCGTTTGAAGGAGTCGGATTGTTGATGCAAAGCCGGGACGGTAAATCACCGTTCGCACGCCCCGCCGGCCCGCCGCAGTCATCGGTCATACCCGAGAGTCGCGGAGTTGAACTTGGGCTTCAGCACGTTGTCGACACTTCGATTCTTCCAGCGTCTTCTTCCGGCAACTCCGTTTCCACTTTTCGGTGTTCCAGCATCCGCGCTCCATACACAAGTTCTACGGTCTCTGACATCTGTGAAACGATAATTAATTGCCCACCCAGCTACCGCTACTAGGCATTGGCAAGAGATGATACAAATCTCTTGCTCCAAAGCCCAGCCTCTATACACGGTTGGGGCTATGGAGATTCGAGCAGCGTGGTAACAATTCCTTGCCAGCGTTGCAGAGTCTCGCTGTCTGGAAGGTCGTAGGCATACTCCTTTTCTGCCTAAAGGAGCAGAACGCACATTCAGAAGTGGCAAAGCTTTGACATTAAATAGGAGGCTGACTGTGGTCAAGAGTAGCTTGTGCTGTGGACCGTCGATTTTGCACGAGAGGACAATGGGCTGCTTCTCGGCGCGAGCAGTCGCATGTGGATAGTGACCGAATACAAACGCCTTCTTGACATCGGGAAGCGTTGGCTTCATATTCTTCTCATTTGCAACCACGCAAATGAGGCGCGGCTGAGACGTTAATAGCAAAGTACACGGTCGAGGCTGCTTCAAGAGGCCCCAACGGAAGGTCGCTCGTGCTGAGGTTGCGTGCCGAATGACTTCTTGAGATTCCAATATACTCGACCTATCCAACCATCAGCGTTTCCCATGACACATTTGTAGGAATGACGGACCAATCTCTCTTCTTCGCTGCCTCATCGATCACGCCATCGGGCTCCTGCCCCTCGCTTTCTTGAGAATCTCGATTTCCGACGGGTACGGTTTCGACAACTGGAGAAGGAGTGGCGAGAGGAACATCAACAGGCACCGGAGGGTCGGAAGAAGGCTCTCCGGTGTACCGCTGTAGTGAAGGGATATTGACAGAGCCGATACTGGCAAGGCTGAACTCATGTACGACGTTGTCCCACAGCTCCTCGTTGCTCTCGTCGGCCGCCGCATTGGAGGGGGGAATGATGCCGGTCTCGGGAGGAATTGACGGATCTGTCCACAGGGAGTCCCATCGAATCGCGCTATCCTGCGTATCGGATTCTTGGGACAATTGATTTGTGAAGAACGGATGTTCTCGTAGTTCTTTCGAGGATGACTTTGGCTCGACACCGAGGCGTTCTGAGGGATCAAGGACCTGCGTAGCATGAGCGCTGTAACCTCCACAGATGAAAACAGACACGCACTACTAGGCATTTTATAAGCTCTTTCGCAGACTCGTAAAAATCGTCGGAGAAAGAGTAATCGAGGGCCTCGATCTTGCGGAAGCTCTGGTAGTCGTTGATCGCTGAGAAGGCCGGCTTGCCGGCGATCATAAAGTAGAGCGTACATCCGATGGCCCAAATGTCAGAGCTGCAATCAACCAGGTCAAAATCGTCCGGTCTGTAGGGCATGTGGATGTAGTAGGCGTACCTGTTGCTAGTGGTCTTGGATGCGCGATTGAGTAGCTCAGGTGCAACATACGCAGCACTGCCAACGAATGTGCTGGCTCTGGGGGCTATAGGACATGATTCAACTCGACAGAACTCGCAAAGTTGTTTTGAAAGGACTCACATAGATCGAGGTCGGGGGAGATGTATGCGGACCCAAGTCGGTCAATTTAGCCGGTGGTTGTCGTCCAACAAGACGTTTTCTGGTTTCATGTCTCGGTGTGCGATGCCCTTGGAATGCATCCAGAGTACTGCGTCGACGATTTGGGCTGCATACCATCGCGAACAGCGCAATGACAGCGACCCGTACTTCTTGACTAGGTCTGCTAGATCCCCATTTGGCGCGAGATCAAGCACGAAGTCTTCAAAGGGGTTCTAAGACAATGCCGGTCCACTCTCCAGAAGCACTACTCACAAAGAGAGGCTTCGTCCTGGAAAGCGGCCCACATCTTGATGATACCGGGATGGGTCGCGGAGAGCTTGGCGAGGGCATCTTTCTCCACCGTAGCGTACTTGACCTTCTTCAGCTTGATCAGTTGCGCCTTGCTAAGGATCTTGACCGCAAATCGTCTCCCGCTTGCCAGATGCTTGGTCTCCATCACCTGGACGCCCCTTAATATCCAGCACACTCTGGAAACACGACATATACACACCGTCGACCATGACCCACATCCCAGCTCCCTCGTAAACTCAAAGTCCTTCGGGGACGACATGCTCGTAGACTTCGAGGGCGTCTTTTGCGCCGAGGGCGATGATACTCCCCAGCCTGCGGGACATTTGCGGGTGGTTGGAGCAGTGGCGGGAGGCGTTGGGTCGGGCGATCGACCGCTCCCATAATTCCACCCCGCGCGCGTCCGAGCGGAAGTCAGAGACCGCCAAGCAGGCGCTGTGTCTCCCGCAGCGGCGCGCAGGGAGGCGGGGATGCGTTAGGGGGCGGCATCGGGGGTGTAGACGAGGAAACCAGCTGCTAGTCGTGCGCGTTAGTGCAGGGGCATCGTCGACCGCAGGCAGTGCCAAGCATCACATCGTCGAAGCCATGGGTACGAGGTGTGGTCTTTAGGTGTGCGCGTATAGTGGCGGAGGTTAGAGGAAGGAATGGTATGAATTTGCTGAGAGGCAAGAAGCTGAGATGAGTAAGTCTGCGACTCCGCCAAGGATTCGGAAATCCTGAAGCGCTGGTCCCGTGACACGAGCCCATGCCTGGGCGCGCGCGTCAAACTGTCCGTTCTTGTTCTGTCTCTTCCTCTCTCACCTTCTTAGTGCTTGTTTGCGCCCACTACGTGTCATGGCACGTTTCAGGGCATACGTGACCGACAGCGAAGATGAAGATAGCGACGACTCGTACAGTTGCCCCCGCCGAAGGCCCAACCACCTGCAAAGGCTCCGCCACCGTCGCGATCGAAGAAGACCGTCCTTGTAGAAGAGTCCTCTGAAGATTTGTCCACGGATGACGATGAAGACATGGAACAGCATGGAGATAGGCGCGAAGAAGACGAGGAGACTGAGGAAGAAGAGGAGTCCGAAGACGAACCTCCAGCTCGCGCCAACGCCAACAGACGCGTCAGGCATCGCGAGTAGACCCTACCATCACTCCTTGGGCGCGACAACTTGGAGTAGATCCACAGAAGATGCACGTCATGCAGGCAGCTTTGTTTCGAATGCCCGAGGAAGAACGCGCTCTGAAAGCCATGAACGAGGCCCAGCCAAGCAAAAAGCGCCTTCTGCTACCGTCCCGGGCGAGAAAGCATAGCAGAGATTCGGAGGGGGATGGGCTTCGTGCAGATTCGCGACAGGTGCGTGATGAGGTTGGTGCACAGTGCACAGTTGTTCATGTGGTGTTGGCCCACCCTCAGCGCGCCTCTTTCGCCCACGACATCGATCCGGAGCCATACAGACCCTCGCGCAAATATGTACGGGTTGAAAGCTCAGCTTCTGCGTTTGGTGGGCTCGAAAATGCAGCCGTGGATCAAGGCTTGTACTTGGGACGTTCCTTCAGGGTAGGATGGGGGCCGGGTGGTACCCTCGTACATCTCGGCGATCTGTGTGGCCCCGCCGGTACATCGTGCGTCTTTTTGCTGTTGCTGCTTATTCCCAGTGTCTCAATTAGCACAGCAAATCTTCCGCAAACGATTCGGTGGTCAAGGTCACCAAGGTCCCACTAGTGCCTGCCGCCACCGCCGAAGCTACACCCAAGCCGCACGACTCCTCACACACCACCTCGCGCACACTGTCATCGAGGACGATGCAGACGGCGTACCGTTCGCCAACCCCTTACCAGCCCTTTCGTTTGCGTCATTCGTCTCGCAGTTCCCCGCCACGGACCATTCATTCGAACCCACCCTTTTCCGTCTTGGACACGCTCTCTTCGATTCCATCGACTTCCGCCTTAATAGCATTCCAGACGCCTCCGTGCGGCAGCGCATTGCCGAGATTCGGCGGAAGACAGAACTTTCCAAATGGCTCAAGATGGCCGTCTCATCCGCCACCGACGCTGACCTCCGCGGCCAACTCGACGCCAAGTGGTCGACCACGGTCTTCACCCTCCTTACCGGCTATCAAGTCGGGCGCGCGTGCGACGCAACGATGGACAGCGGCAACGTCAAGCTCGCATCGCTCATCGCGCAATGCCCTGGGGACGCCGCGTTCCGTGGGGACCTGGAAGAACAACTCGAGCTCTGGCGCACGCAGAAAATCGACGCACACATCGACGCGGGCACTCGCCGGATATATGCGCTTCTCGCTGGGATCGTGAACACCCTTGAGGGATCGCACGGCAGCGGACTCGAGCAATGTCCCGACGTCGACCTTGCGGCAGGCCTGGACTGGAAGCGCGCATTCGGCCTACAGCTCTGGTTCGGAATGCCGATGGACGCATCCATCGCGGAAGTTTTCCGAGAATACGATGCGCTCTGGGCGGACGACCGCGCAAGCGTCGCGGCGCCGGTGCCATGGTACAAGGAACGACCCGCCGCGGAGCAGAGCGAGACAGCATGGACCCTCCCAGCGTCGGCGCAGCCCCCGGACGCGCTGTACGCGCTGATCAAGCTCTTCGCCGACTCGGAGTGCAGCTTATCATCTATCCTTTCACCCTTTTCCTTTGGGGTATCTCCGGCGGACTACCGCCTCCCGTGGCACCTGTACATCATCCTCTCGCGCTGCCTGCGGGTCCGCGACTTGGCCGACCGGGAAGCGTCCGGGGCTGCAGAGGGTGACGAAGATGTTGAAGGACACAGTCCAAGCGCCGACCTACTGGCCAACAGCTACGCGTCGCAACTGGAGCAACTCGGTATGGTACAAGAGGCCGCCTTCGTGCTTCTACATCTAGAGAGCTCTACGGGGTAAGTGATCCCCGCTGTCGAGTCTTTTCTCTTTAGCTGACTTGACACAGACGAGTCAAGGCAATCAAGGAACTGCTCACCCGTTGTGCGGACAAGCTAGACGATTGGGTTACTCGTGGCCTTGTCGGTAGTCTAAAGCTCCCGATGGCGTGGATCAACGAAGCTAAGGTACTGGGGAGGGTCGTATCACTTCCAGCCCGTGTGCTGACTGGAGATTATAGGCGGTCTACGCCCTCGACAGCGGCAAGGTCTACGATGCATACGAACTCTACTTGGCCGCCGGCCTGTACGACGCCGCGCACGACCTCGCCGTCCTGGAGCTGGCACCAGATGCTGTTATCCGGCAAGACCTGCTGCTCCTCCGCGAGCTCTTTGAAGTCTTCAATGGGCGTCCGATCACGGGCTGGAGCCTCCGCGGGAAGGTCTTCTTCGACTATGTCGCCGTGCTCACGCGCCTGCCACAACTACGTGATCGTATACTCCAGGGCGATGGAATGCTCACCGAGGACGAGACGGCGGACCTCGAGCACTATGCTCGAGCGGTTCCGAAGATGCTCAACATTCTGCCCGACGTTCTGCCCGACCGGTCGAACGTACGCCACAACGCCGCGGTTACGGAGATGACGAACAAGCTCGTATACCACCTCGACCGGACAAAACCGCTTGCGATAGTACGTCTTGTCTGCGTCCCCACTTGTCCAAATGCTGACGGTACGTGCGCAGGCACAGTCGCAAGTCCGGACACCGTTCTTCTCCGAAGCGACGCGGACAAAGAGCCTACACTCGACCATGTACGAGAAGTTCCTCCGGACAGTGGAAGTCGCGTAACCGTCCCTGTATGTACCGCGCAATGTATTCCTCTCCTGTCGCCTCGGGCAATACGCGATTTTCATCCTCATGTGGGCTGGTGGCGCAGTTCCGCCGATCTCGGAGCGGCTCCGCTGCAGGCGGAGTGTACGGATCCATCACTCACCTACAATCAGCACTAAGCAAGTGGCTCAAGGCGTTTTTCAGAGCTACCAGATTTTGTGCTTTTTCCTGGACAGATCCACAGCTGACGTAAATGTTATCAGTTCGAAGCGTCGAGCCTGTTCTCTTAGCGGCGTCCCATCACCGGCGGACCTGTGCTGTTGTGGTCGCACAACCCCCGTTTTCCGACTCCATTCACTTGCGCGAACATCACCGGGACCATGCACCCTAGGAGCTTAACCTTATTCTTCCAGCGTCTTGTTGGCGGTATAAGTACTTAGGTCCTCCCCCAATAGCGCAAGTTGGCCCATCATGACTTCCACCGAACTGCCTGGTGTCGCATGGCCGGTGTTACTGTGCTCATCAGCATGCTTCCTGCTCTACACTTGGCAGCGCTCTCGTTCTTCCAAGCTCCCGCTACCTCCGGGACCGAAACCCCTTCCCATTATTGGAAATCTACTCGACATGCCGATGACAAATATGGCGCCTGCGCTGCACAGGCTGAGCGCGATATATGGTGAGCAACTCAAGTACCTTCGATAACACCAGACTGACCGCATATATGCAGGTGATTTGGTCTACCTCGACGTCGTCGGGCAGCCCGTTATCGTCATGGATCGGTACGAGGACGCGTTCGCGCTGCTGGAGAGCCGTTCCGCAAACACCTCCGAGAGACCGCGACTTGTCATGGCTGAATTGTAAATGTCGCTCCTCCGCTGTCGTTTAGCCGTGTTCACGTTTGGTGATGCAGGGGCGGCCTCATGTGGGAGTTCACGCTCCTGCCGTACAACTCAACCCTCAAGAGGTGCCGCCGCACGTTCCACAGCTACTTCTCGCAAGATGCAATCATGGATTACCGCCCGATCCACGAGCGTGGGGTACGGAGGTTCATGAACAACCTCCTCGACAGCCCCGAGGACTTCCTGGCGCATGCTCGACGGTGAGAATACAGCCTCATATTGAACGACGGTAGCGCTGACGGCTCCGTGCAGGACGTTGAGCGCAACGATCATGGAGGTCGTGTATGGTATCCGGGTGGAGAACGAGGACAACGAGTACGTGTCCATAGTCGAGAAAGGCGGACGCATCTTTGGTGAAGTCGTCGCGCCCGGGCGGTTCCTCGTCGAGCTCTTGCCCGCGCTGGCGTACCTTCCCGCGTGGATGCCCGGGGCGGGATTCAAGCGCAACGCTGCCAAGTGGAACAAAGACATTAAAGCCCTCAGGGACGTGCCGTTTGCGCGGCACTAGACGCAATGGTCAGTTCCTGTCCAGTTCCCACTGGACTTCTTCCTGACGACTTCTGTGACAGGCTGAAGGGAGTGCCAGGACGTCGATCGGTCGGCATTGATCGAGAAGATGCGTCATCAAGATGGTACGATTGACGATGAAGATTTTGAGCACTGCAAAGACGTAGTAGGCGTAGCCTACGTTGGTGAGCGGGTCGTGCACTGCCTTTCGGATCGAAGCTCACTCCGAGAATTTCTCCAGCTGCTGTTGATACGGTATGGTTTCATTATGTGTTCGACGCGGCCTTTACTGACGGTGGGCTGCATAGACTATGAGCGCGCTCTCAGCGTTCTTCCTTGCCATGGTCATGCATCCAGAAGTGCAGCACAATGCCCACGCAGAACTCGACGCGGTTATTGGTCCAAATCGGCTTCCGAGCTTTACTGACCGCGAACACCTTCCATATGTGGATGCGGTCATGAAGGAAATCACGAGATGGCATCCAGTTCTGCCCCTTGGTATCACACATCAGACGCGAAAGGACGATGTTTACAAAGGCTATCATATTCCGGCTGGGACAAACCTAATCGCTAACAACTGGTATGTGGACAAATTGATAGCCCCGTAAGCACGCCTTTCACTATACTGTCCAGGGCAATGTCGAGGGACCCGGCAGTCTATCCCGATCCGGAGAAGTTTATGCCTGAACGCTATCTTGGCGACGCGGGAGGAAGGGCAAACCACAAGGATGTTTCGCGACTTCTATTCGGATATGGTCGACGGTACGCTGCTCCAAGAGATTGATATGTGGCACGTTGCTGATACCTCGGTAGAGTATGTCCAGGTCGGCACTTTGCCACAGACGCCCTTTTCATCTTCATTACATCCATGCTCTATGCCTTCGAAATCCTTCCTCCTCTAGGCGCCGATGGGAAGCCGCAACCTGTCCAGCGAAAAGTTGGCCTCGATTTCCTTCTGTCGTGCGTCAGACGTGTGAACACTTTCACAAATTTTACTGATTGTCGTCAGGTTTCCGGAGCCCTTCGCATGCCGGATAGTGCCTCGCTCTCTCAAAGCGGAGGCCTTGGTCAAGCAGTCGAAGTCGCATGTGTAATCTGTTCTACCTGTTACTGGATACAACCGAATGAATGGCAGGTTTCGTGTGAAAATACAGAGGCCGGTTTCAACTTCTCTCCCATTGCCGAATTCCGCGACGATATGATCGTGAGGCCAGTGAGGCTTCCCCTCATACAAACCACAAAGTTGACAGGAGACACTCGTCGAAGCTCACGTCCCCGGCGGGCATGTGCCCGTCCGAGAATAGCACTTCCGTGACAAATCGCACTGCTTACCAGGCGTGGGCTCTGGCCGAGCGCCCCACCGCGACAGGTTTGGCAGAAGACGTCTGCCAAGTGCGCGCCGAACCTTAACCGACGGTAGAGTGCTCCAGCCCATGGACGGCAGTCTCGAACGTGTAACGCGGACAAGCACTACGAAGCATCACAATCGAAGAAAACCAAATGTGTGAATGATGTTGGTAGTTATAGAACGGATACATGAGCGCACGATCAGTGTCCCGAATAGTCTCAGAGAAAACGGAAGAAGATAAGAATAATGGCTACAGTGATATCGACGCGCCAAGAAGGGAATCAGTCCGGGTTCCTGCACTCAATCACGACGTTTCGTGACCAGCTTAGTGCCACTTCGTAGAGGTGTAGGCGGCCGACGAGTAGGTGGAGGTGGCCGAAGAGTACCCCGAGGAGTATGAGGACGAAGACCCGTTCGACGGCTGAGCAGACCCGCCGTAGAAGACTAAAGAAACCAGAGCGTCAGCCGCGCCGCCGCGAAGAGAGAGAGCGCCCACGACACTCACTGTACTTCGAGACGTACTTGACGGACAGGTCCCCGTCCACGCCGTACTTGCAGGACGCAGGGGGCTGCCCACCAACGGTGTCAACCGGAAGACCTCGTCCGCGATCTCGCCTGGACGCGCACGACGTCGAGCCACGCAACGTCGCGGGTCGCGTTCGTCGGCGCGGGAATGTTGCCCTTGCCCTTCGCGAGGACGATCGCGTCGCCGTTGCCCTGGAAGGCGCCGGAGGACGTGAAGTCCCACACCGGGCTGAGGCCCTGGCCCGCCGGGTTCGGCACGAAGTAGTGCTGCGCGAGCACCTCCGGGGGGCTGATGACGTGCAGGAAGTCGATCACGACCTGGATGGGGTACGACACGAGCTTGTCCCAGACGGTGAAGAGGTCGTTCTGGATCGTAGCAAACTCGGGCTCGAGCGCGATGCACGAGACGTCGATGAGCTCCGCGACGGCGCCGGCGGCCCTGCAGTTGGCGTCAGATAGCGTCAAGACGTACGCGGGGCAGGCGAGTACGTACGTGTAGTTGTTGTTCTGCGAACACGTGTAGTTCTGCACGCCGAACGCGAGGCCGATGAACCGCGCTGGGTTGGTGGGCGCGACGAGCTGCGACTGGCCGGCGGGGAAGGAGGGCGTAAAGCCAGCGAGGGAGCAACCGGTCTGGAGTGTGGGCGGGTACGAGCTCGACCACGCGCTCATCGCACCGTTGCTGCCAGTGTAGCCGCTGGAGGCGGCGTAGTGAGAGACAGCCGCGGCGAGAAGGGGGTTCATGAAGTGGACCATGGTGTTGTGAGGAGAGAGGAGGGGACTCGGGCTATTAAAGAGAGGGTTGGTAGAGTTCAAAGAGGAGCGAGGGAGGCCAAAGGGGAAGTGGAAGGATTGAAGGTGAAGCGCAGGACGCTGAAGGAGTTCAGTGCCACCTCCCTGGTATATATTGCGGCGCGAGGCTAGCGTGTTTCGTGGCGCAAGGCCAGTGTCGAGGGGTGCCCCTGGCGAACCGGCGTAACGGATTGGCTGGGACAGTGCCCCGAGGCTCTGGGAGGAAAATGGTTTTCAAAACGCTTCGGGCACGGCGGTGAGCGCCCCGCGCTCGACGGGCGGGACGCGGGGCATTTGATTTCAACGTGCGCTACGACTTGCGTCGGGAAGCTCTTTGCGGTGGTTGTACTTGCGTTGCCTCGGAATCGACGCGTTCGTTGAAGCAAAGCGACTTGCGCATTGTCGGGGTAGGATGTCTGACTTGATAACCATAGACACAAAGTAGCAGTTTGCATTCGACGGGGATCGACGCGAAGGAGCTGTCAAAAGGGGGACCAGGCGTGGCTGTTGATCGGCAATGGTGGCGGTGGGTCCCAATGGGGAACGAAGACTCACCGGCTCGGGGTCGTCGGTGTGTTGCACTGGCGTCGACCAGTGCCGGACCGCACGCGGGACGTGAAGCGATCGCCCCAGAGGTACCCGTGACGACGTCCACCCAAACCATGGGGAAAATGCAGGCCCACGGGCTGAGAACATGTGTCACAGATGTAGAAACGCTGTACTCCGTACGCAGGGTGACCTCAAAAAAGACCAGTGCTGGACACTGGGTGAGTAACGAATTAGCCAGGAGCGCACTGCCAACAATAGTTCGGGACGCTGGCCCTTGGGCGTTGCGTTCCGCGCGCGCTGCGGCGCCTGGCACGGTGACCGCGGCTAGAGTGTTGGCGAGACGGCGTCAACCTCCTCGAAACCTGCACCGCGACAGCGGATGCAAGTACGGTGGCACCTGATGAGCCCACGAGACTGCTGAGCGACCTGCAAGAGCAAGCAGAAATCGCCACGCATAGGGCCCAGCACTCACCAGGACTGATTGTGTGGACAAGCGTGATGACGCTCGGGCTGTTGCTGGGAGTCCCGGAATTACGGTCATCCTTGCGAACCACCACGATTGAAGATCTGGGCCCCTCATGACGCTCAATGATGCAAGAAGGGTCTGAATAAGAGTGGGCGGCCTCAGCGCTCAGCGTTGTGATGGTCGTGTTGCGCCCGAGCCAAGACGCGCGCTCTGGCGTCCTCCAGCGCAGTGCCCAGTCTCTGCTTCGCCGCATACAGCGACCTGTGGTCGACCAACATGGACCCTCTTCTTATGCTCGTGCTCTCTTTCTTTGTGATTCTCCTCAACCATCCCGTCACTCAGAAATTGGACCTGCTCACTCAGCACGAACCCGCAAACGTCCTACTACTCACCGCGCATCCGGACGACGAATGCATGTTCTTCGCGCCCACTCTCCTTGCGTTGCTTGCCGCACAACCGCCCCCACAAGTCTTCTCCCTGTGTTTGTCCGTTGGGAACGCGGACGGACTTGGAGCGACGCGCCGGGAGGAGCTTGAGCGCAGCCTCGACGTGCTCGGCATCGAGGATGGGCGGCGATGGGTTGTGGATGCCCCGTGAGTGCCTTCCTCTCTATCTACATCTCCGCTGCGTTGCGTTGCGCGCGCACGCGGGACCGCCTGACCCAGCGGCCGACCTTTTGGGTCGGAGCGTTGGGCGTGTACGAACACGCGGACGCGCGCACACTGATCTCACCTTGCCCAGGGAACTCCAGGACAACTTCACCGCGACCTGGGACCAGCGGACATCGCTGCCGTCCTGTACCCTTACGTCGCTGAGCACCACATCTCCACGGTACGTCCACTCATCTTCCCTCTCGCCCCGCGTCCTCCCCCGCTGCGCTTCCCTCCTCCATTCCTCCTGCCCTGGCTGACGACCCTCCACGCCGTCCATCCAACCCCCTTCGCACGTCGGTCCGTGCGCCGCTGACCCATCCTCCGCCGCGCGCGGCCGTTCCCCCCTCGCAAATCCCCCGCGGCCCACGGCACACTCCCCGACCCGCTCACAGATCCTCACGTTCGACCACCAAGGCATCTCTTCCCACCCGAACCACGCCTCGCTCCCGCACGGCGTCGTCCACATGCTCGCAGCCGACGCCTCGTCCCCGAAACCGCTCCGCCCGACCCCGCGCGTATTCGCGCTAGAAACGGTGCCTTTGAGCTCAAAGTACCTCGGCTTCTTTGCCCCCCTGTTCCGCAAGGCGTCGATATCCATGGAGCCGTACACCGGGAAGATATTCAAGAACGCGCCGGCGCAGCCGGTCGCGGTCGCGCACTGGGCGCGGTATCTGCAGCGCTCCGCGCGATGCAGAAGCACGCGTCGCAGTTCGTGTGGTTCCGCTGGCTCTATGTTGCGTTTTCGCGTACATGTGGGTGAATGAGTGGGTAGAGATCATGCCCTCGGCGGCAGCATCATGACGCATGTATTGCAGCCTTGGCTGCGGGATGTGCAGAATGTGCGAAAGCCGTATCTCCTCTGTGCCCTTCTCAGCTTTAGTACATAGACTTGAAGTCGTGCTACGTACCCGAATGAATTTTTCTGAGCGAACGGAAGGAAAGCGCAGCAGGGCGAGAGCATAGATGGCCTAGTACACGCACGCAAACTATGATACAAAACTCGCGCAGCTTGTCTCTGAGAAGCGGATCCATTCCGCCCCGAACACATTTGGGGGTAGACATCACCGTGTATAGTTGGCTGCTGGTGTGGGTGTCAGCACTTTGCCAAGTGACCCTCTTAGATACTGCGACATATTCCCCTCCGGCATGGAGGCACCTTTCCCTGCAATTCCTCCGCGCGACCACCAGGAGCGAACACGTGCTCCTATAGATGCACCGAGCGGTGTCAAGAAATGGCCTGCGACGCCCCTGTGCCGGTATTCTCAGCATTTCGTGCAGGCTTGGAGGAAGGGAACGTACCATAACGCTCCCTGCGCCAACGGACTGATCACCTGGTCCCTCATCGTAACCCAAAGCACGTTGCCCCACTGCACCTGCACAACCTCCGTCCCAACCGTTGCCGCTGCCTCTCCCGCCCCTTCCACCGTGTCCGTAGCCTTCTCCTTCCCTTTCGATCGCTCCGTAGCAGAGGGGGACGGATAGTCAAGCTTGACGTAAGGCGCGACGCTCCTCGTGTAGCTGTATTCGAAACGGAGGTCGGGGACGGGAGGGATGCGGCGGCGCTCGGCGGCACGTCGGTAGCGGTCCTCCTCGGCCTCGGCTGCATTCAACGCCTCGTTCAGCGTCTGGAGACGGCTGAAGAGCTCAAGCTGTTCGGCGGGATCGGATGGCATGGGAGGGGTGGTTTGGGAGCGAGTCGGGACTTCTTCCGGGGGCTCTTCGACGGCTTAATGCCGTGTTTGGGCGTGACGGTGGCGGTAGCAGCGTGCGCGGAGCAGGACGCAGAAGACAGAGAGCACGAGGGGCTGAAAGAGAGCGAGGGCCGCCGGAGATGGTGTAGTCGCGAGCTGGACGTGGTGCGAGGAAGCAACGACGGTCACGCCGGCGGCAGTCGCGGCGCGGGCCAGCCGTCCGTGGGCGCGTTGACCGACAACCACCGCGCCTTTCCGCCCGACGCGGAGCTGACATCGACCGCGGCCACCATCTTCGCATCCGACCTCATCGCCCACGTACCTTCCTCGTCTCCCGCGAGGGAATGATGGTCAGCCACTGCATAACTCCTGGCAACGTCCCGCCGGGACCATCAGCCCAGCTGCGTCTTGCACCACTCCGCCGTGACCCCCGTACTCCTTCGGCGCACCGGGCCCAGCACGCTTATCGCGCGCCCCCACAAATCTCCGGTGCCCACCCCTTCGAAGGGACGTCAATTGGTCGTTGCGCTGCGCGCCCTCCACAGATTGACGGCTTCGGGCAATTGAGCGGCGCAACATCATCGATGTCATGTGCCACGATCAAGTCGCGACCGTATCGTCCGTGAATATGCGCTGCGTCGTGGGGACGGAAAGGGCCGACGCTGCTCCTTTAAAGCCGCAGGGGAAGTGCCCCTGGAGAATACTGATTCCTACCCTGCTTTGTCGCCGACTGACGGACTCCGCGCACGATGATCCGCCACGCACTTGTCCTCACCAGCGCCTGGATGCTATGGCGCCTCGTCCGCAAGTTGACACACAAGTCCCCGCTGGACAACATACCGGGCCCGAGGTCGCAGTCGGTCCTCACCGGTGAGCTCGTCTTGGCACTCGCCAGTGAAGTCCGTTCCGTCGAGCTAATTCTTGAACCGCTTGCAGGGAATCTGCAGCAGCTTGCGGATAGGCAAGGGTGGGACTTCCACGACGAGCTCGCCGAGCAATATGGTTCGGTGGTCAAGATCAATGGCCTTCTGGGAGTGAGTCTACTCCGACGAGTACTTTAACCCCGACTTGACAAGCGTTCGCAGACACCGTGGCTATATGTGTTTGACCCCGTCGCGCTACAGCACATTTTGCGTGACCAGCAAAGCTACGAAGAGCTTCCGTGGTACACCGAGTGAGTACTACAGCAAGATTTGGAGCCGCATGTGCTCATCATTCTATTTTCTTCTGTAGTAGCAACACCATGATTCTAGGCCCTGGCATCTTGGCGGTCGCGGGTGAGTTTGCAATTTATCCATCAGACGCCATTTGATGTCGAAGGACCAGGTGATGTTCATCGTAAACAACGCAGAATATTGAAACCTGCATTCTCCACGAGCCACCTTCGGGAGCGGTCCCGTATTTTACCAAATAACGGGGAAGGTTTGTTTCGGCTCCCTTCACTTTATAGTGTTTCTTGCTTAGAATGGTCGCGTTATGTTGGGTCAACTCCTCGTTTAGCTGGTACATGCGATATCCTCGCGAATCAACGAAGAAAACACCGAAGTAGACATGATGAGTTGGATGGGTCGTATGGCTCTCGAACTCATCGGCCAAGTGGCGTTTGGACACTCCTTTGACCCGCTTACGGAAGACATTGCCGATCCATACACTGAAGCCGTGAAAGCTTTTGCGTACGTCTACGGCTACTGTCTTTCCCAAAGCGCATATACTCACATAATCTTGCGCGACAGCCCAGAAACAACAGCCCCGGTGATGATACTTTTCCGGCAATTTGCACCGTTGGCAAAAGCTCTCGGTCCCGTCTGGCTACGAAGGGCGTTAGTTCAGCTGGTACCCGTGAGTTGCATCAAGAAAGTCGTGGGGATCGCGGATGCGCTGCACCTCCGATCGAGCGAGATCTTCTCCGCGAGGAAGGCTGCTCTCGAGGCGCACCAAGAAGATGGCAAGGACATCATGAGTATTCTATGTGAGCTTCACTGCTGCTTCTCCTCTTGGCCCAAAAGACTCACCCAAATATGTCCGCAGTAAAAGCTAACATGAAGGCGTCGGACCGTGATCAGCTCCCGGACGACCAGTTGCTTGGGCAAATGTCGTATGTACAACGTCATGACTGATTTCTTTGACGCAAGCTGAGGCTGCCCTTCGACAGGTCGATTCTCTTTGCCGGGATGGACACAACCTCGAATGCGCTTTCCCGTGTTCTGGATCTCCTCTCGAAGAACTTAGACGTCCAAGAGAAGCTCCGCCACGAAGTGCTGGGTGCTCGTGCCAACGGCCCTCTCGATTTTGACCAGATACACGCCCTCTCATACCTCGATGCAATATGCAAAGAGACTTTGCGGCTGTACGTCCACATTCACACTGCTTGCAAATGCGCATGCAATTTCTCATGTCACTCGCCACAGATACCCTCCCGCTCCGCAGACCTTTCGGGGGTAAGCTTTTGTCTCACTTGCCCCGCCGCTTCCCCCCACTCAGAGTCCCGCCCAGCGCCATGAAAGACGCGATTCTTCCGCTTTCCAGACCGCTACAAACTACCAATGGAACAGCGATCACCTCCCTCGTCGTCCCGCGCGGCACAAACATCGTCGTCGGCATCCGCGCGAGCAACCTGCAGACATCAGTCTGGGGCCCGGACGCGCTAGAATGGCGACCGGAGCGCTGGCTCGCACCGCTTCCCGGCTCCGTCGAAGAGGCGGGCGTTCCTGGCGTGTATTCCCATATGTAAGCATTCCTCCGCTTGCGGCCGTCGCCGCCGGGACACAAGTACTCACTATCATCATGCAGGATGACGTTCCTGGGCGGTGCACGGTCCTGCGTGTGAGTGTACCATGCTGTTGTCTCATTTTTGGCGCGACGACTTGAAATTGATCGGACCGTCTCCCCATTCCAGAGGCCTCCAATTCGCCCTCCTTGAGATGAGTGAGTCAACCCTCACGTCCCTACGCATGCCCCGTGCATAGCTGACAGACGGCCCCCCATAACCAGAGATCGTCCTCATCGAGCTCCTCGCCAACTTCGCGTTCGAACCCTCGTCCACCCGCCCCGTCGTCTGGAATCTCTCCGGGGTCGCATACCCGAGCACGTCCGTCGAGAGCACTAAGTCCGAGCTCTGGCTGCGCGTCCGCCGCCTCTCCGTCTCGTGACGTGCTCGCAGGCACGTCGGTAACCCGCAACGCCTGCACGGCGTACAGACCCCGCGCGGTGTCGATTGTCATGGGGTTGACCTTCCTTGAAGTTCCTTTCGTGTTCCCTGGTGTCGCCGCGGTCGTTGAGGAAATGCTCGGTCTCAGGTCCGGACGCAGCGACATCTTGGCAGCCGAGGGACCGTTGGGTGCGGAGCCGGAGCGGATCGTTTTGAACTTTTGCCCATTATTAAGACGCTGGTTATCGAGAACTCTTTAGCGACATTTCTGCTGATAACCGTCCTCCATATGTACCATCGACGATCGTACGCATAGGAATAACTCCGGCGGACCTCGTTTAGACTTCGTGTTCAAAAACGCTGCCTGGAGCCCTACCGACCCGTAGAGCGCTGCGTCGTTTGGCAGCCGCTTTGCACGCATAGTCGACAAATTACATAGCGCAGGCGGCTTATATTTCCTCTCGACAAGGCACGGCTCTGTAGGCGGAATTCATACGTTTTCAGTCTCGGAGTATCCGGGAGCAAGTAATGGCAATTACGAGGATCGGGCCGGCTTTGACGTGGTCAAGCTTCACAAGCAGGGCGCCGTGCCCAACGCTCTTGACCCAGAACGAGCCTGAACGACGCTAGAACTTGCTGGCGCTCGCCCCACAGCATGCGTCGATCACGACTCGCACGTGCGTGCCTGATGAGAGACCGTACATTCGGCATTTGAGTTTGCCTTGGCGAGTGCGACCGGCCCCCGTGAGTGGAACCGACCATTTCGGCAGCTCGTCGTCGTCCTCGGTGCCGCACTTTCTCACTTCCGACGTACCGGCCGTCCTGCCAATCTTCCGCCCGCTCGAGCGAATGTCGCACAAGTCACTACAGGAGAGGGAAGGCTCAGGGAGCGCGGACGTCCGGGTGTTGCGAAGAGGTCATGGGCATGACATGGGATCGACGCGACACAGTGAAACAGGACCTGCGCGCAGAGGGTGCGTGAGGAAGTGGTCTCGAGTGAAACGCCTCGTGGCTTCAATCAGCCTGGTGCGGTGTCAGCGTCGGTCAGCACAAGGAGCTGATCGCGGAAAAAAGCGCACCGAATGGTCGTCGCGCCGCGCAGCACGAGGCTAGTAATAAGCTCGGAGGGTTCTTGAAACGTAGATAAAATGGAGACTAGTGCTGGTCTTGTCCACACCCGGCCCTGGAGGTATTATAACTTTGGTCGTCATGGCACAAAACCGCACAGGTTGTTGGCAGCCTACTGTCACTCAAATCGACAAACCCGCCCCGTAACGGAGAACGCACTGCAAACTTTGGAGATGGCGGAGGCACGGCGGTTTGCCGGAATGCTCCCAGAAGTATTTATAAGTCGCGTCGGCGTCGGATTTAATGAAATGAACGCTCGGTAAACGTATTGAGGCGCGTCCCGTTGACTGTTGGGAGCTGTTGGGGCTTCGAAAGCGCTCGCCGACTCAGGATCTCATTGGTTGACGTTGAACTCTTGACAGATGAACTGTCGCCACTCAAACCTGCTCTGGATGAAAGTGACTGCGAGAGGAACGGTCATACCGCAGTGTCCCATGTATCAGCTAGCCAGCTCCGCGATGATGGTGGTTCACTTGCTTTTAAATGATAATGCTGCTAGTACTAGGCTGCTAGCGACAAATCGTGACTCAGACTGAGACCGAAACTTGATGCGGCCTACGACATTCCTCTGAACCCGAGGCATAATAGGTTAACAGTCGAACTCTTACGGTCGAATCTCGCATTTCCGCAATTTTTGGTAGAGGACAGACAGTTGGGTATTACGGAACCTCAACTGAGGTACGCATCATCCTCGTCTCAGATGTCTCAGAGGCACATCAACCAGTCGCCGTCTCCCAACGTCTCCCTTGGAACTTGGAAGAGCAAGAACCGACGAATTGATGCGATCGGCGATCGGCGGGAGGTGCCGCATTGTCCATCTTCCGCCACGCTTGTCTCTGCACATCCCTGCATGGCTGTCGCCCTATCATCCAACTACCTTTTGCGTAATTTCAGGGGACATCTGAGACAGACGTCGCTCGACCTGCTCGCCCCCAGCTCGATTTGGACGCCTAGTCTCCCCTGGACCCAGCGGTATAAAATGCGAGGGCGACCGTCGAGACTTGTCCAAACGCTCCTCGAGTCCGGCTCCCCTTCATTCCTTTTTGCCACCGTTCGTCTGTCCCTCAGAGACCTCCTTTCTTTCACCCCTTCCGTCCAAAATGGTCGCTATCGCTCGGTCACTCATTTCCTCCCTCGCTGCCTTTGCGGCCTCCACCCCGAGCAACACCGGCCGCGGCCGTGTGTCGTCCTGCTCGCTCCGCACCCTCAAGCTGGACTTCCCCGCCAACCAAACCACGCTCGTCGCGCCCACCCAGCCGCCCAAGCTCCTCGGCCTCGCTTTCGGGGTGCAGAACTACACCTGCTCCTCCGCGGGGACCTACACGTACGTCCGCTTTCTCGCGCAGTGCCCTGCGCACTGCCACCTTTGCTCACGCGCCTCTCTCCCTCCTCCAGCTCGACCGGCGCCGTCGCCGAGCTTTTCGACGCCGCGTGCATGTCCACGAAGTCGAACTTCGGCACTGTGCAGAACGACCTCTTCAGCCTCTGGGACGGCACCTCCGAGGACGTGACCATCCAAGACGCGATCTCCGAGCTCGCGGGCATGCACCTCCCTGGGGTCCTCGGCCAGCACTACTTCGTCACGAACCCGAAGACGGGCACCGGCGTGAGCCCGAAGTGGGACTTCACGTCCGCGCGCTTCCAGGGGAACAAGGACGCGTTCATGATCGGGGCCGGAAACGGCTCGCTGCCCTCCCCCACGGACCCTTCCAAGGACGTCGCGTGGCTGCACGTCGTCAACGTCCAGGGCAAGCTCTCCGACGTTGTCTTCCGCTACGACACCGTCGGGGGCCAGCCGCCGAAGTCTGTGAGTACTAGTTCCTCTCTGTCTACGTCTATCGGCTCACGACGGGTACTAGTGCACCGCTGGTACCGACGCCGATATCTCCGTCAAGTACGCGTCTAAGTACGTCTTCTACGGCGGCCAGGTCTGCTAGGGGCCTCCTCCTCCTCCGTTCCATACCCAGCACAGCGTACCATACCCCCTCCCCATAATACAGTCCTTTGACTGCTCCATCACCTTCTTTTGAACCGATAGAGTCAAGTACTCCTGTTTTATTCGATACTGGCAAGACCACGGCTGCCTGGATAGCACATTTGTTGTATTGTTACATACTTAGCCCCGCCTTCGCGCTTTAATCCGTTTGGAATGGCCATTCTTTGTTGCACACAACAACACCCACATCCCGCGACTCGCTACTGTGTGCTTCTGAAGGGAGGTGCAGAGTGCAAGGACTCGGAGGTGCACAGCGCGCGCTAGCCTCGATCAGGGCATGGGCAAGGACAGTCAATAAATGTTAATGAATTCTTGTAGTCCGATTCCACTAGTGTTGAAGTGCCTAAGTTGTAGCTGTATTCGGAGTGTTCACCAGTGAGCGCGGGCGGTAGTGGGAGGCATCATGTGGTGGGACACATACCGATCGCTTCCCGTCGCCGATAGTGTTCAATTCAGAGACGACTAGCAGCATGCCTTCCTCGCCGTGTGGTTCGCGGCGCGGCGTTTTGGGTCGTCGTGAGTGCCATCTGTATTCGGATACATATCGAAGGTAAACGCCAGAATCTTTCGCATCTCATTTTGAAGACAAAGACTGATTGATGGTGTGCCAGCCAAGATGGATGAGAAGACGGGCCAATCGCTGGTGGTTTTGACTTACGACGTCGATCGTCGGGTGCTTCCAATTGTGTCGATCTCTTCATCCAAACCCACAACGAACGCGCTCGCAACAGGCGGCAAGCTGCGCGCACCGGGAGCTCGATCGCGCCGTGCGCGCGTTATCAGATGTCTTGGCCCAGGTTGCAACAACGTACAGTCTAATTGGCGGACTCTCACCCTTTTCTAGTCACGAGCGGCACTGGTCCACCGACATGAAGGCGAAGGAAAACAGGTGGGCCGAGCGTGTGGCAGCGCGAGTCAGCTGGGCGAAGGGATGCGCTGCTAGTCTCTTTGGCGGAGATCTCACGTTCCATAACCACCATGGCCGACGGGGATGGCGCGCAGGTGACCGCACAGGGATGCGACTCGGAAATAAGCAGGAAGATCAGGCTGGCGAACCCTGGTGAACTGCGGGAGTGTGTGCGGCAAAAAGATGAGCAATCGAGAGGGTCCAGGGGCCGTTTCGAAGCACAGAAAGTGTGGGGAAGTGTGGGGTACTCCGTGCGGGGAAGAGGCGATCCCTCGCGTCAGAACCGTTCCATCCGATTGGCGGAGGAGGTCTCCTCCATCGAATTCGTACCTGTGTGAGGGCCGCAGCAGGCGGGCGGAGAAGGTTTCCAAGTTCCAACGCTCGGCGGAAAGATTGAAGGCGCACGTGCCTTCTGCCCAAAGCGGGAATACGCAGTTGACGGGGCCCCCGCTGAGGCAGTTCCTCGCCCAAGACCTCGCCGCTTGCTCACCGCTGACGCGGCCCTCGCTTGCTCTCTTCACCCGACGCGAACCTTGCTGCTCGACGCACTAGAAGACGGGGGCAGGATGTCTGGGCCGCATACAACGCGCAGAGTTGGGACGGGTCTGGGACGGCCTAGAACGGGCGCACACGGATGATGGAGGCCTCGACAGAGTTTTCTGGTACAGTCTCGTGAGTGCAGCTCGTGAGGTCCGGTTCCTTATCCCAGTCCAGAGCAATCGAGACGGAGGGTTCGCGGAAGGCCTGTGTCTCCCTCCGCAGCGGGCCAATCGAGCCCCTCTTCACCACCCTAGCCTCCCTCCGGATTGGCCCCGTCCGCCGCCACCACTCCCGGTCGCCCGGTCGTTCTTCCTGGCAGGGGAGATACTGGAACGCTCTCTCTCTCCATATGCATACGTCACGACGCACCACGGCCCGTCCGCCCCCATCTCGTGTCTGTCTGCGATATAAATTGGCCCCTCGCTCGTCATGGTGTCCTCAGCACATCCCAGCTCTCCTCTCCCCTCACCCACTCCACTACCATGTCTACCCAATTCACCATCCCTAAGACTCAGAAGGCGGCGATTGTCGAGGCCAATGACCAACCCCTCAAGGTCATTGACACCCACCCCGTCAAGCAGCCAGAGGAGCTCGCCCCCGGCGAGTGTCTCGTCGAGCTCGAGTGCTCCGGTGTCTGCCACACCGACCTCCACGCCGCAAAGGGCGACTGGCCCCTCCCGGCTAAGCTTCCTCTCATCGGTGGTCACGAGGTGCGCATCCTCCAATCGACGTCATTCTCTCTTCAACTGACCGCGTCCGATCTCTCCCAGGGCGTCGGTCGCATCGTCGCGATCGGTCAGCACACCCAGGACTCCCCCGTGAAGCTCGGCGACCGCGTCGGCATCAAGTGGCTTGCGTACTCGTGCCTAGACTGCGAGCCCTGCCGCAACGGCCTCGAACAGAGTGAGTGTATGCGCCCGCTTGTGCTTTCACGGACCCTGACGCCCGCTCTGTTTCTCTCGCGCCGCAGGCTGCTACAATAACAAGCTGAGCGGCTTCACCGTCGACGGCACCTTCTCGCAATACGTCGTCTCCTGGGTCAGCCACGTCACTCCCATCCCGGAGAATATCGACAGCGCCGAGGCAGCGTCCATCCTTTGCGCAGTGAGCACCCACCATCCTCATACTTCTGCCTGATTGCTCATTTGGCGGTTCTGTCTAGGGTGTCACCGTCTACCGCGCGATCAAGTACTCGCATACCAAGATCGGTGACTGGATCGTCCTCCCCGGCGCCGGTGGAGGTCTCGGCCATCTCGCTGTCCAGTACGCCGTGGCCATGGGCCTGCGCGTCGTCGCCGTTGGTACGTCCCGGCCCGCGTCCCGGCTTCCTTTCACAAATTTAGCGCCTGACTACATCCCCTCGCAGACACCGGCGCGGAAAAGAAGGAGCTCGTAATGAAGCTCGGCGCGGAGAAGTGGGTCGACTTCAAGGAGACGAAGGACCTCGTCGGCGACATCCGTGCCGCGACGGGAGGGCTCGGCGGGCACGCGGCGGTGGTCACGGCTGCGACGGGCGCGGCGTACGCGCAGGCGGTCGACTACCTCCGGCACGGTGGTACGCTGATGGTCGTCGGCCTGCCCGCGCGTGCGAGCTTGAGCGCGGACATCTTCTTCACCGTCGTGAAGAGCATCAGCATCCTCGGCTCGTACGTCGGAAACCGCCAGGACGCGCGCGAGGCGCTCGACATTGCGTCGCGCGGGAAGGTCAAGTGCCACTATGTGCTCAAGCCGTTGTCGGCGCTCACTGAGTAAGTCCTGGTCTTTGACGAGAGGTACATCTCCACTGACATACGCGCATCTTCAGGACGTACGAAGGGCTCGAGAAGGGCGCCGTCGTCGGCCGTGTTGTCCTCAACATGAAGGAGTAGACGCGTCCTCGTTCTTAGTATGAGGAATTATCCTCCAGCCACGAATACAATACCCTCATATACTTGTATCATCACTTGATTGGGGACGGAGGGCGCCACAGAAGGAAGCCTAGCACAGTGTTGTACTCTATATTGCACGCAATTGATCACATTATCTAGATCTCTGCGCAGCTGAGTCTCCAGTATGCCCGTCTATCGGGATACCCGCCAGTCAAGAAACTGCCCGGACTGGGCCCGTATGGCATTGCTCTAGCATTGCCGTGTGTCACATCCTCGACGGATGCAGTGGCTTCAACCCCTAAGTTTCCCCGGTTTCTTCGATCAGTATCAACGTTGGTGAGCGGCTTTGTCAAAGTCAGCTTATATGTGCCTGGGTGCAGCCTTACCCCATCAGCAACTTGACGCAGTGGAAGCGTGCAGGGCTCATAACCCTGAAGTCCCTGGATCGAAACCAGGAGTTGCTATCATAGATGTTGGTAATTTTTTGTTGGGTTAGACTAATTCCAGCTTCCAAGGATAGTGGGCGTGACGACCCCCCTTTTCGAGCGAGAGAGAGAGAGAGAGAGAGAGCGGTTCGGCGTCTCCCCTAAAGGGAGGTACTTACCCCGGAACCCCACTTAGACAAGCCCAGTCGCGCGCCGGCGCCCGAACTCATGCTGTGGGTGTCCCGCCGTCCGACGGGTGGCCGCACGAGCACATGTAAAGAGAGAGACACGTGATGCCTTGCTATACTTCTGGGATACTGATGGGTCATCGCACAACAGAAAAGTGTGCGAGAGGCAGCTGGTTGCGTGCGCAAGATCTCCGTTCGTCTCTCTGACATCAGACGACCTTTGGAAATTGGCTTGTTGACATGGTTCGACCGCGAGTGCAACGCTACTCTCTAGCTTGTGTCGCTGCTCAAAACTCCATAACATTTGTTCTTTTACCGGCCCTCTGTCGTACTTAGCAGCGGCACCCACGTCTATCGGTGTCTCGTCCACGCGAGCGTTGACAGAGTGAGGTTCGAACAAGGCGCGAGGCACGAGCGCCTTGGCCGAACGGGTGCTTTCCAGGCGTGGGTTGCCGGATGTGGGAGGCGCGCGCTAGCGCGCCAAAGGCTATCGCCTTTCGTCTCCTCCCACTTCGCGCCCACGCATCTCAAAGCGCACCCACCCACCACTCCCAGCGCTTTGGTTGAGAGAGCGACGCAGAACGCGGCGCGCTCCGGCCTCGCGCTCAAGCGGACCGTCCGGGATCGCGACTTACACTCGCGTTCTGCCCAGCGTCGGGCCTGACCGTCCCGGACGGGCGCTCCGCTTTTCCCTCCCGCAGACTAGGACTGAACATGAGGGGCGGCTCCAGTGCTCAGAGCGCCCCTCGACTATCGTCTGACCCTCTCACCTCTCCGCCTGACCCCACAAGGCTCCACACACGCTACTAGGAAGCAGCTTGCCCGGCCCGACGAACCCGGCGCGCGGTGCTCGTTCAGTCGGGATGTCATTCGATCGCTGAGGCTGTGCAGTGTGTATGTCGTCGGAGCGGCGGTCCATTCAAAGATTGGCGTTGGCACCGCGCGATGGTCACCGGCCACCGTGGGCGCGCGCCGCGAATCAGGCCGGGAGGCGTGGTTTGGGGAGCGCGCCGGGGAAGATGTGCTGCGCACGGGTGGGGGAAGGGCGCAGAGGATGTTGGGATGGTGGGGGGTGCCGTGACAGACGGGATCATGGTCGGGGTCGCGTTGAGCTCGCTTGGAAGAGGTGGTGGGCTCGGCCGAGGATTGGAGTTTGGCGGGGAATAGTTGAGACGGGAAGTTTCGGGGCTAAACTTAGTGCGGACGGCGGGGCGTGGGCTGGCACTCGGGCACTTTCTGGCTCCGAGTGGATCGAGGCTGGGCCGCACACAAGACGGCCCGAGCTCGGGTGGCGGGTGTCATTGTCAGAGGCGGCTGGTGGGTGGCATCGACGCCACAGGCGGAGCAGTCATGCTGACGCGCGTCGGCGCTACACTTGCCAAGCTGGGCCGGCTCATCGCGTGCGATGACGTAGCGTGGTGTGGTGGAGCATCTGAGTTCCGCTCTCAGCCCCGGCAATAGCCCCGGCAATGCCCCATCCGCCGCTGTGCGAGGACATCTCATTGCACGAATAGACAGAAAAACATTGCAGAAGACCGCTGTCGCCGGTGGTTGCACACGGCGGATTGGCGCCTGATGATCCGCTGACAGGCTCGGCTAACGGCGAGGTATAAACCATTGTGCGGAGCGGAGAGAACTCCTCGTGCAGGCACCTCCGCGACGACGCACGGACTCGATCGATCGCCTTTCGCAGCCGGCGTCTTTTCTATTTCGACGTCAGCCCTTCTCTTGTATTCTTCCATTCCCATCCCTTCCGCTCCCCCCACGCTCTTTAATTCCAACCACACCCCCGCCGGCACCCCCGCCACCTGCCCATCCTTCACGGCCCCACCATGTACGTCCGTCGCCCACCCCGCACCTATCATCCCGCTCACCCCCCACAGGTCGAATATCGAGAGCGCGACAAGCGCGTCGACCTCCACTTTTGTCACCGCTCTCGCCTTCAACGCCATCGTCTTTGCCATAGAGATCGGTGTCTTCACCCTCGTCCGCCCCTTCTTCCCCGCCATCTACCAGCCTCGCACCTATGTCCCCACTAAGAGGTAAGCTCCTTCTTCCAACTGGGATCACGCGGTCGCCGCGCTGGCGCGGACTCAGAGATGGGTGGGACGTGAACAATGGTGACGGACGGCGGGCAGGCGGCTGTATGCGCTCTCCAACCCTCGCAGTGCGTCATACAGCGCGTTGGGGAGATGGATGTCAGCGGCCGCTGGCGGGTGGAGGGCGTCTCGCCCATGAGGCTGGTCAGGCACGTCTCGCGACCCCTGCGACGTCATTTGCTCGTGTGTCGTGCGAGTCGTCTCCGACCTTGCCCTGGATGCACCTGGCCTGGCTTCGCTTTCGCCGGCGGCGTTATCGTCGTTTCATCTCGCGGTGTCGGCGATACCACCTCTGCCCCTGCTCCAACGGCGCACACGCGGCCGGACTCCCCGCTCTTCCTATCGTTGTCGGTTGCGAAAGGAGACCCGCAGGTGGATGGAACAGTGGTTTGGTTTGCCGGAGGGAAATGCGAAGGGAGGAATGGTTCTGGAGCGCTGTTTGTCCATTCCACGGTCACATGTCATGACAGCGGTAGTTTCGCGCTTTCGCACAAGTTCGCGTCTTTGCGTCCAATAGGTATGCAGCTCGAGCGGGTACTGACCTCTTTGTACCCACAGTCGCCAAACCGCGGAGATCTCGAAGAGTCTCTTCAAATGGCCGTACACCGTCTTCATGGCTGATCCTCGCGAAATTCGCACCAAGAACGGCATGGACGCGTATTTCTTTGTCCGCTTCCTTCGCATGATGGTCCGCGTTCTCCTCCCCATCTGGCTCCTCTCATGGATCATCCTCCTTCCCATTACCTCCGTTCGCACCACCGTCGCGGGACACACTGGCCTCGACGTGTACATCTTCGGCAACGTGTCCACCGAGAACCAATCGCGCTACTGGGCTCACATTGCCCTCGCGTGGGTCTTCACTATCTGGATCTGGTGGAACATCCGCTACGAAATGGCGCACTTTGTCACGACCCGCCAGCGCTGGCTCATCGACCCCGTGCAAGCCTCCTCCGCCAAGGCAAGCACGGTCCTCATCACCGGCGTCCCCCGTCGCTACCTCACCGAGGCCGCCATTTCCAACCTCTACTCCCACCTCCCTGGTGGTGTCGCCAAAGTTTGGCTTAACCGCTACCTCGGCGACATGCCCGACCTCTATGATCGCCGACAGAACGCCGCCAAGAAGCTCGAGTCCGCGGAGACGAGTCTGCTGAACACCGCGGTGAAGCTCCGCAACAAGAAGGTCAAGGCCGAAGTGAAGAAGGGAGGCAAGGACACCACCTCCGATGGTCGCCCACTGACCTCGCCGAGCGTCATCGACGAGGAGCAGGACATAACCCTTGCGGACAAGCTCGTGCCCAAGAACAAGCGCCCCACACACCGCCTGCCGCCTGCTAGCTGGATGCCGTTTGGTCTCCCCTTCATGGGCAAGAAGGTTGACACGATCGAGTGGGCGCGTGACGAGCTCGCTCAAACCACCCAGGAGCTTCGCACTGCCCGCCGCGCGCTCGCCAAAGATGTGAAGGCAACGTCGACCATGCCTCCCCCTGAGACGAACCACCCAGACTCGATGAAGGCGGACTTGGACGGCTCGCAGACCTACCCCCCGCTCAACTCGGCGTTCATCCTTTTCAACCAACAAGTTGCGGCGCAGATGGCTGGCCAGGTCCTTACGCACCACATGCCCTACCGCATGACCGCGTCGAGTGTAGGCGTTGACCCCGAGGACGTCATCTGGAGCAACTTGAACATGAACCCCTACGAGGCACGCATCCGTACCGCCATTAGCTGGGCTATCACTATCGGTCTCATCATCGTCTGGGCCATCCCTGGTAAGTAGTGCGTCATTTGGTAGTCATAAACATGGATTGATGAGGACTGTGCTTGCAGTTGCGTTTGTCGGTGTGGTGTCCAACGTCCACTCGCTGTGTACCACTTACACATGGCTCGCATGGCTTTGCGAGCTTCCGGAGGTTGTTGTTGGCATTATCTCCGGTATTCTCCCTCCAGTGTTGCTCGCCGTCCTCATGATGTTGCTCCCAATCGTGCTCCGCCTTCTCGCGCGCTTCGAGGGTATGCCCCAACGCACGAGCATCGAGCTGAGCCTTATGAGTCGCTACTTCATGTTCTTGGTCATCGTAAGTTGCTCATGTACCTCGTCGGCATGTTGCATTTCCAACTAACCTTGCGCCGCAGCACTCGTTTCTGATCGTTTCCCTCTCGTCGGGACTTATCGCCGCTCTCCCGGATCTCATCAACGACCCCAGCTCCATCCCATCGCTCCTAGCCCAGAAGCTGCCACAGGCCTCGACCTTTTTCCTCACGTAAGTCATGGACTGCGCCATGATTCACAGTGGACGGTCACTAATTCGTCATTCTTCAGGTATATTGTCCTCCAGGGATTGACCGGTACTGCTTCCGGCTTCTTGCAGATCGTGCCGCTTGTGCTCTACTACGTGAAGTTGTTCATTCTTGGCTCGACGCCTCGGTCGATCTATACCATCAAGTACACGCTCCGCTCCGTCTCGTGGGGTACGCTGTTCCCGGCCATGACGCTCCTCGTTGTGATTAGTACGTGCTTCCGTGGGCCTCTGCGCGCCTCATGACTGACCTCGTTCCAGCGCTCGCGTATAGCATCATCTCGCCGATCATCAACGGTCTCGCCGTTGGAACCTTCTTCCTCTTCTATTTGCTCTGGAAATACCTCTTCCTCTGGCAGCTCGATGGCAAGGGTGCGGGCGAGACCGGTGGACTCTTCTTCCCCAAAGCGATCCAACACGTCTTCGTCGGTATCTACATCCAGCAAATCGTCCTCGCCGCGCTCTTCTTCCTCGCGCGCGACGCGAATCAGGAGGCGTCCGCTGTTCCCGAGGGCGCGCTCGCAATCGTACTCATTGCCTTCACCGCTTTTTTCCACATCATCATCAACAACTCGTACGGCCCGCTCATCAAGTACCTGCCGCTCACCCTCGCGGAACACGGACACAACGACGAGGACGTCAAGGCCGCAGAGCAGGAGCTCGCCGCGGACGCCGTCAAGGAGGGTTCAATCGTCGAGGGCACAACGTCCGACGTCGAAAAGCGCAGCCTCCACAAGCGCGCCTCTGCCGGTGCCCTCGAGGGCGACGCGCAGGCTCAGCCCGAGGCGTCCGGGTCCTTGCCGCCGAGCCCCGTTGACCAGAAGAAGAGCAGTCTCGCCCCGCCCCTGCTTTCCGAAGCGCGCTCGCGCCGGACGTCCGCGTCGTCCATCGCCCCCATCGACGAGGAGGCGGGCCCGAAGGACTTCTACCATCCGGCGAGCGTCGAGCCCGCGCCGGTCGTCTGGCTCCCGCGCGACCCGCTTGGGCTGGGTGAGGCGGAGGCGCGCGCGTGTCGCGAGGCCGGCGTCGAGGTTTCGACGGTTGACGCCGTTATGGACGACAAAGGCCATGTAGACATCCAGGGCCCGCCGCCGGACGTGCATCGCGAAGACTGAGTTTGCAGAAGAGGGGGATTGCGATTTAGTAGAACGGTCCTATCGAGTTGGAGTTGCGCGTCTCGCTTTCATTCCCGTTCAGATCTTGTCACCCCGCACGCACCTCTTTTATGTCTGTTTTTCCCGCTGTGGTTACGACCCCTCCAAAACTTGCTCTCATCCCGGACCGACGTCGAACTGTTGACTTTCCCGTCTCCACCCCCCATCTCCGTCTCCCGCGCATGCCGCGGCGTTACCCTCCCCTGTTCGCGTTACCCCTGCTCCCTGTTCCCTGTACGCGCCTTGAGTCCGGAACCGGTTCTCGACATCTGCTTCACTTGTTTTCATCATCTATTACGTGTATGTGTACGAGTACATCATGATTACCGTCCAATGTTGCTGGCGATGTTTGCTCGCTCGCCTACTCGTTCCCTTGCTTGTTAATGCTACTCGTGCTGCTTCGACGGCGTATACCATGTGTCTTGCTAAGAGGGGATTGAGCATAGAACGCAGTCGACACGGTGCCTCGGGACCGCGGGAACCCTCAGACCCCAACGCCCACTCTAGGATAATCTGTGTATTTGACGCCCTACTCCCCCCGATTATCGAACCCGGCCCAAAAGTGTAGATTTAGGTGTTGTACTGTACGCCTACCGTAGTGCTCTGCCCTCGAGGGCGTTAAATGAGGACGACCAAAAAAAAGGATCGGCTAGCTGTATAACATGTATATATAGTGGCCAGCAAATGGCCGGACGTGCAGGGATCCCGGATGTGTATGCCTATTTCCGACCACCTTTCCCCTTCTTTGCGCTGGACTGCCGGGGCCTACTCTCTTCGGGCAACGGTTCCGAACCCTCTCGGAGCTCGTCCGCAAACACATCCCGAATGCAGGACCCGTAGTCAAACCCCCAACCCTGCTGCCTGCAGCGCTCGCGCGCTCGCGCGAGCTTGACGACCATGTCGAGGCCGAGCGGCCTTAGCTCGTCTGCCGCCGGGAACTCCTCCCGCCGCGCGAGCGTCTGCAGCGCGCGCAAGAGGAGCTCCCCCGCGCCTGAGCACGTCCGTGCGAACACGATCGCGCGCACAGGGTCGGTTTCGGAGAGCTTCAAGTGCTCCTCGAGGAGGTTGAGGAGGTCGCGGCGGAGCTGCCAGAAGGCCCACCGGGTGGCGAGCGTGAAGGCGGCGATGCACTGCTCCGAGGTGAGCTCCGCGGTCTCCTGGCCTGTGCGGCCGATGCGTCTAGCGAGGCCCGTCAGCTTGCAATCGACTCGTCGTGCCCGGGCGGTTGGTTCCCCCACATGGACACCGATGCGAACGAGAGAGGTGATGCTCACGGTGTGAGAAGCGCTTGGAGGAACGCACAGAAGTCGTCCTCGTTGACGCCCTCCAGCACAAGCGGGTGGTCGTCCGTCGTCCCTTCGGGCGGGTGTCCAACGCCAGGGGTGGCTCCAGGTTGAGGGAGAGCGAACATGTCTCTAAAAATCTCCGAGTCGTCTTCGAACTTCCGGCGTGATACTTTGAAGAGCTGGGTGCCGACCTGCGAACAATATGGTCATTTTCCCGTCCTTGTAGGCCTCCTAACTTGGGGCCTGGTCGGCTGTCCGGATGGGCTGGGTTCCCGCCAAAATGATCCCGCAACACGATGGGCTGTGGGCTCGGGATGGGTACGCGCCCGTCGAGTCGGTGGGTGCGGGAGCCCATCCCACAGCCCATCCCACGGGCAGCCGACCAGGCCCTAACAGAATGACGTCACACCTGGATTGTCAGATGATCGGAGTAGAAGCGTGCGTTCCGGGTGATAGGTCGGCGAACTTGAGCTTCGAGCTCATCAGGTTGCGACATCATCGGCGGAGGAGCGATGGTTCAGGGGCTGTTGGTAGCTAGTCTACCGCAGCTGGGCTCCGGAAGTCCCAAGTATGTTCCGTAAGGCAGTACAAGCTCGCAGGCCTCCTGACCACCACTCTCCGCGAGTGCATCTTCGCGAATTTACGAAAACGGCTTAATATTTGCGACCCCTTCTTGCCGCAGCACGCAGAGTCGAGTCGAGATATGGTTTCAAACTCAAACAGTGTATATAGCTGACACAGAAGCCAGACGTTATCAAGACATCGCAGTCTGAGAATGCACAAAGACAAGAACGCACATCTACGACTTTGCGGCTTCAGGTAGTTCGTCCTTGAACACTTCCCTTATATGCTTGTCGAGACGATCCTGCTGCTGCAAGGAAACCGGCATAGTACTACTACCCCTGTTGAACCGCAGGAATGACTCGCGCACTGCCGCCAACTTGACAGTCGTCGACAGTCCCAGCAACTCCGCTTCTTCGATCCGAATAGATTCCGTCCGTCGAGCGAGGGCATGTATCGCAGGGAGGAGGAGTCCGGGGACATCGTAGAGCCTTGCCACGATGAGAGCGCCCACGGGCTGCTCGTCTGTAAGGCGTTGAGAATTGAGCGCCTCGATCGCGTCTGTGCGGAGAAGATCAAAGTGCCACAATGTCGAGAGCTTCAAGACAGCGATCCATGCCTCCGGAGCGCGGTATGATGGAAGCGCCGACGTCTTGCAGCCGTAACGACTGTGTGCGGCGAATCCGATGAGCGCGCAATTCGTAAACGGTGTCAGTGTGTCAGTATGCAGGAGCGGCACTCACAAGTCAAAAAGCGCACGCAGGAAGTCGCAGAATTCGTTCTCTTCGATACCCTCCAGAACCAGGGGATGGTCGTCGGAGCTTCCCTCAGGGATGACCGGAGCAACGCCGTCTCCGCGTGGGGGCGGAAGGGAGAACATGTCCCTGAACACCTCCGAGTGCTCTTCGAACCTCCGCCGAGGCACTTTGAAGAGCTGCTTGCCGACCTGGTGGTAGGAGGCGTCAGTTCTCCATCAAAGAACCCGCAACTCCCTTATAAAATCGCTCACCCGGATAGTGAGGTGGTCAGAGTAGAACTCTCGGTTTCTCGTGACAGTCTCGCAGGCGGTCTCGGTGGGAGGGGCTGACATAGTAGTCGCACGTTGTTTCAGACGGGGAGAGGATGCGAGAGCTGGGCTGACGATGTTTACACGAGTGAACATCATGCTTTTTATGTGTGCTCACTTACCGCAGCTATAGCCTGGAGGAAGCCAACTCATCCCGCCCAACCATGTTGCTGCGGGAAGCTGAAAGGACGCATTGAACCCATTGGGAAGCCGGAATTACGCATGCACCTTGCAACACGCGGCCGGGCTCCGACATAGACCGACCGCACGAGGTTCCCACCAGTCATGCGTTCAAGATAGTACTTAGACAGCAGGGCTGAGGACCGGTAGTTGCCGCCGCTCGACGAGGTACGAGTCGAACATGATATGATTGTGCATAACAGTTGACAGTGCCAGTGCCACTAGGCAATAAACTTAAGTAAGTACATGATGTCGTGGTTGTGCGAATTGAAGGCATTGAATGATCAGCAAGCGCTGAGACGGGCGTTCTCGTCCAGATGCCCATACATGTCACACCAACTTCGGGCTACATCATACACCTAGCTATGTCTACTAGTGAAGGGCCTACTCGATCGTTTCCTCTCGCATTCATGCGATGATCCGTAGGAAAGGAAACCTCACATTCATTGTTGCCGGACGATCGGGCTCTTCAGGCGGTGGAGTGTGTGCAGTACAGATCGTAGCGCTGTGCTTGTTGACCCTGCGGAGACAACTCGTCCTTGAACTCCTTTCAGATGCGCGTTCCAAAGTCGAAGTTGGCGCGGTCAGGGCTCTCGGCACTGCCCTGATGGTATAAGCCCCCAAAAGCCCTCTTGTGAGCGCTCCCATAGTAACCATCCCTGACGCCATTCACCACGGCCGTCACGAAGCTCTCGCGCACGGCGACGAGCTTGAGGAGTGCGGGGACGCCGATCTGCTCCACCTCCTCGAGGCTCGGGGGGTGCTCCCGCCGCGCGAGCGCGAGCAGCGCAGGGAAGAGCAACCCTTTCGCGTCGTTGTGCAACCGCGCGAACGCGATCGCGCGCGCGGGGTCCGTCTCGGGGAATTTAAGCTTCGTGAGCTCGTCGACGAGTGCGCGCCGTATACGGTCGAAGCACCACTGGGTGGCGAGCTTGAAGGCGGCGATGCACTCGTCCGTCGTCAGGTCCGCGGCTTCCTGCTCTGTGGAACTGAACCGCCTGGTGGCGACAGGCGGGTAAGCTTTCAAACCAAATGGGAACCCCCGTAGAAGATGTCTGCTCACGGGGCAAAGAGCGCACGTAGGAACGCGCAAAAGTCTTCCTCTCTGATGCCCTCTAGCACCAGCGGACGGTCATCGGACGATCCTTCGGCAGCGACGTCAGACCCAAGTTGGGGCACGGCGAACATGTCTCTGAAGATCTCTGAGCCGTCTTCGAACTTCCGGCGCGGGACTTTGAAGAGCTGGGTGCCGACTTGCAAAAGAGCCATCAGCTTATCCCGGAGAACAAAGGGTTCGTACTTACTTCGATGATGAGGTCATCTTGCGAGGGGTAGAATTGTAGGTTGCGTGTAACGGCGGGGCGCTCTCCTGCAGCAGGGGTCGAGGCCATTGTGCGAAACGATATAGGCGTAGTCGTGGTCGGGGATGAAGGTGCGATCGGTACCGACGACCAGCACATTTACCGCAGGATATCTCCATGTCACCCGAGGTCTCCTGAACATGAGGCCCTAGGCCTGGGGAATGCCGTAGCCTCGTGCACTGCGCCCCAAGAGCGCGAGTTCGAGGCGTGATGGGGACAAGATTCGCCTTCCGATATACAATCGCAGCGCCCACCTAAATTGCGTGGAAAACGTGCACCGCTGCAGAACCAAGGTGAATACGGATCGAGGGAACCTGCTACTTATTTTTCAACGGATCGTTCAGAACGTGCGTCGGGGCTGAGCGAATGTTGTCAAAAGACGTAATCTGGAATAGATACAATAGTAGGTGAGTCCTCCTACAACTCGTCGCGCGACATGGTAATTGGCACTGTGGGGTCCTGCACGCCACCAGTATGCGATACCGACTCTAGGACTTCAGATAGGGTGGTCGGAACCTCGTCGTGCACATCTTCCGTCGTGCTGCTTTTCCCCAGGGATGTCACCGAGGTCGCCATTGAAACTGCAACGGAAGATGCAGTGGCGACGATGGTCGAGACTGTCTCAACAACACTGCTGGCTGTCTCCACAACCGCGTCTACGACCTCGCCTTTCTCCATCGCGAGCAGCGCCTCGTCGCCGCTGAAGTCGGGGATAAAACGCGTCCACCAGAGGGCGATGCGGAGCCCACGGTCGACGACGCGTTGCTTGAGGATGAAGAGGACGACGAGGACGAAGAAGGCGAGACCAGCGAGCACGAGGAGACGGTCGAGCGTGTCCGCCCGCTCAAGCGCGGTAATTAGGTACTTCGAGGTCGACATGAGCATCGAGAGCGTGTCATGCGTCGACGACGCCGACTTTAGTGACGCGGTGGACGATTCTGCATGGGCACGGGAGACGGGGGATGAGAACGAGGAAGACGGGATATGGGGAATGAAGTGGGACACACCGAGGAGTTGGGTGGAGAGTACGGAACGTTCGAGCTCGCCCTGCATAAGCCCGAGTGTCCGCTGGAGGGCCTCGGTGACATCGTTTGTAACTTTCATGAGGGCGTCCTCGCTATGGTACGTTGAGTAAGACGGAGCAGGCATAAAGACAGGCCGTAACGCACGCTACTTTTTCCCCAAGAGACTGCTTCTCTTGAACCACAGACGACCGCAACAGCTCTTCTCGACGGGAGACTTGCTGAGAGTCAATGACTCGCTTGGATTCGAGCACCGCGGAACGCATGTCTCTCCTCATTCTGAGATGCAAGTGCGACACCGACACTCGTCAACAAAACAACTCGAGGACCATGTGCGGATAAGGTTACCTTGCTAGAGAAGACTGCAGCTCTTCGACTCTGTGTCTCAGCTCCCTCCTTGCTCGTTCCGTCCGCTGGTCCTCGACTGCAACATCCAGAGTCTACTAGACCGACTTCGTATTGGTGGTGGCGGTGAAGAAGGCAAACGGAACGCACCTCTAGCTGGCGTGCAAATACATCGAGGTCCTCGCGGATCTCAGCCGCATACTGCTGCTGTAGGGTGAGCGGCCCGTGCATGAGCGGAGGCGGGGAATTTGGAAGTCGAGCAGATCCTTTTCGCGCCGTTGGAGGGATGCGATGGTGTTGGTGGCCTCTTCGTCGATCGGAGAGTGAATGGGCGGCATGGCAAGACAATACAGACAAGGGTGGACGGTCGGAACGCAGATGAGGGTAAGAGGCAGAGGCTTTATTATTATTATTATTATTTTCAGACCATCCCGTCGGTTCACATAGTGGCTACGTAAGTACCGTAGCGACGGTGACCCAGCGCTAGGCCAGTATCCCGCGTTCGGTTGACGCTCGGTGGCACGGGACCGCACCCGTAGGCAGATTGCGGAACTTCGACGTCATCGGGCCGCGGGCGCCCGGCACCCCCTGTAGCGAGCGCGCGTTTGTCCGAAACTAAAGTCCACCGAGAAAAAGTCCGTGCGCTTCTTGGCCGCCACACTCACCCCCGCTCGGGCTACTCATACTAGAACCGGCCTCATCAGGCGCCGGAGGCTGCATCTCGCGTTCCGGGGGGGCTCGCGCTTGGGACCAGGTCACGCGCCGTGGGGCGCGCTCCTTGGGCGTGCGAGGTTGGGTGCCCGCGCGTCGTTCTTCGGCCGACGGCGGGGGCAGGTGGGGGAGTAGGCGGGGTGCGCGCCTGCGCAAACCACGCACTTCGCCACGTGGACGGTGGGACCAGGGCGCTTGGCGAGCGCCTCGTGGTGGTGGGTGTGGTGCGAGCCGGCGCAGAAACCGCACGCTGGAGGCGCACGGCATCGGACGGCCGCGTGTCCGAACTGTTGGCAGTTCGAGCACTGGAGGGGGCGGTCGGGCACGCGCGCGAGGGTGCACGCGCGCGGGCCGATGTCGAAGAGCAGCCGCGACCCGTTGAGGGCCCGCAGCGACTTGAAGTCCTCGTCGTCGACTATGTCGACAAGAGGGTGGCGGTGGTGGCGTCCGCGGCGTGGGGGCCCCAGCGGACGGAGGTGGTGGTGTCGGGGAGAGGCGCGCGGCCGTCGGACCAGCGGTGTCGCCGGAGCGGTGAACGGCGTCCCGGAGGACGTCGAGGGGGAGAGGGCGACGGGAGCGCCGGCGTCGTCGAGCGCGGAGCACTCGACGTGGTGGTACAATACCGACACCCGGTTGACGTACCGGGAGGCGCGCAGGGGTTGTTGAGGAGGCGGCCGAGGCGTCCGCGAGGGCGGAGGCCTGGGCGTCCCAGTCATGGGGGCGTCACGGGGGCAGATCGCGGGGACGACCGTCCACCGCGTGCGCGCGGGGTTGGAGGAGAGGCGGTCGATTTTGAAGTCGACGGCCCGGCGGAGGACCTCGAGGGCCTTGGCGTCGCTCGACCACACGGGGCGTGGGTGAGGTCGTGGGCGGCGTGGAGGTAGACCAGCCGGGCGGACCCGGCTGGGCGGCGGCGGCGAAGCGCGGCCAGCGTGTTTTGAAGCGCCGTCGGCGCGGCCTTGGCCGGGGCGACGGGGGCGGTGGCGGGGGGCGGGGCAGGGGCTGTGGGAGCGGCGGCTGCTGCGGGGCGCGCGACGAAACCCTTGCGGGCCGCGCCGGACACCCCCTTCCCCTTCCTCTTGGCGCCGGCGCGTGCAACTGTCGCCCAGGTGGGCTCGGGGACGCTGGCCGGGGCCGCAGGGCCGGGGGCAGGCTGGGTCGGGGCCCCGAAGGGCCTGGCTGGGAGGGCCGCGGCGCCGGTGGGCGCAGCAGGCGTGGGAGCGGGGGGCACGGGGGCGACCACGGGGGCAGCCTCGAGGACGGGGGCAGGCGGGGGGGAGGCCGGAGGCGCCGCCTGGAGGGGAGGGGCGGGGAGGGGAGCAGTCGGGGGGAGCTCGACGGGGACGACGTCCATGGCGTCTGCCGCAGCCGGTGGGGGAGGGGAGGCGGCCGCGCGGGCTGCCTTGTCGCGGAAGTGGGCCGCGGTGTTGGCGTAGTCCATGGCCAGCACGCACTGCGTGGTGTGCTGGATCCAGAACTGGGAGAGGGCGTCGCCGGACTGGCCGGGCGCCCTGTTGAAGAGGTCAGAGGCCTCTGCGAAGTTGGTGTCGTTGAGGGGGCCGAGCTTGAGCGCGATCCCGAAGATGTGGAGGAGGAGCTCCCGCACCGTGGGGGTGGCAGGAGCTGCGGGGGGAGGGGGGGCAGGAGCAGGTGCAGGGGCGGGGGCCGGGGTCCGGCTCTTGCAGTGGCGGGGGGAGCGTACGGTGAAGAGTTCGTCTTCGCTGTCGGTCCAGGCGCCGTCAGGGTTGCCGCCGGCGAGGATGGTGGAGGAGGCCGTGAGGGCCTGTTGGAGGGTGCGCTGGTAGTCGCGCTCGGTCTCCCAGGCCATGTCGTCGGCCGGGGGAGATGCTTTCTTCTTGCCCTTCTTCGAAGAGGGCGACATCGTACAGGGGTAGGGTGGGGAGAGGTGGTAGACGCTGGAGGAGATGGTGGTGGTACGAGGTCAAGGAGGACGAAGAGGCAGAGGCACTGGAGTCCAGGCGGAACAGGCTTGGCGATCGCGTGTCCAGTCCACCACGTGACGCCACGCGAATCGGCCATTGCCGATGCAGCACACCCACACATTTCTCCTTGCGAGTCCTCTCTGCTGGCTCGCCCTCTCACCGTTCACTTCACTGCTGTGATGGCCACCGCGCTTTCCTACGTCTTCCGCTCATCCGCATCCGGGAAGGCTCGGGCCACGCACCTCAGCTTCTACTCCACAATCTCGAACCTCACCCGCACGAACTGGAAAACGGGCGCACACCCCGCGCCCCAATCCCTCATCCAGTCCGAGGACGACAGCGCATGGCCGCAGCCTCTCAAAGAGGCCCACGACTCCCCGCTCCCACCCAGTTCCGATCACCCCCAGCAGGACGCAGGCAAGAAGCGGCGCTCGTACCGCGTCGTGCCCATCAAGACCGTCACGGAGCCCGCGGCGCCCGAGCACCGCGCGCACACGCGCACGATGAAGGAGCGGTTTCCTGAGGGCTGGGCGCCCCCGCGCAAGATCTCGCGCGAGGCGATGGACGCCCTTCGGGAGCTGCATCGGCTCGACCCCGAGCAGTTCAGCACGCCTTCTCTCGCCAGCCGGTTCAGGATCAGTGCGGAGGCCGTGCGAAGGATCCTGAAGAGCAAGTGGGAACCATCGCGCGAGCAAAAGATCCGGATGGCGCAGCGGGAGAAGGAGGGACGGGAGCGGTTCTTCAAGGCGAGAATGGAGGAGGAGCAGAAGCGGTATGAGGCGGATCAGCAGCGGTACGAGGACTTGAGGGAGGAGGCGGGTTTGGGCGTGCCGAAGAAAAAGGACGCGCTGACGTTTGTTTGATGGTCGGGGTAGAGGCGAGCGAGAGGCGGTTTCTTTATACTATGCCGTGGCGAGTAATCTTGGATCATCACACCCCCATCAATGATTTCACCCCCAGACTACGTGTGTAAAAGAAACCATTCAGGACATGAGTATCGCGTGGTCGAATGTCTTTTTCTAGGGACACGATGCATGAAGATGTATCTTCGGCTCTCGTTCAGTCCAACCCTCCGGATCCGTCGACTACACTCTATCCCCTGAGCTGTGGAGTCAGATTTACAGACTCTTACCATGGCTTCTTCACATATCGAAGTGATTCGCGACGCCTGGACTACATTATCATTCAGGTGAGCTGATTCAGGTGCTACTTTCGACAGCGTCCCTAAATAATTCAAGTCGAACAGGTGCTTTTCCGAGTCCCCAGTCGACCCTTCACAGTCGCTTCGCCACTTTTTCCTCAACTGACGGCACTGGCTTCCCATTTGAGACGCAAGGATGCACGCACTCCTCGAGAGCAGGAGCTGCTGGGCGTGCCGACGCACCTCAAGCTCGTCGTGGTGCGCGAGAGCTTTGTGAATGCTGAAGTAGCCAATGGCTACGGGAGCATTTGTGAATGTGGACGACTTCGGTCGCCTTTCCGGCCGGTCCGACATCCGGTAACGCAACTCCCCACGCTACATAGAGCCCAACACACGTACGGATTCTGTAGGGGGTCAAGGACGAGGTGTCTCCGCCAGCGCAGTAACCTCCTCAGAACACAAATAAACGGAGATCCCGAATGAATGATCATACAGCAATTATTGGACTGCATAAGGCAGGGCGTAAAACGGACGAATCCGCGGCCGTATCTAGACTCCGTCGTAGCTCGCGCCGCCCGCCTGTACACACATCAGGTCGCGTCGATACGGAGCAGGCGACAGAAACCAGGAGCACGCACCTTCCGTAGCCGGACGACGATGGGCTCCTGCTTGAGGTCGTCCTTTTCCCTCGCAGGAACTTCGATCGAGAACACGCGGAAGACGGACTTGACGTCCGCCGAGTGCACCGAGATCTGGGCGGTGCACGTCAGCACGGAGGACTCTCTGATGCAACAACCTGAGCGTGGAAGACGAGACGGTAGGCCGTCGAGCGGCACGCCAGGTGACGTAAACGCGGGCCCCATGGCAATGTGGAAGTCGCCTTCGACTCGCTGCGGACACAGCGCGCACGGCTCAGGGAGGGACGGGCACAGGAGCGACGCGGACACGAGCAGAAGAGACGGACGCAGGACGCACCTTCGCCTTGCGCATGACCTTGCAGTTGGGGCCGATCCAGACGATGAGGATGAACTTCTCCCGGGTGGACTCCTTGTCGTTCGAGTACTGCACGCGCACGTACGCGTACGAAGCCTTGGAATCGTCCAATTTCTCCCGCAGCTCCTCCAGCCCGCCAGAGCCGGTCGAGGTCAGCGCGAGCTTGTCCGAGCGGTCAGACTGTGCGTAGTGGATGAGGCCAGGATCGGCGCCAAGGAATTTGGACCAGCGCGGCGGGCGGTATCCAGAAAGAGGAGGGAGGTCGGGGCGCGAGAGCGAGTTAGCTCTCGCCAGATCGCGAGACACGGGCGAGGTGGGGGACGGACCTCGTAGTCAATGAGACACCAGTTCGTATCCGTCTTGTCCGAGCGGACGTCCTGGTACGCTGGGTGAGTCCGATGTTAGCCCTCTCGTGTGCGTTGCACCGCTGCATCGATGCGCACCTTCGTCGATCTTCGGATCGGAGCAGTCGGCCATGGCGTGCGGAGAAGGCGGGGCGGGGACTGGGAGCGAGCGTGAATTTAAGGACGCGAGACCGAATGAAGAAGGCGAGGGTGGACACGAGAGCAGTTGGAGAGAGGACGTTGGAGGCGATGTGCCGGGTTATCGACCCCGCCATCCCAGGCCATCCCGAGCCCTCGGCATCGCCCGGGCGCGCGCGACAGGCCTCTTTCGGTCTCCACTGACTGGGCGGAAAGAGAACGGGACTGGGTTCTCGCTCAACTCTTGCCTCACTAATCACCATCCAACCAACACCTCACCCACCTTTTACTCATCCTCGATCGTCTCCGTAGTTCTGCCGCCATGGATCTCCTTCCCAGTACATAACATCCACTCTCTGCTGTTCTGCCCGTCCTGATTCGGGCGTCCCAATGGATCCCCAGCACTTGAGGCCTCTTGGAGGAGCCAGCAGCAGAAGATATGCGTGATCGGCGCCGGTCCTGCCGGTCTGGCAGCCCTCAAGCTCATTAAGGACTCGCCTCAGTACAAAGGTGGCTCGTGGACGGCGACTGCTTTCGAGGCGCGCGATGGCGTAGGAGGCGTATGGTGAGTACCACTTCTCAACCAGTACTTTCCGGTGCGAAACAAGAGCATTGATCTGGGTGGATGCTTGGCCTGATGATGTCCGACATGCTCACCGATCTCTTCAGGCTCCCTGCGCCTCCAACCCAAAATCCTCCTCTAACTCCTCTCTACGATTCCTTGACCACGAACCTGCCTCACCCAGTTATGGCGTATACCTCCTTGTCTTTTCCTCCTTCCACTGCTGCATACCCCCCTGCATCTAGCGTCTTATCGTATCTTCAAGGCTACGCGGAACATTTCGGTCTCATGGAGCTTGTTCAACTAAACACCTCCGTGACGTCGGTGACACGGGATCACAGCACAGGCAAATGGGTCGTCACAGTACGCAAATCAAAACAAGAATCCGAGGAGACCTCCTCCTTCGACTTTCTCGTCGTTGCAAACGGACATTACCGCGTCCCGCGAACTCCGTCTACGCCTGGCCTGCAGCAATGGTTTGACGTGAAGAGGGCAATGCATTCGGTGTACTATCGACATCCATCCGACTTTGGAGATGCGCGGACGGTGCTCGTTGTTGGCGCCGGTCCCAGCGGCTCCGACCTTTGCTCCGATCTCCTCACGTCTGGCCGCTCCGTCGTACACTCCGTCACCAACGCCAAGTCCTCTGATGATCCTGACGGCCGTCTGAAAACTCGTGGACGCGTCGCAAGCTATGGGGACCCTGAGAAGGGCGAGCTCACATTCGAGGACGGATCCACTCTGTCCGGAGTCGACTTCAGCGTCCTTGCAACAGGTTACAAGTTCGACTTTCCGTTCTTACCGGAGTCTATTCTCCACCGTCTGGTACCCCCTGCTGTCCCGCCACTCCCCGGAATCCTCTTCAACTCAACATACAGCGTCTTCCCACTGGCCAAGCACATTTTCCCTCTCGTCGGTGCCGACGAATTCCCAGGCACATCGGTCGCGTTCCTTGGGCTCCCCATCCGCGTCGCACCGCTACCCCTGCTGGAAGCCCAGATGGCCGCCGTTCTCCACGTTTTCGCCTACCCCACAGCCCTCGACGCGACCCAAGAAGCCCTCGACATCGTCGAGCGGTACGAGACGATCCGCGCTCACCTCTCGCGGCCCGCCGCGTCCGAGCCCGACCTCACGGCCCCGAACGCTTCCGCGGACCCGACCGAGCTCGCGATCGCCGCGGCTTGGCACCGCTTCGACGGGCACGAGCAGTTCACGTACCGCGACGCGCTGCACGTCTTCGCGGGCTCGCCCGTGCGCGTCGCGCCGTGGGAGATCGAGTCTTACGACGCGAAGGGCGAGCTGCGGGCGGAGTGGCGCGCGCTCGAGCGGGCGGGCGAGGCGGACGAGTGGGTGCGCGGTGTCGGTGCGGGCCCGGGTGGGGACGCGGAGTGGGTTGACCTGCTTCGGCGGCTGTTGAAGCGCGTGCGGGATCGGCAGGAAGAGGAGAAGGGGAAGAGCAGGCTGTAGCCTTGGGTGGAAATGAGGTGCGGCAGCGTGGGTAAGGCGTATAAAGGCGGATCTATGTGGAGTCGTAACATGGAATCGAGAGTAGAGGGCAAGGTTCGGCAAGTGCCGCATGTAGTCATTCGAGGTTCGAGTGTCGGCATCCTGGCGAAATAAGAACAGACTTGTGCTTACTGCGGCGACATGGTCTGTGGCTCTGATTACAACCGCCGCCACTAGGTCTTCTCCCACCTTGTCGCGATACCCATGCAGCACGTCGCAAACACTCTTTTAGGTGACTTCAACCTTCATCATTATATTCTATGCACTCACGTACGTTTGCAGGGTTCCTGAACTACCTCAGAGGCAAGCCTGCTGAGAAAAAAAAGGGTCTGCGTAATTGGCACCGGGGCCTCAGGCCTCACATCTGTGAAAGCCATCAAAGATTCTCCTCAGTTCAAGAGCGGACTGTGGACAGTCACAGCACATGAAGCTCGTGAGGCAGTCGGTGGAGTATGGTGAGGTCTTCGACGCTCCGCGCCTGTTGTTGAATGTTCACGCTTTGCCTAGGCTGGCGGCCCCTGCGGAGGGCGACCCGCCACTGACTCCCGTCTATGACTCACTCACGACGAATGTACCGCATCCGACAATGGGGTTCCTGTCGCTCCCATTCCCGCATGAAACACCCATCTACCCACCGGCGGAGGCCGTACACAAGTACCTCCAGCACTACGCGGAGCACTTCGGCTTGCTCGAGCACATCAAGCTCAACAGTTCGGTCTCTTCCGTAACGCGCGACAAGGACGCCGGAAAGTGGGTCGTGACGACGCGCAATGCGGTGACCGAAGATGACATTGTTTCCTACGATTTCGTCATCGTCGCGAACGGGCATTACCACGTTCCGCGAGTACCAACCACTCCCGGGCTTCAAACGTGGCTTGACGCAGGCCGCGCACAGCACTCCATCTACTACCGCAACCCCTCCAGCATAGGCACCGCCCAAACGCTGCTGGTTGTCGGTGCCGGGCCCAGCAGCAACGATATCAGCGCCGAGCTGTTCTCCACCGGCCACACCTCATCGGCTCCATCACCAACGGCAAACCGTCCAACTCTGAGAACCCAAATCTGAAGATCCGCGGGCGCGTCGCGCACTGCGACACCCCCGCCTCCAACCGCGTCGTCTTCGAAGACGGCACCGCGCTCTCCGGGATCGACCACGTCGTGCTCGGGACAGGCTACGAGGCCGCGCTGCCCTTCCTCGCGCCCGACGTCCTGCACGTCGCCATCCCCCCGCGCGCGCGCGCGCGCACTTCCCGCGGCGCTCGCGAACTCGACGTACAACGTCTTCCCGCTCTCACGGCACATCTTCCCGCTCGTCGACCCCGCGCGTGCGGCGTTCCCGTGGCACACCCTCGCCTTCGTCGGCCTCCCGAAGAGCATCGTGCCCATGCCGTGCTACGAGGCCCAAGCGATCTTCGTCGCGCACGTCTTCGCGCACCCTGCGGCGCTCGACCTCGCCGCCGAGACGGACGCGGTCACCGCGCGCTACGACCTCCTGCGTGCCCGCTTCTCCAGACCCCCCTCGTCGCCCCTCCCGAGCCCCGCGGACGCGTTCTCGGGGGCGCCTCCGGGTCCCGCGCTCGACCTCGCCGTCGCGAAGGCGTGGGACGTGTTCGAGGGACACGCGCAGTTCGCGTATCGCGACGCGCTCCGGGGCGTCGCGGGCGATCCTGTGCGCGTCGAGGACTGGGAGAGGGAGGCTACGGATGCGAGGCTGACCCTGCGCGACACGTGGAAGTCGCTCTAGCGGAGCGGGGAGGCCGCGGAGTGGGTGCGCGGCGTTGGACACGGCCCGGACCCACGGAAGGAGTGGCGGGAGGTGATGGAGAGACTGCTTAAGCGGACCCGGGAAGGGGAGAAGCAAGCATGAGGGAGGGTGAACGGGAGGGGCTGGGAGCGAAAGGGAGAGTATCATGGTTCAATTCATCCCCGCTGTGCTCAAAGTGCTCCCGAGTTGGTATCTGGATTGTGAGTCTCCCTGTGTCAAACGAAGGATTTTCTCAGTACGGTGCTCCGCCTCGCGTCGAATAACGACCTGTTTGTGTATACATTGGGAGCGCCGCGGCGGGCACTCACTCAGCATTTGTCTAGGAGGTACACGCGACTCGCCACAAGGCTTGAAGGTTTACTGGCCTCGACGTTTTTGGTGGGTACTTCTCATAGTACGTTGTGACGGGGACCTTGACACTAGAGCATACCTACCTTCCATGTACAGACCATCGGCTTCAAGGAGGTCCACGGGTTCACACTCTTATCCACCGCCCCACGGCCGTGGCCAGGGGCATGAAGCTATGATAGGAGGCTTAATTACAAGCTTCTGCAGCGACGCTGCGGTAGATTGGTTGTACGTATAAAGAGCTGCACATATTCTCCCCCCGGGATGGGTTTCACTGCAGCTTTCCTCCTCGATTCCTTCGTGGCATATCGCAACATTCCCCGTCCGTATCTACACACGCCGGTCCTCACATGGATGATCCTCAGCCAAACAAGCTAATGACCTCCGCTACGGCTGACGGACGTATACGAAACCTGCAGTTCTACTCTGACTGCCTTATTATTCAAGTGAGTAAGCACTGACATACGATGCGGTCTGAACCAAAGTAACCGTACCGCATCCATAGGTGGGCGTGCAGCTGTTCAAAGTTCCCCGCCAGAAGTTCGAAGGCGGCTCACGGGTCTTCAGAGACATGTTTTCTCTCCCTCAACCCTCGCATCTTGCCGTGGACGGTCCACTTCGATCCGCCGAAGGAACATCGGAAGACCATCCACTCGTGCTGGAGGGCATTGATGAGACAGAGTTCTGCGCGTTCCTGCGTGTGCTCCTCGTTCCGTGAGTGTTATTCCAGCGCATTGGCACCACACCTGTGCGCTCACCAGGATCCAGTCTCTATGGGCGCACGGCGAAGGAGAAGGAAAAGCTCACCGTCGACGAGTGCATCGCGGCGCTCAAGCTGTCCACACAGTGGCGATTCTTTGGCCTACGCGAGGACGTGATCCACCTGCTCACAGTTCGCGACTTCCCATCAAGCGAGCCAGTGCGCGCCATAACCGTAGCGCAGCGCTACGATATTCGCGACTTCCTCTTCCCGGCGTTGCTTGCGCTGGCTCGACGGGAGGAGTCGCTGCAGCTCTCCGAAGTGGAGTCGTTGGGCATGGTGATCGGGGTCAAGATGGGGCAAGTACAAGAGACGTTCGTGGGATGTCGCCAGGAATGGGACATCTACAGGGTACACTCCAGTCTCACGGTTGTGAAGCGAGCCGATTTCGATTTCGCGAGGAGCATTAGGGGGTGTTCCGGGCGGAGCTACATATTCCCTGCCACCTAGCCATGACAACACAGACACATTAGTACTTGCTCGCCCGCTCATCAAAGAAATACACGCAGTTAGGCCCTGACAGAGCACACAATGAGTAGATACAGTGCATATGGAATCAAGCGTCCGCCCTTGGAACCACGACATGTGTCACTGCGGCAGGAAGCATGTACTTAGTACGTACATTAGTACCTACACAAGGTGTCTGCAGGTTGAGGATATACTGGCTCACTTTGGCGACTGACGGCAATCGATGGGCGATGTGTGCGTGCGAAGAGCGGTGGCGAAGGGGAACGACGCGGCTCCCCGCCGCCCAGGCGGGGCTGGGGCGCATCAATCAACGTCCTCGGTCGACTCGGGCCAGAATTGGAAGTACTGTAGTCGAGAACGCCCTCGCTAGCTGCGGCCGTGGAGGCTAGATGTCGCTGCCCTCTGACTGTGCCTTCCATCCCTGACTCCTGAGCTGACGCCGTGCGGGCAGCGCGACCTCATCTGGGAGGTGTTCAAGATCAAGTATGAGCACCCCCAGAGCACCCTGATATCGACATGATAGGACTGCTTGTGACGGTACACCTGTTGAATCCACAAAACCTTGCAGCACTTGGCAGTAGTCCAGTGCTTGGTAAGAGAAAAAGCGCGAGAGAACTTACACCTTCCACTTTCAGCCCAAACCAATCTGTTTATAAGGTAACCTGAAGCACAGCAACTTGACGCAGTGGAAGCGTGCAGGGCTCATAACCCTGAAGTCCCTGGATCGAAACCAGGAGTTGCTAGGAATTGAAGGACCGGTAATTTTGTCACGCTGGCGCCCCGCCTCCATCAGTGGTCCGCACTCGTTTGCCGTTCTCACAGCCCTCTGCTCCGCTCGACATTATCTCTTCGGCTTCACATATGGTCCCACTGGCGTGGTCGTATGCGGTGGCTGAAGCGCTGACTATTCTTTTGCTCCTGCCTGATTCTGTGCCGATCTGGCCAAAAGTGAGAGCTCTCTGGCTTCACCTGACAGATGCAAGCGGGGACAAGTCGCAGAAGCACGGGTTCGAGTGCGCGCCGCTAGAGAAGACTCGATGGATGGTGATGAACTCCAGGCACATCTCGATGGACCCGCGTTGCACCCACATCGTGCACCCAACCTCGGCGCGCCCGGACCGCCGAATGCCCAGGGTCGAGAGGCGGAACCTTCGCGGTTGTGGGAGAAGGAGACCGGTGCCTGCGAGCTATCTCCCTCGGCCGCGCTACTCGGGCTGCAGGTGCGCACACCGCGGCGGAGGCGACGTCTCCCGCCGCGCTCGCCTGGGCTGAAGACGGAAGACGGGGAGGGCCTCTGCGACGCCCGCGCCGAGCACGCCTGGGTGGGTGGGGGAAGGGACGAAGCGGATCGGCGGGGCGCGGCAGGAGGACGCAACGGGACTTCCCACCCCGACACCCCGAGATGGACGCCGGACAGGCCAGGGGGACGGCGCGTGCTCGGGGCCTCAATAAATAAGTACCGCCCGCGAACCTCTCTCGCGCCCGTCCTCCCGCCCCGCGTCGCCCCGCCCCCTCGCCCACCCCCGCCCCCGCCCCCGCCGCCATGCTCGACCAGTCGCGCGCGGTGTCCCTCGCGCTCCTTGTCGCCGGCGTCTTTGTCCTCCAGAAGGTCTTGGACTTCCGGCGCGCCGTCGCGTCTATCAAGTAAGTCGCCGCTTCTCCCTCTCTCGCGCCGTGCTCTTCCCGCGCAAGCCAGAATCTTAATCACCGCCGCGCCCCTCCTTCCCCCACCCTCTACCGCGCGCCCGCGACATCAGCAACCTTCCAGGCTTCCGGACGCTCTTCAACGAGCGGTTCATCTGGTTTCCCTTCCGCGTCCGCGGCGTCTCGCCCGGCATCCAGTCCGAGGTCAACCTCTACCGCAAGTACAAGGACTTCGAGGAGGCCGGATGGGACATCATGTCCGGGGTGCGTGTCCTGCTCTCCCCCGTTATCGCCCCTCTCACAGTTTGCTGCGATCGGGCCACCTCCAGGTCAGCGTACTCCCCTCCGGTCATGTCACGCTCTACCTCGCCGACCCCGTAGTGATCAAGGTGCGCAGACCGCCCGCGTTTCGCAGCACGACGCTGACCCATCGCGCGCGCGCAGGAGGTCATCGGCGCACGGTCTCGCTTCCCAAAGTCGCTCGGCCCCTACCAGATCCTGCTGACGTTCGGACCGAATCTCGTCGCGTCCGAGGGCGAGGACTGGAAGAAGCAGCGGAAGCTCGTCGCGCCTGCGTTCTCCGAGGTCCGTCCGCCGTGCGCTCGTCGCCCGCTGCGTGCCGCTGACCGCGCGCGGGGCCAGAAAAACAACAGGCTCGTGTGGGACGAGACGGTGCACATCGTCGATCAACTGTTCGCGACCGTCTGGGGCGACAAGGAGACGATTGATGTCGCGAACATCACCGATCTGACCGTACCGGTGCGTTGCTCCTTCTCCATCTCTATGGCGCGCCTGCCTGGGGCTCACACGCCCCACCGTAGATCACGCTCATGGTGATCAGTGTTGCTGGCTTCGGTCGGCGGATCTCGTGGAAGGAGGACACCGCCGCGCCCCCTGGTCACAAGATGACCTTCAAGGTCCGTCTACCCGCGTGCGTCTCTGTGCAGCGCTGACCCCGCGCGCGCTGCGCGATACAGGAAGCGCTCAACATCGTGTCGCGCAACCTCTTCATCGAGCTCCTCGTCCCCAAATGGCTGCAGCGCTGGGGCACGCCGTACCTGCGCAGCTTCCACACCGCCAAACAGGAGCTTGAGGTGCGCGCCCGTCCTCGTAACAGCTCACGCGCTGGTTCTGACGCGGGGCGGGGTACAGGCGTACATGCAAGACCTGATTGATCTCCGCCGGTCGTCAGAGGTCAAGGAGGAGCGTCACGACCTGTTCAGCAGCCTGCTGGACGCGCACGAGGGTCTCACGATCTCCGGCGAGCGCATGTCGGACGACAACCTGTTTGGGAACGTATTTATATTCATGATCGCGGGTGCGTTTTCTCTTTCCCGTCCCTTGTTCTCATGGTGGCTAACCCCGCTCCCACACAGGCTACGAGGTGGGTTCCTCATCCCGCGCTTCGGGCGCGCCTCATCTCGCACTAATGCTTACCGTGCTCTGTTTACGGGACGACAGACGAGCGCGCACTCGCTTGCGTACGCGTTGATCCTCCTGGCCCTCCACCCGGATGAGCAGGAGAAACTCTACGAGCACATCCGCTCAGTGATCCCCGACGACCAGACACCGACGTACGAGGACTTTTCCAAGCTCACGTACACTATGGCGTACGCTCCTCCTCTCCTCGACCCCTTTGTTAATTGACTCACGAGTGGGGCCGACAGTGTCTTCAACGAGACCCTCCGCCTCTTCCCGCCAGTAATCACGATTCCGAAGGAGTCCGAAGAAGACACGACTTTCACGACCACGAACGCGCTCGGCGAAAAGCGCACGATCCCCGTGCCCAAGGGCACCTTCGTCACCATCCACACCCCCGGGCTGCACAACAACCGTGCGTCTCCCCTCCCTTCCCGCTTCGCTCCTCCGCGCGCCCTCTCACCCGTTGACCACCAGCGAAGTACTGGGACGACCCGGACGCGTTCCGGCCCGCGCGTTTCCTGGGGCCGTACCCGCGCGACGCCTTCCTGCCCTTCTCCGGCGGGCCGCGCGGGTGCATCGGCCGCGGGTTCTCGGAGACGGAGTCGATCGCGGCGCTCTCGCTGCTCGTCGCGCGCTACCGCGTCGAGGTGCGGGACGACCCGCGGTTCGCGGGCGAGACCCTCGACGAGCGCAAGGCGCGGCTGTGCCGGAGCAAGCTGAGCGTGACGCTGTAGTGAGTGCCTCGTCCTTATCTCTATCTTATCCGTGGGGAGGAGCGCGGGACGAGAGCGGCTGACGATTCGTGCCCTGCTTTCCCCAGCCCGACGTGCGCGCCGCTCGTGTTCAAGCGGCGGTGACCGCGCTCTCCGTCCACCAAGCTTCAGAGCTTCAACGTTCGTTCGCGCCCAGGACCACGTTCCGGTCTCCGGACCCTCTACACCAGCCCCGCCCCCCGGGTCCGAGTTCCCAGTCTCCAGCCCTCATTTACCTCCACCCTTTCCCTCGCGACGCCCACATCGCCCTCGCCCCGGCGTCCGGCCGCCCCTGGACTTCCCACCGGCCCACACACGGCCCCCACGCTCTCTCCGGACGCCCACAGTGCCCACCTCGCCTCCGTCGAGTTGCGCTCATACCGTACGTTCGAGATCTCACCCGCACGCTCTCCCCAGCCGCGCACCTTCCACCACCACTACCCGCCGTGCGCGCTCGCTCTGCCGTTTTGTTGTACTCTACTCGCTGTCCTGTCCCACCCGTGCTTTCTTCCTTCGCTCCCTCCGTATCCGTATCCGTTATAATCTCGTCTTTCGGGCCTCTCGGGCCTGAGCCCGAAGCGAACGTGTGCACGGCGTGCGACAACCCAGCACTCAGCGTACGTACGCGCACCGCAACCTGAGTTGCTTCCCAGCCCGACGCACGTCGAGCTCGGGAAATCCGCAAGAACCAGCTGCACGCCGGAGTGCATGACGTCACCCGGCCGCCCTGCGCGCGCGTCACACCCCGGCTCAGTGGCTTCTCTTCGCAACGACAGTCAACCACACCGCGCAATGAATGGATCGCGAGCAGAAGGTTCGACAGCCGCCGTCGCCCCGCACGCGCGGCCAGAAGCGTGTCGCGTGCCGAGCGCACGCATGCTACCACCCAGAACGCGTTACTCGTCGCCGTGCCTGATGGCATGGGATCGAGCACGACTCGTGCCTACGCGCTCGTGCATGAGGGTAGCCAAACCAACGATCGATCGATCGTGCTCAACCGACTCGGGTATTCATACAGGGACGCCTGCTCGTCATCGAGAACGCTTCCAAAGCAAAACATGCGAGTGTGTGCGGGTAGTGAAGAGGAAGGCGGCGGGCAAGCGGGCAAGGGGGGACGGGAACGGGGGAACGGGAAACGAGCCGCGGACGCGACGCTCCAGTCGAAGTCGAAGTGGGGGGAGGGGCGAGGGGGGCGATTACGCGACGACGTAAAATAAGTAGTGGACCGGGGCGCACGCGCTGCGCGCCCGCGGTGCGAATAAACAGCAGCGGCCGTGGGGGGCAGGGAAAGACAAGGGGGAGGGGAGCCTAGGCGAAGTGAAGGTGGCAGGGAAGGCGGCGCGCGAAACGAGTGTCCGGGTGTGCGTGTGCGTGCGTGGGACGTGAGGCTGGCGTGAGAGTGGGGTAGCGAGGTGGTTGTGGGAGGAGAGGGGGAGGAGTGGGGGCAAGGCGAGGCAAGGCGGACAGAAGGCGTGCATGCGAGCGACAAGTGGGTGCAGTGGCCGGGAAGGAGAACGAGGAAGGAGAAGAGGGCGTGCAGCGCGAATGCAAGAGAGCGAGGCGGAGAATAGAGGGGCGTACACATAGCGGGGTGTGGGCGGTGACTGTTCATCTTACGTATAGAGGTGTGAGAGCCAGCTTGGTGTCCATGATATCCGTTTGGGGGCGAAGCAAGATGAGGAAGAGGAGGTGGTGGATGAGCTGCTCTGGACATCTTCCGTCCTCGTCAGCAGCGAGTCCGTCACGATCAAGAGGCTGACGACGCACCACAAATCAAGTCGAGCATTCAGTCAGCCGCGCCTCTACAGCACCGGCGGCGACCCCGCCCTCGTCGACGTATCCACTCCGCCCACATGCGACTCTCCATCATCCGCCCCTACACTCGACGGCGCCCCAGGTGTACCCCGCGGCTTGATGTTCGTGTATGCTGGTGGAAGCTCGATCGTCTCCGCTTCCGCCTCTGCTGGGGGCTCCTCTGACGGGCCCGCATCGTCGTGCTGAATGATGTTCACCGGACGGAATGTCGGCGGCGCGGGCGACTTCCGTGTGCTTGTCGAGGGGACCGACGTGCCATGGCGCATGTACCCGGCTCCACCGGCGTCGGACGTGCTGGTGGTCAGGTACGACTGGCGCCGGCCTTCGGTACTCGGGCGCGCGGAACCGCCGTGGACAGAACCATCCGCAGACACAGCGGTGGGGTCGGGGAGCATGAAGGGCTCGGGCCGGTAGTATTCGGGAAGTCGTTGGTCACCAACGGGCTCTTCATCGTGCTCGTCGTTGAGAAGGTCGACTGGCCGCTCTTTCGGCTCATTATGGAATCTCTTGCGGCGGATGTAGAAGAGCAGGAGGAGGGCGATGGCAAGAGCGCCGACGACACCACCAACTACGCCACCAACAATAGCTCCGACATTGGTACTTGAGCTGCTGTAACCGAGAGCGGTGAGTATATGCACATAGGACGATACTGAAAGGTCGCATACTTGCTGCGTCCGGTCCCAGAACCGTCTGTGCTTGTGGGGTAACTGCCTCCTGCCGGAGAACCAGGGGTTGATGAAGGGGACGAAGAGTTGAGACACGAGGTAACGTCGCTCTGCTGCAGGGTATACTGGTTGCTCCCTCCGGTGCCGACACCACGATCGTCTCCAACAACCATAACGACTTGAGTGCCGATTCTCAGATTAGGGACCCATGTGAAACCCGTTCCTTCGTTTAAGACCGAGGTGGTGGTATTTTGTGGTACTGTGAACGACTCTCCTCCAGGAATGACGCCCTTGAACGTCACGGTACTGCACAACTGATGTCAACCAATCATCAAGCAAAAGCCACCGAGATGACGCACCCATTCACTTGTGTTGGGTCCCACCATAGTCGAGTAGGCTGGCAAGTGGCAATGAACCCGTCGGGGAACGTGTGGAAGAAGAAATTTGTCTGCACTGATGTCGTCGCATCGAAGCAGCTGGCATCATTACTGTCGAGGACAGTCGCTACGGAACTCGTCCCTCCAGTTCCAAAACCGTTACTATCGCTGACCTGCGGAAGATTGAGCGATTAGTATCCGGACATACACAGACTCAATTGCAATGGCGAGGGCTTTTCAGCTGCTAAGCAAGCTGGACCAGCCGGATATATGCCCCTGGGCCAACTCCAACGACCGCAGTCTCGGAGATAAGCTAGCCATGGTCAGCCCACCCACGCACCGCGTGCTGTTATCTGCCTCCCTTGAATCCGCCGTTCGGACTCGCGCCCGACTCTCTCGCACGCGCCCACATCGCGCACGACCAAAGAGAGCACGGTTCATCGAACCCAGCATCGAGTCCATCCAATCGCCACCAGTCCAAGCGCTGTATCGTCCACATGCGGCGGGGAAGCATGCAATCCTATCCGAGCCGGGTCATCCAACGGGCACAGGACGCCGCGGGCTGAAAAACATCTTCGGATGGGCTCCATGCGGCTAGGACGCGTGCCCGAGCGTGCCCGAACGTCCCCTGCCCGTCGCCGCGAGTGTGGAATCCGGCGCCCGACGTGCAGACGAATGATGCATGACACCGCCCGCTGGGCGCACAAGGGTACCACTCCGGCCGCGGCGCAGGGCATCGTTCGAACGCAGGCCGAGCGACCGCGTCGCCCGCGACCGTGCGTATCCGCGCGTCCTTTCGTCCGAACGCCCCCCGCCCTGCTCCACGAGAGGATCCCAGCGTCCCTTCCAAAAATACTCCCGGGGCTCCACCGAGACTGCCCACCGCGATCGCAGACGACCGGAGAACGGGGGACTCACCACGGCGATGAACTGCGAGTTCTCCGGAAACTTGAGCTGGAAGGACACCGAGCTCGAGGTATTGAACGGCACTTCCGTGATCCGCCGCGCCTCGACCTGGTTCGCGAGCGGCGTGGGCCCGGTGGGGACGAGCAGGAGCGAGTACGGCGGCGAGCCACCCGAGCCGGTGATGTCGACCTCGAGCGTCTGGCACTGGCGCGGGGTCGAGACGATGTTGAACGAGTATGCGGCGGCGACGGCGGCGAACGGCAGCACCGCGAGCGTGTGGCGGATGGCGGAGGGCATCGCGGCCGTCGTGTGTGGGGGGAGACGGCCAGGCGAGGGTGGGGGTGGGATTGGCTTGACGGGGGATCCCTATGGATGGGGGAGAAGGGGGAGGGAGGAGAGGGCGGAGGAGACGTCGACGACGAGCGAAGGACAGGCGCAGTCGTGGTCGGGGACAGTGGGTCGAAGACGGTCTCTCCACCGCTGGGGCGCTGCCCGTTTGATTTGTGGATTCCGAGCGCAGATGGTTTCACACGCTCGGCGGCCAAGGCCAGTCGGACGGCGGACCGGCGGTGGCGCCTCTTCGCCCATGCTCGGCCGCTGCGTGCTCGAGCTGATTATCGAGCTGCTACAGCTCGCACTGGGCGGATAGTGGACGAGGGCAGCGAACGTCGGACACAGGCACGAAGCAGGCCCATGACGCCATTCAGCCCGTCTGCTCAGGCGGCTAAACGTCGGCGTTCAATATGGCTGGCCACGTGTGCCTGGGCATCTCATCCATGCCGCTGCCGACTCGTCACAAGTTTCGTCGACGTTCGAATTATTGAGGATGCCCCAAGTGCTCCGCTGAGGGCACTTCTGGCTGTTTTTTGGCCAAACATATTAAATCTGTGATGCATGCAGTTCCCCATAAGACACAAGCCATATTGTGGAGCAAGGTATGGATTGATGTTATGGTGCTAGTACATATTTCCTGCTCCTTGGAGAAGGCATCTGTAGTTTATAAGCCAATTCCCCGATATGACGGCGTGAGTTCTCTCGGTATCGAGCTCCTTGCTGTCGATTATAATTCCGCTACCATGCTTCTGCGTGGAACATAAGCGCTCGTTCCCTCCAAAGCCCTCAGGTCATGTGAGACCATACTGCATGTCGCAACAGACCACCGGCACCAATCACAAGTCGTGAACGGTGTCGGCGGAGCCTCATGCGCGACTTGCAATGTCACTCCATGGGCAGCCGAGCTTGTTTCCCAGGTGGAGAGTAGCAAGCGATAGCGCTGGCGCCGGGGGACTGACGTGGCGTGCTCGTCGTTTTGCATGGTCGCCGATCTTCTTCGACATGCGAAAGGGGAACCGGAGCGGGCCGTTGCTCATACCACCGCGTGCTGGATTCCCGAACTCCAGTTCGACACTGCCGCCTCCTTCGGTTCCGATTTGGGACGATTGCGCCGGGAGTTGGGGGCTGATGTTCCCGCGATCGACCTGGAGCAAGAGCGAAGCTGCGATGACGGGCGATCGTGAAACGACAGCCGCAAATCGCTCTCCGAAGAGGGCAACTGGTGGCCGGCATCCACGAGCGACAATAGCCGGAGCCCAGATGCGCAGACGAAGGGCGAGACCGCAAGGAAGGCTCTCGCGTACCGAATGGCCCGTAGGACAAGATGCGATGGTTCGAGGGGGAAGGGGAATGGCGGTGGTGGTGGTGGAAGAGGTTCAAGTGGCACGCGGCAAAGCGCTAGCCGCCATGGTTCGAACTCCGGGCCTCGCGACTTCCGCACCACACCCTTGTTGCACTGTCCTGATTTGGGTAGATTGAACCTTTGTGCTCTATGGGGTCTCCCACATTTGTTTCCGCCGCCTTCGAGCTCTGGCTCTGCATTCATCCCCAAATATTCCCAACGGCCCGACTCCCCAGCTTCCACACCCCGCCCGCACGAGCAGTCTGGCCACGAGGTGTTATCAACCACCCGTAATCTGTGTTTTCCACCTGAGCCCTGTGCAACTGCTGCCCGGCTGATCAGTAGACAAGACGTGCTGATGAAACTTGTAGCCGTGGTGAGCCGCCGTATCGGTGCGTGTTCTGGTCTTATGAACGTCTTCTGGGGTCTTCTCCCACCCGGTAGCTCATGGCTCCTATTCCAAATGTCTTCCCTCCGGCACGAACCATCGCTCATCGATTGTGTCCCGGGCGAGTGTATGGCGGTCAGGGTCCTCTGGACATGAGGTAGACGTTCCTCTTGTCGCCCACTTCGGCTGTTTCTTTCTGTTTCATGACATGTCCCGACTTTTTTTGCAGCTCCGCTTGGTGCGTCCGCAACTGTGCTTCTCAATTGGTTCGCCCTAACGGCATCCTGTCAAGCGGTGGCATTCAAAGACGTTAGCAAGCCACGGGGCAGGCGGGAGAACGCACAATGGGGAAGAAAACGAGCCCGCGCCTTTGTCAGCCCTGCCGTCCTTTTCACTCGCCCGGCCGCCCCTGTTGCCCCCTGTCACCCAAATTAGGCCTAGCGTCCCCCAACTCCGACACCGCCCAGGATTCTGGTTCATTCCAGCGCGATCACACGGCGCAAATTACTCGTGGCTCTCGATCAACCTGACAGTGGTGCCGCGTATATAACCCCTCGGGCGCCCGCCCCTCGCGCCCCTCCAACCCGCCGCCTCTCTCCATTCCCAATCCAACAGGCCCGAATCCGCGAAAGCGATGAGTGCGCCCCCTGCCCCAAATATGCCGTCCTGGACACCGCTCTCCGCCCCGGCCAGCTCCGCCCTCAACGGCACGTCCATTCACACCTTCCACCACAACACCATTGGCCGCATAAACAGCAGCAGCAGTGCAGCAGGCCCGAGCCGATTCTCGCCCGTTGTGGGCTCCCTACGTCCCGTAAGCCCGAACTCGTGGAACAACAAGTACCCGTGGACGACCATGGTCATGGCCCCGGCCCCGGCCCCGGCACCCTCAACATCAACATCAACATCAACATCAACACCAACAGCGGGCCCCAGCGGGCCCACTACCGCGCACGACCCCCCGCGCGACCGTCTGCCAAAGGAAGCATACTCGTTACTCCAAAGTCAGTGGCATCCCCAATTGTAGGCGACGCAGTGCGCTGACGTTCCCTCACACAGGATACTACCACACAGTGTCGCAGTACCCGGCGAGCGACGAGGTCGAGCGGCTGAGCGCGCAGATCCGCGCTATGCCCGGCGGCGAGAGGTGCACCCCGGAGCGGGTGTCCAAGTACTTCTTCCACAAGCGGTACAATATGGCCTCGAAGGCCCACGCCGGCCATCAACATGAGCATCACCCTGCACCCGACGCCCCCGCCCTCGTTCCGCAGCCTCAGGTGAAGGCAGAGAAGGGCACCCGCCAGAAACGGAACACTGTCGGCACGCTCGGGAGAACGACTGTTGGCATCCGTGCGTGTCGCGTCGCTCTTGTTTGCGGTTCGCGCCAATCGCTGATGTTGATCTCTCCCCGTTTGGGTGCTTTGTTGCCATCACGCTGCAGTGTACCCGAGCCTCAAGGACAAGCGCGCGCGAAGCAGCGTCAACGTTCTCCTGAGGGAGGTCCCAGACCCGGAGCTTGAGCTCGCGCAGATCTGGGCGGAGCGTATCGGATACGGCGCGAAAGGGGAGGACATCGTCACCTACGCGCGCCACCTCCGCGCGGCCCAGGCACAACAAGCCCATCAAGTGGTGAGCATCCAATAGTCCTATGTGGCTGTGGTCTGCATCCCCTTGCTCATGCATGCTGCATTGTCACTATTGTCAACAGAGATCAGAACCCTACCAGCAACCGCGGAGCATGCAAAGTGGTATAATGCAGAATCAGATGCCGCAGATGACCCTCAAGCCCTTCCACGCGACGTCGCCGTCCCTCGGGGGTCCGCATCCGCCCACCCCCGAGACGTCGACGTCGCCCGAACCGCAGACGCAACCGCCTTCGCCGATCTTCGATAACGTGCACCCGAAGAAAGAGGAAGACGACGAGGAAGACGAGCTCTACTCTGACGAGGAGACCGGTGCGTGCCCCGTTAGCCCTCATGCGGTGCCGTGTGGCATGGGATGGTCAAGGACCGAGTGACTGACGCGTGCTCGGACAGAGTACCAACCTTCTCCGGTCGTGCCGTCGAAGCCCCCCAAACAGGAATACAGCTACACGTTTCCGAGCGGCGAACACCTGCGCAAGCTTGCGGACGACGTGCACGCCGCGCTCTCTCAACCAACCAGGCCGCGAGAGGGCGCGCAGCCGAAAACGTTCGCGGAGATGGGCGAGTGGTTGAAGCAGCAAGCTGCGCAAGACGTCGAGCCGTTCATCCAAAAGGCCGTCAATGGCACATACATGCACCTCGGGATCCCGCCTCATATGCCCTCATGAACCTCATGCCCATGAAACATTGGAAGTGCAGTTTGTCATGCCCCAGGGCTGTCAAGGCCAGGAATTATGCTGGCCATTTATTTCAGGTCACGTGACCACAAAGCTTGAGCGCGCGTTGGTTCTGGCGCGCGCCCGCTTTGTCTTTTTCTGCTGTGGTTTTCCACATTTCCCCACGCTCTTCTGCTTTCGCGTTCCATGCATCGCTCACAAACACTCGCATCTTTCACGAGCATGTCCATCTTCTCCCACCCCTGCCCGTTGTCGTCCGCTCTATTGTCCGATCCTCCGCCGCTCTCCGTCCTTGTAGTACCCCATGTGCAGTCCCCGTTGACGCTCGCGTCCGTATGTTTATACAATTGTAATGTTCACCCACGCTCCGCAGTAGACCGTATGGTATCACCCACTCGCATTCGTGAACATAGACTTCCCTGCATCCGTCGCCGGCTCCCTCTCCTCCTGACTTCCTGAGCTGGCGTGGCACTCACCTTCTGAACAGCCTACAGGAACCCCTCCGCCCCCGCTGCCCCAGGCACGAACCACGAGCGTCATTTCATCCCCTGGGGTCCCGCACACGGGCCCCGCATGCGCACGCGTTCAAGCCTCCATACGCACGCCAACCTCGTGTCCCTCCAGCCTCCCTCGCGGCGTTTCACCATCGCCGCCTGCGCGCGCACCTCCATTGCGATCTCGTTGCACAGCAATCCAGATCGGAACCGGCCGCCGCGCCCTCCGCGCCCTCCGTTTCCCGCCAGCCTTCAAGCTTCAAGCTCCAAGTCTCACCCTCGGCGTTTCGAGGGGACGATCGGGGCTAGAAGGACGGGCGATCGCGGGCTCCCGAAGCCGGAGGCTGGCGAGAGGGCGAGAGGGGCTGGCGGCGCGCCCCAAAAACAAGACCTCGCGGACGGAGCACACCCGACGCCGGTCGTCCTGCTCTCCCTCCCACCTCCCCCCTTCCGCCCACCTCCCTCGACGGGCTCAGGCTCGGGCTTGGCGGCCACTCGACGCAACACACCACCGTGCGTGGCGCGGCGCGGCGGCCGACGCGCGGGGATTCCCTTCGCACTCTCTCTCCCCTCGACGATCACACGCCTCGCGAAGGGAGGCTGAAGTCAGCCCTCGCTCCCATCGACACCCGAACGGCCGCGCGAAAGCGGCCGGGGAGGGCCAAAGCAGAGCACAGGGCGTCTAAGCCTAGCACCCTTCGGTCAGCGCAACGTGATGGATCTGTCCAGACGGCAAAGCCTGAGGGGGAGGGGCGCAGCGCGGGACGACGTCGACACAATGGAGTCCCCCGTCCTTGTCCTTGTCCTCGTCTTTGTCCCTGCCCTTGTCCTTGGGTAGACCAGCACACGTGCCCTCAAAGCTTCTCGCAAGTCCCCCCAACCAAACCGAGACGCGGAGTCCCGCGCCACGCCACGGACGCGCGGACATCGGACGCCGAAACGGCCCACTCGAACGGGATGCACGGATCTGGAAGCGAAGACAAGGCACCGCCGCATCGCTGTCGTTCCCACCGCTGCCGCCGTCGTCGTAGAGACCGGCGGCGGGATCGTGAAGCTTTGAAGGCCGAACCGGGCCCCTCGATGCTGAAACGTTGACAGGTGGAAAACAGTCTTCGGCCCCCTGCTGGGTGCTTCGACCAGTGAACTGTTGGGATTTGGGATTGGCTGTGACACTTGCAGGGTCAGAACGCCAGGTCTGGCAAGACACAGGCGGGCGTGTTCCTTCTCCTCTCAGCCGCAGCGGATACGTCGTGAATGAACAAAACAGTGTCGATAGCGACGACAAAGCGACAACACAAGCACAAGTACATGGGTGGACAAGACGAATGGCGAGGAGGTAACGTCGTGGTCGGAGGCGGTCGGGAGGCAGCGTCCTCATAAGTACGTATCCGAAACCGGACTGTCTAGCGAGCGAGCATTATACAGGCGGTGCATACATAGGCTATGATTACCAGTGGTGATGGTACAGACATGAGACATGATGCAGGGATGCGGGCGCAAGGACGTTGCGAGGACGTGAGGAAGACCGCAGCAGCGCGCGGTGTAACACAAGCCAACGGCGCGGACGAACTCGTGCTCAGAGCGCGGGCGTCCGCTCGCTCGGCGGGGAGGCTTGCCGCACGTACAACGGCATCTGGTTGCCGCGCTCGGGTTCAGACTTGACGCATGGCCGGGTGACGACGCTGAACAAAAGTTGGTCAGCGCACCGGGAAAAAACAGGGCAGGAACGTGACGCACTTGACTTTCTTCTCGATCTCCACCGCCGGGTCCGCCGAGAATTCCAAGTCGCGCACGAGCACGTAGAGGAACACCTTGATCCTGCAGAACCGTCCACGTGTCAGCTCGAGCACAAGCGCACAGAAGGAAATAAGGATACGCACTCGCTAAGCGCGAACCGGTACCCGATGCAAGACCGGTTCCCGTTTACGGGGTTCCCTCCACCAAACGTCAGCATGTTCGCCCACAGGCCCTGCACGCCCTTCCTCCTCTCCCCCTCCGCGTCCGCCCCGGCACGTAGCCACCGCTCCGGCATGAACTCACTCTCATCCCCGCGGCTGCCCAATGTGTTCATCGCCTGGATGGGCACACTGATAATGTCGCCTGGCGCGACCGCGATTGAAGTGCACGCACGCCCGCGGGCGTCGACGATCGGCGTTGCGAGCGGTACCGCGTCAGGCGCGGTCGCGACGCGCATTGTCGTCGTGATCGGCGCATACAACCGGAGCCCCTCGCGGACGACGGCGTCGAGGTACGGCAGGTGCACGAGACGGTCGAGGAGCTCAGGGGTGGGCGTTGGGATATGGTGCGTTGAGGAGAATGCAGATGAGAGACAGGGTGAGGATGGGTGTGATGATGAAGGGGTAGAGGGTGAGACTGATGGGGAAGTAGAGGCAGAGAGGGAGCCTGGGGAAGGCCTGCGTGGAGGCGAAAGGGGAGGGTGGGACTGGAGATGCGGGAGGGGCGAGTTGGGCAGGTGGGATGGGGACGAGAAGGGCGAAGGAAGGTCGACGGAGCGCAGCTCTTCCCGTAACCGCTTCTGCACTTCCGGATGTCGTCCGAGAGCAAACAGCATCCATGTCAGCGCCGACGAGCTCGTCTCGTGCCCAGCGGCGAGGAAGGTCGAGATTTGGTTGAGAATCTCGTTTATCGACATCTGTTTCGAAGGCTCTTGCGAGATGTTCGAACGGACTGTATTGATGTGTACGTTAGCATGGTTGCGACTGCGACGAAGTGAAAGAATTCACTGAGGACGCTGAGCAAATCCCGATCAAGCGCCGTCTTGTCTCCTTCAATCGCATCCGCCTTCTCCGACAACTCCTCCGCCGCAATGGCGGAACGACGCTGCTCGATGAGCTCGAGCCCAATCTTCCGCGTCACCTCCGTGGCCTGTTGCGTCGCCGAGTTTTCTCTCCGCTGTGCCGAGACCATATCAGTCTCACGTTCCCCCGCATATATGCGCGAAGAAACCACTCACGAAATGCCTGAGGAAGGGAAACCAGACCTGCAAGATGGTCATGACCCTAAACTTGCGCGCGGTGCCGAAGATGACACCATATGCGCGCGCAAGCTCGCTCTCGTCCCCGCGCCGCTCCGCTGCGCTCTCCAGCGCGCCAAAGTGGTACCCAAACCCAGCCTCGCCGATGACGTCCAGCGTCGCGCGGGCGAGCCACGGCAAGACGTCGATGCGGCTTGATGTCCTGATCCCGTCTTCCGGTATCCGAGCTTTCTCCTGCTCTTTCTCCTCGGGATCGTCAAGCGGAGACGCCGCGCCATTTGGGCTCAACGGCGAGGACGCTGTTGACTCGCCTCTTCTGCGATTCCGGCGGGAACGGTATGAGGAGGGCAGTGTCGGCGAGGCTTTGGACGGCACAAACGAGGAGAAGGGGTTGGGCAGGAAGGATGTGGTGAGCGCGGACGGGCTGAGAACTGGGGCCGTGGCTGGCTCAGGATCCCGTTTCCGTGCGTCTGCGACGGGCTCGTGCAGAGTGAGCGGGTCGGCGGGCGTGAAAGACTGCTGTGATGTTACGATTTCGAGCCAGACGTCCCGGAGCTATACAGTTGGACGTTGAGCATCTTTGCAGGGCAACGAGCTAACCGAAGGTGTGCGTACCCTGGTTGCCTTGTCCCAGAATACGGGTGTCATGGACTTGATTTGCGCAGCGGAAAATGCGGGGTTCTACCGAGAGAGGTAGTGTTAGCGAGCATCTATAGAAAGAGCAGGAACGCAGAAGTGATAACCAATCAGACAACGGATCTGTAGTTGTGAGGTCATGGGTGCCTCGACGAGCGCGTCGTGGAGACAACCTCAGCCTAATAGACATGTTCATCCAGTGAGCGCAGCCGCCAAGCCCCGCGTAGGCTGTCGAAGCCAAGCCCTTCCTCCCTTCAACCGACAAACCGGGATAACCTCGAAAGACGCAGCCAACTGAGCGGGAGAAGCAGGCCGCAGCTCGTGCCGAGATCTGATTGGCACCCCGCGCCGGCATCACGTCATCCAACCTGAAAGTGACGGTCGCGAGCGGAAGGACGCGCGGGCGACGAGAGAGGACGGAGGAGGCCCATCGCGACCGGGCTGATGCAGATGGGCGAACGGGATCGGGGGCAGTGATCGCAGCCGCGCGATCACGTGCACGCGTCCACATGGATTCAAGCGGCGGCGTGCGGTGCGGGGACAGAAATAGAGGAAGAGACTGACCAGGATTTTACGCTGCAGGGCGGGGGTGACGGGAGGGTTGAGACGGAGTGGGGGCGAAGGAGAGGGGGAGAAAGCGGACCTGTTTTCTGTGCATGTCACCGTCTGCAGTCAAGAGCCCCTCGTATCCACCGGTCATGCTGGCGAGGGAGTCGCGGACGAAGTCGGGCTTGGGGTAGTCGTAGCCGCGGCTCATGATGTGGTTGACTGCGAGGGGGTCGACCGTCATGAGCCTGCGGCCACCGAGGAAGCCGCGGTAGACGAACGTGGAGCCAAAGGCGGCGGTCCAGCGGGCGACGAGGTTGTTGTTCTCCTGGTCGTGCATCTCGCGCAGGTTGCCGAGGAAGAAGGAGGGCGAGGACGGGCCGGGGAGGTGGCGGAGCGGGGAGCGGGCCTGGCGGACGAGGAGGGAGAGGAAGGCGGAGAGGAAGTAGAGGAGGAGGGCGAGCGGGGCGCAAAGGAGGGCGGGGACCACTAGGGGCCCGAGGGGGTCGAGGAGAGCGAGCATGGGAGGGAGGTGCGCCGGACCAGGGCGAGCACCGGGGGAGAGGGGGATGCGGGGGCGGGGAGAGGCCTTTGTGGCAGAGGGAGGGCGGAAGGGACGGGCTTTGCGGAGGCCGGCATGGAAAGATGATAAAGGAGCGCACCGCTGCAGGACGATCGCAACCACCGCGAGCTCAAGCGGGTGGGGGCAAGCGAGCGCGCCTGCCCCACCGGCGCCTAGATGGCAGCCGTGCGAAATCTAATCTGTCCATCGGCCACCCCGGACGTCGCCAGCCAATCATGGAGGGGTGCAAATGGGACGACAGCCGAGGAGCCCGCCGAGAGCCTATTGGGCCGGCGCCGGGTGGACGGAGGCGCCGTCCGGGCTGAAGGCGGGGGTGGCGGTGCCGTTTATGGCCCCGCTGCCCAGCCGCTGCCCGTCTCCGATCTCGCCCAGGTAGCGTACTCCTGCACAGACGGTTTTATTCCGCGCCGGTCGTGCACAGACTCTCGCGCGCGCAGACACGCTAAGCACTTTTGCTCCCACTCAAATCCCTCCATCTGTCACCGACCACCAGCGCCCGGGGTTCTCGGGTACGTGCCTCATCCGCTGCGCATCGATCTCGATCGAGGCCCTCGATGTCTGGATAAGTACCCCGTCCTCCGATCCACCCGGCGCCTCCGGCCGGGACCCCGCCCTGCTTCCTCCGCGTGAGGTCCAAACTGCCGGAGCCCACCCACCCTCGCGCCTGCACCGTGGCGGCATCCAGCACATGTACTGCGTGTCGCAAGCCCTCTCGACGCACACACCTCCGCATGGACGGCCGTGCGCCTTCTCGAGCCCGACTGCCCTGCTCTGCCAAGCCCGGCGACTTCGCCAGCACCGAGATCCCCGGAATACGTGCGAGGCCCGCCGCACCGGGCCCAATCGCGCGCGGCCCGGCCCCGTGAGTTCACTCGAGCCCTCTCCAGCCTCGCGCTCCCAGGTCCCGCTGGTCCCGCGCGCCGGTCTTCCGAGTGCCACCTCGCGCGGAATTCTCCGAGGATTGCGCTCGCTCTAGCGCCGCAGCTCCCCGGGCTGTCCGGACGGGCTCTGGCAGATGGGCCCCGCCCAGTGCAGTCGGTGGTGAGCAGCAGTTGGCACAGACATCGCCTCTGCTTGCCACGCTGCAGACGCCGCACAACGGACGCCCCAGGGCGTGTGCTCGCGTCCACGGCTACGGCGAGCGGGCACAGTTGGGAAACGCTCCGTCCCTCAGGCTCGCCGCGAGCGTCGTACGTGCTGCTTCTCCAGCTGCGGTCCTGCCCAGTCGGCTCCTCCGCGCGCGGCGTGGCCGTGAACACACACCAAAGGGACGGTCAACGGAGAGGACGAGGCTTCTCGTGCCGCAGCGCGCCCGCTCCCGCTCGTTTCCAGTCGCTGCACCAGCTCTCCAACACCCAGCGGCGAGGTGGCGAGCTGTGACTTCTGTCAGCGACGGAGCGTCCGAGGAGGCCGCAATGCAACGCCCACAGCCGAGCATACCGGAAGCGAGTTCCTCAGTGCGTCAGGCGTTACGCGTGCCACCGCCTACGTCGCTCCACCCGCTGGGTTCGCGTCGGTCTTGTGCCACGCTTGGGTACACACAAGCGCCCCTCGTTTCCGTAGCCCACGGTTGGACACGTGCTGGAATAGACAGATGGATTGTATCAACACACACTGCTCGAGAGGGGACCGACACGACCCTGGTATCCTGGCGCTGATATACGTCAGCCAGGTGGCCAGCCCGACATAACTCGGCCTCTGACCTGGTATCGACGGATCAGACGCAGGAGGTCAGCCAATTGCTCGCGTTCCCGCGCGGACGGTCCTCCTGGCCTCGCGCAGACGGCCGACTCCGCACCCCAATCCTATCCGCCTCCCCGAGTTAACCCCCGAACCCGGGCATCGATACGGTCGCCTGGAGATGGGCTCCCACGCCAAGCCGCGGCTTGGGGGTTGGACCATCGAGAGCACGTCCGCGCCAGCCGTGCTGCGCTCTTTTATCCTTCTTCAGATGGCAGTCGACTGCTCGGGGGATGGGTGTGTGGCTTCGCGGGGTGCGCCAGGTAGGATCCGCGAATGAGCTGTTGCACGGCATGCAGCCCGCCTGTCGTGAAGGTGGCTTAGCGGTAGGCGAGCGAAGGATCAAAAATACGCAACACACCGTTCAACCTCGTATGCATACACCAAGCGTCATAGATGCTTAGCAGTTTGCCTAGCTCCCATATGGGGGTCTTCTATCGAAGGACGGGTTCGCTCTTAAACGGCGACAGTGGTAAGATCACTATGACCATTGTCACCTAGCTCTGTGGGTGGAAGGAGATTAGGATGGTGTCGATGTCGCGAGTACAGAACGACGGGGAGGGGAGGGGAGTCATATTCAGATGGAAGATAATTGTATTGCATCGGACGCATGTCTCGCATGGCCCTCGTAACAAAAACACAAATGCACATCATTCGAACAGAACGGCAAGAAGACTTACATTCGTGTAATTCATGGGCGCATGTACTTGTGAAGCTGTCTCGCAAGGTTGGACTCCTGCAGACTGCAGTCGAAGGAGTGGATTTGATCCGGAGCACATTGGTGCCAAGGGTGGAGCCATTGGGCACTTCTCGATTGCCTTTGAATGGGTATAGGACCAGGGCATTGTCTCCTGAGAAATAAGGAAGCCGTTTAATGGCAAAACAAGGTTGGAAGGCACTTGACAATCGGCTTCAATGGACTCTCAAAGCTATGCACACGACTGCGAGAATACCTGAGTCGTGACGTGGAGAACAGAATAGTATTGCTAGACCCACCAAGATGGCGATCCTTCCCATCCATAGCTGCACCGCTGGTGTGGATCTCCCAGTAGACGAAAAGCCGTAGGATTGTGAGAATGTTGGGAGGCGTGGTCGTGGTATGTAGGAAGAAGACGGCGCGTCACTGCATCGGCGTTTGTAACATGTTTAGCGCTTACATAATCCGACTTCACGCTAGAATGCATTTTCCCGTAGTGCCCATCTCATTTCAGCCCACTCAAGCACCGAGTTCTTGACAGAGGTGACATCGCCACGAAACTAACGACTCCCTAGATACACAAGAACCACATGCCGATCATCCACACGGCGCACCAGACCCCGCCCTCACCCAAAAAAGTCCAGCGGGAAGCCCAAGAACGCGCACTGCTCCTGCTGCCCGAACGGCAGCATCACGCTCTCGAACTGCAGCTCCCGCATCGGCCTGCCCGCGAGGTTCGCCCGCGTCGCCGGCTCCCACGCCGGCTCCGCCGCGAGCTGCGCGACCGTGCCCGTGAAGCCGCGCGCCTCGAGGAACGCGGTCGAGGGGTTCGGGTCGAACGTACGCGCGAAGGACGCCCAGATGTCGACCATGCGCTGCATGAACGGCAGGTCCTTCTCGTCGCGGAAGGGCGTGTCCGCGGGGAGCGAGCCGAAGACGTAGAAGAGCTCGCCCGAGTGGCACTTGAAGTACTCCAGCTCTGGGTCACCGTGAGGGCGCGCGGCCGTCGCGGGCGGCGTGCACGTCGGGGCCTGCGAGAACGGGAGTGCGGGTGAGTGCGTGCGCGACGGCGGAGGTGGGGCCGGAGACGTACGTTCGGATTGAACCCTGGGATTTGGTAGCTCCGGTTGAACTCGTAAAACCAGACGCTCTCGAAGAGGTCGTGGTTGATCGCCGAGAAGGCGGTCGACTGGTCCAAGCACCGGAATTCGACGTCGGTGTTGACGTTCGAAGTCACGTTGAAGGTGTTGATGGTCGCGTTGGCTCCCTTGGGCTCAGGGAACAGAGGGTTGTTCGTTACGTTGGTCGGCAACTGTACGTCGATCAGGGCTTGAGTAAGGTTCGTAGTTGTCTGTTGACGATGAATGAGAACGTGAACTCGTTTTTATCATCGCTGTGACATGCCGGGAAGGAAATGAACGGGTCTCCATCGTCCCGCATGAAACCCATCATTGTGTGCACACGAGCGACCGGACCCGTACCGTTGAGCACAAGCTCCGGAGTCACTAGGAACTTCCCGTCGACCACGAGGAACCTGACCCGCGGTCAGTAATAAGTAACTCTCCCAGCATCAAGACAAAAAAGCACCCACTTCGACGCTGTCGGCACGTTCACCAACGTCTGCGCGTCGACCGCGCGCAAACACGGCAATATCTCCGCCTCCTCCAAGTCGCACCCCACCGACTCCAGCAGGGGCGCCGTCACCTTCGCGACGTTGTCCGGGATGGTGAAGTAGAACGAGTACGTCGCCGCGAAGTTGATCCCCGCCAGGTTGCTCATCGGCACGGCCGCCGCGAACTTCCCGATCGCCTGCGGGCTCGCGGTGAGCGCGCGGACCGAGCCCGCGCCCGCGCTCTGGCCGAAGATCGTGATCCGGTTCGGGTCGCCGCCGAACGCGGCGATGTGCTCGCGCACCCAGTCGAGCGCCATCACCTGGTCCGCCAGCCCGAAGTTGCCGTTCGTGACGCCGTCGTCGAGCGCGAGGAAGCCGAGGGTGGAGAGGCGGTAGTTGATCGTGACGAGGACGACGTCGCCGCGCGAGGTGAGCGCCGCGCCGTCGAACGTCGGGTCGCTGCCCATCCCGTTGGTGAATGCGCCGCCGTGGATCCAGAACATCACCGCCTTGAGCGGCGTGCGGCTGCCCGGGCTGGGGATGAACGGAGTAAAGATGTTGAGGAATAGGCAGTTCTCGGAAGTACCCGTTTCGCCAGTCTGCACGCACGCCGGGCCGAAGCTCTGTGCGTTGAGCGTGGTGTTTCCGGTGAAGGGCGTTGAATAGGTGAAACGTTCTGGGGGATCGGCGTAAGGGATACCGAAGAAGCGGAACGAAGCCTGGTCGCGGAACCTGTCAGGCAGTTGTGTGAGCCCAGGAGGGTATCGTGACGAAGAGGGAGCGGAAATCGTACCCAGTGATCGTGAGATTTTTTGACTGAACGGTGAACGATGTAGCTGGCTTAGCAGCGGCGCCGAGGGTTGCGCTCTGCGTGCAGAGTACAGGCAGACTGCCAAGGCAAACGACCGACGAGCTGACGTCGCCTTTCGCATCCACCGTCTGGCATACGGGACCCTTGCTGGCAATCCAAAATTTCTGGGACGACGGGAAGTTGCGCTCGAACTCCTGGAAGCGAAGCAGCGGGACAAGGTTGTCCTTGATGAAAGTTGTGTTGTCCGGGAGGAGTGTTTCCCCGAGAACCGCGCATGCGCTCGAGGCGCTGCCGTGCGTATGCGGGGATGATAGCAGCAGTACGCTAGGTCGGCCGGAGACGGTGCCCGCTGCATTGAAACGACGCGTCAGCGGCAGCGCGCGGAATTCGTCCGGAAGAAGTTCGACTCACGATCGAGGTCGTTGTTGAATAGGACGCTGATGTCACTCTTGAGCGACAACGGCGAAGGCACGGACGCGCTCCGCGCCGCGAGGGGCGCGGTGAGCAGACCAAAGAGTGCGAGGGCCGGGAACGCGATGGGTGACTGCATCTCGTCGATGGCGGCGGGCCCCGCTGTGAGCTCGCTGTTTGGCATCAGCGAGGCGGCCGCGTTAAATACCCCGGCCATCGTCATGGGTTGACTCGAGGAGCGCGAGGAGAGCGTGTGCGCGCGGTGGCGGGTGCCCAAAATTACACTGGGATGGGGTTGGGGGAGCGGTCAGCAGGCGCATCTTCGGCAGATTTACAGGGCACATGACGAGGGCACGGGACTCCGTGCATCGTTTGCGGTCTCACGACGGGCAGCCCAGGGGCGTGTGAGAGCGGGAAATGTTTCCAGACATGTTATTGTATCGACGCCTGGGCGAGACTCGGAAATTTTGACGGATACTTTGTGGATACTAAAACCGTTTGTCAACATGCGCCCAACATTTCCGGGTCTTTGTCAGGTAATCCGGCTGACAACATGTGCAAGTCTCGGAAATGTTGAAGATCAGATCACGTGCACGCTGCCGATGTCCAGGTTCCCGCACTTGCGAGCACTGGGATTTATGTTTCAGACAACTCAGGGGATGCTAGGATCGATTTCGTGTACCACGGCGGACACGAGGCCGCGATATGACGGTAGTCATGTGATCTGAACGTCAACATTTCCGAGACTCGCAAATGTTGTCAGCCGGATTACCTGACAAAGATGCGGAAATGTTAGGCGTATGTTGACAAACGGTTTGAGTACCCTTCATCATTTCCGAGTTACTGGCGGAGTCTCGCCCAGGCGTCCATATAATAACATGGTAATGAACATTTCCCGATATCCGGCGCCCCTCGGCTGTCCGTCGTGTCTGATCTGTGCGAACAAGGGACGAAAATCTCGGCGGAGCGCATTGAGTGTGCAGTAATGGGTGCCCCTTCGACGTTCCGATTGAACGAGGTTCGCTGTCTTCGTACGCGTTCGTGGTGGGAGAACAAACGCAGCCCAGAAAACTGCCGGCTCGACATGTCTGTGTATGGTGTAACGTTTAAGCGGAGCTTGAAGGCTGACTTGTGAAACATGGTACGCCAATGCTTGATGTCCACTTTGAGTAAGATGCGACATGCTAGAGTGGTTGTATGCGTACCTGTACCGTTGTGGGTCCGTGGAGGATGAAGACCACATCAGAGTTGCACAAGCACAACTTGAACATGAAGGGAAGCGTGAGGACGTACGTAAGCCTGACATCATTCCCAGTGTCATTGAAGCACGAGTTCGAATCCTGCTCAACAATCTCTATTTCTCGGGCCTCAATGCCAGCCCGGCTACTGCCTATACTACTGCGTGTTGGTAACTACAAAAAGTGCAAGTGCGCGACGATGACCAATACATAGCCAAGCCGGAAGTCTAGATGAGGGTGATATAGAATACACATACATAGCCGTTGTTCGTATCGAAAGATCATAGCCGCAGTCGCCCCGAAGCAGCGTCACATAAAAATCATAAAAAGGAACGGGCACGAGGGAAGAAGTCCAATTCACGAGCGGATAAGTTATTCCCGTGCGCACAAACGTCATAACTTACCCACCCTGGGGCCTAGACCTCCGTCTAACGCGCCGCCGCGCCGTCCCGCGCGCGGTCGAAGCGCACAAACACCGCGCCCTTCGCCGGCCGACAGGTGAGGATGTCGTTCCAGTTGGGACGAGGCAGCTCCGCGAGCGGCATGCCATTGCCATCGACCGCGCGGAACTCGCCGCAGCCCAGGACGAGGAGCGCGGCAACGAGCTTGAGCTCGAGGGTCGCGAGGCGTTTTCCGAGGCAGACGGTGCTTCCTGTTCAGCGCGGAAAAAAGGCGTTGGTCAGCATGGGAAGCACAAGTTAAATGCGGAACCAAACGAGAAAAGAAGAGGGCAGAGGAATGCGGGGGCGTTTGAGAGGGAAGTAAGGAAGACGGAGGGGGCCGGCAGCGCGACCCAGTGTTAGGGAGAGCCCTCCGAGCCGCCGGCTGGTGCGAAGGGCAGAGCAGGAGCGGGCCGCGCCCGGTGACCTGTGCGCGCCGCACTGGGCACTCCGGCCGCAAGCACCTCCGCAAGCATGCATACACCTGCGCGAGCATCACCCCTTCCCATCGTCTCTCCTCCACAACGAAACACAGGCACACCTGTCCCACGCCGTGCCAAGGAGTGAAGAGGGGTGATGATGGGTGGGATGTGACGGGCCAAAACACCCCTCAAGCACGACCGGCGCAAAACAAAACCCAAAAAGAAAACAACCGAAACGCACCTGCACCCATGCCGACATACGCGTACGGCGCCTTGCTGCCGGTCTCCGCACGGCTGGGGTCCCACCGCCACGGGTCCGCGTACACGTTCTCGTCGAGGTGCACGTCCGCGAACGGGTACATCACGAACGCGCCCGGGGGCACGACCTTGCCCCCGATGTAGAGCGGCTGAACCTGCGGCCTCGCCTTCTCCCCTGCGCGTGCCGGGGACGGCGACCGTGAGGACGAGGAAGACGGGATGTATTGCCGCATCGCGACGTGCGGCTCTGCCACCCGCAGGGTCTCGCGTACGAGCGCGTCGAGCACCGGCGTCTCAGTTTCCCAGGCGGCCAGCGGGACGCTCGCGAGCGTCGTGCTCAAATCCGACAGCGGCGGGGGATTGGTCTTCATGTTCGCGTTGGAGTCGGGAGCGGCTGGAGGGTGTGCGGCGGGAGCGGACGTTGACGGTCGTGAAGAAGGTGGTGCCGGCGCAGGGCCAGAGCCGGAACTTGGCTGGCGATACTGCGGCGGCGAGCTGGGAGCCAGAGGGGGTTGCGAGATCGGGGCGGGGGCGGGGGCGGAGTTGGGATGTGACAGTGCGGCGTCCGGGGTGAAGGGGTGGTCGGAGGCAATCCGAGTCGCGCGCGCGGCGGCAGACTCCGTTGGAGTTGTATGGGCATGGGACACCGGCGCGGTGGCGTGCACCGCGATGAGCCGCCGCACCTCCTCGGCGGCTTTCTCGCGCCAGTATGGATGTCCACTGAGGAACGTGACGAGCCATGATGCTAGGACGCAAAGCGGCGATTAGTGCGCCGATACCACGACGTATGCACAGCGCGCAGACGTACCTGTTGTGCCTGTCGAGCGCGCCCCGGCGACGAGCAAACCCATAATGAACTGTGGTGCTAATCAGTCAGATCGCCCGTTCCCACTGTAAGTCCCCGACTGGCGCCGCGTCTTCTCCGAGCCGTGCGACTCGGCGCCAGCGAGGAGATAGAGAGCAGAGGAGCACTCACCCCAATGATTACCAGCCGCTCGTCCCCGGCGTCGATGAGCATTTGTGGCGTGTCATCACGCGCGACGCCACTGGCAGTGCGGGCGTCGAGTGTGCGACTGATGATGTCGTAGATCCGCTTTGTCGCCACCAGTCGGCGAAGCATGCTTGGCCCCGGGAGCCATGGCAGGAGCACTGTCGCGGGAGTCGTCGCGGTGTCGAGGGTGTCGTAGAGCGTCTTGAGGTGCATGACGGCCGCGCGGTCGTCTGCAAGCTCAGTGAACGCGAGACACCGGACCGTTGTCTGGAAGAGGACCTGGGGTGCGTGTCCAGGGGTGAGCACAAGTTGTGTGCGCATGCATTGGCAAGGGCGGCGAGCGTAACAGCGGGAACGGAAGCGGGCGTAAGCGGGCGCGTGGGGACGAGCCAAGTTTGGGACGGAGCGGGTACGTACCTCGGATATGCGTTCAAACGGGTCGATGGACCCGGAGCAACCCCATGCGCTGATGGTCTGCCGAGAATCCTCTAGAATTTGAGGGATGACTGCGCGCAGGAGTGGTCAGTCCGATTCCGTGGCAAGAGGCACGACCATGACGTACGGCAGCCCGAATGCTCGGGCTGCAGGGGACCATCACGCGTGTGCAGCGTGGCCGCAAACGACTCGGGCCATCCACGATCGCCGGGGCGACGGGACCGAGAGTCGAGCAGGACGGAGAGATGAGGCGAGCAACATTGCAAAGAAATCTATGCGGGCCCGGCCCGAAGCGGGTACCGGGAATCCCTGCTCGCACGCACGAGCATGTGACGGATAAACACCGCGGCCCACGCCGCGCTCGCTTGGCCATTGGCGACGACAGATGAAAGAGACTCACGACGTGCGAGGCGGTCGCTGGACTGCGACGCAGTGAGACGCCGATGGATGAGGCTGATCCGGCGAGACTCGAGGTCGGACGTGACGCCAGGGACCATCGGGATCTGTGACGGAAAGAAAGATGAGCACGCGCTCCGACTCGCCCATCAATCGTGATTGGCAGAGCGGCGGAGGAGGAAGTGGGACGAGGCGGGGGCGGGGGGCGCACTCACCGCGCCCGAGAGAAAGCGGAAGCCTGCGTTGAGGTCGAGGTCCCTCGCCTGGAAGAAGTCCCGGCGGGCGTCCTCGCCGGAGAGGACGATGACCGGCGTCTGTCGATGACGAGCGCGAGCGCGATTAGCCGAGCTTGTCCAGAGGCGGCCCCGCGCAGCCGCCGGCCCCCGACGCGAATCGCGTCCGAGCACGCGCCGCATGCAGCATGGCGCCTGGGTGCGTGCACGCAGACGCGAGGCAGGGCAGTGGCGGCGACGGCGACAGCGCAGGTGAGGGGGAGAACGACGTACACGGAGGAGCCGGAACTGGTACACGGCCTGGCCGGCGAGACGGAAGCCGTCGTTGAGGAAGTCGAATCGGCGGTGGAAGAACGGCAGAATGTGCGTCACCGACGTCCCGGGGAGGTGGACCGGCGCCGTGTGCGCGTCTGGGGCGGCGCAGGCGGCATATCGTCGGGGGATGACGGCGTACGCCCAGAGGACGAGGACGAGGACGGGGATGGTGAGCGCGGCGGCAATCGCGACGGGGTAGGGGACGAGCGCGCAGAAGAAGGGGAGGAAGCCGAGGGGGTACATGTTCCGTGGGATGGTCGTAGCCGGGTTCGTGATGGGTGCATGGAAGGCTTGGAGGAGAGGAGAGGGCGCGGTTTTATGGACCTGCACGGACGAGGGGAGGACGCGCAAGGGAACCGCGCGATCCACCGCGAGCGATCACCCCTCTGGATTTCGTGAGCGGGCCTCGCTGGACAGGCGCAAACAATACGGAGGGCAGCCGTGCCGGTGCGTCGTCCTGGTGGCGAGGTAGACCCCTGCAGGGTGGCAGGGTGCGAGCGAGCGGGAGCGAGATGCGAGCTGCGACGCGAGATGGGCCGCGGAGGCTGGCAGGGTCGAAAACGGCTCGGCTCTCTTGCGTCGACTCTCGCGCTCGTGGTTGGGGGGCCTGGTGGCTGGGCGTCGCGTGGAGAGGCCGGGGCGGTGTGGCAAGGCTGGTGCGTCGGGGAAAAGGCGTTTGGTGCGCGTTGTCTTGTATTTCGCGACTCGCCCATATCGTGAGCATCGCGAGATAGCGTGCGGAGCCATTGATTGCCATGCTCTGGCTCGGAACCCAGTCGAACGACCGCTGACCTGGTCCACTGATTCCGAGCCCTCGCACCCGCACCTGCACCCGCACCCGCACCGGTCCCACCAGCGCTGCTCGTGACGCGCGCGAACACACGCCGAGCGCGCTGCGAGGCCGTCGCACGTACGGACCCGGCCGGCAACGACTTCCACGCGCGCGCAAGGAGCGCAGCTACCGGGGCCGCCACGCCGATCTGATCTCTCGGGGCGGCGACGTCCTCTCGCGGTGGGTCCAACGGCCTCCAGCCGCCCACAAACCCGCTCGGATTTGGCTTGGCTCGCCTCATCCGCGCGGCCACGCGAATGTCCCCGCCTCCGCCTCCGCCGCCCGCGCACGGCGCCCCTGCCGATCCGCTGCAGCGCCCACCATCCGCGTCTCCTCTCACTCCTCGCGCAGGCAGCTGTGCGATGAGCGACGGCCGTATGTGGTGGCCACGAGGCCCAGATAGGCACCGTTCCCACTTCACGACGCGCGGCGCTGTGCCTGGGTCTACACGCCCCTTTCGCCGCATGGCCAGTGCTCGAAGGTGCTCGCGCACCCTCCGGGAACCCGCCAGGGCCCGCGGCGCCGCGGGCTGGTCGCCGGGAGCCGGAGGCTAGTTTCGCTGCCTGATCGCGAGCGAGCGACCACCCCCGGAGCGCACGCTCTGCCCTCGGCCTGCGCACGCGGACGGCGCGAGGGCTTCCTGTCGACTTTGACACTGGCTCAACGCGTGCGCGGGGCGTGCCGGGCTCGCGCGAAGCTTCACGAGCCCGAACCAGGGGGTGCAAGGGGGTGCGACAAAACGAACCTGTCACGATCCGATTTGAATTCGGATTTGAGGAAGGATGGGAGAATCCGTGCGTGCGGCCGCATGCGCGTGAGGGGGTCTGAGCGAGTTCTATGTCCGGCACAAGAAACCCGCGCCTCCGCGCCCGAACGTAACCTTGCTATTCCTGGATCAATGCACCGTCTGTGACCTCCGCCCGCCCGCCCGCGGACATGCGTCGTCCCGGTCCCGCACGCACGCACGCACGAGGGCGGTGGTGTGTAGAGCTAAATGGAAGGCCAGTTCGAGGGGACTGCCTCCACACCTTCTGCCCGTCAACGCCGACGCTGTTATTCGTCTAGGCTCAACAAGACACCGCACGCGAAGGTGCGAAGGCACCTCCGTCTCCGCATGGGCCCACGGATGCATCGCCAAACAAACCTTGCCATTACCCCTGCGCGCCCGCCATATGCCACCCCAGATGAGCATTCGAACTGCTTGCGAGCGGACCAGGTGGGCGCGCAAGAAGCGATGGAGGCAAACCGCACGTGGGCGTGGCGTACACCAAGACCCCGATCACGGCGACCGGCGCGCTCGATGTTATCCCAGTACAGCCCGGTCCATGTCTGCACGTCCGCGTCGAGCGGTCCACCCCCTGAGTGGGCGAGCCATGCGTGCAGCGTGCAGGACGTGCGCGGCTTGGTGCGATGGAAACGGGAATATTTATGAGGGCGAATATAGCGGGAAATTTATAATACACCCCGCGGCTGAGCGCACCTGCGCGGGGCCACAGTCGGACCCGCCGCGGGCACACACGCGAGTGGTGCCAGGAAATGAACGCGGAGAACAGCGAGAGGCCCCCATCCTCGCTTGGCCGCAGCGCACACCCGCAGAGAGCGTGGCGCGGCCGAGGCGCGGCTGAAACGGTGACGCCCTAGGAGATGGGCCTGCCTGAAGCACGCCTAAGAGCCACCGTGCGAGCAAGGACGCCCACCCGGACACGACCGCGAGCATCATTGGGCACCAATTCGTCGATATTGAATGATGATGACTTACGAGCGAGAGACGTGTGGGCGACCCTGCGCGTCCTGCGTCCTGCGCACCGGGCTGAGACGATGGTGCCTCTTAACCCGCTCCTCTCCCGGTCCCACGTCACGGCGGAGCTCGACAGACTGATACTGAGGGCACTTCTGGACGCGCCGCATAGCGAGCGAACGATGGCGCCGGGGGGGCATCTCGGCCGGGATGGAGCCCAGTTCATGTCACCGCGAAACAAGAGTCGCACAGACCACCACCAGACGCGGTGCTCACCAGTGCACATCTCGCCGTGGCGAATCCACCCGGTCCAGGTATATGGGCCGTCTCCAGCCGGAACGGTTCGGTACGCAGCCGCCAATGATGAGTGGCTGCACGGCGTCGTCTTGGGCGTGATGGGAATGGAGCTTCCGCGGCTTGGGTTCGCGGTCCTTGAAGCCTGTTCGCACGCGATGTTGCCGTCTTCACTCCTGAGGATACGCCCCCTGGGCGCAGTCGAGACTCGACGAGATCTAGGGCCGCCGCACAGCACGATGACTAGCCGCCTCATCTCTATTCGCAAGTCTTCTAATTCCCCGCCCACAGTCTACGTATCTCCCCACGAGCGTCTTCGGGGGATTTCGGAGATGATGGTTTGCCCCGCATCATATAAAGCTCCGGTGAAGCGCGAGGACCCTGGGTGATGATCCTCCGGAGTCAGGCTCATGCCGGACATCCTGTAACCCTGTGGTGCCAGTGGTCGAATGCAGTGAGAATGGATGCGTAGTGAGCCAGCGCCGCGGCGACGACGAAACAGTGGAAGATTTGGTGGGACGAAAAGAAGAAGTCGAATGTCCCAGGCGAGAACCGTTCCGGGATTCGATTCGCACTGTAGGGGGGTGTAATTTGCGATGGAGGCGGACCCGGAGTCATTTCCGAGGGGACAGATTCAAGGCACAGACGGGTTGGGATCCGCACACCAGCGGTGCGGGTGGCAACGCGTGGAAATTTGACGTCGGAGGCGAGTAGGGTGAGGAGTTTCGCAGGAGCAAAGGTCCAGCAGAACGGCACGACGTCCGGGCGTGAATAGGGGGACACGGCACGATAATTGACGGAAGTGAAGACCTCAGTCAGCCGCGGACTAATCACCGAGAATATACGAATGACTCACTACAATAGGGCGCCGAAAATATAACACCCGCCAGACAGGAGAAGGTAGTTGAATCCCATCTCCACGCACAGCGTGTGGTATCCGTGCACGAGAAGGCCATGCAGAGTGGGAATGACACCACACAAGCCTAGGAGGATGAAGACACGCGTCCGTGCGCCGCGGCGAGTGGGCTTGCGATATTCCGGGTTGAGCACGATGTATGCAGCCCCTGCGTGATGCGAAAGGGAGAATATCCGTCAGTCGGTGATGAACAATAGCCGACAGGTGCGGAAAAGGCTGAAAATGAGCGCAACCAGTGCTCCATGCACGACACCAGGGAAAGGAACTGTGCCACACAGAGCGTGGATCCCACGCAGGGAGACTCCAGGGGGGACGATCGAAGACGCGGATGCTGGGTCCAGGCAACTCACCACAGCCAGCCACGCATATGCATGTCAATAGAACTTTTGGTAACGAGGTTCGCAGAAAAAGGCGTAGTATATGGAAGGAAAGAACGACCCGACGGTGAGGACTGGTGGACAACCGGGCAGTGCAAGAAATGAGTCCAGTGCACACCGGCGAATTTTAGGAATCACAGACCGACGATTCCTGCGTAATCCAGGGCATTGCATCGAGAGGCGACCTGAAAAGGTGTCACCATGCATACCTGGGGCCGGTGACGCAAGAAGCATACGTACGGGGTGCGAATGCGCGCTGAAGGTGTGGAAGAAGGCGCTACCTGTGAGGCAAAAAATAGCCGAGCACAAGAATATCGTGAACACTGTGATATCGGCCCATGTGGTAGACTCGTAGTGCACGAAGTAGACCTGTTGGAAGGTGAAGAGGAAAGTCACGAAGAGTACGGCCCCTCCGAGATGGGTGTGGATGTTGACTAGCAGTGACGTAAGCATACGCCACCAAGCTGCCTCCGAGTCCGAAATGAACGAGAACACACCTGTCTCGTTGTGCAAGTCTAGCGGGGCCGAACCCGCGCGCAACGAGCGTCAGTCTTATCAGCACATCGGCATGCAGCTGATGCAGCCTTAGGCACGTACATCCAAAAACCGAGACCGTGCATGCCCGCCAGCTTGCAGTAGCCCTGTCACGGTAACAGCATCCGTGAGTATGGCAAAATGAAAAGGCGAGCAGGCATGAAGAAAAGAGAGTCCTTGTGCTCGGTGCTGCGCGTTGTTCCGCGGCGATGCGCAGAAGCACGAACCACGAGGAAAGGAGGCATATCACCATGCCAGCGTCCTCCTCCCCTGGACCGATCATGCAGTGCCTCCCGAACGCTCACGAAATTAAAACCGCACGCCATCGCTGCGCCGACCCCAGCGGGCGAGTCCAAGAGTCAGCGGAGCCCCATCGTCTGTTCGTCAAGGCTCCGGAGCTTACTTGTACTTGTCACCTGGGTGGACACCATGCATCTAGTGCTGCATGTGTTGTAACATAGGCGTATACATGCAGCCGATTACGGCAGTACCCGCCCGTCTGCACCATTCCCCGAGAGGAAAAGAGAGACGGTGACGAGTGACGAGGCCACGGTGGAGACGGGTGCAAAACAATGGTGCGAAGGAACGCATATAGCCACCGCACCAAGAGGTTCACGCCGCCAACGCCAGAAGACGCATCCGCCAGGCATTCTGCACCACAGTCCTCGCGCGCAGACGGACTAAAGGGGACTCGGGGAACTTATGCCTCCCTCCGCCGCATACACATCCACACGGCCACGCTGACGCACCTTCTATATCCCGTCAGGATATATTCGTTGTCTCTCTGCCATTCCGCTATTTCGTCCCAGGTGAGCGTCAGCCGCGGCTTCCCTTGCATGCCCCGACTTGGTGTCTGGACGGTGTTCGTCTTCGAATGCAGGACGTCGCCGAGGCCGTCTCTGTGCGCCGTGCTTTCCTGTATTGGCGGAAATTGTCAGAGGATTCCTCGTGGCGGCCTCTGCGAGCATCCGACGCGTACGCCGTAGCTCTCGGTGCCAATACCGGTTGGCGCCTTCTATTCCGTCAAGGAACAATGGCATCGGAGAGGCGAGGCCGCGCTAGACATCAGACTACTCACATCACTCGTATCATGCGGCTTGCGCGCGCGGAGAGACGTGGCATCCAGACCGGACATCGAGGAGGTAGCCGTTGGAAGAGAAGTTTGTCCATATCATCGTGCATGGACGGATGCGTAGGGCGTGGCACTGGGGAAGCCTTTCTGGGGCTCCCCACGCACAGCAAGCGCTGGCGCCTATCGCCGTCCCTTTTTGCGATAACCCTATAAATGGGGCTGGGGTTTGATGACGTCGCTGGGAGGACCGCACCAGTCATTTGGTGGCTGAGAGAGCCCGAAGGCAGACGCACACCAGGGAAGACAAAGCCATGATTATGCAAGTATTCGATAGCAATGCAACTACATGCGACACACAGTCCATGTGTAGTCCAAACGGCGGAAGAGGGGGGATGCCATGCGACGATGCGAGGAGGACAAAGCGAAGTATGACGGTGCACAACCATTGCGTGGATGAGGGACAGCGCTAGCTTGGGGCCAGAAGATACAAACATGAGGCGACAGAAAAGGTAACGCAAGGAACAGGGCTGCGGTGGAGAACGCTGAAGGAAGTTAGCGACAGGGAGATTGGAGGAAGGAGGTATTTATGAGGACGACAGCGCAATAATAGAAAACGCGGGGAAGAACAGCCGATATGTACAATGCGAAGAGAAGTTGAGACGATGCTGGTAGATGCAAAATGCGGGAGATATTGCATGCGGTATAGAAGTACAGACGCACTCTCACGTCGTGATGCAGATTGGGTCCGTTAGACTGGAAGTCCTCGAGATGCGTTCAGTCATCAATGACCATAAAGCGCGTGAATACCGTGATGAGCGAGGGGTGCCATGCCTGGAACACCCGGACCGGAGAAAACCCGTGTTGTCGGAGATAGGATGAATATGAGTGGGAGGCCGTAGGATGAGCGGAGACCAGGGAGTGGTTAGACGAATGTCTTGTTACGCAGGATGAAGCGCTGTAGATGGCGGCATCTCAGAGGCTGTGTGGTGAGGGGTGGATATCGATGGGGGGTCTCAAAGAGCCACATCCGAGAAGCGCTCAACGGTGGAAGCGCGGGAGGTAGCATAGCGTTCGCTGGCCGCAGATGGGGAAGAGAATGTGAATGCGGAGTAGATGCGTTTGCGCTCGGGAGTCGAGAAGGAGCCCAGAACGCGGGTGTCATTCACTGGAGATGGGGTGGCATCGGCCTGGGAAGATGGAGGCGGAGTGGAAGCTCTCTCCGTCTTGTCAGGGAGGACAGCAGTAACAGCCTGCAATGATGCCCGTGGTGAGACGGTGTCGTGGGTAATGTAAACAAGACATACCTTTTCAGCGGCCTTTTCCGCATCTCCAACTGCATCCTCCTGGGAAGCGACCTGCTCGTATGCTTCGGAAATGTCCGCCAGAGGAAGAACCGTCAACTCTTTGCACTTAGCATCGATGACCACCTGGTCGACGGGATGGGCGTCTTCACGTTCCTCGGCGAGACGTGGAAGCGATGGTTCCGGCGGGTGCGGCTGGAGCTACTGCGCTTGGTAGTGGATGAAGACCGCTTGGGCTTCTTCTCCGCGGAGCGAATTTTGGAAGCCGCCTTCTTGAGAGGCTTCTCGGCTAGCGGACGTGGCTTCTTGCTGGGGGAGACGGGTTGAGTCTTCACAGAAAGAGCGGTTTTCCTTTTCTTGCAGGAATCGTGATCCGGAAGGACGCGAGAGCCCGTGCTGGGATCCATGTTCTCCTTGTCGGGTTGGTAGACGAGAAGAGGACCAGAGGGAGGTGGGATGGAGATCGTGGTGGTTGGTGGGGAGTTGCCCTCCACATCGGCGGAGAGAGACTCAGGCTCATCACAGAAAACAGCGAACGCACGGATGGAAGCCATTACTGGGATGTCACGAGACGTGGGGATGAGAGAGGACGTATAGTTGAAGCGTTTGGGCCGGGCGAACGACAAGCAGCGTCGATAGTCAAATGTGGTGGTGAAGGGCTGCGGTAGGGTTGCGCAGCGATAGTGATGGGGAGTAGGAAGGGCGGAGGACGTTCCTCGAGTGCTTGTCGTTGTCGACGTTGAGGAAAGAGGAAATGAACCTTGAGTGCGTTTTAGGCATGCTTTCGAACTCCGCCCCCAGAGGCGCCCCGCACGTGATGCTGCAGAGATGCGAGTTTGCCGCCAACTGATGATCGGTAACCTCAAACAAGGCGCACTTACCCACACTGTAAACTCGTTATTGTTGACCTCGCTGGGACATTGAGGACTTGTTTGTCCTCGACAAGTGTTCAATCAGCCTTTTTTCTCGGCCAATTACGGTCTAAGCGTATCCTAGACCATTGAAGACCAATCGAAGGGTTTCCGAAGTTGAGAACCGCCTCTTTTGACATAATAATGCTGTGGTACGAGCTTTGTTTGATGTTCGCCTACGGCTGCATGTACTGAGAAATGGAAATTGTATCGGAGTCGGCAAAGGTATGCTGATACTTACAACTGATAGAGCGCCTTGACTATGAGCCAGATGAGAAGCTCTCCAAAGACACTATAGGGGTTTTTTAAAATATACCGTCTGAGTGTACTCGGTGGGGCCCTCCGAGAGACCTGAATGAATACAACAAAAGATACGATGTCGGCGCGTCGCCGCTTCAATTAGGGCGCTTAGTGTCCGAAGCCTAGGACGCCGCAACTTGTCCTCGCGCCGCCACCTTGCCCCTGCCCAGTTTCCGTCCGCCCCGTCCTCCTTGCCCCTTGTTCCCCTTGTCGTACTCGCACTCCTTTCCATGGCTCCACAGACTGCAAACCGCGCGAAGAAGCCTTACACTGTAAGCCAGCTCGCTCCAAATAGATCATACAACTCCTAAAGCGCACGCTAGCGCCCCGCCCCTCACCCTGCAGGGTCTGACGGCCAATGGCTGCACGACAAGGCACCCGGCGTTCCGCGCGCGGTTCAGAACGCCGTTTCTAAGGGACCGGGAGGTGTAACAAACACAAGAATCATCGTCTCAAATCTCCATTATGAAGTGACACCAAAAGACCTCACTGTATGCGCATTTCTTCCTGTTCCTTGATATTTCCCTCCCTTTCGTCGTTGCAAACACCCTCGGTGACTCACGAATACCCTCTCAGTCAATCTTCGGTCAAATTGGCACGCTCATACGTGAGCCACAAATCAGGGTACGAAGCTCCGCATCCACCGAATCCACCTGAGAAACGAGACACCGATCCGACTTGTTTCGCACTGCATTCACATACTTCGCAACACCTTTCACTGCGCGGTAACTGAACAGTACGACCGCAGCGGGCGTTCCTCGGGAGTCGCGGTTGTCACCTTCGAGACCCCTTTGGAGGCGACGCGAGCCAAGAAGCAGTTTGATGGGATTCTTTGCAAAAGTAATGTCCTTTCCGTCGTTGCCCTCCTCTCTCTTTCGAGACTCGCCATATGCTCATGCAGAGCCTTTTGTCCCTTTCCCCGGTAGACCAACCCATGTCGGTCGTGTACGACACAAGTGCGCCCAAGCCTGTTCGGAACGCGACGAACACGACCTCGCTGCTCAACCGCATCGAGAAGCCACCTCTTATTGAACGTCTCACGAAGGCCGAAACCAAACCCAGACCGCCAGCTACGTGAGTGTATTACACCTCTGTTTGCGTAACCCCGGCTCTGAAACGTGCATCAGGCAAGGAAGCGTTGGTCCTATGCGAACGAAGACTCGCGGACCCACCACACGCGCTCCCAAGCGGGAAAAGCCGAAGACGGCAGATGAGCTGGACAAGGAGCTGGACGCGTTCATGAATGACGATATCAAGCCTATCGCAGCACCAGCAAAAGCTGGCGGAGGTGAAGGTGACGTGGATATGGCTTGAAATGGCCTCTTGAGCGAAGGTCGAAGCAGCAGCTCGAAGCGACCTTGATCCGTGACTTGAAATTGTCCTCCTCGTACCGTATTTCTTTCCGTATATGTTTCTGTGCTTGTAAGTGTTGCTCGATAGTAACGCCGCTGTGAAGATGATTGACTCATTCGTTGACGTTAGAGTACTCTCCGTGTCAACTATTGATCAAGCTTTGTGGACATGAGACGTAGACTGCTCGAAGATGAACCCGATCGCCTCTTGGATATGTATTTTTTGAAAGAACCGGTTGATACTTCCGCAGGTACGCGTTGTGCACCGATATCTTGCGTATATCTGGAGTTCATTCTCTAGGCAAGGTCTACTGTTTCTCAATATTCCATGGTGCTGCTCTGCACGATTGAGTGGATCGAATGCCACCCGAAGGCGTGTTGGTGAGTAGAGGCCGAAGTAAAGTTTGCACTCGCTTCTGACGTCAAGTGGCTTAGCGAGGTTCCATCCGGCCGATATGTTGGTTCGGGTTCGTGGCGCACAGACTGAAATGCTATAGTTTGTACTTCAATCGGCGTTGTTTGGCCTATCAATAGCCAGTGATGGGGTACGAACGTGGTGGAGGACGAACACCGCTAGGCATGCCATGGTGAATCAGGATGATGCACTGTAACACGCGATCCTGGTCAACTCGAATGTCTTGGGAGTTGCCTAGCCCCTTTTGAGGCATCGAGAATCCAACACAGAGTCTCTGTCTACCTTAAGTCAGGCTCTATTCCGATGCGGCACCCGTCAACTACATAAAGCTTGAACTCGTTCTCAACCTACTCTGTCTGGTGCTCCATTCCCGCCTCTTCGTCCCCGCAATCCATATCGCCCTGAATGCCGTTGACCACATATTTTCATCTACCACGCTTTCGTGCAGGTTGGTACGCAGTTATTCAAAATCTCGCACCAGTTATGAGGTCCTCAAGGACATGATTGCCCGTCATCACTGTCGACGTGCCCCTTGCGCCGATGTCCGACGATTGCCCGCTGGTTCTCGAAGGCGTCGACGAGGACGACTTTTGAAGATTCCTCTTACCCCGTGAGCGCGCATCCTTCCCCCAGAGTACTAGTACCGAGAACACTATGCTAACGAAGTCCACCCCCAGACGCTTCGGTCCCAAAGTCGAGTAGGCCCGGTGTCCCACCACAAACGAGTGCGTTGCCGCCTTCAAGGTCGCCACCCAGTGGTGTTTCGACCGCCTATGGCGCGGCATCGTCCGGGTGCTGATGTGGCGCGACTTTCCCGAGACGCACCCCGCCCACGCTGTCGCGCTCGTGCGGCTGCACCCGCGCCGAATCCAACATCGTGGTGTTCATCCGAAAGAGGTTTAAGGACGACGCAGAAGACTCCCGAAAGCACAAACAACGGAAACGGGACAATGTGTCAAGCTGATTTGACATAGCTACAACATCGTCTGTACGTGTTTGTTTCTGTAGCCTAGGTTCAGATTCTGTCTTTCGAGGTGCACAAATGTGTCCTGCAATCGGCGGTAACCCGCCAGCCCCAATTTGTATGTTCTTGGTGTGGTCGGGCTTGCCTATGTGCTCGAGTCCTTGACACGGTCTTTGTGCGAAGGTTGCCCCAAAAAACGCCTCCTTCACTCTCAAGTAAATGGACAGCCGCTGAGTCATAGAGTGGCGCTTGGACCACTACGATGGTGTCAATGATCGTCTGAGAATTGTCTCGTAATCGCCCACTCTGACTGTGACTATTGTTATGCGTTGGTTACGCGTCCGGCCGCTTCCAAGTAGGATTAGACGCCTGCTTCCTTGACTCTCCACCACCACCATCGTGCGGCGTCGAAATTCAGCTATGTCCATCATTCACATCCGCGACATACTGTCTCGTCCTACTACTCGCCGCTCTTCCTATCGGAATATCTTCCGACCCGTGTCCGATCTTGAAGACATCCCAAACAGCCACTCGTCCAGTTCGCAGCACAGGCACTGCCCCTTCTGCGCCCTCCCGTCGGAGCTGAGGCATGAGATTGTCACCTACATCCGCAACGACTACAAAACAGTGCGCCGATGCACACTTACCTGCAGATGTCTCCGCGCGATCACCATGAATTACCTCATAGCCTTCCAGAGAGGTGTTCTGGTTTTCCATTCTGTCCACTCCATCTACGAGGTCATCGACTTCCTCGAAAAGTTCTCTCTTTCCACTACAGACACGTACAGTCTCTCCCTCTATGGCATACAAGAACGTATTCCCTTCGACGGCGAAAGAGGGGAGATTCTCGCAAGCATCGATGAGGCCGCTGTGGGGCGTATGGTCGCACACCTTCCGAAGCTCAGGCATCTCTCCATAAACGACTTTCGGTTCCTCGACTCCCCAACTTCTCCACCATGGTCTGCAGAACCGAAATTCCATACTGCAGATCCCACTCGTCCTGGCCACCCCCTTCCCTTAAACTCCCTCACAGTCCGGCGGAGCACCTACGGTCCCGGTGGCTCCATCCACGCCCTCCTCCACATCCTCTCCCTTTTCCATGGGAGCGAACTTGATGTGCGCTGTTCCTGGGATAACTTCGACCCTCCCACCACGGACGCGCTGCACGTCCCCTCCCCGCTCCGGTTCGCGAGCATCAGCTTCACGCTGCCCTCGACGTCCCCATGGACAGTGGACGGCCGCCTGCGCGCGCTCCGGTTCGCGGAGGCGCTGCGCGGGCTGGGCGACAACCTCGCGCCGGGCTGGCCCCGCGGGAAGTTCGAGGCGCAGTACGACTCCCCGCGAGCTCTGGACGCCATCGGACGCATCCTCGCAAAGGAGGGCGGCAGCCTGCACGGGCTGACCCTCGCTGCCGCAGCACCGCGCAAGTTCGAGTGGCGGGGCGCCTGGGTTGATCCTCTGGACGGTGCGTCTGTGGTGCCTTCTTCTCCTCACGCACCCGTTCTGACCAGAGGAATTCGTATCCGGTTACAGAGCACTGGCAGCGGCTGCAGATATCCTCCTGCACGGCACTCGTCGAGCTCACGCTCCATGTCTTCCTCCGCGCGCACGACCATCAGGCTGGCCCCAAGTACGCCGCATCGTGTGCCGCGTTGCTCTCCGCGCTCCAATCCCGGCATCTGCAAGTGCTCACGATTTTTATCGTAGACTTGTCCGCGCCCGAGCTCCTGAGAGAGCGGTTCGCGCTCGGCGCGGTCGACGCCGCACTCAAACCTGAGCGCTTCCCGGCGCTAAACAAGGTGGTCGTCTTCTTCGCTTCCGTCCAGCAGCCCGATGGACCTGTCAGTGCGTTCACGCCCTTCCAGCACGCAGTCGTCGCACAGTTGCCCCTCCTCTTCGCACGCGGGATCCTGGTTGTTCAGAAGGTCCCTATTTTTCGACCTCTTGCTCAGCGGCTTCTGAGCGAGTGAGTATTCACATTCCTTTGTCAAAACCTCTGTTGGATTATGTTGGTCTCTGCCCGTACTATAACTTTGTGGTGTGGTCCTTATATATACATATTGCATATCTGAGATGCAAAAAACACGCACAAATTTGTTGATAGCAACTCCTGGTTTCGATCCAGGGACTTCAGGGTTATGAGCCCTGCACGCTTCCACTGCGTCAAGTTGCTGTGGAGAAACACAACGTTGTAACAAATATACTATGTGTCAATTTCAGACTGCTGTGCATTACTTAGTAGAGCGCGATTTCGAGAAAGCCGGAAGTCGGAACGGAAAGTGCTAGAAGGCCCCGGAAATGCCGAGGCTGCTTACATGCCGGGCTGCTTACTGTGTCTGGCACTACGTCTTGGCTGTTCCCTGGCACTGACTCCGACTACTCGTCCTTTGCTTCAACAGTCCTCTCCCAGATCCACACTGCACCCAACCCGACCCATGGCCGACGGACGAGGGATGCCGCTCCTCAGCGGTCCGCCGCCCGAGTACACCGCGAACGAGCCCGCATGTCGGAAGTGCAACAAGGAGTTCAACATCCTCTTCACCCGATCGCGCAAGTGCTACCACTGCGGTATGCAACCCGTGTTCCACCCGTGCTCTTCTGCCTCCCGCTCACATGGGGCGCAGGGTACTCATACTGCCACTCGTGCACCGACTACCAAGCACTCACGCCCCGCCAGAACGAGAACAGGTCGGACCCGAGGAACACGAATGGATACGATCCAATGCCCGTGTGCGCGTTCTGCATAGAGATGCTTCAAAGTGAGTTGTCGTTCTGTTCACCCCAGAGTCCACCTGGACAATGCATTAAGGGTCGCAAGCTTGCAGTCACCGCGAGTGGGAAAGGGCAGCTCAAGCAACTGCCCATGGCCAAGCTGAAGAAGTATGCTAAAGCGTACAACATTGATGTCGCCGGGATTTTGGAGAAGGACGAGTTTATCGATAGGCTCGTTGCGGCGAGGGTGAGTAATTGTTGATATTTCTGGCGTGAGCCCCGTGCAAACGGGACTATGGTATGGACGGTGGATATATGCGTCGCATATAGTGACCGTCAGGCCACTGGCTGGAAGGCATACACGTGTGATGAGGACTATGCCACCATTGATGAGCCAAGCAATGCGGCCGAGATGGGCCACAAACAACTTGCTTAACGTCCCGCCTGGTCCCAAACTGTGCTGACTGCATCACGATTTGCAGGGGCCTGATGGTTGCTTACTGCGCGACAAGGAAAGCTACTACAGGAAGCATTCAGTACCTAACCGTACAAACAATCGACCCAGGGGCTTCTTCTCGCGGGCCATGGACGCCGTGTCAGGCGATCGATATTCTTCGGAGACTCCCCCTCCTTGCGAGACCAGCAGTCAACTCGGCCAAGCCCTCAATATCAGCAATACCAGTCGCGACAGAGGACAACCTCTGGCCCGAGTCGATATCCACCCCAGCCGCCGCGAGGCGCGCCCCAGCCCCAAGCCCACCCTCGCTACGCCCCGCCACCCGGACATCCCCCCGGATTCGTTCCGCAGCCAGGATACGGCCGCCCTCCTCCTCACCACTTCTACACTCCCCCGCCCTCGAACCACCATCCTCCACCGCCCCAGCAGCCGCGCCCGGACAACCTGCACGTCCCCCCGCAACCCGGCCGCCGCGCTCCTCGTCCGCGTCCTCGCCGCGCGGGCCGTCGCCGTCGCCCGCGCGCCCGGTCGTCGTCCCGAGCATCGACGAGCTGCTGGCGATGCCCGAGGACCAGCTCGCGGCGCTCTCCGTCGGCTCGCTGAAGGAGGTCCTCTTCAAGAACCACGTCACCGCGCGGATGGTCGTCGAGAAGAGCGAGCTCGTCGCTCGCGTCAGGACGCTCGTTGAGCAGGAGCGGCGCGAGCGGGCGCGGAAGGAGGCTGAGGAGGAGGCGGAGCGCGCCGCGGAGGAAGAGGCTCGAAGGAGCGGGAGCGGGAGGGGCGGCGCAGGAGCGTGCACGGGCGGGGCCGTCACAGGCGCATTCACCGAGCGTGGAAGAGGTGGCGGACGAGGGTGACCGGCCGCACGGCGAGGGCAGGGTGTGAGGGCGGGGGCGGGGGCGTCGGGGACTGGGATGGGTCCTGCAGGGTCGTCACCTATCGGTATCCCGAGACCGGCGGGGGCACCCTCGCCTCCGCCGTCGTCGCCACCGAAGGGCGTGCCGTCGTCCGCGCCGGCGAGCTCTATGCCCCCGGCCGCGCAGGCGATGGCATCGCGGCTTGAACGCACAGGTCTGTGTGTGATCTGTCAGGACGAGGAGGCGAATATCGCGATTGTTGACTGCGGGTGCGTACTTCTACCGCGTCGAGTCTTGCGCGATTACGCTGACTTTCGGCATGCGTTCTTGCTTCCATAGACATCTCGCCATGTGCCGCGCGTGTTCGGACTTGATCATGAACAGCACGCGCGAGTGTCCTCTCTGTCGGACGCGTATTGTCACGGAAAGTCGGCTTCTGCGTATATTCAAGTCATAGTTTGTCTACGAGCGACTTCGACTTGCCATCCCCCTCCCCATTTGTTGGAAATGCCTGAACATGTTATGTCCGTACATACTCTTGCGGTGTAAGTAACGCTAGCCTGTAAAGTGTAATCTGTGTGTGCCAGCAGTACTATAATATCGTGCTCTGGAGCTGCTGTGATCCTTTCGGTTTGTGCAATATGGATAGCGAGGACGTGCAATATAGGAATCCCAACACTGTAAAGTCTACGATTATGAAGATGCGGTGGTACGGTACGAGACGGGTGTGGGCCATCTTATGGACTAATCTAGTGTAGAATTCGTTTAGATTGACGACGTGAGTCGTTGTCGTCGTCGTCGTCGTCAGCATCTACCTTTCTCTTCGACCCTCCTTCCAGTTGGGTGGGTGGCTCATAGTAAAGCTTCGCAGCCTCGTCCAATGCTCGAAACTCCTCCTTGAAGTGATTGGAACATTTATCGTCCTGGATATCATGATAACTCGAGAGACGCTCCTCCCGGAACCTCATCAAGCCAAAGAACGTAGAGACCCCGAGGGTTTCAAGATCGCCTTCTTCCAACGGCTTGCGCCGCTTGATCAACCCCATGTAGGCTAGCAGAAGCCAATGGCTGACGCTGAACTGCCGTGCTATGAGCACCCACGAGATGAAGTCAATGTCCTTTTCGCTCCTCAGATGGTCCGCGATTCTGTGGATGGCGGTCGATCTCTTGTCGCGAAGGTGCCACCTGCAGGACAATTTGAAAACGGACATCCACTCGTCGTTGGACATTGGTTTGCGATTAGGTGTTCCATATGGACTGCACCATTCCGGTGAGCCGGGTCCATTCGTTGGCAGAAGGTGAGCACAACTCACAGGAGAACCATTTGCTTCAGGAGTGAGCGAAAGTCTTCGACAGCGACGTTGGCTAGTACGAGCGGTGTCTCGTCAGAGCTTCCCGGTGAAGGCTTGGTCTTGTCGGAAGAAGACTGAGAAAGCAGATCTTCGAAGAATTTGGACTCCGTGATGAATGGACGCCGGGGGACAAGGAATAGAGTGTTCTCCACCTGTAGGTTTTCGAGCCAGAGTCGTCAGCGATGGAAGCTTGAGACGCGTCGGCGACTACGTGCCTGAAACGTGACATGCTCGAAGTAGAACGTCGGGTCTCTGACCGGCTGCTCTTTGCGTTTAGTGCTCTTGCGGGACTGCGTAGGAGTGTCGGTCTTTTGCTCGACACGCGGCATGGTGAGCGTTGACGTTGAGCGCTGAGCCTGAGCCGGGAACGTGCGAATTGGCACCAACCGTCCTGGACCAGGCCCGCCAGCGCCGTCCTCCGGGCCGAGCATCAACGGCAGCTTCAAGCAACTTCTTGTTGACTTCTTGCCTCTTCTTGCTTGCAAGAGTCAACTGGATTTGTGTCTGAAAGGTTATGTCATCGCATGTCCATTTCATTTTAGTCTAATTCTATATCCGGCTCGCATTTCAACGACTTTGCCTTGGACCCCGCCTCTGGCAGCTGAGCCGCCTCCGAATCCCTCTTCCGCGGCCGCCTCGTCATAAATCCTTCATCAATAGGTCCAAATTCTCCCGAAGAAGTGGCTTTACGTAGTCCCTCAATCTCGAGCGCGAACAACTCACGGACGCTCTTCTCGATTGTTTCACCCGCCACGGTCAACGACTCTTCCACAGCCGCTTCCGATCGACGCCGCCTCGCCCCCGCAGACAACTTCAAGTACTGCTCCCGGAGCTTTGTGAGCTCCATGACCGTCGGGATCCCGAGCGGCCCGACGTCCTTCGCGTCGAGCGGTTCTTCCCTCTTGACGACCAGCGCCGTAAGCGCTTGAACCAGCCACGAGCCGACGTTGTGTGTTCGAGCGAGGAGCACCCATGCCACGAAGTCGTCGGGACTGCACGAGTTGAGCGTGGATTTCACTTCCTCGGCTGCGCGGCTTTTGACAGCAGCAAAGCGCCATTTGGCGGCGAGGTCGAAGACGGATCTCCACTCTTCCCGCGTTAAGTTGAGGCCGTGCCGGGTGGGGTGGTTCTTGTTCCTAGCACTTGATCAGCAGGGCCAAAAAAGACGGCTCTCTTTCGAAAGAGGAGTACCCTTGAAAGAGGACCTGCAGGAACGGGCGGAACTGGGCGACGGTGACGTTCTTGAGCAGGATGGGGTCGTCGTCGGAGCTCCAGCTGAACGCGGGCTGTGAGAGGTGGCTCCGGAACACCCTGGAGTCACTGATGAACTTGTCCCGCGGGAGGTTGAAGAGGGTGTTCTCCACCTGCACACTCCCGTCAGTATAAACATGGCCGGTGTTGACACAGCAGACGAACTTGCGGCGCGCACTTGCTTGAAACACCACCATTTTGTAGTAGAAAGTATTGTCTTTGACGACTCGTCCGGGTTCTTCGTGCGGTTTAGCATCCGCTGCCTCGCGGGCCTTTAACTTGGCGCGCTTAGCTTTTCTCATGGTGAGTTTTTGAGGTCAAGGGCGGGACAGCGGATGCACAGCTGGCGAGTAGCGCCCAGGGAGTCGGCAGGTAATGTTACGTAAGTCAGTCATTGCGTTCTTCCGAAACTGGATTGTTAATCGTTGAATGGGCATTATGAACACTGAATAGCGCATTCATGTTCACATCTCGACCAAAAGCGCCTCTTGCTCCAGTTTCATCGACTTCGACCCCGCCTCCGGAGCCCCTTCCGCTTTCCGCTTCCGTCTCTTCGTCAACCCATCGTCGAGAGGTCCAAACTCTCCCGCCGCAGAGGCTTTATCAAGCTTTACCAGCTCGTCCGAAAACTGCCGACGAACGCTCCCCTGAATCCTCGCGCTCGCGTCCTTAAGCGCCTCTTCCAGCTCCGAACGGTGCCTCGACCTGCTCTTCGCCTCGACCGAAAGCTTCAGGTACTCTTCGCGCAGCTTCATCAGCGCCATGAACGTCGAGACCCCGAGCGAGTCGATGTCCTTCGCGTCGAGCGGCTGCTCCCTCTTGACGAGCCCGGTGAGGGCGTAGACGAGCCAGGAGCGCACGTTGCACCGCCGCGCGAGGAGCACCCACGCGATCGCGTTCTTCTGCCCCTCGATCTTGGGCTCGAGCTCCCGGACGGCGACCGCTCGAATGGACGCAAACCGCCACCTGGACGCGAGCTCGAAGACGGACTTCCACTCCTCCGTCGACTTGCTGACAGGTCGGTTGTATTCCCTGTTCCGAGGCCTCTTCGGTTAGTAAAAGGGTCACAGACGGTTGCATCACAAGGATGAACTCACGCAGGGAACAACACGGCCAGAAAGGAGCGGAAATCGGCGACGGTGACGCGCTTGAGCTTGATGGGCTCCTCGTCCGAGCTCCCTTGCGCGGGCTGGGAGAGGAGTTCTCGGAACGTCTCCGACTCGTTTGCGATCTTCTGCCGAGGGAGTCTGAACAGCGTGTTCTCCACCTGACACAACGCAATAAGTATTGATGTAGCTAGCTTCGCGCGAGTATTCGACTCTTACCTGGAAAACTACGGTGTCGTAGTAAAACGCGTCTCTGACTATCTTGCGTTTGCCCTCCCGTTCAACAGCCTCTGTCATCCCAGTATCACCGACACCGATCTGTTGTAGCCGTGGAGGGAGCAGGATGGTGAGCGTTTGAGGTCAAGAGAGACAGAATATCCGAGTCCCGGCAGCGGCTATATGTAGTGGTTGGCGTTTCAAGCCCCATCGGCTATACGCGTACGTAAATGGTAGAGGAGCCGCGATGTGTGATCGTTGAGGATCGACAAGCAGTGAGTGGCGAATTATCGTAGTATGACGAAAGGTACAAGACCAGATGCATCCGTACAGTCTGGATAGAACGCATGTACGAATTAAATGCCAGTAACCGAGCGATCGTCTATCATGCGGTAGCGGTCTCGTGAAGATCATTTCACGCTTGCACCAGAGGCATCGATCTTCTTAACGCCTGCCGTCCTGCAGCGCTTCGCAGTATTTTGAACAAAAGGCGGCGAGGGGTTCAAGGGGCCATTCTTATTCCTGGTCGACGTGGACGGTCGGGAGGACTTCCTATTGTTCGAGGAGAGACTTGCGGCGACTGGTCAAGTGTCTCGATCACCTCGTCGGAGGGGAAGGGGGAAAGAGATGGCATCGGCGAGACTGAGAGTGGCGCGGGGATGGGGTAGAGCTGGGGCGAGAGCCAGTCGCACCAATCGTATCTCTGGTGAAGAAGCTCGCAAGGCTTGAGGACGAAGCGGGAGAGACACTTGCGAAAGACTTTTGTGATGAGCGTTCTGGCGAGCGCGTCGGAGTGCAGGAAACTTTCGCATTTGAGGGTGCAATGTGAGATGTGATGCCTGGCAACGATGGTGTGGACGAGTGGACTGGTACTGAGGGACAGTTGGTCTGCGTTGTAGATAGTCATCATGGACTTGTGGTGTATGTGTCGGATGACTTGCGACCGTGCTCAAGAATTGGGATGAACTCCCGCTGTTCAGGTAAAATTTTCTTTCCTACTCGTCGATGACAGAATCCAACCTTGAGTCGCCACCGAAGGCAGCTTCGATCGTGGGCTGACTCGAGGAACAGATCTATGCGCATATCATGAAGCGAGGCTCGCAAAAACGATGAAGCATATACTCACTGCCATGTATATGTCATTGGGAGTCCACCTCGCGGTGTGGGGACTTTGCACAGTGTACACAGAAGCGGGGACATCCATGATTGACACTGTAGAGTTCCAATCGTGTCACGGAGTGCATGTCCTCCAGTGTGGGTGAGCACTCGCCTCGAAATGGCTCGGAGTTCGCTTCCGCTCCAGCATCCACTATCGGACGCACAAGCGTTGATACCTTCCAAATCTCTCGCCGCGGCCGGCTTCCCCGAGGTCTTCGTCAGATCCGCTCTCCGCGCTCTTCCAGAGCTTCGAAGGCATTCTCCATGCGGTCGAAGCGCACCTGTATGTCGTTTTTGATTTCCTCGAGCAGTGCGGTGAGCGAAAGCTTGAGTCGGCGGAATGGGTCGTAAAACGCAGTAGGACTTGGGGTACCGCGCCAGTAGCCGAGGGCGCGCCGTGCCTCGATTCACCGAGAGCAATGGGAACGGTGGGCGAGGATTTCTGCGGATGATGTCGAGAGGAAGAGGAGACGGTTATTGTTGTGTGGATTCATCTGGACGTAACGTGTTAGTTCATGTAGAGCGCACCCGCAGAGCTGAGATCAACAAGTCGCACCTTGCTGCTTTCCGGGCCATAATACTCTCACAGAAACATGCGGAGCGGAATGGTAAGAGTGAAAGTGGCATAAGAAATGGCCTGCGCGGGTTCAAGAGGTGGGGACTGAGGAGCATGGAGATGAAAAGCAAAGCACAAACGTGCCGCCGCGCGTAACGCGTCGTGTGCCGCGATCACGTGGTGGCCAGTACTCGGTGCTCCGTCTGTGATTTCAAGGCATTGAAAGACACATCGCTCGCACGCAACGCGATGGGCCACAAGCTTGGCCGCTCACAGAGTGATGCATGAGATACAAGTTCTACTGAAGACACATCATCTATGCACTCATTCGCTCGAAGGCACGGTGCGTTTGTAAACTTTCCACATATGATCCTCCCACTCCTGCACAGGGTCCTCGCCTGCACCGACACCACGCAACCACTCCTCCGCCTCCCCATCGCGCTCGATCGCCCGCCACTGCTCGCGCAGGAAGTCCTTCTCCTCGAACAGCCGGCGCTCCGCCTGGGGGATGCGGTACGGGTCCCCGACGAACTCGTACAGCTCGTCGCGGTAGTCGAACATCTCCTCAAACCCGAAGCGGAACCACGCGTCCGCCGCGGCGCGCACGTCGCCGCCGTGTTCGGCGAGGAACGTCGCGTGCCTTGCGCGCACCACCTCGGTCTCGTGCGCGATGTCGAGGGTGCTTGGATCTGCGAAGACTTGGAGGGCGGCGCGAGCTTGGACCTCGGCGAGCGGAAACGGCGCGACACGGAGGGGGAGCCCGAGGAAGGCGAGGCTTGATGGGGGGTAGGAGGTCACAAGCGGGAACATGTGCTTCGCCAGGGGGAAGAGGTGGTAGGTCGTGTTGTGTAGCGCGGCGGGCAATGGGGGGACTGGCACGGGTGTGGTGGGAGTAACTTCTGGCTCGGACAGGAATGGGAAGTTGAACTGGTAGCCTGTCGCGACAACGACGTGATCGACCCCGCTCTCTGTCGAGCCGTCCTCGAAGACGATCTTGCCCTCGGCGGGGTCGAGATATTCAGCGACGCGACCGCGGATCTTGAACTTGCCACCATCGAGGTCCTTGGGGGTCGCGTCTGTGATGGAATGAATGATCGCGGACGCGAAGGGTCGAGTCTCAGCTGCGACGTCTTGTCCGCTATACGCGCCGCCGACTACGAGTAATTTGCCCCTGTATGTCTCCGGTCTCCTGTAGAAAGCCGTGTGTGTGGCTTTCCCCTGGGAGATCCAGGTTGCAAGGCTGGGTGTTTGGGGGAAGCGAGGGACGCGGAAGTGCCCATTCGAGACGAGGATAAGGTCGAACGGGATAGTCTCCTTGCCGGCCGGACCTTCCACAGTGACGTCCCACCTAGATGAGGCTTGGTTCCAGTGGACCGAAGTGACCCGGGTGCTGAGCTTGATGTGCGGCTCAAGGTCGAATCGCGCAGAGAAGTCGTAGATGTACTGAAGCACAGTGGTTGCTGGACAGTATATGGGGGTGCCGGGTGAATAGAGCATGGAAGAGTAGCACATGAACGGATGTGGGGTGTTAGTGGTCAGGGAATCGTACAGAGCCGTGAGAGGTGGATCCTCGTCCGCAGGTGCAGGGTACCTGCACAAAGTCCGTTCGTTAGCCCATGGGTACGCTGCCGAGGTGAACATGGGACACACCAAATGCCACCAATGTTATCACGTCCCTCGAATGCAGTCACTCTCCACGTTCCATCCTTAAACTGAGGAGCATCTTTGACGGTTTTGAGAGCACCGAGGCCCACAGGTCCTAATCCGATGATGCAGATATGCTTCTGGCCACCGGAGGTGGCGTCCGCGTTATGACCTTGGTTGGCACCAGACATGCCGTCAAACGGATGCACTTGGCAACACACGAAACATCGCACTCACTTGACGATGAAGAGCCCATCCTTGCGACCCGGTGTAAGCCGCAGGCTAACGACCTTTATACGCCACCGGACCGGGCAGCCTTGGGTATTGCGCCATATGGCGGGCCTCGCACGGGGGTGGGAATGAAGCGTGACATGAGCGCGGTGTCGAGGAGAAGCAGAACCGCGTGCAAAGCTGGTGAGAGAAGACCAACAGGGCAGAAGGCAAGGCAGTAGTATTAGTAGCCTCGTCGTAGTCGGCGTGCCGCCGCCACTTACAGCTGTTGCCGAAATGATTGCCCGACCAACTCCGATGATACGCGAGCGGCAACACGCACGAACACTCCGAAAAATTCGGAGAAAATCGAAAAGTCCCACCGCGCGTGCGCGAGCTGACGCGAGCTCCGCAAAAAATTCGAAAAATGATGGAAATTGGGAGACTGCGAGAGTGAGGCTGCCAGCACACATACACCACTATTTCTACTTGCTCCCTGCTCGAGCGCTGCATGTACATGCCTTTGCAATCCATGGACGACAGAGATACTGTCATCGTGCTGGCCGGCGCTATGGCACTAGCAGACCTGCGGCAGGCCCATAATTTCAAGCCCCCCAACAAAGGAACATATCAAACTCCATAGTTCTTGTGTGTGCAGTGAATGTCGACAGGGGGAAGACCGTTTGGGCCGGGAACGGTTTCATCTTGGGCAGCTATCAAAGCAGCTGCTGAGACGGGACGAGGACCGAGACGACTTGAGACGACGTACCATGGCTCCGCGACAGCCCAATCGTAGAACTCAGCACCTGCCACCATCCACCAAACCCTGAGGCATGAGGCCTGCACCATCTGGCACCCGCGCGGTGATCGAAATGCCATTCAATGTGAGGGCGGGGAGGATAGAGAAGCGTCACCTGCAGGCCGCTCAGCCAAGATCTTCTCCACAGCATGCTGCCCGTTCAAAACGCGTTCATACCGCCTTTGAACGGGTTGTCCTTGCTCGAGCCGTCCGCGAACACAAGCTGTGGGGCCGAAGACTGGGAGGTGATCTGAGCGAGCCACTGATGCCGAATGATCCCGTCGCGTTCAGCTGGCTCCTTTCACAGCTTCTTGTGCGAAACCCCGAGTCGGACGAGGATACGGCGGGCAGCGGCGAGACCATTTGACGCCTTCGACGTTCGTGGAGGTACAACAAAGGGTGGGGAGGAGATATCGTAGATCCTCGAGGACCAGGGGCCAGGGAGCGACGAATCCGGCGGTTTTGAAGTTACTACAATGCCTTGTAGTCGTCCTTTCGTCGTCGCATGGAGCGTGTGGACACTCCGAGAGCTTCAGCAAGGACGACCCGCGACCGGCTTTGAATCAACCGAGTAGATCGCACCAGCCTCGATATCTTGGGAGATAGAGCACCCAGGCATGATAGGGAGTGAAGCAGAGACAAATGGAGTGTATTGGAGGGCACAAAGGCGTTGTACGGAGGCTGCAGGCGACGAGGACGATTTTTCGATTTTTTCGATTTTCTCGTGTGCGTTCGTGCAGCTCGCGTGTGATGCGCGCTCGCGTATCATCGGAGTTGGTCGGGCAATCATTTCGGAAACAGCTGTAAAGTTACATACACCCGTTCTTGGATCCGTGGAGCAACGGCCCGCCCCTTCCGGAGCAACTCGCGTCCACTGTTCTGAGACGATCCGGCGTCCCATTTTCACCTTCACACCTCCGACTCACTGCACCCAACATGCCCGCTGGCTCGTTCGTCTCTTCCATGAAGGCTTTCCGCAGAAGGCAGGATGCCCCGTGCACATTTGGGCAAGAAGTCGTCAGACAATGCAATCCTCTCGCTCCACAAGCTCGAGCTTGACGGAAACTCTGACGTCAACCAGAACCTAGCCATATCCACATATATATGGCTGCCACTTCAAGCGCAGTCGTCGCTGTATCTCTCTCTCGCGACAGAAGCAGAATTCACGGAACTGAGGACAGCTAGTGAGTGCTTCCTCTACTATCTCCTGTGGCGCGCGACGCGAACTTAGCAATCGCGTCCAGTGATACCCACACGGTTTGCAACAGCAATCCGACAAGCATCTGGTGTTTTAACCCGTACAGCTCGCGGTTCAACCGCCTGCCATGTTATCTCAGCAAAGAATTCATTTCGTACCCCCGCCCGACTCGCCGGTCGATGGAACGCGCGACACTTGCACAACACCCCCCGCGTCCCCGACGCGTCTCATTGGAGACTTGTCTTCCTCGGCGGCGACCCTTCCGACCCCATCGAAGTCCGCTGCCACGAAGAGCCCCACATGATGAGCGTGGACTGCGGCTTTGCGGGCTACTTTCCCGTCCAGATCGGACACGTCTTCGAAGACCACGACGGGGGCACATACGAGGTCGTTCGAAAGATCGGCTGGGCAGCCTATTCCAACGTCTGGCTTGCGCTGTACCGAAGGTGCGTTCCGCAGACGATAGCCTTCTTGCTCCAACTCACGTTTCACGCAGGGATGGAGGCGAACGGTACGTGGTGGTCAAAGTCCTGACCATCCTCGCGACGCGCGGAGACTCCGCCGAGCTCGCGATCTATCGCCGTTTCCATGAGCTGCGAGCCTGCGAGACCCAGGACCACCCTGGATTTTGCCATCTGGTGGAACCGCTGGCTCTCTTTACTGCCGAAAGCAAGTACGGCCCCCACCGCTGCATCGTGACGGCGCCGTACGGATCGACTGTGGACGACCTCCAGACGGGGCAACTCCATGCGCGCTTCCGATTGCCAGTGGTGAAGCGCATAGTGCGCCAGACGCTCCTCGCACTGGATTTTCTGCACAGGGAGATGAAGGTCGTGCATGCAGGTGCGATCATTTTCCGGGAAGCGTCTGCCAAGCTGACGCCGTCGCAGATGTCAAAGCATCGAATCTCTTCATCAAGCTGAACATCGGTCACGACGATCTCAAGCGCTACTTGCATGATCACCCATCGGAAAACCACGCTCCAGAATACGCCAAACAGTGGGTTGGCCCATCGGTGACCGTGAAGACCCAGCCTCTTCCGAATGTTGGACTTGATCCATCGGTCGAGAACATAGATGTGTCTCTGGGAGATTTTGGTGGATGTGAGTGGATCCCCCTGGGTCATGGCCCGCCGCCGTTTGGCGCCTTCTGACACTTTGCTGCAGCCGTGTTCCTCGATGACCTTACCCCAGAAACAGAAAACGTTACTCCATCCCCCCTTCGCGCACCCGAGGTGATCCTGGCGCACCCTTGGTCGACACCATCGGACATCTGGTCACTAGGATGCATGGTAGGCCGTCCCGTAGAAACTTGGTACAGCGACTGAGCTGCCCCCCTTGGTGTACAGGCGTTCGAGACCCTTACCGGCTCCTCGCTCTTCCAGTGCTCCCGCACCCCCAGGCTCAGTCAAGTGGAGGTCCACCTCGCCCGCATCGCGGAGCACCTCGGGCCCTTCCCGCGCGACTTCCTCGACCGCTGTGCAGCCCGTGACAAGTACTTCACCCCCGACGGTGCGCGCTCTCCCTCCCCTTTCCCTCCGCGTCGTCCGCTCAACTTCAGTCGCAGGAGAGCTGAAGCAGGTCCCGCCGCCGCTTTCCGGCCCGCTCGAGGACTGGCTCACGAATTTCCCGCACATCCGGCAGGAGATGTCGGCGCACGAGGTGGGCGCGACCGCCGCGTTTCTGCGCCGCTGCCTCGCCATTCGTCCCGAAGAAAGGGCTACCGCAGCGGAACTCCTGGAGGACGAGTGGTTTGCGTCGGCGTGATGAGCGAGCTTACACACGAGGCGGTTCTGCGGACAGAGCGAGGGCAATGCAGCATGTACACGTCTGCAGCACCCGGACTTCTTGCATACGACTTGACCCACCCTAATATTCATTTGCCTACCGCAGCGAGGGTACAGGTGACTTGTGCTGCGTGTCAGGTGCAACCGGAGTGGCTCAAATGGCGCTGCAGCACTCATGCGCGCCAGATATCGGTCAGGTATAAGAGGGTCTCGTCGTTGGTGATAGCCATCACCTCCCCGGCCCTCTTACCCAGTCACCACTACATCACTGTACCCAAGCCATGGGGAGTCTCAACGGTCAATGTGAACCCTCTCCCAACGGAGACAACTGCATCATTAGGGATGAGATATATTACCGCGATCACGTAGTGTTCCAGGTGCGGTCTGTTGTAGTTGATGGCGTGAACGTGAAGAGCGCCTCGTTGACCACCTCTTCACAGGTTGAGAATACTCTTTTCAAGATGCCTCGCTCACGGTTCCAACATGAGTCGGTGTACTTCCGCGAACGCTTCGTGCGTAACTCCGGGAACGCCAACGAGCCCATCGAGGGGTCTTCGGACGAGCATCCACTCGTACTGAACGATGTTACGGCAAAAGAGTTTCGGAGCTTGTTGGAAGTGATGTTCGCTTTGTGCGTGTTTCTTCCCCCCCAAAAAAAAGCTCATCCGTCTTGTTCAACCCACTCATGTACTGCAGCCAATATCAGGGCTGCATGAAGCCGATTCCAAAGAGACACATAGATTACCTCCCTCCTTTAAACAGCGAGGACGATTGGACCCGAAGCAACCGCTCGTTGCTCAAGCTCTCGACTCGCTGGGAGATGGCCGCGTTTCGCAAGCACGCCATTGGCGCCCTCTCGGAGGCCGTGTGCCCCGAGGATCCGAGCGACGGGGTCCGGTGGCTCGTCTTCGCGCGAGAGTATGTCGTGCACGAGTGGCTGCTGCGGTCCCTCGTCACGCTCGCGACGAGGTCTCAGCCACTGGAGATGCATGAGGTCGAACCGCTCGGACTGGAAACCTTTGTGGCTCTGACCAAGATCCGCGAAGGCGCGCGTGTAAACCGGGACGTGAAGCAGGCGGTGCTAGAGGCGTTTGGGAAGGAACTGAAGGAGGCAGAAGCTAAGGAGAAGAGATGGCGCAGGCTACTGGAATGTCGCGAATAGGCACCGCTAGCGTTATGCGAAACTGGTTGCGATGAGTGCCGTTCCGCTGTGCATGTGAGCAACGAACGAGTGCTGACTAAGCGTGGATGGAAAGTGCGGGTCAGCGCCCGGGCCTCTTTTCCTCCCCCACATTGCATCCACCCGCAACCAAAGCGCACCACCAACGCTTTGGCGAGAGAGGGCTCTGGCGACGCCGTTTCGCGCTCAAGCGGACCGTCCGGGGACGCAACCTCTGACCGCGTCTTGCCTAGCACCTTCCGGGCGGACGCTCGCACAGTGGAGCATGAGGGGAACGAACTGTTCCCTCTCGAAATCCCTTACATCACTCTCATTCTCATTGGCCTGTCTCACAAGGGTTTACACGCAGTTAGGAAGCATCAGGACAGCCATACAAAGTAGCCGCGCCCGGATAGCCGCACCCGCTGGAGCCGAGCGTCCGTTCCCACTTCACGGCAGCTTCGATGGCTTCACGAGTCTCTTCGCTGCGATGCCTGGACACCGTCGTCCCGTCGCCTGTCTTCCCCACATCCTCCCCTTCGCCCTCACTTTCCTTCCTCCCCCGTCCTGCTCCTCCTTACCCCCTCCGTCTCCGCTTTGACTTGCCGTCGCGAGCAGGATGTTCGAAACGCAAACGCTGGTATCCCTCGGCGTGGGCCTTGCCGTCTTCTACATTGTCCCCAAAATACTTGGCTTTCGGCGGGCAGTCCAGTCCATCGGGTGCGTCTCCTCCACCAAGTCACTGGTCTCCAAGTGTCGCGTATTGACTCGCTCCCTCTTTTGGTCCTCTCGCATTCCGGCCCACCATCTCTTTCCTGCGTTCCACAGAGATTGGCCAGGTTTCCGCACGATATTCTCCGACCGCTTCCTCTGGTTCCCGTTCACCGTCCCCGGCATCTCTCCCGGTCCGCAGCGAAGTTTCTACAAGAAATATCAAGATTTTGCCCAAGCCGGGGTCGACGTCGTCTCCGCGGTATGCCTCCGCCTCCCGTCCACTCCGCCGACTTGTTGACCCATTCACAATCGTGTGCGCCCCAGGTCAACTATCTACCTACTCCTCAGGTCACGTACTATGTCGCCGATCCCGCCATAGCCAAGGTAGGTAGCCCCTTGAACGCCTACCCTGTTGCCAACACCAGTTTGCAGGAGATTGTCGGCGCCCGTGCGCGCTTCCCAAAGCCGCTCGAGTTCTACGACATACTCGCCGCCTTTGGCTCCAACATCCTCGTCACCGAGGGCGATGAGTGGAAGCGCCAGCGCAAGATCGCAGCTCCGGCGTTTTCGGAGGTCGGTCTTCCTCCGCTTGGCTGCGCATACATCCACCAGCGGTAAGCACGACGACTGACGGCCTTTCGGAGCAGAAGAACAATCGGCTTGTGTGGGACGAGACGGTCCTCATCCTCCACGACCTCTTCCACAACGTATGGGGCGACCGCGAGGTGGTGGAGCTGGACAACGCCATGGACATTACGGTCGGCGTGAGTGTTTAAATTCTGGGTCGCTCGAGGCGATTTTGATGGCTCCGTGCCTGGGCGCGTGTGTTTCCAGATTACCCTTCTCGTCATTGGTGTGGCTGGGTTCGGGCGGAGGATATCTTGGAACGAGGATTCGATCGCTCCCCAAGGTCACTCAATGACATTCAAGGCATTTTTACACTCCGATCTAGCAGCATATGCTATGCTTACACTTGTCCTGCTTGTCAGGACGCACTCAATGAAGTATCGCATCGTCTCTTCCTCCGCATTCTCTTCCCGGACTGGATTTTGCGCTGGGGCACGCCGTCAATGAGGCATTTCATACGCGCCTTCGAAGAGATCAAGGTACACCAAACTCTCCTTATCCTAACGATTCCCGTACGCTTATCGCTGGTTGCACAGCTCTATCTGGCAGAGATGGTCGAGGCGCGCAGAGCGGCGAAGACGAAGGAGGAGCGCTACGACCTGTTCAGCAACTTGCTTGATGCCAACGAGGACGAGCTCGATAGCGCAGCGAAGTTGACGGACGAGAAACTCGTTGGTGCGTTGTCCGGTGACCCAACTGATGCCAGACATCTCTAATATTCTACCACAGGAAACGTGTTCCTTTTCCTGGTGGCCGGGTACGAGGTATGGACCGAGGGCCTATGTGACGATCCAAGGCTCACCTTATGAACTGCCAGACTACGGCGCATACCCTTGCATATGCTCTCATCCTTCTCGCCCTGAACCCCGAGGAGCAGGAGGCATTCTATCAAAACATCAAGTCCGTCCTTCCAGAAGGCAGGGAGCCGGTACGCCCCTCACCAACGGCCTCTACTAGATGCACTGCTCAACCCTCTCCTCAGACATATGACGACTTTAGCTCGCTATCCTATTCCCTCGCGTACGTTCCTTCCGCGTTGCCGCTGCTCCACATCCCCTTACCCTCGCCCCTGCGATCCGTAGTGTCTTCAACGAGACACTCCGCTGGTTCCCCCCAGTCGTCGACATCCCCAAGCAGAGCGCCGAAGACACGACCTTCACCACCACCAACGCCGCTGGCGAGAAAATCGCCATCCCCGTCCCACGCGGGTCCTACATCACCCTCTGCGCGCCCTCTCTCCACCACAATCGTGCGTCCCCTCCCCTCCCTCCCTTTTCCCCTTTTGCTCCCCTGCTCCCGCCGCCCCATTCGCCCTCCCACACCCGACTGACGCGCCCCCACAGCGAAGTACTTCGACGAGCCCTCCCGCTTCCGCCCCGCGCGCTTCCTCGACCCCGGCTCCCGCGCGCGCGACGCCTTCCTGCCCTTCTCCGGCGGCCCGCGCGGCTGCATCGGCCGCGGCTTCGCGGAGACCGAGGCCGTCGCCGCGCTCACGCTGCTCGTCGCGCGCTTCCGCGTGACCGTGCGCGAGGAGGCGCGGTTCGCGGGCGAGACGCGCGAGGCGCGCGCCGCGCGGCTGTTGCGGAGCCAGCACAGCCTGACGATCTAGTGAGCCCGCCGCGCTTCCGTCTCGTATGCCTACGGTGCTGTATGCCAACGGTGCTGACGGTGGTCGTTTTTTTGCAGCCCGGAGAGGGCGCCGTTGGTGTTGACGAGGCGATGACGGGGTTCCGTTCGCGGGTTCTTGGGGGTTCGCGGCGGGGGGATCGTGACTTGGGCGGGTGCTTGGGTCAGCACGAGGGGCAGGTAGATACAGCAAGTCTTGGTTGGGTATCCAGAGTGTGTTGTGCTACAGTTCTCGTAATAATCAAACAATAAGAATCTACTCGTACATGTGCCCCACCTCCCACCACGCCCACGCGACCCCGGGCTACGGAGAGACCATCGTATTTTGAGCACGCCGTGCGGTGTTCCTACGTACTCCCCGCTCGTAGGAATCGAGGCTACCCCTCGGAAGGGCTGAGGGGTTCGGCCGCGCCGCGCTCAAGTGCGACAGCGTCCCGCTCCCGACTTCCGATGACAGCGTGCTACCCGCTCGTCAGGCTCGACACGCTCCGGTTCGACGGCGTGCGTGACATGTACGACGTCGCGGGGATGGTGAGCGCGTTCGAGTCACGTCCGTGGAGCTCGCGCGCGTGCGCCTGGCGGACGTACGCGTACCGCTGGAAGTGGTTCAGCGCCTGGAGGTACTGCACGCCGATCTGCGCCGCGAGTCAGCGCGAAGACGGCGAGAGGGAGAGAGGAGGAGGCGCGCACGGGGTGCTCCCGGAGCTGGTTGAAGAGGTCGACGGTGAGCTCGCGGACGACCTCGGACTGGTGGAAGAGCCCGAAGCTGAGCGGCTGTAGGCCGTGGAGGTGCGGTGGGAGCCACGAAAGGAGCTGTGGCGGGGCCAACGGTCAGCGGGGTGTTCTGGGGCCGGGGATGAGGCCAGGGTGCGCGTGGCTGCTCACCTCTGTCACTTGGTCGTAGCTGTTGAGGTTCTCGGATAGTGACCGGAAGATAGCTTCTGCTTCCCTATCCGAGATACTCCGCGCATACCGCAGGCGGGCGAGCTGGTGCGACAAGTCGAACGCCGCGATAGGCTTGATGGACATGGTGTACGTGAAGTCCTGTGTATTCCTTCAGCACACGATTCACTGTCCAAGTCAGACGGCCGACCCACCTCCTGGAAAAGCTTGTAACACTCCGTCCTCCGCCACGCCTCGATCCGCCCCGCGTTCGCCGCGAGCTCCTTCCCCGCCGCCCCGTCGTCGGCAAAGAACGGCCCACTTCCCAACCGCGGCCGCTCATTCGGTGCCCGCTCCGCGTACGCCGCGGTCGGGTACCCAATCGCCGTCGTCCCAAGAGCGTCTTCCTCGTACCTCGAGGCTACGTGCACGAAGCGGAGCGCGTACTCTGCGAACTTCGCGCGCACGTGCGCCTCTGAGTAGTGCGCCGCGATCGCGCTGAGGATGTCCTCGATGAAGACATTGTCGGTGCTGTCCGGGCGGCCTGTGAACTCGGGCTTCTGTGTCGCACCTCCGTCCTTGGTCGGCCCGCGCACGGCGTCGTCTTCTCCGAGCAACTGCTCGGCCTTGATCGTGCCCGCGCGGGAGATGAGTGAGTTTGCAGCGGGGGTCCATAACGCGGGGTGGTTGGCGAAAATGTCCTTGTGGACAACCATGCGGTTCGTGCCGATGTCGCAAAGCAGGTCCCATGAACCTGCTGCCTCGAAGATCGGGTTGGTGACGCCGGCAATGTATCCGGGGCTGAAAAGCACGGATTGGTGAACAAGCAGGAAGGACAAGAGAGTGAAATATGTACTTACACATTCTCCCATTCGTCTCGATTGATGAGTGTCGCATAAGGAAAAGCGCGCTTGATGAATCCTCGGAGGATGATGCCGCACCCCGAGCCCAGAGCGCAGGCAGCGAGGACGTGATTTGATACGTTTTCCGCGAGTTTGTGGTGGCCGAGGAAGATGATGCGCTTTCCCGTAATCAGTGCGTTGAATAGTACGATGACCGGAGGAGTGAGTGTGCCGTTAGTATGAAGATGTGGATGCTGTGGGCCGGAAATGGTTGTGATGTGTTGGGAAAATGTTGTGCAAAGCATCGTCAAGGACCCCTACTCGTGCCCCTCAGCTATTGCATCCTTGAACCATCCGACAGATGGGAACTCACCTCGCCTACTTCTCCTGGGAACGTCCCAAGTGGTACCTTCACCGGCAGCAAATGCTCGTTGTAGTTAATCGCGGTATGGAAGAAGTGCGAGTCCTTCAAAGCCGCGGATGCCGCTCCCCCAAACGACGGTGTGTTCCCATAGGTCCCATGCGATGATGATGAGGACGCGTCGACAGATCTCCGTCCCCGCGTACCGCCTGTGCTCACGCTCGTGCTGCTTGCGCTCGCGGCGTTCTGGACGAAGCCCATCTGGTCGAGCCCGCTCTCGTCTCCCACCCAAACCGCGCTCCCGTCGAGCGAGAACGACGCTTCTGACGGCGACGCCTGGCTCCGCGCGGAGCCCGCCGCCTTGGGGTGGTCCGAGCCGTTCTTGGGAGGTAAACCTTTGCCCGCGCGCATGGCATCGTCGAAGCTGACGCGCGAGTCCGCCGAGTTCGTTGGCCTGTGGCCAGGGAGCGCGGGGTGGAACGCGGTCGTCGCCTGCGTTGCAGTAGTGGGGTCCGAGCCGGGGGCGAGGTCGTCGTAGCGGCCGAGGAGGACGTCCTGCCGCTCGGTGTTGCGGAGGATGATCTTCTCCCAGCGTGAAAGGACGGGCATGTTGGCAAAGTCCATCGCGTTGACCGCGTCGAAGAGGCGGGCGAGGCAATCTTGGGACGGGTTCATGAAGTAGTCGTCGAGCGCGAGAAGCAGCACGGGTTTGAAGATCTGGACGAAGGGGTATCTTGTGCATATCGCCATGGCCTTAACTGTGGCACCTCTGCTCCCCTTCAAGACCCAGTCGGACAGCCGTGTATGAGCACTCACCTCCGCACCGTCTTATCCAGCTTCGTCCGCACAAGGTTGATAACATACAGCATCTTCGGCCCCTCGACCTCCGTGTCCTCCGCGTCATCGTTTTCGAGGGCCAGTATGGGCTTGATGGTGTTGAACGGTGTCTGGTTCAAGAAGAACACGGTCCAGTCCGCGGGTTGTCTCTCCGCGCCATCGGGGAGCATAAGGTTGGCGAGGATTCTGCAGAAGATACGCGTAAGAAAATGAGCTTAGGTGCCAAACAGTCGCAGGTGAACGCACCCTTCATCGAGGCCAAGAGGCTGAGGAAACTGGTATGTCAACTGTGCGCCTCTGTCGATGTCGAAGTCGGCGACAAGTACAAATGAGCAGTGCTGCGCATCACTGGACATCACGCTCAGCGCAAGCCCGCGTGTGAAAAGCGTCCTCAGAAAGAGGCGACGGAGGAGGAAGGAGGAGGAAAAGTCCGTCTCGCGGTAGTGGCGGATCGGGTCAGGCAGCGGCTTCTGTAGGTCCTCCCTCGCGCAGCGTTGTCAACATGTCCCTTTGCTACTCTCAACGCACATCGGCGCGGATGGGTTTTTAGCACGACATGCTGGTGTCTTATTAGATGTGTATGCATGATACATGGCAGTGAATGTCTGTATCTAATCTCATGCATCATTGACGGACATGTGCGCCGATATCTCCGTGCTGTAGCCATCGAGTGGAGCTCTACCGATTGAGAGGGGAGCAATATTATATCATAATCACTGACAAGTCAGTATACAGGATGGCGACAGAAGTGAAGAGCATATCTGCATGGATACATCAGTCTACGAAATCCAGGATGCTGCGTGATAATGTAGGGGAGCGCAAGCGGACAGTGGGCCGGTGAACATTGTGACAGGAGGAACAGACGGGGAGTGAGCATTGTACTTGTGCAACCCTGCGAGAGAGTGGTCATAAGTTATGAGCAGCGTGCGTGAACGGCGGCTGTACAGAAGCACAGAAATGAGAAAAACACAGGGTCGGATACCGGGACAGTTCATTATAGTTCGTTCCGAATCATAATACTGAAGCAGTTTTCGCAAAAGGGTTTGTTCTCGCGCTGGAAGAATGCGGGGTTGTCGAAGGGCTTGTCACAGCTCTGCACAACGATGTCAGGCTACTGCAAGGATGAATGATAAGTGGAACTCACGGCGCAAGTGAAGCACTCCCAGCACCACTTCCCACCCAGAGCCTCCACTGCCTGCATCCCGTCACGGATACTCTTCTTGCACTTCTTGCACTTCGGCATCCGCAGCCGGACATGGCACGACTCGCAGTACGGATGACCACGGTATACCGTGAAGCCAACGTCGTCGTCCGCAAACGCGCCATCTCCAGCGAATGTACGCGAGGGCGCGCCAGGGTCCGATGTGGGCAGGAATGGATCTCCACATTCCGCGCAGAAGAAGTGTTGTTCGTGGTACGTCCGTTTGCCGAGCTCGTGGTCGTCGAGAGTGATGAACCGCTCGTCCACAATCGTAGTCTGACAGTGGTAGCATTTCGGCGCGAACAGCTGCAGGGAAGGTTGAGTGATGCGTCTCTACGGAATAAGGTAGCTTCAAAGACGTACCTCGTGGTAATCCAGATGGCAATACGGCTTCCCATCGTGCGCATACGAACTGAGGTTTTCCAGCAGCTCGTCACACTCGCAGCACCTGAAGCATCCCGGGTGCCACCTCATGTCCATCGCGCTCACGATGCGGCCGATGATAGCGCCTCCGCATCCGCCGCATACGAGACCTCTGCGCTTCGCCGCCTCCAGCCGTGGGTTGGATATCGCCTCTTGCATCTTGCGCGTCTGCGTCTGGTTCTTCTTGGACGAAGACCCCGAATCACCCAAGAGTGAGATCTGCGGGGGTGAAGGGCCGTCGACTGCGCCACCGATATTGATGCTGGGCAGCTCGTTGTCGATGTCGTCGTCGCCACCAAATGAGAAGGTGGGAAGGGTCGGTGGCGCGTCATCACGCGAGTCTCCCGAACCTGAGATGATGACCACAGGGGGTTGGTTCGCATCGTCTTCGTCGCTGTCGACGTCGGCGTTCGCGGGGAAGGAGATCTTGGGGGTCCGGATAGAAGGTGAGCGCTGCGGAGGCTGAGGTGCGGGCCTTTGAGGCTGAAACTTCACCGGAGACTGCGACCTCCCGAATTGCGAGTTCATCGGTGATGGCTGCTGCACTGGTGCCTTCGGCTGAGAAGATCCGCCAAAAGTGCTCTTGGATGGTGAGGTGGGGGCTACAGTAGGCGGAGCAGGGAAGTTCGACAGCGAGAAAACCGACGTCGCATCTGAGGGAGTCCTTTGTAGATGCCCGCTCGTGTTTGTGGGGGCCGTTTGAGCTCGTGCATTCATCGACGGCGGAGCGGGCAATGGTGAACTGAATCTCACAGGAGAACGCGATGGAACAGGCTGTTGCTGTGATGCCCACTGAGATTGCGGCTGTTGTTGAGTCGCCTGCGGGAGCGAAGATAGAGGTGCCGGAGAACGGCGCAATGAAGGGGGAGGTGCATCATCCAAACTCATATCGAGAGCCGTCTTTCTAGGCGATCGGGGGAAAGTCGTCGCAGCAGTTGTGTTCGACCGCGCGGGCATTGGGAGTGCTCGTGCTTGCATCTGGGCGAACGCCGACTGGGAAGCTGGAGGCCCGTTCCAGTTGGTCGAAGTCGGTGCTTTAGGCAAGGGCGGCAACGTCGCAGGCCATCCATTCTGTTGCGACTGAGCAGGAGGTTGAGGCATCGGCCTCGAGGACGTAACACTGGACACGGAATGCGAGTGCCCGTGACCTGGTCGGAAGGTCGGGGAAGGTGACATCGAACGTTGAAGATCCATGGAAGCCATCCGAGAAGCGAGGCTTATGTCGTTCTGGTGGCTGGGAGATGATGGACTGGGCGATGGCAATTGACGTCGAGGCGACTGAGGAGTCGGAACTTGGCTAGGAGGATGTACCAGTTGACTGGATCGCGACGGTAATTCTCGGATGCCATACTGCGGACTAACTGAACGCGGACGACGCTCAAGCAAAGCATTTGTCAACTCCTCATCGTCATCAGAGTTCATAGGTGATGGAGAAGAATGTTGCGGGTGCGGGGAAGATGGGTGGGGTGGAGGGGGGTACGTTGGGGCTGCAACGGGGGAAGGGAGTGTGCGGGATCGCTCACGAGCATGCCACCTCGAGACCGGCCCAGTCCCGTTGGAACTCGGAGTATTGACGGTGAGCGGGGTTCGGGGAGACCTTGGAGGAGGAAGTTGAGGGCGCGAGGGGGCAGGCGCGGGTGTATGTTGCAGCTGCAGATGAGGAGGCAGAGTCCCGGTGCGACCGAGCGAATGATTTACTACGGCGTTGGAGGCAGTTGGGCCAGGTGAAGGCAGCGGTCGAGATAGGGGACCGGAAACAGTGCTTCTACGCTCCATGGCGAGTTGTGCTTGTGATAACGACTCAGACGGCCCAATGGACGAACCACCTGGCTGCGGAAGAGCTCGCTTCCACATGGGGACAAAGTTCTGTCCTGGTGCAGGCTGGGGATTCCTCGTATTCTGCTCCTGTGGACTGTATGGGCGGGTTGAGGAAGGGCTCGTTTCACTGGGCTCGGAGGAGGGTACTGTGGGGTTTGATGCATCATCTGCTCTACCGCTCCAGCAGTTCGAGGTAATGGGAGAGGACGAGGTGGACTCGTAGACGTGGTAGAGAACCCATTGACATTTGGCGGCTGTGCGGATGGAACTCTACCCACGGAAACTGGGCGAGCGGGAGGTAGGAACGCACTCGGAACCGACTGCGTTGGACGATGGGTAGGCACGTGAGGTTGCGGGGAAGGCGACGACCTTGGAGTAGGAAACACTTGGTTATTGCCAGAAGGGGCGGGCAGTGTTCGGGGATCGGGGAGAGGACGCCGTCCATTCTGGGGAGGTGCATTTTGCGTAGTTTGAGGCGAGACAGGAGATGGGTAGGGATTGGCCGCAGGTGCCATATGATATGGTTGAGGAGAGCGGGGGGGAAAGTACTGCCCGTGAGGCTGTGGGTGGGGGGAGGTCATAGGCCCGGCTAACACAGGCGTGTATGCTACTGGGTTGATTCGCGACGGCGGTCGTTGCATAGGAGGAGGTCCTTGGACGTAAGGCGAGGGCGCAACTCGAGACGGAGGGCGCTGCATCGGGGGAGCTTGTGGAGCGGGATGGGGAGCAGTGCTGACTCTTGAAAGAGGACGAGGTACTGGTGCAGACTGAGGCGGAGGGTAAGGGAGTGAGTTCATCCTTGAGGGTGGTCTGGGGAGGGGGGTACCAGAGGGATGGGAAAAGTTCGGGGATGGTTGCGAGTATGACGGCTGCTGGAAGTGTTGTGGGTACTGATGCTGAGCCCTCATGTCGTATCCTTGTGGTGACTGAGGCTGAGAGGTGGGTGTAGGGTAGTTATAGGACGCCTGGGCATATTGCGCCGAATATCCACTTTGAGCCATGTTGTTCAATGTTCATACGGCACGTCTGTCCGCTTCCGCATGAGTATAGGACTCAGTGGCCTGAAGGGAGGGACCGATATTTGTCAAACTTACCGGGTTCCGACCACGACGTTCGTAGATTTGATAGTCTTGGGATATCCGCTCACAGTGAGGGTAGAAGCGATTGGGGTAGAAGAGAGAAGAGAGGACGCTATGGTTCGCAAATGGTTGAGATTCGAGATATTCCATCCATACCATATAGCAACGCACCTCCGCAGTTCATTCCACAGCCTTCGCCAACTCTCCCACTGCAATTTCTAGCACAAGACCTATCACGACGGGGGTGGAGATGTTCAAGTCGGCTTCTGAGTCGAGCCACACCGGGAGATCGCGGTGGGTACAGCCTCCACCAAACTGCTCGAGAGCCGGGATTAATTGACGGTGATGTCCGGAACAGGGCGTTGCAGCAACCCGGGAAGGCGAAAGCCAGGGTGAAAACAAGATGAGGGTAAAGGGGATTGGGGAATCCGGCGAGGAGGCAAGGGGCAGTCGGCAAGCAGAACGCCGGAATCTGTTATGTAGACGCCGAATTACACTATAGGACCCGCGTTTTCAAGCACATACACCTGGTTCAGTCACAGAGACGAAAGCGCGAGGACACCGGGTGCAGGAATTTTCCGCGCGAACACAGCGGGCAGAGACCTAAGGCGACGCGTTTCGCTTCGGCGATGCGTCACTTCAAGTCGGCCTTGGATGCTTTGCTGACGCGGTACCGGCTGTGCGTGGTCTGAAAGTCGAGGCGGAGGGCGGGCAACGGTAAGTAGCGACGAGAGTGGCTTCTGCGGGTCGCCGAAATGTTTCAGGGACCTGGACGCGAGCGACAGTCGATAGACTCGCGGCAAGATTGGCCTTGAACTCACGCGAGCAAATCGGTGGCGTCGCGGCGCTCAGAGTGATGTAACAGTTAAACTTTAGAAATACATTGGATAGAGTCATGGCAATCATTATGGAGAGATTATAGAGAATAAACCTCGTGGAACACAAGTTCGAGGGTCCACCCACTATGATGACATCATTCCGAGCTCGCAGATGGATCATCCGAAAAGTAGTTGCCAGAGAGCTCGAAGCTATAGTCCGTGTCGTCGGGTACGTATCGGCGTAATTCGTACTCATCCATCAGGGCCTGCACTTGCTCTTCGTCGGATGTTGGTGGGACGAGGACTAAATCGGTCGACAAAGGCGGCAGTTCAAACATTTGCCGCGCCTGTCGGATTTGGCGCATGTACACCTCATACGGAGCGGGAAGTCTAATCTTCAGTTTCTTCTCATTTTTCAGTATCGCTTCGATGGAGCCATGCTCCCGGATGAGCTTCAGCGCGCGGACAGGGCCGATATCCTTGATCCGCTTGGAGAAATCAGTGCCGGATAAAAGAGCGAAGTCGACAAACTGGGCCGAAGTGAGTCCCAAGGATTTGCGAACATCCTCGCCTGAAATGACCTCGAGGGGACCGGAGGCGTTGGCGATGTTGCGGACCAGAGGCGCCCCGAATATGAGCACGTCCTGTGATCCGTCAAATTCAGCAGACAATGCCATCTGAGGAAATTCACTCACAGTGTCTTCACTAGCGACAGCGTCCGCTATGCCATGTGCAACCAATGAGGCCGCCAAGGCCTCACCCTCGACCCCTTTGCTCGCTTGGATGCATAGAACCCCCATGGCTTTGAGTAACTCCTTGCTCTCGTTGTAAAGCCGAGCGGTTGGACGTGTCCTGTCGAGATACGATGTGCAAAGAGTGCGGCTTTTGTCTACTAGAGCACCGACTTTGTCGACCATGTATGGTGAAATGCTTTGAGAGACGCGAAGTTCGTCCCAGAGTTGATATTCTGCCTCTGTGAGCTCGTTTTGCAGTTTGGACGGTATTCGATCCGCTTCCACAGCATCCACATCGAGTGATGCCGGCCGAGATAGTTTTTGTGGGACGCTACTACGAAACTCTTCGTGGGAACGGGCAAGCTCGGCGGCAGCTAACGGCGGACGTGAAGTTTCTGGAAGTACTGTAACCAGGAACGCTGTATGTGAGCGGAGATATTATGATAGAAAGGAGAGACAAACGTGGCACGGACGGCACTTCATCCAGGAGAGCTTTAGGCTTGACGCTGGGAGATGAGGACTTGTCGGAATCATGGGAGAGTACCTTGCGTAGAACTAGGGCGCCCAGTCCAACGGATCCCATTGCTAGAGCAGCTATGCCTACTGAATGTGTGATGGGCAACGAACCTGCAAACGCTTGAACGGTAGCGACAGAGGATATAGCAGGGACAGCGACGGAGGGTGCCGATGGAGTTTCGAGAAGGATGCATGTTGCAGCGGCTCCGGCAGCCCCAGCCCCGGCAGCCATCACAGTCTTGGGATCAGTGAGTTGCTTGGGCGAGGCTTTAGTCACCGTCTTCTCACTACGAGTGTCTGGTTCTCCTGTTGTCGAAAATGCCGACGGAGAGTCCTCCGTGCTATGAGACTGAGGGGCAGCGGGAAGCTGTGGAGGGGGTGCAGCGAGCGATGGAAGGGACGGCGCAGGGGAGTTCGACAACGGCGGTTGGCTCAACTTGTCGAGACTGTCCTTCAGGCGCACGAGTCTGTCCAGTCTGTGTTTCTCCAACTGACCACGAGCACTGACCAGAAGGTATTCTCCGCGCCTTCGTCTTAGCTGAGATGGAGTGCTATTAGTCAGAGCACATGGGGATCAACCCCTTGACATACCTCGTCCTCCTTGGCTGTATTTCGTACGTCTCCATCAAACACGCAAATCACATTCACGTTATTATTCTTGAGAGCCCTTGTCAAGAGATACCAGTGCAATATGTGCCGGTGTTGATGCGGTGTTCGAGCGTAGTGAAATCGTTGAGTTATTAGTGTACCGTCGCTGCGAGGTCTTGGGTCGGGATTGGGCGGTGTGCGAAGTGCAGTGAGACTTACATAACAATAGTTTTCCCCGAAAATTCCCTTACTCTATGGGGAAGTTCATGGAAGACCTGCGGACTACAAGTACTTTCATCGTCAGACCATACGTTGCGTGGATGTCGGAGGGGTGGGCTCACCATGACCTCCGAAGGAAAGGAGCGAGATCCTGAACACCCATTCGCTTGCGTATGGGCTTGCTACAGCTACCTAAACTTGTCGCAAAACGGAGGTCAACCCATGCACCAGACTGAGACAACCTGAGGAGGGTGAGGATGGAGAACAACGGCTGCTCGGCGGAGCGTTCGGACGGCAGTGGCGGGCCAACTACCGGCGCTAAAATGTCTCAAAGCCGCACTAATAAGAGCCACTTACCGTCAATGAATGCCAATAAGCAGTGTCTTGCAAGCCTCAATAGCCAGATCAGGGCATGATTGACTGAGGCTTGACGCGTTGTGATCCTCGACCTCCTGCAAGTTCCACGTAGCCGAGCAATATCTCTATCTCTCCCCTCTTTTTGCCGGTCACCCTCACGCTCCCTCGACCGGAGAAAACGACGCCATCATGTCGGTTATGCTCACGAAGTTCGAGTCTAAGAGCAACCGTGTCAAAGGTAGGCTCTCTCCGTCCTCGTAAACGTTTGCGACATTCTCATCACCATCACGCAAGGACTCGCCTTCCATCCCACTCAACCATTGCTCGCGGCTTCTTTGCACAATGGTAGCGTGCAACTGTGGAACTACAGGATGGGCGTGCTGGTGGATCGGTTCGAGGAGCATGAAGGTGCATACCCTGCTCCATCCTCTGCTATAGCACACTTACTGAAGCGACCCCAGGTCCGGTACGCGGCGTCGCTTTTCACCCTAGCCGCGCTCTCCTCGCTACGGGTGGAGACGACTACAAGATCAAAGTGTGGGGTGAGTGTTATCCAGTTGCATTTTCGCGCATCTCTCATCTGTCCCAGACATCCGGCCAACAAACCGCCGCTGCCTCTTCACTCTCCATGGACATCTCGACTACGTTCGTACCGTGCAGTTCCACCATGAAATGCCGTGGATGGTGAGTACGAGCTACGTATGATGCTGTGTGGACCCATCACAAAGTGCCGTTCTCGTAGTTGTCCTGCTCCGACGACCAGACGATTCGGATCTGGAACAGCACCTCGCGCAACTGCATCGCCATTCTTACCGGCCACTCGCACTACGTGATGTCTGCCCAGTTCCATCCCAAAGATGACCTCATTGTGTCCTCGTCTCAAGACCAGACTGTACGCGTTTGGGACATTTCTGGGCTCCGCAAAAACACCCCCAACACTGCTCCTGGCACCTTCGATTCCTTCGACAATTTCTCCACCGTCAAGTACGTTTTAGAAGGACACGACCGCGGCGTCAACTGGGCCTCTTTCCACCCAACTCTTCCTCTCATTGTCTCTGCGGCGGATGACCGGCAAATCAAGATATGGAGAATGAGCGAGACGAAGGCTTGGGAGGTGGATGCATGCCGAGGTCACTTCAACAACGTCTCCACTGCTCTTTTCCATCCGAAACATGAGCTCATCGTATCCTGCGGTGAAGACAAGACCGTGCGCGTCTGGGACTTGACCAAACGATCCGCTGTGCAGACTTTCCGGAGAGAGCATGACCGCTTCTGGGTGCTTGCGGCCCACCCAGAGCTCAACTTGTTCGCTGCAGGTACGTATTCACTCGATTTCCTCTCAGCTCATGCATTGATTGATTGGTATCTTCGGGTTGAAAGGTCATGACAACGGTTTGATCGTCTTCAAGCTTGAGCGCGAGCGGCCAGCCTTTGCAATGCACCAGGACACCTTGTACTACATCCGCGACAAGTACGTGCGTGCATACGACATCAACACCGGCTCCGACATTGGGCTCCTCTCCGTCCGCAAATTCGGTAGCCCCTATGTCCCTCCTCGCACTCTCAGCTATAACTCGGCGGAGCGTGCCGTGGTCTTGACCATCTCTTCCGACAACGGTCTCTTCGAGCTCACCTCACTCCTAAGGATGCGGTCGGTGAAGTGAAAGATTCGTCGTCGGATGGGAAGCGGGGAAGTGGGCAGGCGGCAATTTTTGTGGCGAGGAACCGATTTGCGGTGCTCAACAAGGCGACTCAGGTATGTGCTTGGGTCAATACCCCATCTCCTGCGATTGAACGTCATCTCGTCTAGCTCATCGAGGTCCGCGACCTGTCCAACTCGGTCGTGAAGAGCATCAAACCGCCAGTTCAGACCAACGAGATCTTCTACGGCGGCACAGCGAGCCTGATCCTGAGTTCCTCTGCTTCTGTCGTGCTCTATGACATCCAACAACAGAAAACTCTGGCGGAGATCACTACGCCCCCGGTGAAGTACGTCATCTGGAGTGCAGATGGCTCCCTAGTCGCTCTACTCAGCAAACATAGTACGTTAGGAGTTCGCATATCATACGAGTAGGAGCTCACATATACCTCAGCCATCACGATCGCCAACAAGAACTTCTCCCAGCACACTCTGATTCACGAGACCATCCGTATCAAGTCCGGTGCATGGGATGACGCTGGTGTCTTCATCTATTCCACCCTCAATCACATCAAGTACTGCCTTGCCCAAGGGTACGCCCCTTCGTTACCGTGTGGAACTCAGAAACTAACTTTCTGCCAAAGAGACCATGGTGTCATCTGCACTCTGGACAACCCCGTCTACCTCACGCGCATCAAGGGCAAGACCGTCCACTGCCTTGACCGCTCTGCCCGGCCACGTACCATCACGATCGACCCCACCGAATACCGGTTCAAGCTAGCCCTGCTACGAAACAATCACGAAGAAATGCTGTACATTATCCGCACCTCTAATCTCTTGGGCCAGAGCATCATCGCGTATCTGCAGCAAAAGGGCTTCCCTGAGGTGAGCCTCCCGTCCGGCGTACGTCGCACGACGACTTGCTCATAGGATCGCCTCACAGATCGCATTGCACTTTGTTCAAGACAAAAACACGCGCTTTGATCTTGCTATCGAGTGCGGCAACCTCGAAGTTGCGCTGGAGACTGCACAAGCTATCGATCGGCCGGAGTGCTGGGAGCGTCTCGCTCAACAGGCCCTCAAACAGGGGAACCACAAGGTATGCTTGAGTTGCTCTTACGCATGGGGCTGCTCTGACAGCTTCGCCTTCAGATTGTCGAGAAGGCGTATCAGCGCACGAAGAACTTCGACCGGCTTTCGTTCCTGTACCTCGCCACGGGAGCCACCGACAAGCTGACCAAAATGCAGAAGATTGCGGACGCCCGTGGAGACCCCATGTCGCGCTTCCACAATGCGCTGTACGCAGGCGACGTCATGGGCCGGGTTGCTGTGCTCAAGGACGTTGGGATGTGTAAGCGCTTCATCTTTGTTGTGACATCCAGCTCACATCTTTCGCTCAGATTCCCTTGCGTATTTGACTGCGAAGACCAACGGTCTCGATGATATTGCACTTGAGATCCTGGAGACAGCAGGTCTTACGGAAGCAGATGTGGACGACGTTCCCTCGTTCGGGCAGTCTACCCTCAAGCCACCCCCCATGATCACCCCTACTACCAACTTCAACTGGCCTACCGTGGCGACGATGAGAGCTACTTTGACAAGGCAATGGCCAACGGGAACCTTGAAGGCGGTGCTGACATCGCGTATATGAATGGAGTCGACAGTGGGGCCGCTGCTTCTGCCGCCCTCGACGACTGGGCCAAGGACGAGGAGGCCGGGGAAGACGTTGCCGCGGAGGAGGGTGCCTGGGACCTTGATGCCGATGCCGAAGAGGAAGCCGAAGAGGAAGCACAAGTGGAGGAGGTCGAAGAAGAGGCAGATTTGGGCGCAGGCGCTACGCCCGGCGTCCCGGAGACCGAGTTGTGGACACGCAACTCGCCCTTCGCCGCCGATCACGTTGCAGCGGCTCCTTCGAGACAGCCATGCAGGTTCGTCGTGTTTGTTTGTTCAGACATGTGAACAGCGCTAACCCTTGATCGCAGCTGCTGAGCCGCCAATTCGGCATCATCAACTTCGAGCTCCTCAAACCCGTGTTTCTGTCCACCTACCGTTCCTCGCATGTCTACCTTTCCCCTATGGCTTCCCTGCCTCCCCTGCAACTGCACCTCCGACGCAACCCGGGGGAGTCGTCTTTAGGCCGTGTCCTCCCTGTTGCTGTGCGCAGCCTAGCGTCGGTCAAGGCGGAGTTGTCGGAAGGTTTCCGTGCCGTTTCTGGGAACAAGCTCTCTGAAGCGCAGGTTGTCTTCCGCTCTGTTCTTCATAACCTCCTCCTAGTCCCCATCACATCAGATGCAGAGGCAAAGGAGGTAAGTGATCCTTGCTTTATTAACCCTGCGCCCTGGCTCATTCCTATGCTCGCAGTGGCGTGATTTTGTCACGCTCGGACGCGAATACCTTCTCGGTGTCACCCTCGAAATCGAGCGTAGACGAGTCGCGCAAGAGACCCCGGACAACGTCAAACGGAGTTTGGAGCTCGCCGCGTACTTCACGCACTGCAACATGCAGCCCGCCCACCTCCAGATTGCTCTGCGTAGCGCGATCGGTGTCTTTGCGAAGGCGAACAACCACGCCACGGCGGCCAAGTTCGCAAGGCGGCTGCTGGACCTCAACCCCGACCCGAAGATTGTGTCACAGGTGCGCTGTCCATCATGTCCGAGTGGCGGCGCGCGCTATCTCGCTGACCACCCCACTTCATATCCCACAGGCGCGGCAGCGCATCGCGGCGGGCGACCGCAACCCGCGGAACACGGTCGAGATCGACTACGACGAGTTCACCGACTTCGAGGTCTGCGCCGTGAGCTTCACGCCGATCTACAAGGGCTCGCCCACCGTCCGGTGCCCATACACCGACGCGGCGTACCTGCCGCAGTTCAAGGGCCAGCTCGACCCACTCACGCAGCTCACGGAGATCGGCGCGTCGGCGGCGGGCCTGCCTGCGCCCCGGTCATAGTTTGCTTCCCCGCCCTGCGCTTCCCCTCCCTGCGCTAGACGCTCCTGCTTCCGCACTGTGACCTAGGTGGCCCGAGCGAGGCTGGATTGATGGATCCCGCTCGGACGTTGTTGCACTATTCGCGCGTGTGTTGTCCAAAAATCACATTTTTTATTCCCCGTCGCTTGCCAGAGCGTGTGCTTGTCAGCTTCCGTTGTTGTCGTTTTGCTGGCGAAGGCGCCCTCGGGGCGGTTGGGGCGCAGCATGTGGGGGTAGAACGCCCGGATCCTGCGCCTCCGCTGTTATCGATAACTACATATGAACGGCCCGGACCCGGTGGTTGGGGCAGTACCCATCCCGTGGACGGCTTGCTTTACCTCCATACCCTGAAAGCCCGTCCAAACTGCCGTTGGTACTGGTTGACTGCACGAGAAGATGGTGCTGAAGTACCTGTCTGGTGAGTCGTGGTGGCTCGTTCACGGACTGATTACATCTCTCCGAAGCTTTCGGCATCTGGTACCACAATACGCGCCCGGCGAAGGCTTCGCAACGCACCCAATCCAGTGTCTTCTAGACGATTCGCACAGGGCCGTCCGTTTCAGTGAGGTCGCGTTCCCACCTCGTGGTGGAGAGGCTGTTCTAGACTTCCGAGGACTATGTAGCCCAGGACCAGGACACTGAGCGTCCTAGGTTTGACTACCACTCTCCCCCGCTCCCCTACGACGTCCCTCACCGCTACGCCCCTTTCCGCCCATGGATGCACCGGTCATCCAGGTATCCTCCTTAGAGGGTGACTCCATCTCGACCGCGAGTCCATCTTCTTCCATCAACACCATCGCCGGGCCGGGACAGCCAGCGCCGACTCGAGGCCACGACGTCATCCCTGGCAGTACACCGACACCCGATGGGCTCTCACCCACCTCCGGTTTGCTCGGCTCACCATCCTCTTCGCCTCTTAGTCGTCGATCATCTGTCTACTCGGAAGCCACTGCTGTGGATGGGGCGGGCGCGGATGGCCTGACGACTCGCGGTAATAGCCCAGAATGCGAGCGGGGCAACTACACGGGAGAACCTCTAAACGACGAGCCCATCTCGATCTCTGACCAGGGCGACGGGAGCATCTGCACGGTCTACTTGTCTCCTGCGCCCTACGACTTCATGTCCAAGCAGCGATACACCCGGGAGCCGATGGAAGCCTAGTGAGTCAATCCGTCGCGGGGCAGTAGCGCCGCATTGATGAGATACGCTGTTCAGCGATGCCGCAAAAGTGAGACCTCAAATCAGTCCGAGGAATGGTCTTGAACCGCGGTATGTCTTTTCTCGGCTTCAGAAACACGAGTGTTCAGTCTTTCTCCGTGGCGTACCAGAGCGTCGGTGATAGGTCGGGGGTGGAAGCCTTGCATCCACCCCGAGGGCTCGGTCTACTTCCGATACAAGGCAAGTGCTGTGCAGATCATCCAGACCCACGACTAACGAGAAGGCTCCAGAATTACTTCACAAACGAGTGGTTGTATGATGACGAGAAGCACAAGCTCATCGAGACGACGCTCGGCCTCTTCGAAGATCAAGTACGCACTGAAGAACTTGACCCCAAGGATTGGGAGATATGCCTGTCAATATGGGTGGACAAAGACACGAAGAACGCTTGGATGCTACTACATCTGCGACATGGAGAAGAGGGAGGTCTTTACATCCATGAAGTCGACCAGTCGTTCTTCACAGAGAGCTTGGATGAGGTTGAGATACTGGGGCGAGAGCACCTAGGTCGGTCCTCCGTCATGTATATCTGCGCGTCTCACGGCTAAGTCTGTATCCAGGTGTCGCGGCGCATCGAGGCTACTGGTGAGTGATTGATGTCTCGTACGCAGTGATGCATACTGAGCCACATACATAGGGAACACCTATTCATGTTCCCGCACGGCCGCGTGATTCAAAAAGAAATGCTTGAAAGCTTCTCGCTGAACTCACGTGGCTGAATTTTGGTGCGTATATCCTGTTCATGGTTCGTGGACCATTCTGACTCATCTTGTCATAAGATCGAGAGACTTCGAAGAGCTCGACAGCTCCATACGATGCCTCCGATCTTGCGCGATTCCTTAACATTATGAAAGGTATCGAATGCGATGGTCAGTGTTTAGTCAGAGCGCTGTGTACACCAACTGATGGCCGTTTACCATAGATAATCAGCACTCCCACCTCAATATGTTGCGACATATGGTGCGCGCTGTCATCCCACGATACTCTATTTTTGTGTTCTGACGTAGATAATGGTCCAGCACGTATACAGTCGACGATCCGTAAGCCTTATCTAGCCACGTCGACCGGACTGTCTTGCTGACACACACAGACATCGAACGCACCATGCGCTACTATGGTGAACGTTATGCCCAGCTTGATGTGTTTACCAGCATCCGTGCTGCGCCCCTCCAAATACGTCAATTATGTTCAAAGTTGCGACGTATTTCTTCTTCTTACTCCGGAAATCTATTTGGAGCGTCTGAACAAAGTATGGGTCAACCACATGGTCAATTCCCAGTACTGGAGAAAATTCATCGAGGACACCCAAGCAGACTGGCAAGGCTCCATCACTCCAGTAAGCTGCAACTACATCTTGGGGGCTCCCTCCACTACTCACGCGCGATAGACCACCGTTATCCTCGCTGCAATCTCAGCTTCCTTGCCATTCAAAGTGTCGATCAAAATGGTGACCTGACTCCTACGCGTTCCATGGGCCAATCGTCAGCTATCTGTCGCTGCTCCTGTCCCTCGGCAGTATTTTCTCCATTGTCATTCTCGGAAGACAACACCGACCCCACGATCACCACCATGCGGAAGACGCCGTAAGCTCACTATGCCTGCACAAGACATACCCAGAATGCTGACAACATCGTCGTACCAGATGATGTACTTGCTCCTCGTGCGATGACGCCACGAGGGGTTGAGATGCTCGCGATCATGTTCAGCATCCCTACGGCCTTCTTCCTCTGGGGGTACGCCATCCCTCACTCGCCTCACTCGCCTGCCCGCTGACCCCATATGACATATCTCTCCCGCCAGTCTCGTCACCTTCTTCATCGCGATCTCCTGGCTCTGCTTTTGGGATACCGCGCGCTCCGTCTGGATCGTCATCGTCTCCTTCGTCTCCGTCTTCGCCCTCCTCATCGCCCTCGTCCTCCGTAACTCCAAGCGCTTCCTGGACGCCGCCGCCGCGACGCGCACCGACGTCATCCGCACCCACCTCCGCGCACCGCGCGCCTCGTCAAGGCGGTCCCAGCCAGGCCGCACGCAAGATGCGCACGCTCACCATGGACGCCCTCAAGCGCACCAAGTCCGTCGGCTCTGCCGGCTCCGTGGCGCTGCAGCGCCCCATCCTCGCGGCCACGCGCCGGTTCACGAGTCGCGCGACGATGTCGCCGCCCCGGACGCCGACCCCGGACTCAGGCGCGGGGCCCAGCAGGAGCGACGGAGGGTCTTCGCCCCACAGCCATTCGTTTCGGAGAAACAGCAGCCTGCGGTGGGCCCAGCTGCCCCTCGACACCCAACAGATGATCCCGCTCAGCACGAGGACGACGCCGGTTGAGCCGCCCGCCATCCAACTCACGCCCCCTTGGCCTATCCGCGAGGAGGAGGATGCCCCAAGAAGACCCCTACTGACGGGTCATGACATGGTGTAGCGAAGCTATGCTCGTTTCGCCTGTGTTCGCCGTCTGGAGTGTCTTGCATGTCTGCCGGGCAGCTCTTTTCGTCCTTCTCGCCCCTGTCCCTATTGCCCGTTCGACTCAGGTTGCTCTAGACAGCCCATGTTATCGCTTTGTATACGCACCCCGCACCCCGCTCATGCATCATCTCGTGTCTGCTATCATTTCCCGCAACCTGTTACCACTGGTCCATACCCTTCAAGTGCCCGTCGTCGCAGCTTCTCTTCGTGCACAACCCAACTGCCACAGTATCTTCTATGGCGCCTACGCGCCATGCTAATATGTACCAATGCAACTGCTTCGTTTCCAACGTCCGAGAGGCGCCAGCCCCCGCCCACAACGCAGGAGCGCTTGGACCCTGATAGCATCGAGAACGTCGTATACCGTAGACCCCGCTGGGGTGTGGTAGTCTGCGAACTTGCCCCATTAGTAATGATTGTCGGCCGCCTCTCCCCTTAGCGCAATGCGCCATAATTTGCCCTCAGTCGGGCGCGGCCACCCACTTCATAATGACTGCCGACAGCCTACAGGCCACGGTGCGTCTCTTGTACATACGGGATGGCTGCGTATATGGTTATGATCTCCGGGTGGTGTACCGATGTGTTATATAGGACGAAATACATTCATTCTGGCTTCTCATGTCGCGTGCAACCAGTGAAACGAAGCATCCTCACACTATGTAATGCCCACCGTTTAGACACGGGTGACTTACCAACCCAGACCAAATTAGGCTCGAGCCAGGAGCCTCATACTGCCTCGTATTTTGAGGTCGGCGTCTACGTGCGCTGATCGAGGCTATGTATGCCGTCTCTCCTACACTTGCAACCCTCCTACCGCCTCTATCTGTCGTCCACCATCGTCCCCTGGGTTATCGATTCTCCGCTTTGGTCTTGCTGTTTACCGCATTCCCTTCGCGACCTCAAGCTCCTGCTCGCCGCGCCCTACGACTCGGACGCCACCTCGTTTTACACCTCCATCTCCACCGGGGACAATTTCTGGACCGAGCGCGGCACCGTTGCGCTCCGTCGCTCGGACGGCACTCAGTGGGCCGTCGAGGAGCTCATCGCGGTGTAGTTCACGTACGTCCGCGCCCTCGCGAGGAGCACCACGAGTGAGAAGGTCAATTCGACATCATCGTCACCATCCCGCCGTACTGCACCCAGTTCGAGCGCGACGTCATCGTCGACTCCGGCCTCCGATGCACGCTCGCACTCGTCAAAACGGCACTGCCGTTGCCATCCACTATGTATACCATGACACGCGCCTTCCCCGACTCAGGCCCGTGGTGCACAATGCACATGTCGGCAGGTCGTCCCTCCGCGCTACGGTCGTAGAGTTCGCGCCCGTGGCGGACCCCATGATGAAGACAAAGGTCGCCCTGGACACGACCGTCCACGGTGTGGGCTACAACCGATACATTGGCGGGACGGAGCTCGACAAGCGGCCGCATGCTCAGCGACTTCCAGAAGTGTCACAAGCGGATCATCAGTAACGACAAACGTGCAATGGTGAAGCTGTGGAAAGAGGCAGACCGCACCATCAAGGCCATTCTCACTGCGAATCAGGAGACTCAGGCCACGGTGAGTCTTTGTTTGTATATCACGCCCAACCCGTTGCCTTACGCGCCGCATCAAAATTGAGAGCCTTGCGTAGGACTCCAAGGGAAAATCCAGTCGCTCTGAGTTTGAGGCTGCGTGCAAGGACCTCAACAACCGCTTTGCCATTGCGAAGCCCTTGTGCACGCGGGTTTGAAGTTGGTATGTTGATTCCTTAGACTGCCGGTTACTAGGTTCATCTCCGGCAGGATAACTGGTCGTGCGGCGACAACCCCCATGGTCGAAGCTGTTTTTTCAGAGTTCTCCCTAATCAAGATCGCGTTCAACGTCAACGCGGACGAAGCCGCAGTGCTCGGCGCGGCCTACAATGGAATTCCCATGCGAAGTCACACCCGGATCAGCTCCTCGTTCAGGACGCCGAGCTCTTCAACACCGAGCCTGCCACGCCGCAGCGTTCGTGCAGTTCCCCATCACTACCGACAAGCTCGTCTACCGCAGCAAACGCAGGCCGGTGCTCGAGCTCGACAAGGACGCGTTCACCGTCGCCGTCTCGGGCGCAGGGGAGGCCCCCAGCCATGCATGTCCACCCTTGCTGGCCTCCTGATGTGTTCCCCCGCGCTGAGGTCGTCGCTGCGCTTCATTGGGTGCGTTTCCCCTCCGTCTCTTCAGCCTTCTGCTATCACGGTTTCGACGGTTCCCGTGTTCCGCACAAAAGCTTTGTCCGTGCGCTCTGCGTCGACCAAATGCGCGCAGGCATTGGTCCTCTTCGTATGAATGGATACATGCATGATATCGACTACGGGCAGGCGATCAACCTGTCGTGGTCCCCGCTATTCTGTTTGTTCTTGCGCGCATTAGGTCCAACGTATCTGGTGAAACACTGGCTGACCACCGAACCCCTTCTAGTGTGCAGCATGCAACCGATGGAAAGAGATGAACCAAGTCAAGCCTACGCGCGGCATACTGTGGAACGACGACGTCATCCGCAACGCGCGCTGGGCAGGCGTTTTCCTACGCGACCGTCACTGCTGGCATGATCCCGATGGCGACTACCGTGATGAGTGCACTTTCATAGGTTTTCGTTATACGTGTTCCGGGTCTTCCTCCTCCACGTCTACGAGCGCATTCTGGGGCTGCCCGCGGCGCAGAGACCGTGACGTTCAGCGTCTCGCGTCCGTCGCACGCAGCGTCGGAGTGCATACCGTCGCTGATAAATGCTCCTGGTAAGTCCGCGAAGTGACGCATTACTCGCCCTCCACCGCGATCTCAGTCTCCGGCTTCTCCCCCGGTGTTGGCCTGGACGACAGTGCGAGCCGTCCTCCACCAGCGCGACGCACGGCAGTGTCCACCGCACCGCGCGCTTCACGCCCTTCGCGAGCGTGCGCGTACCCCGCGATACCTCTCCCTCCCCTCTCCCTCTCCTCCCTCCTCTCTCCTCCCCACTGGCCGATTCCACGCCTCACGACTCACGCCTCGTGCGCCGCGCAAAGGCCGAGAACGCGCACCGCTCCCCGCCCGTCGAGCGCCCCTCACCTCAAGTGCGCACGCCCGCATCCCCAGAGATGTGGCACGCGTAGGTGCTGCACCAGAGCGAGGCGGCGAGGGCACGTCTGCCTGCACCAGCGCGGATCGGAATGGGGATGACCTGCCAGAGCGTGTGCTTGTCAGCTTCCGTTGTTGTCGTTTTGTTGGCGAAAGCGTCCTCGGGGCGGTTGGGGCGCATCATGTCGGGTAGAACGCCCGGATCCTGCGCCTCCGCTGTTATCGGTGGCTGCGTGTGAACGGCCCGGACACGGCGGTTTGGGCAGTACCCATCCCGTGGACAGGCTTGCTTTACCCCCATACCCTGAAAGCCCGTCCAAACTGCCGTTGGTACTGGTTGACTGCACGAGAAGATGGTGCTGAAGTGCCTGTCTGGTGAGTCGTGGTGGCTCGTTCACGGACTGACCACATCTCTCCGAAGCTTTCGGCATCTGGTACCACAATACGCGCCCGGCGAAGGCTTCGCAAGTCACAAGTACACACCCAATCCAGTGTCTTCTAGACGATTCGCACTGGGCCGTCCGTTTCAGCGAGATCGCGTTCCCGCCTCGTGGTGGAGAGGCTGTCCTAGACTTCCGAGGACTATGTAGCCCAGGACCAGGACACTGAGCGTCCTAGGTTTGACTACCATTCTCCCCCGCTCCCCTACGACGTCCCTCACCTCCGCGCCCCTTTCCGCTCATGGATGCACCTGTCATCCAGGCATCCTCCTTAGAGGGTGACTCTCCTCGACTGCGAGTTCATCTTCTTCCATCAACACCACCGCCGGGCCGGGACAGCTAGCGTCGACTCGAGGCCACGACGTCACCCCTGGTAGTACATCAACACCCGATGGGCTCTCCCCCACCTCCGGTGTGCTCGGCCCACCATGCTCTTCGCCTCTTGGTTGTCGACCATCCGTCCACTCGGAAGCCACTGCTATGGATGAACCTCTAAACAACGAGCCCATCTCGATCTCCGAACAGAGCGACGGGAGCAACCGCACGGTCTACTTGGCTCCTGCGTCCTACGACTTCATGTCCAAGCAGCGATACACCCGGGAGCCGATGGAAGCCTAGTGAGTAAATCCGTCGCGGGGCAGTAGTAGCGCCGCATTGCTGAGATACGCTGTTTAGCAATGCCACAAAAGTGAGACCTGAAATCGGTCCGAGGAATGGTCTTGAACCGCGGTATGTCTTTGCTCGGCTTCGGAAACACTCGTGTTCAGTCTTTCTCCGTGGCGTCCCAGAGCGCCGGTGATAGGTCGGGGGTGGAAGCCTTACATCCACCCCGAGGGCTCGGTCTACTTCCGATATAAGGCAAGTGCTGTGCAGATCGTCTTAGGCCTGTGACTAATGGGGAAGGTTCCAGAATTACTTCACAAACGAGTGGTTGTATGACGACGAGAAGCACAAGCTCATCGAGACGACGCTTGCCCTCTTCGAAGATCAAGTACGCACCGAAGAGCTTGACCCCAAGGATTGGGAGATATGCCTGTCAATATGGGTGGACAAAGACACTGAAGACACGCTTGGATGCTACTACATCTGCGACATGGAGAAGAGGGAGGTCTTCTACATCCATGAAGTCGAGCAGTCGTTCTTCATAGATAGCTTGGATGAGGTTGAGATACAGGGGCGAGAGCACCTAGGTCGGTCCTCCGTCATGTACATCTGCGTGTCTCACGGCTAAGTCTGTATCCAGGTGTCGCGGCGCAACGAGGCTATTGGTGAGTGATCAACGTCTCGTACACAGTGATGCATACTGAGCCACATACATAGGGAACACGTATTCATGTTCCCGCATGGCCGCGTGATTCAAAAAGAAATGGTTGAAGAGCTTCTCGCTGAACTCACGTGGCTGACTTTTGGTCCGTATATCCTGTTCATGGTTCGTGAACCAATTCTGACTCATCTTGTCGTAAGATCTAGAGACTTCGAAGAGCTCGACAGCTCCATACGGTGCCTCCGATCTTGCGCGATTCCATAATATTATGAAAGACATCGAATGCGACAGTCAGTGTTTAGTCGAAGCGCTGTGTACACCAACTGACGGCCGTTTACCGTAGATAATCAGCACTGCAGACCCCAGTATGTTGCGACATATGGTGGGCGCTGTTCTCCCACGATACTCGATTTTTGTGTTCTGACGTAGATCACGATCCAGCACGTATACAGTCGACGATCCGTAAGCCTCATCTCGCCACGTCGACCGGACTATCTTGCTGACTACACACAGACATCGAACGCACCATACGCTACTACGGTGAACGTTATGCCCAGCTTGATGTGTTTAGCAGCATCCGTGCTGCGCCTCCTCCAAATACGTCAATTCTGTTCAAAATTGCGACGTATTTCTTCTTCTTTACTCCGGAAATCTATTTGGAGCGTCTGAACAAAGCATGGGTCAACCGCATGGTCAATCCCCAGTACTGGAGAAAATTCATCGAGGACACCCAAGCAGATTGGCAAGGCTCTATCACTCCAGTAAGCTGTAACATCCACCTGGGGGCTCCCTCGACGTACTCACACGCTACAGACCACCGTTATCCTCGCTGCGAACCTCAGCTTCCTTGCCATTCAAAGTGTCGATCAAAATGGTGAATCGACTCCTACGCGTTCCATGGGCCAGATCGTCAGCTATCTGTCGCTGTTCCTCTCCATGGGCAGTATCTTCTCCATTGCCATTCTCGAGAGGCAACACCGACACCGCGACCATCACCATGCGGAAGACGCCGTAAGCTAGTTGTACCTGCACAATACATACCCAGAGTGCTGACATCATCGTTTGTACCAGATGATATACTTGCAGCCCCGCGCGATGACCCCACGAGGAGTCGAGATGCTCGCGATTATGTTCAGCATCCCCACGGCCTTATTCCTCTGGGGGTACGCCCTTCCCTTACTTGCCTCACTTGCCTCCCAGCTGACCCCATACATATCTTTTCCGCCAGCCTCGTCGCCTTCTTCATCGCGATCTCCTGGCTGTGCTTTTGGCACACCGCGCGCTCCGTCTGGATCATCATCGTCTCCTTCGTCTCCGTCTTCGCCCTCCTCATCGCTCTCGTCCTCCTCGACTCCAAGCCCTCCCATGGCGCCGCCGCGGCCACGCCCACAGACATCATCCGCGCCCGCCTCGCGCGCACCGCGCGCCTCGTCAAGGCGGTCCCCGGCCAGGCCGTGCGCAAGATGCGCACGCTCACCATGGACCGCCTCAAGCGCACCGAGCCCGTCGGCTCTGATGGCTCTGCCGACTCTCCGCTCTGGCGCCGGCCCACGAGCCGTGCGACGGTGCCCCCGCCCCGGACGCCGGCCCCGGATCGGGGCGCGGCGCCCAGCAGGAGCGTCGGGAGGTCGTCGCCTCACAGCAATTTGGCCCGGAGAAACAGCAGCGTGCAGTGGGACGAGGCCCAGCAGATAATCCCGCTCAGTACGAGGACGACGCCGGTTGAGCCGCCAGCCATCGAAATCACGCCCGCTTGGGGCCGGCCCATCCGCGCGGACGAGGACGACCCACGAAGACCTCCACTAACGGGTCATAACAGGGTGTAGCAAAGCTATGCTTGTTTCGCGTGTGTGTTTGCCGTCCGAAGTGTCTTCCGTGTCTGTCGGGCGGCTCTTTCGTCCTTCGATCGCTCTAGAAAGCTCATGTTATTGCTTTGTATACCCATCCCGCATCCCGCCCCCCGCTCGTGCATCATCTCGTGTCTGCTATCACTGTGTCTTGTAGCTTGTTGCCACTGGTCCATACCCTTCAAGTGCCCGTCGTCGCAGCTTCTCTTCGTGTACAACCCAATTGCGGTCTTTTCGATGGCGCCTATGCGCCGTACTAATATGTACCAATGCAACTACTTCATTTCTAACGTCCGAGAGGCGCCAGCCCTCGCCAACAACGCAGGGTTGTCCCTTGGTTGCATCGAGAACGTACAGACCCCGCGGAGGATGTAGTGGTCCGCGGACTTGCCCCAATGATAGTCTGTCTCTCCCCTCAGCGCGATGCGCCATAATTTGCCCTCAGCTGGGTCCGGGTACGTACGTACTTCACGTGCCTCCATCCAGCCTCACAGCCAACAACCATGTGTTCCTAGACAAACGCGCAGCGCTCCCTTGACACTACTCTCATTGAAAGCCGAAATGATGAAACGTCAGGATAGATGATACATTAGATTGCTCCACCCTCGAGGTATGTAGAACACGACGACGCTGTATCATACACGAGGCGCCGTAGGGCAGCTAGTACATTGTGGAAGACACCTGGTGCTACGTAGATACGATAAACATTACAAGCAGATATCCGATTCTGGTGCACCGAAAACATAGTCTATACACAGCGCAAGTGGAAAAGAAACCGCCGGCTCACATCGTGAAGCGAACGTCGAGGATGGCCTCTGGCGACAGCAAAGCGCCGAGCTGCGGCCGTGGGGCGACCAGCAGGTCGTCCTCGGTCCACTCGGGATTTCGGCGCTTGGTGTTCTTGTTGGAACGGTCGACGGCGTCCCGTAGCTCATGTCGAAGCCCCAGCAAGAGCCCCGAGTGAGTCGGCGCGGCGCTGTGGGTGGAGCATGGTCAGTGCTTGCGTCAAGCAAGAGAGAGACAGATACGCACTCTGTTTGATCAGGGAGTTGTAGAATGCCTTGACGAAGAGCCCGCCTTTGAGATTGCCGAACGTCTCCTGGTCGTCGCAACATGCGGACCATGACGTCACGTAGTTCGTCGCGGGCGGGCTGTTTCTCCGGCAATCTGGAAAACGCTCCAACAAGTCGGCATGCCCATCATGAACAGTCTGCATGCGGGCTATGGATGGAAAAGGTGAGCATATCATGCATGGATATGCACGGGGAGCACACACCAAAGGCACGGGAACCTTGAGCTTGGGGGCGAGCAAGGAGAGAATCAAGAGGAGAAGCAAGGGGAGACACAGGGGTCGGTGGAACATCGACATTCAACAGGTCTGCAATAGTGTGTGAGAAGGGAATGCGCGGAAAAGGGAAAAGCGGGTGCACACCTGAAGCCGTGCCGGAGTGGCAGCAGTCGAAGATCATCGTGCAGCGGACCCCATCTGGAAGGTGGTCCACGAGGATATCGCGAACATCCTGCACGCGCCCAGCGTCAATGCGGGATTAGCATGACGTCCGATCCGGTGGGAGAAAGTCCGCGTGGAGGGGAACACGGGAGAGAAGGTACTCACGTTGTCGCGAATGAAGTTAACGTACTTATCGCCGCTGCGCTGGGGCTCATAGGTCGCATCTATCGGGAGAAAGACTGCGACCGGATCAGCCTCGTGCGCCAATCTCGGACATGAAAGAGACGCACTCTCGTCCAAGTGGTCTATCTCCTCGGGGCCGTCTGTCGGGACTTGACCTCCATGACCGGAGTCTGATAGAAAGCGCATATAGTGACTCGGCGCGACACCATAGTGAGAGCGGGAAAGGAGCGTACAGGCGAAGCAGATACTGTCACCGTCTCGCACGTCGTGCACGAGCTCCCTCATCTCCCGAACTATGTTCTCCCTCGTTGGCCAACGGGTGTCCACAGTCGGCCCCACGTCGGTCATGATGACAATATTCTCCGAGGGATACTCGAACTTCGCTGCGGTGAACCGCGGTGCGTCAGCGGCAGGTTGAGCGGGACGCGGACTCGAGACTCACTAGTGAGTAGGTGGTGAAGCCGTTTCACGTCTTCCTGTGCGCCCGGCAGCTTCCGCATATCGAGCCGATTGTTCGTATTGTAGCACAAGCCAACGATCAGTGCCTTCTTGACGGACGGCCTCGAAGAGGGAGGGCAAGAAGAGAATCGTTCGGCACCCCTCTCCAACGGTACGGGCATGGGCACGGGCATTGTAGCGAGAGCTTTGATTACACCGGCTGCGCAGAAGGGATCGCGAAACGGACGACCGAGCGAGGTGAAAGAGAGGAGGGTGGGCTGGCGAGATCCGTCATGTTGTGGTGGATTATATGTCGCCTGGCGGTGCTGGTCTGGCGGGGTGGGTGCAGCGAGCAAGCTAGGCAACTTGACTCGTTTGCGCGCGCGTCCCTGGCCAGACGCTCTCCTCGAAACTTCCCACGTCGCGCCGGCATCGACACTGGTGCCGCCTTTTTTCCCTGCAAGCAGTGCGCCCCAACGCTTCCTGCCTCAAGGAACATCACACATTGTGGTCCAGCGGACGGGCGTAACTGCCATGCCTCGTCCTTCCAGCGCCGGGACACCACGCTCACGCGGCGAGCTCGAGGACGACGAAAGGATTTGGCTGTGGCCGGTGCGATGCAGTGGCATATGGCGTAGATGGCATTCACTGCAATATGTGCTATTTCGTCCAGTCGTCCACTACGTGGTGGATCCGATCCCGCGCTCCGCGGCTTCCGTGCCGTCTGTCTACGGCGCACCCCAGCCCGGGCGCAAGGTGACTCAACGGAGGCGCAGATGGGTGGCGACGGCAGAGAGCACCTCTCCGTCTCCATCGTCTGGCATTCGCTGTGGAAAGCAAGGTTTAGTGCGAGGGACCGCCATCTCTTGCAGGCCATCGCGGGATGCAAGCGAGAGTCAGTCTTTGCCCTGTGCCATCGCGCGACCGGCCCATGCAGGCAGGCTGTACTTCTGTGGACTGCATGAGAGCGAATGTAGCCATCGGAGGATGGTCGCGGGCGAAGTCGGGAGGCTGTGGTCCAGAAGGGCGTCAGTCATATAGACTTCTCGGGATGCCCTAGCCATTGGCTCACCTTTTCAATTCCAAATGCTGCCGACACGGCATGTCGTCTGTTCGAGCACGGCGGACAGCCCAAACAAATTTCAGCACGAGGACTTGTTCCCATGCTGTATGATGACTGTATGCCCTTCGACAGGAGAGTCGCAGGCCGTGTTGATCTGGGCTTGCGCTCACGACTAGATTGAGTATGTAGCGGTTCGAATACTTGTCTCGCGGGTTTGAGAGGGTCCTGGACCCTAGCTGCATTCCAACTTCCCGGCAGTAAACCCTCCCAAATCTGACACGAGGACTGCCAGAGATGTGGCGCGTGCTGCACGTTCGTCAGTTTACAATGGCCGTCCCCAATGGACAACATCATACCACTGGATTCGTTGGAGCCCAAGCCGATTGAAGCGCTAGCATATTACAAGGGCATCGTGTACCCCGGCAATTATGGCATTTCGTGAGAGCCGTGTTGAGGAAGAGGGGGCCATGCCCAAAGGGGCAAGCCGAGGGGATGATATGAGTCCACTTAAAGAACGAATCCGCGTCAAAGGCCGTTCACGCAAGAAGTTGGCTGACAGACTTACAGTCGCATCCTCCACACCCTCCTGCGAGCCCTCAACAGGTTCTTGCAGATGTCGCATTCCCAGTTGCACAAGCATCCCCATCGTCCATCTGTCCATTGGGGGGCCAAACCACGACACTCCGGATCCACGAGGTCGTACCCCATCCACGCTTGCACGTGTCCCTGCGTCCAAAGAGAGGGAAGAACCGGCTCTCGAGTGTCCGCAGGGCATTGCTGACATTTTTTCACCAGATAGAACCGACGACAATGCACTTGCGGGAGGACATCGAAGACGAAGGATATGGACAAATATTTGCAGGACGACTCGAGGTCCCCGACGGGCCCGCCCGCGGGGAGAAGGCCGCGTTGGCGGCAAATCTGCGGCGTGAAAGAGCCCAAGACGGACGGACTCAGAGAGCGTCAAGGGACACCTCACAGGAGGTAAGACTAAGGAGACATAAGATAAAAGGGACATACCGTTACATGTTCGGATTGGAAAGAGGGCACTCACCTGGCCCTGAGCGCATATACTTCTGGTTCCGGCTAATATTCATGCTCTCAAAAGCGTTGTGATGAGGACGCAAGGATTGGGGCCGATGGTGTGCACCAAGGAGGTATTGGTTGAAGGGATGCTGAACGCTCAGTGGTGTCGATATAGCGTTTGATGCTGTAGGACATCTTGGAGTTGCTTGCCTCAGCTGGATAACCTCACACCATCCAGGGCAGACGGAGTTGGCGACGAGAGTGTGTTCTGAGCATCGTGGTCGATGTGGCTGCTGGTGGACGGGCTTCGTGGATCATCAGAGGACGTCGGAGATGTGAGATTAGATTAGATTGACTCAAGAGCCTCTCTGATTCATAGCGACTCATAATCTACTAGCGACTACGTATGTTTAGACAAACGCACAAGTTCAGGAGCAATCAAAATCACATCGTGGATGAATTATACATCAATTCGGTCGCCCATTGAGCAGGTGAAGTATACAGTATCTTACATGTGAGACGCCATAGGGCAACGGCTACATCGTGGTACAAGTTAGTGCTACGCATACGATAAACATTACTGACACGAATCCGAACATTGCGCGCGGAACGCATAACGTAAATACTATGTAAGAGGTAGGGGGCGAAAAATAAGGAGCGAAACCGCGCAAACATCCGCAGAGCTTAGAGCCCTGTCTGCGTTACGCACGAAGAAAAGATAACACCCGTTCACAACGAAAAGGATATGTCGAGGATGGCCTGCGGACTGAGCGCACCGAGCTGTGGGCGAGGCGCGACCATGAGGTCGTCCCCGCTGCACGCGGTATGGACGCCCTTGTGATGGTCGTTGATGCGGTTCACGGCGTTCTGCAGCTCATGTCGAAGCTTCTTCAGGAGCTGCGAGTGGGTCGGCAGGGAGGCTGCGGATGGTGATTAATTGGACGTTCTAGGAGACCAGAGCAAAGCTGCTCACTCGTGTGAATGAGGGCGTTGTAGAAGGCTCTGATGAAGATTCCGCCCTTGTTGCTGCCGAACGTGAGTTGCTCGTCGCGGCACGCGGACCATGACGTCACGTAGTTCTCGATGGAGAGGCTGTTCCTCCGGCTCCCTGGAACGCGCGACGAAGGCCAGGAGTATGCGGAGGGGGCATGCTCATCGTGAACAGTTTGCATGCGAGCTAGAGGCAACAGAGATGAGCATGTAGCACAGCCAGATGCGCACAAAACACACACCAAAAGCACCTGAGCTTTGAATGGGAGGGGAAACAAGGGGGGACAGTGGGGACATCGGTACTTCTACATTCGACAAGTCTGCGAGCAGCTTGTAAGATGGAAATACACGGAGAGAAGTGAAGACTGGACACACACCTGAAGCCGTGCCGGAGTGGCAGCAGTCGAAGATCATCGTACAGCGGACTCCAGGTGGAAGGTTGTTCACGAGAATGTCGCGAACGTCCTATGTGCCCAACGAGAACGTGAAATCAGCATACACGTCGCGACATGATGAGTGCGGGGAAAGTTGGTGCGGAGTGGAAAGCGGGATAAATGGGGGAAGGTACTAACGTTGTCTCGAATGTAGGCGCCGTACTGCTCCTTATTGTCGGGGTCGTAGGTCGCATCTAGCGGGAGAAGGACTGCGAGTGGATCAGCCTCGTGCGCCGATCTCGGACATGAAAGAGACGCACCTTCGTCAAACCCGTCTTCCTCCTGCGGATCATCCGTCGCAACCTGCCCTCCATGACCAGAGACTGACAGAGAGCGCATATAGTTAGCATGATCCCTGGAAAAAGTAGACGAGTACGTACAGGCAAAGCAGATGCTGTCTCCGTACTGCACATCTTGCACGAGCTCCTTCATCTTCCGAAGCACGTTCTCCTTCGTAGGCCACAGATCGTCCCCAGTTGAGACCTCATCGTCGGTCATCATGACGATATTTTCGATGGGATACTTGAACTTGACTGCATTGGACGCCTACGGGTAAGGTGCAGCTTCTGAGGGATAGACTCTAGACTTACCATTCAGCAACTTGCGTAACCGACGCACGTCTTCCAAGGAGCCTGGCAGCTTATCCATCCCCTGCATCTGGAGCTCATCGTTGGTCTGGTAGCTCACGCCGACGAGCAGCGCCTTCTTGACTTGCGGCCTGGAGGTAGTCACGGGCACTGGCATATTGAACGATAGCGTTGAGGGCGTCGAAGTGGCAACAAGCGAGGCGCAAGAGAAGCGGGTGGGGTGGCGAAGTCCGACATGTTCGTGTAGCAGGTGGTGGAGTATATATGGAGTAGCCGGGCGCGTCTGGCGGGGCGGGGAGGACAAGCAAACTGGGCAAGGTGCGCAAGATTCGCCAGCCCAGATCCGCTTCGTGCTCAAGCGCCGGTGCCTCTCCCGGACCCCCGCCCACCGGATAGGCGCCCAACACCGCTCGTGACGGGCAATGCGCCCAAACGTTGCGTCCTATCAACGCAAACCACTGGTCTCGCGCTGCCAACTTTGGGCTGTTCAGCGGCCTCGAGCGGGCACGCCGAGGCCGTGCTGCCATGCTAGCGCGGTATTGGAGGCGGCGATGGGACTAGTGGTTGTCGGCACGCGTCTGGCACGACGCAAGGGTGCAGTCCCTGCGCTATCATTGAAATATTGACTACGTGGTGGATCTGTTTCTCGTGCCCCGCTGCTTCCCTGCAAGCCCGCCTTCAAGTTTGAGGAGCATCTGCCCACCGCGCGCTCTCGGCCCCGCCCGAAATAGCGTGCGCGAACTGGGCGGGGGCGCAGGTGACAGAGGGCGGCACGGAACGCCAGTGCATCGCTGTCTTCTCGCCCGGCGCTGCCGGGAGTTGCCCGCGCGTGGGTTTCATCCCCGGGTGGCTCGTGGAAAGCGGACCTCGGTCTGCCTCGATGCGGGGGATCTGCGCACGCTTTCTTGCAGACGATGCCGGGAGCTGGCATCGCGGGACGTAAGCGAGAGACAGCCTGTGACTGCAAGTTGGGCCGTCGGTCCGATCCGGTGAGTGCGGCGATTCGAATTCGCTACCTAGGCTTCCGGAGGTATGTTTGCCGATAGCTTGGGCCTTAAGGCGCATGAAGGTGTCGTCCAGGGTGGTCGACGGTCACCGAGAGTCAACAGGCTGCGATCGAGAAGCGTGGGAGGCAGACTTCTCAAGACGGCATGGTCGTCGAGTCACCATCGCAATTCAAACGCCGTTAACACGGCATATCTAATGCATCTGCTGTTCGGGCGCAACAGACCATCAATGCTTTCCCCAGTGCGATAGGAGACTGAATCTCACGCGGTTCTATGAATGGCCTGACGAAGCAACTATGATGGATGAGTAGGCGATGAAGTGGCCCAGCGAGAGTCAGCTGCGTGTCTCGTGTGTTCTGGTGGATTCTGTTCGTTCTTCACGGCAGAAAGTACGAGGATGCGAGTTTGGAGGACTCTGGATCGACTACCCGCTGCGCACTTGTTGGTCCCAAGAGCAATTTCCGTGAATAATGTGACACTTACTGTATTCATTACTTGGGACCTAAGCCGATTTGTCCACGGACACAACCCCGATATCGGAAGGGGGAGCGCTAGCAAGTTGCTGGGGCGCTGCCTACCCTCGGAGGCTCGGCGTTCCTTGAGAGCCATATTGGAGTGGAGAGAGAGATGGCCGAAGGAACAAGACGCGGTATGACCGTCTATATGGGGATATGAGACTGGAAGAAGTCCGAGGGAATAGCTTACGTTCATACCGAGTCGTCGTTGCAAATCCTTCGCAGATCGTGACGCACCGCTTCACGATATCGTTCTTGCCAAGTAGCTCTGGGCCCGGGTCTAAGCTGTGTCGTGGTATGGGGGTACCCGGATGGAATACACACCTGATCCTGGGTCAATTTGCACTGCTTTCCGAGAACAGCGAGTGATGAAGATGTCCATTTAACCCCCAGGGGCCGTAGTCTTTGGGGGATGGCCCGAGGGTGCCCGCTCTGCCACCGGCGAGTGTGAGAACTGAAGAGGGAATGAGGCGGGTAAGCCTCGCGGCTAGTGGACGAAGAGGGGGAAGCGCGAACGAGAGAACATTCTGTAGATCCGACATCGACGGAGGAGGTGCAGTGAAAGGCCGAGAGGCGGGCGATCTGCTCGCCAACGTGCACGTGCGCGGGGAAAGCGCCAGGCAAGAAAACGACGAGCGGGACTGAGCGCGCGGCCGCGACTGCGCCTGCCTCCTCTCTTGCCCCTCCGCGTCGTCGTCGCGCACCTCCGTCGTTCAGCGTACCGCGCGCGAGGCCAAATCTGCGACGCGCGCGAGATCTGGCCGGTGAGCGGGAAATAGGCAAGCCTCCTTCCACGCTCGATCCCGCAGTTGCTTCATGTCCCCACCTTCCAAACCACCTCTGACGGTCCGCGACCTGCCGACCGACCTCTTCCGCCACATCCTCGATCATCTAGGCTGCGATGTCCACGAGACTCTCTCCGCATGCACCCTTGTCTGCCGCGACTGGCTGAACGTCAGCAGACAGCACCTCTTCGCCGAGCTCCATGTTCTCCGCGGCGCCGATGAGTCCTTCCAGGATCTCGTCGACTTCCTCGACGCGCACCCAGTGCATGCCGCCTGCGTCCGCACACTCCAGCTCGAAGCGCGACTGTTCAGCTTCCCATTCAACGTCCCCCTCATGCCGACCATCGACCTCGATGTCTTCGCCCGCATATCCCGCGCGCTCCCGGGGCTTCAGAACGTGCGCATGCGCCAGGTCCGCATCGCCGCTCCAGGCGGCAAGCCTCTGCCCCCTCTCCCCAATCCTCCCCCGCGGCGGCGCCTCGACCACATGGAGTACGAAAAGTGCTACGGCGAGATCGCGCCCACGTTCGAGTTCCTCGCGCACTTCCAGTACGACCATCTCGATTTCTGTCCCATATTCCCCGACACCAACCCCGCGACGATCCGCGCGGGGCCGCACGCTCTCCTCGCGCGCTCGGTCTGTCTTATCCCGGTCACTCCCAATCCACACGTTGTCGTCGCTGCGATGAGACAGGTCACACCCCCGGAGACGTTCATGTCGTTCCGATGGCCCACGTCCCAACTCTCGGATCCTCAAGTCCCTGTCGCGGCCTTGCTCCAGGACATCGGCCAGAACCTGGTGGATGTGCATCTAGGACCAAGTGAGTCTACCTCCCGCCCCCAGGTCCGCACCACTACCCCAAACGCTCCGTGCCTCCACGCGTCTACCTCCCCCAGACTCCCGATGCCGGCGATCCGTGACTGACGCGTCCCCTAGGCGAACGAGACGCGCACCTCGCCCTCCCGCACCTCCCCCGCCTCCAAACATTCCGCTACAGCGCCGGCGTCTCCCTCCTCGCCCCGCCGTCAGAGATGCACGCGCAGCGGATGCAGTTCGCGTCCTTCTTCCGCGACTTCCTCCCGCTCCTCCCCGCGGACCTCCAGGAGCTCGTCCTCTACGTGCAGTGGTCGGACGACGAGGGCGTGCCGCACCCGCGCTCGCACTCGCACGGACCGTCACACGGGGCGGGAGCCGCGCGCGCGCTCGTCCCGGGGGAGGCGACGATGCCGATGTGGGGCGCGGACGCGCCGACGATGGAGCGTCTGAAGTGGCTCAAGTGGCTCACGCTCTGCATGCCGGCGGTGCCCGAGGGGGACGTCGGGCGCGCGACGGCGGAGGCGGCCAAGTGCTTCCCGAAGGCGCACGCGCACGCCGCGTTCCGGGTGAGCGTCGTGGTGTGGGAGCTCGAATGGTGCGTCGCGTCGTTTGGTCGGCCTTGGGCGGGAGAGGAGGCTTATCGTCGTGTTTGTGCAGCCGGGAACACGACATCTACGATTATCTGAGCGACTGCTGAGGGCTTCGCCTGGGGGTGTAGAGAAGGACGTTTATGTATCATAGGTCGGATCTGCCGTTTGCTCATCTACTGTCAACTCGCCACACGCTAGTATGTATCCATTGATTCGGCGCTCGGACGCCTCTGTTTTCTGCATGAGACTCTCGTGAGCACCGCGGCTCATCGATCAACCCAACGGTTTCCGAGCGACTTACTGAGGCTCGACAGGTGCGATGTAACCTGCGCTATCACGAAAGCGCACTTCACCGCTCGATTCCGTCCAGCCAACCCTTGACATATCGGGGGTCAAGACGAGTGTCCGATCGGAGTTCCGAACACTCGGCAAGAACATACCGGTACTATTCTCTGCAACTCAATCAACAAACATCAGTCTTACAACTTGCGAACTCTTCGCGTCCCCGTCGCAACCTCCTTTGAGGGCATACACTAGAACCCGAAGGATGTGCACCTAGAACCAAGTGAGTCCCGTCACTCGCCGGGCTTGACGGCTCATAGACCGGGCCGTTGTGCAGCCAGAATACTACATCAACTTTCGACGTTTATTTGCGCGACTACTGCGGACGACCTCGGGCTCGGGTGGAGGATAGAACAATATGGTGAGTTTTCAAATCGACCTCTTGCGTCAATGGTCCTCAACACGGGCTCGTTCCACAAGTCCAACACAATTCTCGGACCTATGCCGCTGCACCAGCAGTGGTGCATACATCAGCCTCGCGTGCGGCGGGCATGCCCAGACGGACTCCTTTGTTACTCCGCTCCTCCGTCTTCCCAACCATGAGCGCTGGTGACGCTTCCTTTCCTTCGTCGTCACGGTCTCCAACACCGGCTCCAAGACTTCGACGACGGTAGACCCACACGACGAAGCGAAGAAGTACCTCGACCTTCCCCAGTCTCAATAGTACAACAAGCCGGCGTCGCGGCGCTCCTGCGCGGCGTCTTCGAGTCGCGCGGCGTGTCCACGATGCCCTGGGCGGGGGCTGGGTTTCTCATAATGTACTAGTGGAGGAGGGTCCCATCATGCTCGACGACTCTCGTTGAGAAGTTTGCGATGACGTCATGTACGGACTGGACGCTGCAAATTCCAAGTCTATGATCGACACCATTCTTCAGACAGAACGACGGGAAGGATCCTCCGAAGCGGCGAGATTTGGCTTGTGCGCGCCGAAGACTCAAACTCTGTCGTCATCGAGGCCGGCGGAATCGTCTGCTCGGTGTCCCTCCGCAGGGTCCTTCCAGAGCTCCGACCGACCGTCGCGCTCATAGGCCCCGCACCTAGTCCCTTGAGTCGGTGCCCGGGGCGGGAAGGCGGCAGCGCGACTGGTGAGCAGGCGGGAGACGAGGCTGTGGACCCGAAGTATGGATTGAACTCTCGAACGACTCAAACCGTATCGAGCGCGAAGTGCAAGCTACCGGACAGGGTGGTACTGTCATGTTCGCCATTCCTGAAGCTGGCTGGGCAGGAGATACCGCTGCGCATGCGGAAGTGCTGGCTTGATCAAGCCCCGTCCACCTCGCCTTCGGATGTTTGTTCAGTTGAGCGGACCTGTGTAGTATTGCATTACGATCGGAGAGAGCCGGTGGTGCGACTCCACAGATGGAAGTTGAAGAGCAGGTGTAACGTCTGGGTTCAGGTGAGCACTAGGGGTATCTGAGCTACGTATATATGAGTAAGCGAGTCACAATGAGTGAACTGCAGTGTCAGATAGGAGGGCGAGTGCGGAATGGGAGAAACCAAAACAAGGAGCGTGGGGACAGAAGGTGTAAGCCAAGCAAGCGTGCATCGCCTCAATGTGGCGACAACGAACCGCAAATATCACAGGCTCATCACTTTCGGTGCGAGAAGGTGTGCGTCCGCTCCAGGTCTTCATACTTCCGACCCGGGTTCACCTGGAGCTCGTAGCCGTAGTCGTGCTTGTTACTGAAGACAATGTCTTCTGCGCTGCGCCAGGTGACATCCGCGTCGGAAACTCGGTGAGAAGGACCAGCCGCGCCGACACCGCCAACGTTTCGGAGCGCGGCCGCGGGCGACGGTCCCACATTAGGCACGGTCTGCCCGCCAACGTCCATGCGCGTGCCGTCACTCGCTTCGAACAAGTCGAGGATAAAGCGGCAGGTCAAGATCACCGTCGTGCTGCGCCGGACCCAGGTCATCAGCAGAGATGAAGGAGCGGAACGGCGGGGAAACGCACGTGCTAATAATGCCGAGGAGATTGTACAAGAGCTGGAAAGGTACGATCAGCTTTGAGCTTTGATGGAGTCATCAAGCGCATGAGGCGCAGTTTTACCTCGACGTGGTTGACGAAAGCAAGGTTCAAGAGGTTGACAAAGCAAAGTGCACTGGAAGCATAAAGTGTGAACGACGATAACACACGCGGAAGGGACGTATGGCTCACGCAAAGTATGCAAGACCTACAATGCGGCGGATGCGTCAATGTACAGACTCGATGACCCAAAACAAGGTAGTTACCGTTCTGAAAAAGGGCCGTTGTAAGGCTAAACCTCCGTTGTGTGCCTTTACGCGGTCCTGCATGCTTCCATGTCAAAATTAGAACCATGAAGTCGGAGACGACCCCGCAGGAACGTCCGACGATGATCGCTGTTTGTTATCACGTCAAGAGACGTCTACCGAGGAGAAGACGATAACGGACCGCTGTGAAAGGAGGTGATTAGCCAGGGCTTGATTCACGATAAATGTCGCTCACTTACTTGCGGAGGGGTATAAATTGCGAGAAATCCACATCGCAGGCGGTGCGGAGATTGTTCGGTCCTGGGTTGTAGGAGGCCTTGTTCCTGATCGCCGCGAACTAAGCGAAGCTCAGGTTGAATTTGAGACGATCGAGTAGGAGAAAGGATGGGAGTGCTCACAATCGAGGGCATGGCGTTCATGCACCCTAGCATTAAAACTAAGAAGGCGACGTATTTGCGTCGGCACAGCGCGTACGCTCGCAGCGACGAGAACGCTACGGCATATTTTGATTAGTCGTTGACAGAGCTCAGCTTTCGACTCTAGAACCTACATGCGGCGCCCAAGATAATGATGGCACCCATTACATCGAAAGCCACTGTGATCCCGTCACACCTGCGGGGCAGTAGCACATATTAGTGAGTGCACTACAAAAGAGCTGAGGCGCGTAAAGGCGCAGCCGGGTGCGTACTTCTGCCGGGTCAAGGGGGTCAGAGGCATCTAGCACTTGTTGGGAAGGCTCTCACTGGTGATGATTTTCCCGACCAGGGGAAGAAATTGACGATCATGAGCATGTTGGAGGTCAATGAGGAGTAACGTATGGCGATATAGATCACGCCTGCACTCGCGATCTTCTTCCTCCAGACGTACTGAACCTCGCGACCAATTGCGATGACGTGGTCGTAGCTCATGAGGGCTGGGAACGAGAGAAGGCGTCAGAAAATTCAGATTCGTACTCCAAGTATACCACCCACCGAGGGCTCCGACCACCGCCCATTTATTCTGAAGACTGGCTCGCGTACGTGAGCACGCTAGCCTCTCGTGGTACCACAAACATATACATACCTCGGTTGACTACCCATAGCCATAGCTGCGACTGGCTTGGAGAGACCGAGTATCTACCGGGGTGTGAGGATAGGTACAACATAGGGATGCGGGGGCATGACTCACTAGATCCTGACGCTCGGCGTCGGGCGCGTGAGGAATCGGACACGCCTCCCACCAGTATATCTGGGAACGGGGAGGACCCAAATGGGTGCGATCCCCGACTGGGTGGCCAATCAGACCCTAATCAACTCTCCATAGGCAGGCGTCGTCGTCCTGGGGCCGCGCCAGAGCGATCGACCACGCCACGCCACGCCACTGGTGTGGGAGAGAGAGAGAATGCAGAGACAAAGGCGATGCAGGGAGCGTTGCGCGTTACCACCTACCCACTTGGCGCATCCGCGTCCTTCCTGGACTTCCTACGCTCGTGCGCATACAGAGTAGGGGCAATCAGCACAAGCTTTGAATGAAAGCGCAGGAAGCGTCGCACCGGTGCATCTGTCAAGTATCTGTCACCGAATGACTACAGACGAGAATCTCTGTTCGTTGCCTCGGCCTATGCACTGATCACATAAGTCCGCCACGAGACACCATGGTGGCACTCCTCCGGGATGGGCCCTATGATTATGCGACAACGCCGCAGATAGACAGGGTCTGGCCAGCTTCATCCTCCCCTGGGAACAAACTTCACCGCAACGAAGTTCACCGGGTGTTCCTCAAGCATGTCCGCCTCCCCGCCCTCCCCGTCGGTCTCGTTGTCACTCTCCCCCTCGCCCCCGTCCCCGCTGATCCTCTTCCACTCCGGATCCTCTCCCCAGAAGCCCTCGCCCGTCCACGCCCACTCGCGCTCCAGCAGCACGCCCGACCCGCCCTGGATGCCCGCCCGCTCCCGCCGCGCCTCCGGGCCCAGCGCGCCGACGTCCACGAGCAGGCTGTACTCCGCCCGCGCCTCCCGCGCCCCGCCAAACGCCGCGCTCGACTCGCTCGATTGCGTCTCGCTCTCGTCCGCCCAGTGCACGTGCGACACGGAAGGAGGCGCGGCGGGCGGGGAGGCGGGGAGGCGCGCGAACGTGAGCCGGACGGTGCGCGCGCGCCCTCGCACCGGCGCGGACGCGAAGAGGTGGGACGCGTTCGGCCATGTGTCGACGTGCTCGCGGGGGCATGTGGGCGCGGCGCGGAACGCGCCCAGGTGGACGCCCGGCGCGCCGCGGGCGGTCAAGTCGGCGCGGTCTTGACTGGACGCCACCAGTGTGGCGGTGGATGCGAAGGACGAGTGGGCCGAAGGGGGAAAGAACGCCGGCGGGCCATCGCGGAAGACGACGGCGACGTGCACGGGCGGGTGCTCGGACGCGTCATGAGGACAAAGCATGAGGTGGATGTCGATCGTCTCGCTGGGGGAGGTGAGCGTCAGGACGCCGTACCACGAGCCCACGTGCCGGTCGTCTACTTCCCAGTCGAGCACGATCGCGGGTGCCGACGTGCTCGTGGAAGCCGACCCGTGGCGGGACGGGTTTCGTGCCGGGCGGGCTTGGAAGTGGGGCTGGGAGGGCGAAAGAGCGAACCCTGATTCGGCTAGTTGATTGGGAAGCCAGCGTGGCAGGGTGATGTTGCATGGGCCTGCGAAGCTAAAGCTCTTGGGGATGGTAGGGATGTCCTCGGCAGATTTTGGCGCAAGGTCTCCGGACCACAGGGAGGAAGAGCGCCCGCGGTGCGCGGGGATGTAAAACCCACGGCAAGTGAAATGAGGTCCGGCGAAGGTTGAGTCGACGGTAGGCGTGACAGGACCGATAGGATAAGTCACCCCGTGTCGGACGTGGTGCATAGCCTCGGGATGGATGGTAGTGCATCGATAGTACAGACCCTCGTACTGCATGTAATTTTTGTCGGGGCGGGAATCGGGGAGCTGGCCGTCTTCGGTCCCCGCGATGCTGCGTGTGTGTCCCAGAGGCCGCTTTACAACGCTGGTGTAGTCGTCGCCGTCGTCGTCGTCGTCGTCGTCATCCTCGTCGCTATCTTCTTCTTTGTAAGCGAAGTAACTACCAATGATATGCTGATTCGTGCCAATGACGGGGTGCATCATGAGTGTAACGAGGTGGCCGGACGAATCTTGACATGCAAGAACCGCGAGGGTGCACGATGCACCGTTGTCGTGGTTGACGAGGACTGGAAAGTAGACGTGGACTCCGTAGCTTGTGATGGCGTAGTGAGAGAGGAAAAGAGTGCAACGCACTCGCTGGGATAGGACGTCGAGAGGGATAGCGACAATGTCACCGGATTCTGCGAAGGCGGCGGGGGACGAGGCGAACAAACAAGAGTCCTGGAGCGCGGGGGACCTGAGGCTTTCACGAGCGGGAGAGTCGAATGGAAGAAGGTTGGCGAGAGAGGGAAGTTGGTTGAAGACTTGCAGCCCCGAGTCCGAGTTGATCAAGGCACAGTCGGGGAATATATGTCCCCAGGCGAAGATGCTCTGATCCGCGCAGTGCTCGATAATCTCCCTTTGGAGGCGGAAGAACGCGTTGCGACCCTCTCCGTAGATGGTGGGCATGTGCACCCCAAATATTCCCATGAGCGAGTACGCCTCGTCTTCCACTCGGGAGGTGCGCCGCTTCGACGCCCACGACATCCGGCGAGCGATGCTGACGGAGTCCAGTGTGCGGCGATGGGTAAGGATGTCTGCATCGATGCCGGTGATCTCCTCGATGACGTTCGCAAGTGTCTCTCTCGTCCCGATGATACGCCAGTCGCGAGACAGGAAGAAGACCTCGGCCGGGGCGATAAGTTCCTGGAGCGTCCACCCTCGAGTGAACCACTTGCTGCGGCGGAAGAGGGAGGTAGGCGAGCGCGGATCCTCCAGGTCGTCCACGTCAGCAAGAAAGGCGTAGCAAACCGTCGCCCTGGAGTACCATTCGTACATTGAGTTGATCGCTTCAGAGAGCTCGGCACTGCTGAGGCGGTCAATGCAGCAGGTGTCGATCCAAACGTAGCGGTAGCCGTTCATTCGGGCGAATACGCAGCACTCGCGGTTCTTCGCAGAGAGAACCGTAAGAGATGCGGGGCAGGCTTCGTCGAGGTCGAGAGAAATGGCTCGAGGGTTCCTTTGCGTGTACTCGTGAGTCTCCAAGATATCCTGTTGGCAGTATTCATTAGCAAATATTGTGCGTCGCCAACGACTGACACACACCTGCAGAGACTGCTCGCCGTCGGTATGGTCCCAGACATGCGAAAGTATGGCGTAACGTGCATCGTTTGGGTCGTCAATGTCTCTGAATCCGGCGGTGTTGGTATCCAAGAGTCGCATTCCGGATGAGAGTCGCTTGCTGGAGTGCACGGCACTGATCAGTCAATGGTCCGTTGTCTATCCACAGAAATCGACATGTCAGCCCATACCTGAAGAATGAACATGGTCCAGTCCTCGGCCCTAAAGTAACACAGGTCACACCGCGCCCGCGGGAAGACCTGGGGAGAACTGGGGGGTTGCAGTGGTGGGCGGAGAGAAGTTGTGCGTGGCTGGCAAGCGCCCGTCAACCGTTCACGTTCATGATCAATATCGTGTTGTGATGGCTCGAATGGGTCTAACTATCCTTTAAATTTCCAAAATAACTAGAAACTCCCATCATGCGATGTACCTGATCTGCTCCCACATGAGCCTGTGTTACAAAACAGCGCCAAAGGCCGTCTCTTATGCCTGATTCTCATCTACAACAGTGCTATTACGCGTCCTCCCTGCAAACGTCTCGATGGGCTTCAATCTTGGTCTTGGCAATATAGGGAGACAAGAGGAATCTTGTATGCGACGTCTCCAATGCGGTGGTAGAGGCATGTCGCATCCATGTCGTCATCAGAGGGATGGAGGAGGGTACCAAGTAGCATATAGGCAGGTTGGCCGACTAGGACGTCGCAAGAGCGCAGCGAACCCCAAGCAGTTGTATTCTGACGAGCCAGTCAAGACACCAATCCAGTGAGTGTGGCGATCGCCTGTTTGATATGGATAATGAATTCTGCAAGGCGCTTCCTAGTTTTTTCTGCGCATGTCGGCACAAATCAGCATTACTCAGTACATAGGTAGCAAGCGTACCAATGAAAGCCGAATGAGAGGTATGGGTGGCGATAGGCGGAGAGGCAGGGTCATGGACGGGGGAGAGCGAGGGCAAACGGCGGAGAGCGTGCAGAAACGTGCCTTGTTCCTTTTCCATGGCTAGTAACTCCTTAATCTCCTTCTCCAGTTCATCAGAGCAACTTTCGGTCTTAATTTGAGGACGAGCTGCGGCCCATGCGTGGAATTCGAGCACAAGAGCAAGAAGCATGTTATTGAGCTCTATGTGGCACCGCATACAGCGTGTCAGCAACATGGCCGTCGAGGAAGACGGGGATATGCGCACGTTCTACGAATGTCTCATCCTGCTTCGAGTCGTCTTCAAATAGAGAGACGACTTTCCCATGGTGATCAAACGTGGGGAACGTCGCTTGTAGTGGATCTGTGGTTGATTCCAAGATGGAGGCAGACGCAGCAGGGCAGTGTTCAGACGGCCGAGAGTTTTCGGGTGAAGCCATGACCTGTCTGAGGGGATGTATGTTGCCTGTGTGTGGGAGAGCGCGGGAGTACTGCTGAGGAAGTTGGTGGCGAGTTTCAAGGAGAGCCCGAGGGACTCGAGGGCACGAAGAAAGGATTAGATTAGATGGGCTGGGCGCTGATCCATGCTCAGGATAGGGCGCTTGTTCGGGCTCGACGTCGCTCACCTGTCCGCTCATATGTATACATATCCGGTTTCTATCGAGGAGAGCGCAAAAAAGCTGCCGAAGAGCCTACCTTCAGCTTCCAGGAATATTTTGTCTTCGCAGCGATCTTGGCCGCCGCACCCTCTGGATTCGTGTCCCAACTTCATCGATACACCCGGGAATGGCACTGGATGTAAGTGTAGTGAGTGGATTCGCCGTGAATGGCTGCATGATTGGATCGCTGAAATACGATGTTCAGCGGTGCCGCAAAGGTGCAGCTCGATATTAGGTGGATGAATGGTCTTGAACCGCGGTACGCCAAGTTGAATTGATTCCAGAAACTCTCGCGTGTTTGTCCTTTCTCCCCGACTCGGCGATGATCGGGGGGCGCTCGAGGTCGTATGCCTACCCCGAGGGCTCAGTCTACTTTCGATGCAAGGCCAGCATCATGCAGATATCTACGCGCCATGAATAACGGAGGAGCTCTATCGGAACTACTGCACAAACGAGTGGAATCGACGTACGGTGACAGCGGCAAGCGCAAGCTTATCGACGTGACCACGATCAACCCATTCGAAGAGCGAGCACTTACATCCCAACTCGACCTGAAGGACGTAGAAGCATGTCTGTTGATGTGTGCTGATGACGGTGGTGATACGGTTGGATGCCGTTGCCACGACGGCAGCTCGTCTGGCCGCCGCCTCATCCCTCGACCCAAAGCCCGCCCGGGCCCGGCTCCCTGAAAAATCCGGACGAGGCCTCCAGGCTGCGTTCTCCAGGCGACGACGAACCGCCTTAGAGCCGCTTGTCTTCCACAACGATACGCTCAAAGCACTCTTCCGTTCGAGCGCCGGGAAAATGTAGCAGAGGTCCCCAACCCCGGGAGCGACTGCTGCTGGGGTGGTCTAGCGGTCTTCGTGAACTCATTCCCACTGCATTTAGAGACGATGCTTCCCGGCTCACCGTGCTACCGGCGTCGACTACCACCGCGGCGGCTTGCTTGCGTCCAATATGTCATTCCGTTCAACCCACTGCTCGCGATCCGAACGTCCACACATGACGTCACATCACCTCCTCCCGGCAATAGGCGGTCGTCTCATGCCGGCGTCTTCAGCCTCAAACGCGGACAAGACTGTATTTCTCGACCCTGGAAAAGCGTGGGCGGCGTATATATATGCTGTGGCCCTGTGAGTACCTCCGCTACCGCTGCCGTCCTTTTCTGGCATTTCTTCCCAGCCGGTGTAATCATTAAGTATTGGGGATGTTTGTGCGGCGACTCAGTTAACTGCAGCGATCTCCCGGAAGACGAGAGGAGAGAGGTTGTTCGCAACCATGTCTGGTATCCATTCGTCATCTCCTTCGTGTTGAATCTGTTGATGGCATCCTCGTCACCGTTGCGCTCGACCTTGATGACTCTCTTGTTGCGCTTCTTCGAGACGGAGCCGTCAGCCGTGATCTTAAGTCTGCCCATGTCATTCAGAACCGGGATCTCGACAGGGTGAAGGCCAAACGACGGGTCGTACCTGACCAGTTGAAATTACCTGTAAAGTACACGCATGATAATCCCGTCGGAATGAGCTGCGGGACGAGTCGCGGATGTGGACCGCTCAACAAGCCTACCAGTCGCCAAGCGGATACATTCACATTGCAAAAACAGGCAACGCATGAGCTGATACGGAGGATTGAGCAATGACTCACGAAGATGAGTATTCGAGTCTAAGACATAGACCTTCAAGCGCATTCTTCGCCTCAGATGCTATGCATGCATTGAGAACCGTACTTCTGTATACTGGCAGGACCGGTCAGGAAAGAAACTCGATACCGTGTACTTACTTGGGACTCGGACGATGGTCGAGACGGTGCCGGCATCTGCCGAGGTCGGGGAGATCCGGGCGCCTTCTGTTCCGGAGGCGAGAGTTCGAGGTGAGCTCCGGGCCGCGCCCCCTTTACCCTCTTCTTCTTGCATACGTGTGTATCGTGAGGCTACAGTCGCAAGCTCCTCGCCATTCCTCTGACGCAGCACCTTGTCTTCAGATTCAATGCTACATCCGACTTTCAGTCGCCGTATTAACTTTCGCCACAGTTTGTCGCAAAACCCTCTTCGTGCCAGTATGAATTCTTTCCTACTCGCCGGATTTCGTGAGTTTTCTCATGACTGTGATATTAACACAAGTGCGTGCTGCCAGGTCACACCTGTCATGCCCCACGAAGTACGTCCATCAGTGTCCTCGGGACCTGTCTGATATGAGGGCTAGAGGACCTCAAAGTTCACATGCATTAGGTTCAGGAATACGTTCCACATGCATCGTCGAAGCAGATGATCCACTGAAGTGTCCAGATAGAGACGCTATGCACAGCCTGGAACCAGCCGCGCCAAATTGCTGGACCGCGTCCTTGTCATCTCTCAAACTTGGGGCACAGTCCAATCGCGCCCCACCTCGGATTCCGAGATCTCTACAACCGCAGTCGTGAATGCGCGTCATATCTGTGTAGGGCAGTGGGGGCAAGACTGAAATAGACTGTTGGTCTATTCTATATTTCAGGTATCCATGCTTTTTGACGCCCTTATGCCTTTCAGAATTCTGATCCATTTCTTCCATTCAACCCGCGATGCCTAGGGCCCAGCGTCCTAGGAACGGGAGCCGAGGCGATTCCTCTGGGCTCTGGAAGGGTGATGCTGTGATTTATGGGACATCATAGGTTCCGCCTCCATACCGAGACACAATTTCCTATGGGTTTCGTAGCATCCGACGTTTCACACAGGTCAAGTGGGTCAATAGAGAGGTTTGGAAAACGGCAATTGCGCGCGATTGTAATCCGTTGGGACGGACCCACTGCTCCACGGCATCGCGGCCCGCTCGAAAACGCCCGTCACCCATGTGCAGCGTGACAGGCTCACGAGAGCCTTGGTGAGGTTCGCGCTTGTGCTCTCATCTCGTCGTCACTCGTCTGCTTCCTGGGGCTTTCTTCATAGTTACATGCTGTCCTGGCTGCAAGTTGAACTAGTCGCTAAATGCTCAGTTTGGAGGCAAGGGACCGTGTTGTCGCATCGTTCGCCCCGGCGCTCGCCTGGCCCGGTCACGGTGGCGGTCACATTGGAGACGGGACTCCAACGCGCCATCACTCATTGCAATCGCGCACAATTGCAATTTTCCAAACCTCTCTAATGTCTGACATCGGCTCCGATCAACTGCGGAATCTTCGTCAGACCTTGATTTTTTTGCGCCAAAAGTGAGTCATTTATAAGAATAATCTTCGTAACGAAAAAATTTCTCGTCCAGGAAATACCACACAGGTTCTTCGTTTATGCGCACTTTTGAGTATGTGAAGATCGCCGATGATGACGGTGGTGAACGTCTCTTTTGCTTCTCGTCGCACTCTCGTCCAGGGTCACAGCCAACATGCACAGCCTTTTCCTCGCCGCCAGCATTCACACCAAATTCACACACAGTCATTTCAATTGGTGGCTTTTGCGTGTGGGCTCTCTACCAGGTACGCATCCAAAACTCTCTAACAACCTATTCGACTGACATTTGCACCCACTCAGTCGATCAAGATTAATTACTCAAAAAGCTTCCGCCGCGGTAAAAGCCTGCGAAGCGCTGCTTCAGTGCGCTCAATGTGCCATCTGAGACGTCATTATCCGCGCACGGAGTCTTCGTCTATTCTCCAACAGCACATTGGCTGCGCCCGTTTCAAATAGCGCGCAAATTACGCAGCGGTAGAAGTTCCTCGGCATTGCGTGCATCGCCCTCCACTGGAATCTACTATAGTCGCCCGGCTTCTCGCGCTCTCGGACTGAATGGCGTCAGGTTTTGCACACGGATGCTAGACGTTTCCGCGAATCGGACACTGCTTCAATTCAGTAAAATATCCTCAGCAATGTCACGCTTACGCGTTCGTGCCTCGATGCGCGGTGACGCTAAGTCCCTCGTAATATTACAGCACCCGCAGAACGCAGTGGCCGTGCACAATCGCCATAGTTGACTCTAATGGCTCGATGCGCCAGTTACCTGAGCTGGATTCGTCCTCGGCAAAGTAGCAGCCGATCCAGCGCAGTGCCTCCGGTGATCGTTCACCGGCAGCGAAGTACACGTACACAGACAGACGCATTGCTGCATAGCATAGACGTGGCCGTCGGGTGCTTGCGCTGACACAACGTTTCAGCCGTGTGGTCACCTCCTCTCGAATTTCGAAGCTTATCCCCATGATATTAGTACGAAGTCCGCGACCTTCTAGGGCGGGCGGAAGAATCACCGCGCACATTCCCGTAGCTACATTTCCGATGGCCGCGTGAAGATGGGAGGTCCTCGTCTCGGCCACCGCTGTACCCGCTTCGGCGGACAGGGGAGCCCGTGCTGCGGCGCTCCCACATAGCTGGCATGCAGTTCTCGGCTTCCCTGGAAATGAAACCTAACGCGGGTTTCTTCGACCCACCTCGACCACCGCTACCTCGGCCAAGAAACCGTGCACTTCACTGGCTCGAAGCCCGCAGCGCACCCGCCTCGGCCACTCAATGTGCGGAGCTCAGACAATGCGGTCCTATGCAGGTACACGGAGACCACTGGATACTGCGTCTAAACCGCACAAGACCGATCAGTCACGCCCAGGATCCTCGCCGAGACATTGCATGGCCACGCCGGTCACCTGTGAACTGCTGCGGCGTGGAGGCTGCTGCAAGCGGCGCGCACAGGGAACGCGGTGAGAGACGCCGGCTTGTCCCGAGGTCCAAGCGCCCTCGAGCCCTTTCTGAGTGCACCTTCCTGAAAACGCCAGAGCCGAGGGCCTTGGTGTATTTTCTGGATGAAAGGCTGCTCTCCAACGTGCTAGCCTTGTTATCATAGACTGGGTGGTTTACTTGCGCGCTTCCACTGGCAGATTGAGTTGATGAAGCCGGGTTTTCCACTTCAGCGCTTGTCGACCTCCTAATCCCGAAGGCCCGTGCTGTGACGCGGGTCCACACGCACCCTGGGCGTGTATGCAATGCGGTCATTGGCGCTTTGGCAAGGATTCTGCAGTCGAGATGGAAGTCATGAATTCTAGGGCATAGGGCTACACTAGCGGGGACAGCGCCAAAAAGCTACACCGTTTAATCTGATATGACACGGCGAATTGATCAGCTCGAGTACGCTGCGCCTTAACTCCGCCACCGTCGCTCACCTGTACAAGGACGGGACCCTATACGTGCATCGAGGGTGGTCTTGAGCGCACCGCCGGCAACGGTGTGTCGTTCAACCGCGCGAAGTCCAGCGAGTGCCGGAGGGAACGCCGCACACGGGACCACCACTGCCGCTTGTCGCTCGCCGAGCTCCGTTTTTCACTTGGTGCCGCCGAGCCGCCTTCTTTCTCCGACGCGCCGTCGTCCTCGTCCTCATCGTCCTTGGAGAAGAACATCCTGAAACGTTCCTTGTAGACCGCCCAACGCGATGTCTCGCCGCTCTCCCAGCCGGTGATAATGGTCCAGCAGACGAGGAGGCCGATGATGACCCAGCCGGCGCCCGTGAGGAAGAGGGAGGAGTGTGTTTGGACGCTGAAGCATTCGAAGGAGAAGGCGAGGAGGAAAGTGATCATCCTGTATGCGCGTCAGTGTCGCGTGACTATCTCATAACAACACGAAGACGTACCCCCACATGAGGAGCGCGTAGGGTAGGCTGTAGATGATAGCGAGTGTCTCGAGACCAAGACCCTTGTGCTTGCGTGATCGGAGGAACCGGTGTGCTTCCTCTGCCGTGTCCTTGGACTTGACGCGGTGTTGGCGGATAAGGAGCAGCCCGAGCAGGATGCTCCCGACACTTGTGACAATTGACAGGAAACTGCTAATCCGGGCCGGAGTGACGTGATCGAGACTGCCAGTGTCGACACTGGGGATGGCCAGGAACGCGACGTTGGCGTTAAGCAACACCGTTGCCTAGTTATAAAGAAGTATAGGCTTAGCATCGGACGAGGTCATCCATGTCGACGGAGGACGACATACGTAGAGGACGAACTCCTGCCACTCGTTTTGAAGCTTGCTGATGAAACCACCCCATGGGATGATTGTGATGACTTCGTCAATGTAAATCTTCTCGAGGCTGCGCAAGTGCACGTGTGGTGCATTCCAGAAAAAGGGAGCGAAGAATCTGATGAGGAGAGTTCGCCGCTTCTTGACCCCGTGGTACACACTCTGATCGCGATTTAGACGGGCGTGGGTTTGCCCATAGAAGTTGAAGAAACGGTAGTGTGCTGTCAGACGTGAATTAGCTCGCCGTTTTCAGGGAGGAGGCTGACGACATACTCCATGTGCACATAAGCCGGCCGATGACAGCTGTTGCATAGTCGGTTCCATCCACACCTAGAAGTCTTCGTTAGTTTTATCCTTTCGAGTCTAAGGCTCTTCGCCCACTTTTAGCAATCTTCACCAAAGTAATCATACGATGAACATCGTCACCGCGGTAAGCAACTGTAGATGTCATTGACGTGGTACTGTCTACATGCGGAATGGTCAGAATAATCGATATACTTGATTACTGGGCACATACCCATGCTAGCGAAGGTCAACATGCCCGTCAATTCGGTGTAGACATCAGGAGTAATATGACGTTGATGAGGGTACATTTCAATGTGCATCCTGTGAAGCCCTTGTGAGCCATTGAAGGAAGATTGCAATTGCTATCCGTACCAGTATTTTGACTGAATCTCATGACCTACATCCTAAAGTGAGCCGGGTCAACGAATTGATCAGAGCTCACTCACGAATGTCATACGGCGCCTTGAGGGCGATAACCTCTCTGATGTCCAAGGTCTCGACGGGGTCGCATTCATGAATCCAAAACAGGGTTCTCGTGGAGTGGTCCACGAAGTAGTAGCACCAGTTGAACACCCCAGGCGCAGACTTTCTCGGTTCGAGAAAGAGCACCAACTCGTGGTTGGCAGGAAGCTCGAGGCTTTGCTCAAGTATCATCTCATCGAGCTGCCGGGCGAAGGTGTCCAGCATGGCCGCAATACCAGGCTCTCTAACATCGTTGTCTGTGAATATGCGCTAATTCTGGTCAGAATACGCCAATTACGCAGCAGGTATGCACTTACTCGGCGGTCATCATAGAAATACAGTCGTCCCTCCGGGTGGGTCACTGCTTTCCACCCTGCGGGCACGTTGTCTCTGCTAAATGCATGAGACTTGGGAGGATCTCGACAACACCGAGAAACTCACATAGGAAAATCAGTCGTAACGGGGGTCAAAACCCAGTCACCTCGAGCAGGTGAGATAGTTGCATAGCTATCATAGCGGGGTATTTCCGTAACCGGGTATAACTCCTGGCGGATAGGTGGGGTGGCGATGATAATCTCGGGTGTAGGGGCCTCGGAAACCGACATGGTACGCAGACTTGGAGTGGTCGACTTCGTTGGCGCGGATGCGGGCAGAGGCAATGGAATGGGAAGTTCGATGACAGAACGCGCGGGCGTACGCGAAGCAGCTCTGGAGCGTCTCGAGGCTGAAGTTGCTCTTGACGGCGCACGAGACGCTACACGCGTTATTCCACGAGCCGCGGCGCGAGAGTTGGGGATGGCGTCAGGCCGGGGATGAGCAACTTCGAAGTGCCTGCCTCTGCGGGCAGGAGAACCGGTAGACCTTATGCTGACTGAGATATTGGAGCCCGAACCGGTTGAGTGGGAGTAGGGACGCAGTAGTTCGCTCCGTGCGGCGGGAGGACGGCCGGGGAGAACGAGCGACTGTGGGCGACTGGGGAGGTCGCCTGGTTGGAGGAAGTGGGCATGTCCGGGGACATCGAGGTGAAGGTCGAGGGCCGAGAGCGGTCTTCTACTCTCGCAGATGGTGACGGCTTCTGGACGCGGGACGGAAAATCCTAACCTCACAACTTCCGTGCAGCGTGTGCCTACGAGGGACGAATCAAACACTGGACGGTGTGGACTGTAGGAGGACGCACCTTGCACCGGAATGTCCTCAATCCCTGCGACCTGATTCTCCCCACCACATGATCCACCACCACCACGAGGTCTACGAAGTCTGGCGACGAAGTTCCAGACGCGCAACAACTGTTTGAGGTAACGCCAAAGTTGTAGAAGTCGTTTGAGTGGAGAGGACCAGTGCTTGCAAGCTGCCAGAATGAGGGCAAGAGAACGGGGATGCACAGACGACATCACAGCCAGTGGGTCGAAGCATCGGCCCGGAGAGAGAGCGAAGGGGGAGAGAGCGCAAGAGCGGTGCGCGATGTCCGGAGGGAGGCCATGGCAGTCTTCGTTCAGGCCATGAGGCCCGCTTCCGGCGCTCCGGTGCCGCTTCTCCAACACTGACTACATATGCATCGCCCAGAGATCAGAACTGGTGTGCCGGAGCAATCCCGTGCCCCTTGCCCAATGACGATCCACTGATGGAGGCAAAGTGTATGTCTTGCTACACCTGAGGCCGTATTACTTCCTCGCGGATTCTAGCTATCGCCGTTTTTCGAAAGTCTCACAGGTCTATGCACAGCAATGTATCCCGAGTTTGACGGGGAGTTCCCAGAAACATGAACATTAGCATTCATAGGATAGGTAGCAACGTCGATACACGATATCAATGGCATCCCTGACTGCCGTCATGATCATCCACCTCGACGAACAGCACTGCGAGGAGTCCAGCTCTGAGGTTCGTCAGGCGGTGGTGGCTTCCAGGGTGAAGGAGGTTCCTTTCTTGGCGGGGCAAATGGTACGCGTTCTGCGGCAGTATCCGAGGCGTTCGAGCTGCATTCGTTTGCCCGTTCATGCATAGGGTCCGGGAGCCTGGGTGATGAAGCAGGCGCTTGAGCTTGCGTATGTTGCGCTTCTGAAATGGCGACTCGAGCCGCATGAGCCTTCTCACGGGCTTCTATCATCGCCACGTTGTTGAGAATCCGTCGTTGGCGTTCGACATCGGCTTGCAGTTCCTGCGATGCTTCAGTGGCTGCCACGGGTATCAAAAGAGCGCACGACATACCTCCAGCGAAGGTGGATGCGGTCTGGTATGGGTCATCCATGACAGCCATTGCACTGGCATAGAGTGAGGATTGAACGCGTGAAGTGGAATAGCGACGCACCTGCCAACCGTCTGTTTCCCCCGACATATTCCAGCATGTCAGCACCCTTCGCATACTTCACAACACGTTTTGTTCTACGTGGGTCTACCACGCATACCGTCGGTTACGCATATAGAAGACGGGATTATCTGATGCTCACCATCGGAGGTGCTAGCGTACTCAAAGTATCTATTCCCTACAACCAATGCCACATGAGAAGAGAACTGGGTCATAATGCTTGGGACGCACCTTCAAGATCCCTGCCGACAAAACCAGTCTGCCAACCTCGTAAGCTCTTGGGAAAATTCACCAGGGACTTGAACGTACAGGGCCCTTGACACGACGAAAGAGGCGGGCTAGGAACGACATGAGTGCTGCTAGTCCGAAGTCACTGTCCCGCACCCCGGCGAAGCAGTGGACATTAGCGCCACGACTGGCGATCTGTTATCCACCCTTTCGGAGTTTAAATGAGCTCTGACCTGGAAAACGACGTATTCAAAACGCGTAGATAGGCGCTTGAGATCGACGCGCGTCGAGACGCGAGACGCGTCATCCCGTGAGCACTGTCCTTCTCCACATCCATCCTCCTCCACTACTCCGTTCCGCGAACTCTTGTCGCTCTCGAAAACCAACCATGGCCGACGTTGAAATGAAGGCCGCTGACGGCAAGAAAGAGAAGAAGGAGGAGAAGCCAGCCGAAGAGGAGAAGAAGCCTGTGCCGCTCACGCCTGTGGCTGAAATCAAGGCTAACGTCGTGCTCATCGAGGGGGCGGTTTCGACGCTCGAACCTCGCTTCACGCACCGCGTCCTGAGGTCACTGGCCCATCTCAGAAAGAAGCTGGATGAGAAGGTTTTGAAGGATGCAACTTTGGAAGTATATACCAACGGTAAGCCTGCTCTCCAGCATCCCTGCGCCCCAACCCCATGGTCTGACCGCATCCTGCCCTCAGAATCTGCCTCCAAGACTGCTTTGCTGTCATGGCTATCACCCGGAACTACGGACCATTCCATGGACATCGACCCTGCACCTACTGCCAAACAATCCCAGCCTGAACCTGTCCCCGAGGTCGAAGTTTACTTCCGACTGCTCATCATCCACTATCTTCTCACCTCATCCGACAACTACGCAAAAGCCGCCAAGCTGGCCCACGAGACCGTGGAGAAGATGCAGGCGTTGAACCGCCGAAGCATGGACCCTATCGCGGCGAAGGTGTGGTACGCGGTGGAACGCACATATGAGCTTGGTGGGGAGTTAGCAGACGCTCGTCCGTGAGTTCCACATATGTTCTCCACTGGAGCCCACATGTTGACGCATTCACCGCGTAGTATGTTCCTTGCGGCACAACGGACAGCTGCCCTGCGTCACGATGACGAAACGGAGGCGTCCCTCATCAACAGGATCTTGCGGAGCTACTTGCAGTACAGCCTGTACGACCAAGCGGACAAGCTCGTGTCAAAGACATCGTTCCCGGCAGCTGCTGGCAACCCACAGCACGCGCGGTACCATTACTACCTCGGGCGCATCAAAGCGGTCCAGCTCAACTACACGGCAGCGCATACAAACCTTCAGCAGGCCATTCGTCGGGCCTCACCGGCCAAGACTGCGCCTGGTTTCTTCCAGGCCGTCCACAAGCTGTCCATCGTGGTGGAACTCCTCATGGGCGACATTCCAGAACGTAGTTTGTTCCGACACCCCGTTCTAGTGAAGGCTCTGGCTGGGTATTTTGAGATCGTGAAAGGTTTAGTCTGTTCCCCGCTCAACTCCATCTGTCTCGTCTTGACGTAATCCTATGAACAGCGGTCCGCAATGGATCCCTTTCGCAATTCCAAGCCACTCTCTCGCGATACGCGGCTCAGTTCGAATCAGACAAGACTTACACACTCATCGTCCGCCTGCGTCAGAACGTCATCAAGACCGGTATACGCCGACTCTCGCTGTCGTACTCGCGCATTTCGCTCAGGGACATCTGCGTCAAGCTCCACCTCGACTCGGAAGAGGACGCGGAATACATTGTGGGCAAGGCCATCCGCGACGGCGTCATCGAAGGCCGCATTGTCCACGAGAAGGGGTGGATGGAGTGCGGTGGGCAGAAGAGCGGATATGGCCCTGAGGTGTCGGACGTGTTTTCTCGCCGCATCGCCTACTGCTTGGAGTTGCACAATCAGAGTGTCAAGGTGAGTGCGTGGTTATTGCTCGCGCCCTTCCTCGCCTTCCCTCTGCCTCGCGCTGCCGATGTATTCCCGCGCTGCGTACGCTGTCTGCACCCGACCGCCGCATTCCACCTTCCATAGGATGGACACAGCGGCCTATTGGTAGCGCAGGAAACGCATCCAATCAGGCTCTGTCGTCTGTCCTCCTTCAAGCTTCCATTCCCGTTGCTGTCCATGCCGTTCAATCTGCCAGGTGACGAACCTGCAGACGCGAACGCCGAACGCGCTACTATCCCTCTACGATCCGCGAGTGGTTGGCTCGAACTCGCCACTTGACGCGTCCATGAAGGCGGCTTGTCAAATGCCCTCGCCGCTGTCCCTTCATTTCGTCCGTCTACGTCGGACGTAGTGGCTTCGGTCTTTCTCTTCAGATTTCCTTTCTCGCGGTTTGATATGTTATGTCATTTTTCCGTTGCCCCACATCTTCTGTCCATGGATCCTCTGTCAGGACAACCCCAATGAACTGACCATCATCCTACAGGCCATGCGATACCCACTCAACGCTCATCGCAAGGAGCTCGCCGCCGCGGAAGGCGCACGCGAGCGCGAGAAGGAGTTGGCGAAGGAGATCCAGGAGGGCGGCGACTTGGACGACGATGGCCCGGATCTGGGCGACGGGTTCTGAGGACCTCACTGCGGTCCAGGGTGCACTCGTGGTTGAGAGACGCCCTGGAGGTGGTGTGTACTTATATATTGTGGGCACGTGGGAAGAATAGGAGAGCCATGGCGCACCATATGGACGACAAGTTTACTCCCACTTCAACTACACACATCTATCGGGATGTTTACCTGTGGCCTAACAAAGCTTAAGACACCGCCGATTGCAAGGCGACGGCGACTATCTCGTTGTCGGAGTACATTTACATAAGTAGGGCGACGGCGCTGACTACGCCAGGGTTGCTGCGAGGCTGTCCTCTTCCTACGTGCGCATAAAAGGCGTCGGCACTCAATCCCTCATGACCGACGTACCGCGCTCCACCACAATCTGGAAACGCCGCGCCACCGCGTAAGCTGTCGGGGGAGGGCCGAGGCCGATGCGTGAGATCAGAGTCGAAGTGGACGCGAGGGCGCCGTGCACCGGTGTGCGCGGTCAGGCCCACAAGACTAGTTGGCCAGGGTGTGCTGCGTATGTGTTGATGCTGCCCATGGATGCACAACTTTGCGCCTCGAGGAACTCGGGGGTGACCGAATGGGACTCAGATCAAGGACATCCGACTACAAGGAAGTTCATCGGAGGAGGCGAATCTCGAGTTGTAAATCCGGTCGAACTCGTGGGAGACTCGAGTGGGATGCACACAACGGCATACTCACATCCGGAGGCCTCGGGTTCGGCAATTGTTGTCTTTGTGAGCACGCGGAGCGTCTGCCGTGTGCAGCGCTATTTGGTCATTCGGCGTTGACCACAACCGTCAGAACGTTCTGAGCCCAACCTCAAGGCCTTATACCCGATTCTCCCGGAAGACGTCCACCACCACCTTCCAAGTAGCACCAAGTTGTAGGGTATGGTATTCCTGTGTTGAAAACACCACATGCTATGGCCGTGCTCCCAATGGCAGCTCAGTGTGGTCTTCCGACGTCGCGTTGGTAGCCCTTTGTCCAGTCCCATAACTGGAGAAAGCGGCTCCTGGAACGCTCCGGGGTGTGATCCGTGGCTGTTCGTGCGGCGCAGTCTCATGTATAGACCATAGTTGACACTCCCGTTTCTCGCGAGAGAGATACACTTCCGGAGACCTCAGCACTGGGATAAACGGATGCGTCGTTTGCGTGACTCGCAGCATCGAGGTCAGATCGAAGAGACACGAGATCATATTGGCGGTTCGCCTGGGAGGATATCCACGACCGTATACGTTTGGGAAGAGGAAAGTTGTTATAGAGATAGATTAGTAGAGAGCAACAATTAGATGATCATGCCTCAAGGAACCTTGGACCGTTTCGGTGCAGCAGAAGGATGGCGGGTTCCTGGAGGCACGCAGACGTCCTCACAGCCGGACACAAGAAAGGAAGGTCGGGGAGCACTGGTTCAAGTGTGATATCCTGGACTAGAACAAGGGGCGATAGATGGTTTCCGAACAAATGTGCTTACTTCGTGAGCGCGAGAATGTCGACGTCGACAGATGGGTGCGAAAGTAGATTTCAGGGTCTTCACGCAGATATCATGCCTTTAGCTAGGACGCCCTGCCTTCTTCCCTCCTCCAGCTACAGCCTGTGTCGTTTTCCCCTTCCACTCGTACTTCTCATCCAGATCATCATCGCTGTCGTAGATCGTGAGTGGGCAGGCCACGTGGAAACAGAACCATAGCCGTACCTGACGGGGGACAAAAGCTCGGATGGACTTCGATCGGGAGTGGTCGAGGGGGCGGCGATCGATGAGACAGACGCAGTGGCGAGACGAGACAAGACTTCGGCTCACTCGGCATCAGGTTCGGCAGTAGCAGCAGTCGTAGTCAAAGTGGGCCGCCCTTCACTCGCAGCAGAAGCCGTGCTACGAGGTCGAGGGCGGAGGGCGCAAAGCGAAGGCAGAGAGTAAGCGAGCGGTGGACGTTCGGAGCCTAGAGCTGGATAACGAGGGACAGCCAGGTAGATACGTACAGCTCGGGCTTGCCAGCAGCCAAGTGTTCGGCTTGAGAGTGCTCTGAAGAGGAGACGGACATGGGGGAAGTCACAGGTGGAGGTGCACGAAGGGGCTATGAGGGGCTATGCTTCAAGCCTGTGCCTTCGATCGGAGACTAGTAAGCACCGGTCACGGTCACATAGTCACACCCGATGTGATCTTCGTAGCCTGTGGGCGTCCCGTCCGGATCTGGATCTATACTGCAACCGCCACCGCATACTGAGACCAATAAAGAGCGCGACGTCGAGATGCCCTGCCCAGCACTCCCTCCCGTACTCTGCACTGCTCGATGCCGTCCTCCGAGGTCAACCATTCTCATAAGCGTTCTGTACTTCTCTCGAAGATGGCTCTCCCCACACGTCTTGTCCCTTCTCCACCTTCTGAGACCACCCGCTACGAGCCGGCTCTGCAGAGGTCTGCACGTTCGCCTTAGTGTTTTGTCTTGACGCTGAAATTGTTCTATTGAACAGAGTAGTCCCGGATTTCGTCAAGATCACGCCCGGGCTGTTTTCCTTCGTGACAGAGGCGGAGTACGCATCCAACGCCACTCCGCCTGTTGATACTTGGCTGACTTTATCATAGACCTCCCTACCTTCCAGAGGGATGGACAATGCATGTTCAAGCAGAGGGCAAGCCGTATTACGCCTGCGAAACATCTCCGAGGGTGGTCACGGAGGACGATGTGGCTCACCCCGACATCCGCGGGAAAGTCCTCCGCGCCATTGACGCGGTCCGGGAGGAGATGGCTATCCAGAATGTCTCTCTTCCCGACTCGGCGGAGCTCTGCCTCCGGATCAAGCCTGACGCGCCTGAAGACGATGACTTCCGCGCTCAGGAAGTGTGCGAGTACTACTTCGCCGATCACGCCGCGCACGTCGTTTGGTGGCTGCACGAAGTCGACAGCGAAACTGTTCTGTTTGACATGGGGATCGTGTCCGAGTCCCACCTTCGTACGTCCTGCCTCGGTCTTCCCTTCGACCGGACTACGCGCTAACGCACCTGACAGGGATGGGACTTGAGAGCCAATACTGGAGCCACATCGAACAGTTCAGTGCCCACAGAATCGAGAGGCTGCACCTGGCAATCGACGAGCTCATCGCGGTCTTTGTGCACGGCGAAGCAGATCAGCGCACTTCAATGACCTCTTGCTTCCCCTACACTTCCGACCAGTGCAAGCACTTCATCCGTATCCTGGGCAACGCCAACACCTTCCCCCAGCAAACCACCGGCCTCACGGTCATCGCTCGGATGTGGTGCAACATCGGTGGGCAACGACAGGTTTCCGAACCTTCGACACATCTGACGGTAGATGCACGTAGCCACCCACAGATTCCAAACGATGTACGGACAGTGCTCTGCACGCCTCGATCGTCACCAACGCATCCTCGAAGACTCCCCGAATCCGCAACGAGGCATGCTATTTGGCGCTGCCTCCCGCCTGCTGTTCAACATTCCCGCTCAATACGCCGCGAAGTTTGATCATATGTACACAGACGGGATCATCTACGGCTACGTCTTCCGCGACTTCCTCTGCGAAACGTACGATGAGTGGGCTCAGCACCTGACCTGGGTACGTCCTATTCTTCTCCTGCGGACGGCTCGGATCCTTACCTTCGCATTTGTCTTGTATAGTCACTTGGGATGACCACGTGAGTTCCCCGCATCTCAGCATTCCAGAGCGTCCCGCTGACCACCCTTGTAGTGCCAACGTCCTCTTCACCATTAGCCCGCGCGCCTCGCCCGAGCTCGCCGCCGCATCTCTCCTCTGCTGTGCTCTCGCCATCGCGACCGCCCTCGCGCTCATGTCCCGCCACACCAACCGGCGCACCTATACTGCGGGCCAGGCTGTGCGTCCTGCTTTTGTTCCGCGTTCGTCGTCGCGACTGACCCCGCCCCGCCCTTCCCTTTCCATAGCAACCCATCTGCGCGACGAGCTCGCAAGAGGACAACGCCCGCCTCGCCATCGCGTGGGCGTTCCCTCGCGCCGCCTTCCTCTGGGCCGCTGCGCTCGCGACCCTGCAGGCGCCCTTGTTCGTCGCGCGCGCGTTCGGACTCGAGGCGCTCGCGGGGGTGCTCGTCTTCGCCTTCCTCGTGTCGCGCCCGTGGGTGCGCTGGGCCCTGGATGCTCGGGCTTGGTGGTCCAACTTCACTTCGAAGCCCGAGGCTGAGGTGGAGGAGGCGGGGGACATCAAGAGCCCGAGCGAAATGGTGTGAGACTCGGAGGCGTGCTGCGGGGCTTCGCCGGACCGGGTATGCGGTGTCGAGACTGGGAGGCACCTGCCTAGGTCCGACAGCACGCGAAACACGGGAAGGCTGGCAGTGACAGTGTCACTGGTATGTGCGGCAAAATGATTCCGGAGCCGCAAAGCCCGGACGAGTTTCTTCTGTTCTCGGGGGACTTACGGACTAGGACCAGTGATGACTGATAGATACCAGGTTACTATAAGACTCTATGTACAGTATAACCATATGTTTTGCTTTCTCCCCGTCTCGATCGCGCAGCCTAGAATACCTCGGAGACAACAGTGGGTTGTATGTACCCTACTACTGGGCCACAATGACAACTTGTTTCGTGAGTATCCACAATGAGCTCCGTGTCACGCCGTCAAAATTCGTGTGAATCACCAAGCACACAAAATTGGTTGACAGTTCCGGGCGTCAAGGAGTTTACGTTTGCAGCCCCGTGGTGTACGTCCCAGAACCTTTCGAAGTTTCGTTATACGTTGTTTGCCAGATCTGTCACGCATTACGGTCACAGCCCACTCGGTCGCTCAATTCGACACGCAGAGGCCACATTTGCGTGATTCTGTGGCATCTCTCCGACAAATGGCCAGGTTCTCTCTGGATGTGGACGAGGCTGAACGCAGCGGCAGTTGTGGCATGAATGTGTCCCAATTTCGAGCGGAGCGCCCATCTGGATAACTCGAGCGTCACATATGTCTTATGCACAGTAGGTTTGGATATCTTGATACCCATAACATCCACAATTCGTACGCGGTGTGGACGCAATAGCGGAGATACTGTATACACTGTAGCGCTCCGGATAGCCAGAAATACACATCCAGCCTGCACCTAGGCTCAGCGCTCAGCAGGCGCGGCCCCGGCCCAGATCGTCTGGATACTACTTCTAGACATCCGTTGACACGCCGAGTCCGCACCGAGTCCTGCAAGTATTCGCGGGTCCGCACCGCTGGAGATCCTCCCGGACTGGAGCGGCGAGCCTCGAATATGGGTCCAAAGTTTTACAATGCGGAGGCTGTGGCAAATTAGTCTTGAACTTACCGGAGCTTAAGGAAGCACCGGCGCTTCAGGGCGCCGGAGCTGCCCCACAGGACTCCACAGCAACAGCACGGAGGATGCTGCGTCCGTTGGGTGCCTTGGAGCATTACGGGTGAACGTTCACTGAAGTTCAGGCGTGCGCATCTGGACAGGCTTTAGCTGGAGAGAGGTGGTGCGGGGTGCATCGGGAAATACCTAGGTGAGCGCTCCGATGAGAGATGAACGGTTCGAGGATCGGTCATGAGCAACGTCAAACTTGCATGGAGCGAGCCGCACCCGCCGAGTCAGGGTGTACGAAAAGGCAGATGCTTTTCGGACATTTGCACAGTTGGGCTAGTCGCGTGTCAGCAGCGAGGCTTGGTTTGGCCGCCGCGGAGGCTGCTTGAACCATGCATCCTAGCCGCTTACTATGTAGAGCCCGAACACCGGCTGTGCCAAGGGGCGAAAATTTTCCCTTCTGGACGGCAGAAGCTGTCAGAACACTGGTTTCATGGAGTACTTACTTGCCTTCCGAGCCGTCCATGCGTGAGTGGCGTACCAGTGCAGCTTGTCGACCAATGGTGAACCGAACGGCGAATGGTGTCGGAATGAGGGCCGAATGGCGTCGGAATGGGGAACGATTGCGTTTCGTAGGGGAACGAGGGCGGCGTATGCGCTGTGCGAAGGCCGAGTCAGCGGCTTCGAGGCGAATAAAGGACTAAAGAAGGAGAGAACAAAGGGAAGAAGCAACGTCGTGGGGACGAAGCCTCTGGTATCGACTTGGAGAACAACACGACAGGGCTACTCACCAAAAGAGCGTGTCCCCCTCGGAGAAGCAGGCAAGTACAGGCATGAAAGGATATGCCGATGCGCCAGCTGAGTCCTGCTTTATGAGATCCCTTGTGGCGGAACGCTTCTGTATGTTCGGCGATAAGCTTGCAGAGCGTCGAAATCCACAAGTCTGTGCGGCTCATGGAGCCGGAAAAAGAGATTATGTGGGCATTCTCCTCTTTGTGGTCCCGTGGAGATCGAGATGTGAGGCGGACCGTATCCGCTTGCCTCCGTGAGGCGATGTTGTCGGAGGAAATTTTCACTGTGACAGTTTTTTGAGGAAAATATTTGCGTGACTCACATCGATAGTAGGAGTACAACCCTCTGGTGTGCGGCCCATTGACGTTCAGCTTCTGGAAAATAGGTGCCACTTCGAGGGGGTTTCCCCGCTGCACCGCATCAAGAACTGGCCTTTGTCCCTATTGTGGATCCAGAGATCTGAAAACAGTTATATGAGTATTTGGGTAGACGTCACACGTGCCATCATGATTCATAGTGGCCAGTGCATAGGCCTGAAGAGACGACATGGGCCCGCGATCGGAGCCATCCACGGTGAGTCTGATTCGTTCTGTTGATTGACATCGGAACACGCATATCGGCACCAGGAAGAAAGGCAGCCGAGAGTCCTCAAAAGCATTGCCTCGAGGATTCCTGATTCAGCAGGATGTGGTAGTGTGTTTACGATATCTCCGTGAGTTGTCAAAATGGAGCGCTCACCTTGAGCCTCTCGCCTCCAAGTCTTGTCATCTATCGTGTGGCATCAGCTGGGAACGAACTAGCGGCCAGGAAACAAGCGGGTTCTGGTCGTTGGTACCCGGGGTCGTTGTTGTGTTCGTGACTAGCGCAACGACGGAGTAGAACAAGAAGGCGATCGGAGCATGTGTCGCCAGCTCGGGCGTCTCCTTCCCACGCCTCTGAGATCTGAGTGACACTGCGGTTGCAGTCGAACGAATTCCGCCCACCATCTCGACTCTCTCCCTCCCTCCCTCTCCCCTCGTACCGTCAGCGACGTCTCTTGTTTCTTCCTCGCCTCGCTTTAGCTCAACCGCTTTGTTTGCACCCACAAAGTCATCCGCACACAGTCTGTATGCCATCGTCAATTCAACCAACGACACCTTTTGATCTGCAGTATCACCCGGTCAGCTATCTCCACGACACCTGTAGGAGCTGTCGGCATCCTTGTACCAAAACTCAGCGCTCAGGACGCTCTCATGAATGGGTGAGTCTTGGCATCTTGTGGCACCCAAGCCGTGACTTGTCCACCGTGCTTTGGGCGAGATATTCATCCCAAGCAAGCTACACGCCTGAGGCTGGCGTGACCAAGTTCAGCCTTTGGGATGTGTCCTTCTGAGACAAGGGCGAAAACTCACACTTTGGCCTCCAGAATGCTAACTCGTCACGGGAATCCTCTCTCCCTGCCCCACGTCGAACCTTAATGTGATCATCGGTGAACTTTCCGCACAGCGAGCATCCTTGGAACTCACATACCAATCGAAGATAAGAAACTACTCGGTCGTCGTCCATATGGTGGTATGATCAAGGGTTGCTGCCAACACCGAAGGTGGTCGGATGTCCTGGTATGTCCACGTTGCTCCCGAGTATTTCGCATACAGCCAGATCGGCGCCGTCCAGCATGCTCCTCGTCAGTAGTTGCATGGTGGTACGGGTACGGTATGGACCTTGGGCCCTTGATGATACGGCGGTGTAGATTCAAGGGCCTCTCGCTATGCAACAGCACAGTGCCTCGCTGAAATGGGTCACCTGCGACCTGGCTAACCACTGCATTGGATGCGGGGGTTAGCTAGGTTACGCCGCGCTGCACAGGGTGCGAAGCAGACTAGTCGCGTCTTCTCTGCACACCCGCACGGTCCAGAACGGCTCCATCTGGAGTGCTCTTGCATGCCTGTGGGGTTGAGAGGCGCAATCGGATGCAATCGGCATCGCTTGCGCCCGCATTGAAACGCCGGCGAGACGTGGGTGACAATGTGACCTAGCTCTGCTTGATATTCTGGAAACCGCCGAAGCCGCTTGTCGTCGCGCGGTGCGGCGGGACCCAGGGACGTTCTCGGCACCGCCGCCGAACAGAACGGTACTGCACTGGCATCGCAGGGCCTGCCGCCTCAAGAGAGGAGGCGACAGTAGTAGAATAAACTCTCGGCTGTCGGACCGTCAACACGCCGTTGCCACGCTTACTAGGCAGGTTTTGTGCGCATGGGACTTGTCGGCTTATCGTCTAGACTTTGGTCGTGAGATAGGCGTCCATGCCCAGTAGCAACGTGCGTTTGAATCATGTTTTTGGTCCACCATGCTCCCGCTCGGCTCCAGAGGCACCCCAGACCGACGGGGTACTTTATGTAACAATTACCGAATACCATCCTGTGCTTTCTGGATATAGTTTGCACAACGTTGTGGGCCTGCGCCCATAGTTGTAAACAATGCCTTTTTGACATGATGTCCTCTATGACCGCAACGTCTCGGCTTCGCACGGGTCGAAGCACCTCACTATCGTATCCCATGTCTGCGGTCAATTACATATCTGATTAAACGTGAGCAATAACGCTTGAACTAGACACCTCGTAGCCAGTGCTTCATCTTGTCAACTCTGACACGAAGAACGCTCATGTAATTGAAAAGCAAGAATGTACAATATAAGAAGCACGCGCTACTCAGCACGTCAAGCGTCCTCTCGGTATCCTCGAGGTGGCCATACTACGCCGACGGCGACTACGGACCACCGTCCCCATACCATTCCACGTCGGTAAACCACTTCGCCCTCTCTGGTTCCGGCCGCGACTCTCGTTCCGAGTCATCTTCCCCGCGCGCGTCCCAACCCTGCGCCCGACTGGACCCATCGCCCTCCACAGCATTCGCAACCTCGGATTCCGGAACCGCTCCATAGGCTGCGCCGGGCATGCGCGAGTCCCGGTGCACCGGCTCGCGCGGACCGAGCGGAGGTCCCAGTCTCCCGCGCGCGATCGCGAGCTGCAGCGAGTTGAGCGGGCCCCCGGCCGCCTGCGCGGCGAGCCCCGCGCCGCCAACGGGGGGCGACGACGGACCCAAGAGCGTCGCGCCCGCGTCGTCCGAGAGCATAGGCGGGCTCCCTGCGGGCGCGGGCGCGAGCGAGGCGCCCAGTCCCGTGTTAATCCCGATTCCGATCCCCATGCCACAGCCCGTCCGTGCGGGCGCAGGCAGACGTGTCCTCGCCGCCGCCGCCGCCGCCCCTTCGCTCTGGTACAGCACCCACGCGTGCCACATCTCCGGGGATGCGGGCGTGCGCACTTGAGGCGACGGGCGCTCGACGGGTGGGGAGCGGTGCGCGTTCTCGGCATTCGCGCGGGGCGCAGGGCGCGAGGCGTGGAAGCGGCCTGTGGGGGAGGGCCCGGGGAGGGGAGGGGAGGGAGAGGCGTTGGGGGCTGACCCGGCCCCGGGAACTGCGGCGCGGTGCGCGGCGCGGGGGACGCGCACGCTCGCGAAGGGCGTGAGGCGTGCGGTGTGGTGCACACTGCCGTGCGTCGCGCGGGTGGAGGACGGGCTCGCGCGCTCGTCCAGGCCGACGTCAGGGGAGAAGCCGGGGACCGAGATCATGGTGGAGAGCGAGCAATGCGGGGAGGAGATCGAGGACGTGACGAGGGTACGCGAGAGGGTGCTCGAGCGCGCAGTGACTGTGCAGCAGGGGCAGCCGCACGGGACGCTCGGGTCCGCACCGCGCACGCACGTTGTGCTCCGCGCGCGCGGGCGGAGGTGAGTTCCAACGGTGAGGGGCTGTGGGGACGTGACAATGGGCGAGTCGGCGGAGGAGGCGAAGGTGGATGGGTGGAAGGAGTGCCAGGAGTAGTCACGGGAGGGAGCGAAGCTGATCGCCGTATTACTACAATCCGCCGCGAGCTGGTTGATCCCGTGGTCTAGCGCGCGTGTCTTGCGGCGCGTGTGCCAGCGGCAGAGGAGGACGAACGTGGCGAGGAGCGACACGCCGACGAGGATCGCGCAGGCAGATGCGGCGTAGAGGAGGACGGAGGGGCCGTGAGGCATCTTGAATGGCGGAAGAGCGACAGAACTTGATAGAGAAGGCGGATGGCTGGCGCAAAGCAGCAAGCAGGGCTACTCCAATGCTCGAGAAGACCGGCGGCTGACTGGCGGGGCAGAGGCTTGCAGAGTTTTGGAAAAGACTGGCTCCGCCTGCGCTATCGGCACAGATGGTGTTATCCGTGCCCTACTATAATCAGCTGACTGGACACTGTGGACCTCATTATACGGTAAGACTCACCTCAAGGCTGATTCAATCTATATTGAGTGCAAAGATTACTCTAGACATAGGTCGGTGGAATACAACGACAAAAAATGAAACAACCTCCTTCAAAGTTGATGTGGACACATCTGGGCGATTATCGACAATACGAAGGACCAATTTCTTGAGACTTGCGAAGCGCTCGACCGCTTGCGCGAGGTCAGTCCAACAGGGCATGTCGAACGAAAGTCGGTCACCATCAGACACGGCTTGAAAGTAGAATTCGAGTTCCTCCAGGTTGAAGGCGACACTGGGAAGCACGTCGTTGGCGAGCATCCCGAGAATGAAACGATTGATTGATAAATCCACTTGATCAGCATGCACAGCGATGTTGGACTTGCAGCGGAAGCGGTGCAGGCTGGGCAGAGCCTGTACAGCGCTTTGAACGTCGGAGGGATTGTGGTGCTCTGTCAACAACCGCGTCAGGGTGCTTGGTAAAGACACGGGAATATCCACTTACGGAAGCAAGTGATCCCGAAGTCGATGATGCTGGGGCCGACATTCACAAGCATCCATTGGAGTGACTGCATGTAGAGGTTTCCATCGTCTTGGAACGTCAAGGAGCGCGTTGTCGCGGACGTTAGAAGTCGAGCAAGAGAGTAGCATAGTAGCGGTACTGGGTACGCTATGAATCAGCTGGATGCTCAAGGCCCGGATGTCGTATGAGGGTATAGTGCGCTCGAGAGGCCCTTCTGGCACCAGTTGGTCGTCGAGGTCCGAGTCATTCGGGTACAACTTCATTGTTGGGGTCCAACGTACATCCGCACGGTCGACACGGAAGACGGCGAGCAAAGACAGCAAAGGGATCATCCCCACCGCGCAATCCAGGATGAGGAAGTCCTCAAGATGCCATCGAACTGGCGAAGGTGGTCTTGGCATCCGATCACCCTGTCGTGGAGGTTCAACGGAGAGCCTCTGTAGACGCAGATATCGAAGACTTGGGAGGCACCCGATAATGTAGAGAAGACGATCGGTCGTGATGAAGCATTGGCTACCGGTGTTCGGCCAGACACTTGGACCAAGAGTAAGCCTTTGAACATGAGGAGAGATATGGATATTGATCTCGAAGAAAGTCTTGAGAGACTTGAAGTTACTTATCCTTGTGAGAGCGTGCATCGATTGCGGAGAAGAGACGGAGACCGACGACCTGCCTCCAGCGACGGCATAGCAGAGAACAGGTTGCGAGAGCGACTGTCGAGTCGTTGAGGTAGTCGGCAATGCAAATCAAAAGCTCTGTCGGAAGGTGTTCCATGAGAGCTTGAAACGATGTCCGTAAGCACGCTGCAGCCGCACTGCCGGCGGTGCGCCGGCCAGCCTTACTCGGAGCATAAAACTTTAATCGGCGATAACGGCTTTCCCAATCGGAGTGTGAACCTCATTGCTGGACTTGAATCCGAACGTGTATGTGACATTGTAACATCCTTGCCATAGACTATCGCCGCAACTGACAAGAATGCCGACGAAGAAAGTACAGGACCTATTCAATGGCATCCCCGCCCTCAGGTAGCCCATCGTCTTATGTCGATTATGGCCATACGTACTACACGCCCGCATCTAATCCGTTCGAGGCACGGGCATCTCACTGCATTCCGACAAGAGATACTAGTAGAGCTCAAACAAACAGAAGTCGTGAAATAGACGCGCCGACTGGTCATCAACCTCCTCAAATACAGTAAGCGTGTCTCTACTGAGGTCGACGCCGTCGCGCACATGGTCGGCGCAATACTCAGACTGTAGGACTTCCGGCATGTGACCCTCAACGGCCTCACCGGGCTCTTCACACACTCATCCGAGCCTCCAGTGTCCGTGGCCGCCGCGCCGACACCTCCAGAAGGCGCACACACCCTCGAACGCCGCCTGCTGCAAAAATTGGGCCCAAGCATGTCATTTTCGTTAGATCTTGGGGACAGCGCCAGAGTCAACCCCCTCCGATCGCACTCTTCTCCGACATTGACGACGCGCACCTCCTTCGCTTCCCCACAAGACTACTCGCTCTCTCAAAGCCAACCTTGGTCTGCCAAGCACTCGGTTTTCTGCCTCCGGATCGAGGCTTAGGTCGCCGGATCGCCTTCTACGCGCCGTCAGTTAGCTATGTGCCTGTCCGTGGTCCGAGAGCTCTCTCTCGGAGTCTGTCTCCACCACACATCCTTCACATCCTACCTCCCGCGTTGTCAGCCGTGTGGGCCGAACCGGAACAAGCAATGGTTCACAGCCGTGCGCCTCGTGGAGGCTTCCGAGGCGCGGTCCTCGAAGACGAGGGGGTTAGAGGTGACCGCTCTAGGTGTAGTGAGTGTAACGCTTTATGTTTTGAGCCCGGGCATAGCTGGCGTCTAGGGTCCTTCTACAGTGGGAAATGATCAACCAATATCTCCGTGGGTTTCACGATGAAGCGAAGGGAGAGAGGCGACTGGTACGTGGGGGAGGGGGAAATTTTACGCCCATGTTCGTCAAGCAACACTGCAGGAAGAATATGTACATCCGAGATCTTCTTCATAGTATTAGTTGTTCTCAAGTGGCGAAATTCACACCTGTAAAGTTTGCTGGAGACCGTCGAAAATCAAGTCTTTCTGCATCGAGGATTGATTAATGCCCCACTGACACTTCGGCGAAAATACGAAGACGTCGCTGCCTTTACAGATCACTCCAAGCGACCACATCAGTTTGATGACAAAAAAACAGGGCCCACCGTGGTTCGAACACGGGACAACACGATAAGCTGATCAGGAGTATCTAATCAAGCTGCAATCGTATACTCTACCACTGAGCTATAAGCCCTTAGAGCCACAGATATGGCGTAAACACATGACTAGCCCTTAAAGTCCCTGAATACGAAGTTGCCGCAGTTGCAGCTTGTGGCATGGCACGCACTTACAGCTGCGGCTTGCTCTTCCACTACCACCACTTGCTCCTTCCGATGCCACCCTCGAAGCGATCACGACCAGCAGACTGCAACGGTCATTCGAAATCTACTCCGGAATGTTTCATCGCTTCTGTTCCGCTGGAGATCCTGGCAGAAATGCTGTCTTACACTGTGTCTCCACGAGACGTACTTGCCGTTGCGCGCACTTGCAAATACTTCTGCGCGGCACTGGTGAACAATCCTTCGACAACATTCATTTGGCGACAAGCCCGCGCCCGTTGTTTACCCAAGCCCATACCCGATTTTCCGTCTAACTTCACAGAGGCATCGTTCGCTGCGTTCCTCTTTGACCACAAAACATGCGACGTACGTGTACTCTCACTTCCGAATCGCCTTGCTCATATGGCGACCAGGTCTGTGGCGACCGAGTGAGGGGCATGTATCGCTCGTTCTCGCTCCGAATCGTGGTTTGTAGCAAGGTGTGATCTGATATACATCGCGCATATATGCATGGAGGTTAATCCTTGCACACGCAGCAAGCATGTCAGGGCGCATGGAAGTACGTTCCTTTGCTTCCTATATGCGCATTCTACCCCCAGAGAGCTTATGCCGCCTAGGGAACATCTCCTGACTCGAATCCAAGAGGATACATCTGCTACAGAATTTCTGAATTGGATGCCTCGCCTGGAGTCGGACAATGGTGCGTTTCACACACATACCACTCTGCATTCTTTCCGTGTCTTTCGCGGTTTAGTGCCAGACTCACATTGGTGCTTCCGCAGAATACCCTTGAACGTTCGAGGGGCCCTCGTGCGCACAACAGAGTGGGGAAGGCACAGTTGGCCATGAAGACCGCTTTCGAGCTAGGAAATGTCGCTTTTGAAGCTTATTTGCATAGTAAACAGATCTTGGCGGATGCCCTTCCAGCAAAAATCGAGGTGAGTAGCAACCGAGCACGCGTCGTCAAAGCTTCATGTATACGTCTCCATCCAGTTCTATCGAAAGATCCGGGCATGGGGCATGGAATATGAGCATTGCCGCGCCAGAGTTGTTGCCGAAAACTGGACCGTGTATTATGTTTTCCGCTCCTCTCTGTTACTTCTACTGACGCTATTATAGAGCGCAAAGCTTCGCCTCATCAATTCACGAAGATGTAAATGACGTCATTCGCACGGCGACTTTCCGCCTTCTACATGACTCAAAATGCCGCTCTCTCCAGCGCATCACCGATGAAGGTATGAGTAATAGGTCCTGTTTGGTTCTCGAGCCCAGCTAATCCCGAGAAGATCTTTCCCCGATCAGAGATATCGTCGAAACCGAAGTCGCGGTGGGCAAAGCGAAGAGTGAACAGCGCATCATTGACGTCGCTCAGCAAGTGCGTCACAATCAGATCAAGACGAAGCGTAAGAAGATCCAATCGTCTCAGCCCGAGGATCGTCCCGTCCTTCCCAGCGTCAACGAGTTCCGACGGCTGCCAATCATCAAGGTATTCGAAACCACACATCCAACTCCCTCAAGCAACGACGGTCAATCCAGCAAACCTAGCAACCCGCGTACGCTCGATGACCCATTCGTCAACGCCGTCCTCGAGGAGAACCTTGACCAGTGGCGCCAGAGTGCCCGCGCGTCACTCGCATCGGTGCTCGGTTTTCCAACATGGCGCAACTTGAGCAAGCGCAAGTTGCACCCAGTGGATCGCCTCACCGCTCGGTTCCGGTGCCGACGTTGCGATGATAGCCGTGCAACGAAAGCGACCAAACTGAAGACAGCTTCGGCCTCTTCCTCTTCATCGTCCACGACAGCACATGCGATCGGTACAACTGACGGCGGGATGGACTTCACGGAGGCATGCGGGCACACGTGCGCACATCTGAGGAAGAAGAAGAAGTTGGCGAAGGACCGCTGGAGTGCAGAACGATTTGTGGCCGATCAGAAGGTCAATGTCTGTTCTTGTTCTGTAATCCTCGCGCGTGCGTGGGGGTAAAGATCCGGTGTCGCTGATCGCGGATGATCCGCTTTTTGCAGGCCGTCGATGCGATCTCACAGGCGTTGTCGTTGTGCAACACCGAGCCAGACAGTATCGATTCGATCAAGATCGCGCGCGAGTTGGGGGACCGTCTGCAGTGCCAGTCCTGCCACCTCGTTATGGACGTTGCTAGCGTGGTGGGTGTTCCTCCCGCCTCAGTGATCAACGTATGTATGTGAACTACGACATTCTTTCGCTGCTAGGGCCGCCACTGCAAGCGTCATGTAGACGGAAGCTTCATCCTACTTGCATTTGGTGCGACGGCGAACCCACCGCTCGAGCACGGGCTGTCGCAGCGCCTTATCAAGGACTCCGCCGCGAAAGCCGAATGCGACGAGAAGGTGTTTATCTGCCGTCACTGTGAACGCCTCAACGCGAACGAAACGCGTCTGTTCTCGTTTAACGGGATGCGCTCGCACCTGAAAGAAAAGTACGTTTTGTCCTTCCATTCGTGTGCCACGACGTTCCCAGTCGCTGAACGACACCCCGCCCCGTCGCCGTTTGCAGACATCTTATCGCGCCAATTGCCGACGAAGACTTCTTCCGTCAGAAAGGCGCGCCCGTCGCCGACGCCCCCGCATAACGTCAACATTCCGTTAATCCCGCCCCAGAAGCCCACGCTTTTCCTGTTGCTCCGCTCGCCCAGTAAATGTCTGGACAACTGGCTGTTTGCTTTTCCGCATGTACTATCACTCGCCGTCAATGCTACCATCTTCCCTCCATGGACTCATGTGGATGGCTCACCGTCCGAATCTCACTTCACCGCGCAAACTCCGACGTGGAACAAGATCCGAGCTGGCGCAATGTTAGTGGCAGATGGCCCCCAGTTCTCCTGCTCGGCACGATCGAGAAAAACTCGCCATTGGAGCGTAATAACAGGCCCCAACACACATGCGCATATTCGAAGCAGTCGGGGACAGCGTGTCACGCGTGTCGCGGATCACGAGTCCTTCCTCGCAGGCGGACATCAGTCGATATGCCGTGCGCGCGTGGCACAAGGTGCAGACGAGTCTGGACGAGTGCGAAGTCCGTCCGCCGCGCCCGGCTCAATAGGTCCCAGTCCACGCCGAGGACGGAGCACGACGCCTGAACGGCTTCCTACCTTCCTGTCCGAAAATACCCTGTCCATGTGCGGGCCTTTGGCGGACGTACGGCGGGCTACGGCGGGGCGCGCCGTCCACAAGCGTCCGCCGACGGCCTGATGCAGCGGTCGCGCGGGGCATCAGAACCACACCGCACATGACGACGGCTCGCCTTCCGCATGCGCGTTCTGACCTTGCGCCGCCGTGGCCGTAGGGGCCATGCTGGGTTATGCTGAACATGATCATGCTCCCCATCGCGCGAGCACGCGGGGTCGGGTGAGCGCATGGAACGGCAGGGCGCGACTAGGACTTGAATGACGCGGAGACAGAGCGCGACGGCGCTGGAAACCAGGCTTCGCCAGGGACGCGAACGCGACTCGGCGGCGGCGCGCGCGGGAGGGCTCGCGTGCAATCAGGCGCGGCCCGCATTCTCCCTGCGTCGTGCGACGCGCCCTCGACTCGCGCCTCGTCCCCCGCCCTCAGTTTCCAAACCCGATTCCGCCCCTGGGCACGCAGATGCAGTCGATGTCTGCTTAAATACCCCCCGCCTCCCGCCGTGGCTCCCTTGACCTCGCGCGAGCCCTCCGCTCCCCGTCCTCCTCCCCGCCCTCTCCCTCCATTCGCCGATCGCAATGGTCTCCCTCAGCCTGCGCACCACCGTCGTCGCGCTCGCATGCGTGTCCGGCACGCTCGGCGCGGCCATTCAGACGCCGCACATTGCGCTCCCCCCGACGCGGGGAAGAACCGGGACGGCGTGAAGGCCATCTTCAATACCTGCTGGGACGCATACAAGTAAGGACGCGCCCCACGTCCTGCCCTCCCTGCATGTATGCTGACGACCACCTCGCTTCCCGCCAGGCAGTTCGCGTTCCCGCACGACGACCTCACCCCCATCTCCGAGAGCTGGACGGACGGCCGGAACGGCTGGGGCGCGTCGGTCGTCGACGCGCTCACGACGATGGTGTGCCCTCGATACGCGTCCGGGTTCTGATCGACGCGTGCGCTAACGCGGTACCCCCAGTTCGTCATGGGCGAGACCGAGCTGTTCGAGGAGGCGGTCGACTTCACGAGCAAGATCGACTTCACGATCTCGCACACGGGCGATACCGCCAGGTGCGCCGGCGCGACGCCTCCTCCGCGCGCTCCCATCGCTGATTGCGGTCGCGCGGCGTGATCCAGCGTGTTCGAGTCGACGATTCGCTATCTCGGCGCGATGCTGAGCGCGTACGAGCTCAGTGGCGAGAAGTACCCCGCGCTGATCAACCAGTCCGTCGTGCTCGCCAACAAGCTGAGCGCCGCGTGGTCGAAGGTGAGAGCATTGTGTCATTCTTTACGTCGGTCCGCGGCGCTGATGCCTGTCATGTGACAGGGGAACGTTATCCCCTACGGCCAGGTCAACATCAACAGCACCACGCCCACCATCCAGACTGTACGTCTGCTCCCGTGCGTTTTCTCCCTCGCACCCCAACTAAGACCACCTCTATCTGCAGTCCAACATCGCGGAAGCGGGTACTGTGAGTAGCGTCCTCGCGGCACCGAGTTTGAGAAGCCTTCTGAGCGCATGCTCCGTCCACAGCTCACGCTCGAATGGTCCCGCCTTGCGTAAGTCGTCCCGTCGTCCACATGCCGTTTCCGTCTCCTGATCCGCCGGCAGCAAACACACGGGCAATGATACCTACCGAGCCCTTGCCGAGAACTCAGTGCGCCAGATGATCAGCAACGTAAGCTCATTCCCGGACACTCTTCGGTGTACGTGAACTCAGCCGTCTCCGGAATAGCCGGCGCCTATACCTGGCTTCCCGGCACAAGGGATTGACCCTTCGACTGGAAAGCCTGTGGGGGCCTACGTCGTACGTTGTGTTCTGGATTCCGAGGTGAACGTGATGCTTATCGCCACCGGCGCGCGTAGACGTGGGGCGGAGGCTCTGACAGCTACCTCGAGTACCTGATCAAGTACGCCCGCTTGACGAACACGGACGATCAGGTCTTCACCGACACCTGGGCAACCGCGGTCGACTCCTCGATCCACACCCTCCTCCGCAAGTCTACCGTCGGCGGCTGGTCGTACCTCGCCGACCGCGACGACTCGGGCACGATCCGGCACATCGGCTCCCACCTCGCGTGCTTCATGGCCGGGAACTGGATCATGGGCGGCAAGATGATGAACAACGACACGATCGTCAACATCGGCCTCGACCTCAACGAGGGCTGCTGGAACACGTACGCGTCGACGGCGACCGGGATCGGCCCCGAGGCGTTCGGTTACTTCTCCTCTGACGGCAACTACACCGGCTCCAACCCGTCCGAGGGCGACATCGCGTTCTACGACCGCAACGGGTTCTTCATCCTTCCCGGGTCCGAGTACTACTACATGCGCCCGGAGGTGCTCGAAAGCAACTTCTACGCCTTCCGCTCGACGGGCGACCTCAAGTACTACCAGCGCGCCGTCGACGCGCTCAAGAGCTTCGGGACCTACCTCAAGACGCCGACGGTCGCGTACGCGCCGATCAACGACGTCGACGCGACGGACAGCGACTTTATCGACGACATGGAGAGCTTCTGGTTCGCGGAGGTGCTCAAGTACCTCTACCTCACGTTCGACGACCCCAACGCTATCTCGCTTGACAACTGTGAGCGTTCAGGCTCCGTCTCTGTTTGGATCTGCGCTGACGCGACTCATGCTCGCAGTCGTATTCAACACCGAGGCGCACCCGTACGTCGCGCCCGCCGCACAGCCGTCGTACGGCTCTGGCAAGGCACCCAAGTCGAACGAGCCCTTCAAGCTCGTCTCGGGCCCGCTCCCTGCGGTCAGCTTCGCGCCCTTGGTCCCGGTCAAGGAGCCGAACTAGCCGCTCGTCGTGACGTCCTCGCGATTGTAGTGTACAGTGCTTCGGATGTACTTGTGTGTAGTGGATCCCGCAAAACCTCAGATACCCTCATTCCCCGTGTGCGATCCGTGTTCCTCCCTTAGTCCCGTCCCCCGGATGGCCATTTGCCACTGCAGATGGCCCAAGCAGTTAGCGACGTCCACGCCCACAAGACGAAGCGCGACGCTTACCGCACATCGCTGGGACCACAAAGCCTGATCTCCAGCCTCCCCTCGCCTCTGAGTCATCCTCGGGAACTGCGCGCGCGTCGCACCGGGATGTGCACTGCAACGCGCTACGGATGCGCCAGTGAACCTTGGTCCCAAGCGGTCGGTAGGCCACGTCTGCCCAAGTGCACGTCGAGCGCAACAGAGACGAGAGCCGCTGCGAGTCGGCGTGCGACGGGGGAGGTATGTAGTACGCCCGCCGTGGAGGACAGCGAGCGGGGGGTCCTCCAGGGCAGGCTATGCGCAGAGGTACGTCAGCCTCGGAAGCGCGGACGACTGACGTGCGAGCAAGCGGGTACGTGGCGTTGGGATCGATCGTGGCGGCGTCGTCGTTCCAGCGCGCGAGCGCGAGGGGGCGGATCTGCACCCGGCCCAGGGGACGATGATGGGCGGTCCGGTGGTGGTCGTCCGAGGGCTGCCTTTTTGGGGTGGAGGTGGGGTCGATGCGCGCGTCGTCGGTGCTGGAGAACAGCGCGAGCAGACCGATGAGGGGGTCGGGGCCTTCCTGGAATAGCATGCCTTGGGCACCACTTGCGCAGCGGGCGGCGGGCGGGGGACTGTGCGTCGTCTGGGGGTGAAGTTGAAGTGTTGGAGGCACAAGTGATTGTCCAACGAAGGGGCTGCGCTAGCCAGGCGTCCGGTAGTGATGTCGTGGATGACCTGACGACGAGTGTACTTTGCGACTTCTGGATGCTTCTCCAAAAACCCTTGGAGCCCAGAGAGTCGTGCCCATGGACCAGTGTGTTCGAGGAGGCCGAGTACTGTGGTCAACGGCATTCTCGTTAGTGTTGGTAGACTCAAGGCAAGCTGAGGGATAAGACGTACTGCGGACGCGGCTAGACTTTGTTGAAGTAGTGCTGGTAAGAGGCCACGATTGGAATTTCCGAGATCGGGGACACGTAAGGTATGGCAGTATGGTGACGCGGATCGAAGGAAATTACTCAGGGGAGGGTTGTCGAACCTCGGTACTGCATCAAGACGGTGGGCGCACATACATACAGATGTACCATTTAATGCATGAACGTCGATGAACGTAGCTTCTCCCTCAAACCGGTCGCCTCTCCTCCTACGCATTTCCTTGAGATCTTGATCGCTCAGCTACCACTGTCCGAGTCCAAGTCTAAGCAGTCAGCGACGTCCGGTCTCGTTCCACAAAGCGCAACACTCACTACACATCACTGGGGTCATATGTGAAGAATCGAGCAGTGGACGAAGAGAGCCGTAGAGGCGAAAGGACGCCGGATGACGGACAGGGTGTCGGATAGGACGACGATGATGGATAGGATGATAGATTGGATATCGATCTAGGACGATACGGCGGCATAGTACTGTACAATGCGTGGGAACGTAGTATACATGACTAAGCATACTGGTAGTGCCTCGGATGAGGGCGTACACCGGGACACTAGGAACCAACAGCGTCAACCAGACGTGCAATGGTGTCGATGTTGGTGAATGTTTTCCTGCGGAGGTTAAGGAAGTCGATGACCAGACGACGAGTGTATGTCGTGACTTCCGATGGACGCTGGTCTAGAAGATTCTGAAATGAGGGAAGGCGCTCTTGCCCGCGGACGATCAGACTTGAGTAGAGATGTGGGCGCGCTATGTACCACCATGTCTTGCATACTAAGCTGGATAATTTGAGGGTGGGTGTATCGAGACAGTCGAGAACGACATTGTATATTTCTGGGGGTAAGTCCTGAACTGAGAGTGGACGCGCTGTGATTGGCGACATTCTGGTGGAGGCTTTGAACGCCTCGAGGAGAGTTTGGGGAGAAGGGAAGCCCGAATACGTGAAGCGTCGCAGCTGTTGGAATTTGGAAAGTTTCGGGTTTCGTGCTCCGCTCGATACGGCCACGTGGCGATCCGTGCCTGTCCGAAGGTGTGTTTGTGGACTCGAGAAACATATTATATCTTGCGCTCTGCACAGTTGATTTTTTGGTCTTCCTCGTTTGACGCCCCCGAGGGCAGAGCCTCACAGTAGGCGTAAACTACGAAACTCATCAAGACCGAGGTCACTAGACGTAAAGGGAGAAAGTCTTTAACGGAACAGAAGTTCTGACCAGGTGGCCTTGATCCGCGCTCGGGGAATGCGGCGATGGGCCCAATGCCAACTCAATTTAGTTCGGCCTGCGCAGTGCCGAGATCCAGTGAACTTTCAACCCAAAACTTGGTGTGCTCATCGACATCATCCATCCAGCCCTATGTCCCAGAACCGCACGAAAATGGCCACGACATTAACCGCTCGCAAAGCTTTTTGGTGAGTTTGCATGCTAGTCAGACTGGGGAGGGAAAACCGAACAGGCGCGGTCTTCGACAACAATGTGCGCTTTGGCGACTCCGAGATCCCCAAAAAGGCTGTCACTGCGTGCGTTTGTACTTAAAAAAAGATATCCCCTGGTGGTGGCTAGTCTTCGCCATCATGATCCCTCGGACCAGCGACCAATCCTCGTATTCAGCGACCACAGCTCAAGACCGGGCTGAATGCGCAGGCGTGGAGAGGTGACCGCGTTGTTGGGTGGAGGCTTTCTGGGTCGAAGAGAAGACGCGGCCATCCTGGCGCGTACTAGCTCTTACGTTCGATCTCCAGTGCACGGACGGAGGATGGCAATGTTGCGCGGGTGACAGCGTAGTCAGGGAGAGCGAGGCAGAAGGCGGAGAAGGTGGCACCGGTCACACTTTCAAGGCGGGGAAAGGGCGGCGAAGCGTGCAAGAGCGTGCAGGGCTGCAATGGTCGCAGATGGTGGTCGTGCTCGGGCGAGCAAGGGCGCGCTCCCACTGCTCTGTTTCGCCGCGCGGAGCCCGAAACGTTGGATCGGAGCTGGGGAGAAGCTGGAGCCGCGCCCGCATCTCGATGCTCCTCCACCTCGTCCGACCTCGCACCTCCTCGCAGCACGATGAACTCTCGCCAGACGACGTCCACCTCCGCGTTTCGGAGCTGGACGACGGTGCGCTGACCAGCCGGTTGGGTGTTGATCCTTGTGGCGGGACCCGAGGGGCTGGTGCTGGGGCTGTCCACATGCTATGGCGTCGTCCTCGAACGCCTTGGCTATATGCATGTATGCGCTCTCAAACCCCGCGTCTGTCTGATACAAGCATTGATTCATTAGGCGAACTTTGCGCCGAGTCGACATCACGCTCACGCCTCCATGCGATGAACACCACCGTGAACGCCGGTGGCAGTGGCTCCAGCTGTCCTCTCGCTTCCTTGACGACCCAAGTTGAGTCTTCTTCCGCACGCTGCTTCCCGTCTGTGATGACTGCCATGGCATGCAGGCCATGTGCGGCAAGCTTCGACCACGACCATGTCGGCATACCGCGCGCTCCCACGGTGTCTGGTGAAGGACGCCACTGCAATCCATGCAGCCCACGTCCTCAGGCCTCAGCGCTCAGCCTCAGCGTCGTTGCACAGGAGTTCGCACAGGCACCTACGGCCACTACAGACGATGGCCACGAATAGCGTGCGCGCGCTAGGTGCTGATGCGCGGGGAGCACCACGCCCTAGAATCTATTTTGAGATCCTGACGACCAGCACGGCGCGCGCCTGGCGATCATCTGTCGCGCTTCATAAACCCGCGACACAACGTTTCTGCACCTCGCCTTTCCCCTCGAGGTCACCGTGGTCCTTCCTTCTTCCAGTTCACATTCTCAACGTTCTTTCAACATGGTTGCAGCAGGCCTGCTCGCTCTTTCTGCTCTCATCCCCCTCGCGCTCGGCCGGCCCAGCGCGACCCACTCCGAGCTTGTTGCTCGTGATGTCCACTCTGCTGTCCCTCTCAGCTTCCGCTTTCACAGCCCCGCCCCTGCTGGCATGTTCCGCTTCACCGTCGCTATGAAGCAGAGCAACATCACTGGCCTTCAGACCGCCCTCCTCGATGTCAGCGACCCCACGAGCGACAACTACGGACACCATCTGTCCAAAGCCGAGGTACGTCGTCATTCGTTTGCTCGTCCGCACACAGCCACAGCTTGGCCTGCAGGTTGAGGCCCATGTTACGCCTACGGCCGAGACCCTCCAGGCCGTCACCGACTGGCTCAGCAAGAACGGCGTCTCGGCCAACTCCACTTCCGCCTCTGGTGACATGCTCACCGTTGAGATGCCCATGACTCAAGCGAACACCCTCCTGAACGCCAACTTCACCACCTATGTTCACGAGCCCACGAACACGACCCTGGTCCGTACGCTCGCGTACTCCCTCCCTGCCTCCGTCTCGCCGCATGTTGCATTTGTCTACCCCACGACACAGTGAGTGATCGATGCGCGATCATCGCACTTGCGCCCCAATCTCTGATTGATGGACCTCAAGGTTCATTGCGCCCGCGGTGAACAAAGTGTCTGTCAAGGCACTCGGCAGCATGAAGCTCTCCCGCCGTCGTGAGCGCTCTCGGCGCGCGAACGTCAACGCCCAGTGTGCGCAGGTAATCAGCCCCCAATGCCTGCAGGAGATCTACAACATTCCCGCCACCGCCGCCACCGCCTCCGGCAACAGCCTCGGTGTGAGCGGCTTCGGTGGTGAGGTTGCCAACAAGGATGACCTCTCGGTACGTCACCGATCCCTGATTGCCACAGCTTTGATGAGTGATTGATCCGTCATGTTTCTCTCCCACAGGACTTCCTCAAGCAGGCTCGCCCTGACATCACTAACGGTACCTTTACCGTCCAGGCCGTTGACGGCGGCTCCGACAGCGGCCAGGGTACCACCGAAGCCGTAAGTGCCGCGACTTTCCCGGAGTTAGCGCGCGAAACTCACTCAGCCTTCGGGTTCAGAGCCTCGACATTCAGTATACCGTGGGTGTGGCAACCAACGTCCCCACGACCTTCATTACTGTTGGCAACAACAACCAGGATGGGGACCTCGGTGGCTTCCTCGACATCATCAACACCCTCCTCAAGCAGGACGACCCCCCTCTCGTCCTCACCACGTCTTTTGGCTTCGATGAGGCTGGGTTTGTGCAGGAGCCTGATCTCGCGAACACCCTGTGCAATGCCTACATGCAGCTCGGTGCCCGCGGTACCTCTGTCCTTTTCGCGTCTGGTGATGGAGGCGTCTCTGGTCCTCAGGCCAACAACGCTTGCGACGGTAGTGCCTTCTCGCCCACCTTCCCCTCTGGCTGCCCCTTGTGAGTCAACCGCTGGTTTCTCCCCAGCTTTCTCGCTCATCGTATTGCGACAGCTTGACCTCGGTCGGCTCTACCACGGGCATCAACCCCGAGACTGCGGCCTCCTTCACCTCCGGCGGTTTCTCGAACATCTTCGCGCGCCCGAGCTACCAAGACGACGCGGTCAACGGCTACCTCACCAAGCTCGGCAAGACCAACGCCGGCCTCTTCAACAGCTCCGGCCGCGCCTTCCCCGACGTGTCTACCCAGGGTGTGCAGTTCGCGATTGAGGTCGCGGGCCAGCTCCAGGGTGTCGACGGAACCTCTGCTTCGTCCCCCACCTTCGCCTCCGTCGTCGCCCTCCTCAACGACGGGCTCCTCAACCAGGGCAAGTCCCCGCTCGGCTTCCTCAACCCGATGCTCTACTCGCAGGGCGCCGCCGCGCTGAACGACATCACCTCCGGCTCGAACCCCGGCTGCGGCACCCAGGGCTTCCCCGCCGTCGAGGGCTGGGACGCGGTATGTGTCCCCTTCTCCCCCGCCTCCCCCGTCCTGTTATAGGGCGAGCGACGCGTGACGCGTAACTGTAACTGACCAACCCCTTCGCGCTGCGCAGGTTACCGGCCTTGGCACGCCCGACTTCCAGAAGCTCCTCACCCTCGTCACGGGCAGCTCGTCGTCGAGCGGCAGCAACTCGACCGGCACGGGCAGCTCATCGTCGAGCGGGAGCAACTCGACCAGCACGGACAACTCGGCGTCCTCGGGTACGAGCGCCGCCAACAGCACCGCTGCTGCGACCGACTCCGCCGCCGCCAACAGCACCGCTGCTGCGACCGACTCCGCCGCCGCGACCGACTCCGCTGCCGCGACCGATTCCGCTGCCGCGACCGATTCCGCTGCTGCGACCGACACTGCCGCTGCGACTGACGGCGCCGCGACAGTGACCGCGACGGTGACGGTGACGGTGACCGCCTCCGACTCGACTGCGACCAAGGATGCTGGCAAGAAGGGCGCCGGCAAGAAGGGTGGCGCGAAGCAGGCCAAGACGCAGCAATGAGCGTGCGGAGTGGAAAAAACTAGGTTGTTTCGTTGCTGTCGACGTGTTAAGCTTTCGCATTCTCGGAGTTCTGGACTGGGCGCTAGCGGCAGTGTATTGTAACCTGTGTCGTTGACTACTGCTGAACTGGATACCACCGGTGACCTCTTTTGTTACCCCCTCTATCCCCCGGCCGCGTGCGCGGCCGGGGCGGTGTGTTCTGTGCGCGAGCCGTTGCGTGGTCCCACCCGGTGCGTAGGTATGCATCGCCTTTCCCCATTGAATTGTGTACTGCTACAATGGACCGCAGGTCGCCGACGGAGATGGCCCGCAGGAATGTGTTCGATGGCCTGCGGGCCGCAGGGGTTTCCGTCCGCACACCTGATGGAGCGGGGGCCAATTGTGGTGGGCGTCGTGAGCGTGAGCTAGAAGGTGCGTCTTCCATCGCGATCGTGCAGGATGAGCACCGGATCTAGTCATCCTAGGCTGACGTGCACCGGTAGAGCGCGTGTGGTGGCCAATCGTGCGCCGTCCCGTCTGCTTGTGGTCCGCCAGTCTCACCCTGCTCTCGGCGCCTCGCTGCAGCGGAGGACGGGCAGTGACCTGATGTTGATTCAGGAGGTCGCACAACACTTGCACCGAGAAAGCTGGGTCCAGCACACCCACCAGTGCCACGATGCCGTGGACCATCGACGTCAAACAGCCGCAAAGTGCATGCCTCGGGCCGATGGTTGTCGAGACTCGAGGACCTGAAACCGTCCGGCACAGTCTGCACAGAACATGGCATGGCCCGCGCGCTAGGAACAACGCCACCACGCCGCCTCCGCGCTCGGGGGACGATTGAATTTGCACGACGAGGAGCCGTGCAGTCCACGGGAACGCCTCCCAAGTGCGCTTGGGCCGCGCGCGGGAGACGGACAAGAAGAGCAGGACGGGGGACCCCCATGGCGACCGCCGTGCGATGTCGAAGAAGCGTCGAGGAGCGCGCGCAGACGCCCGGACGGGGGAGCGGGCCGCGGCCACGATCACCGCGCGCGCGTGCGCCAAGGCTCGCTCGGCGACTGCGCGGCGTCCTCCAGCGGTCGTGCCTCTGTCGCCTGCTCGCGCCGTGCGTGCGCGCGCAAGCACCTGCAAGACCTTCCGAGGCCTTTAGAGAGGTGCGCGTTCGCCCCGTGGAATGCGCGCGACGGTTGTCGCTCATGTTTCTTTTCTTCAGATAAAACTGCCCGGCCACAGAGCACTTGGCGCCCACTCCTCCGGGTTGCCCAGTCCTTGCCAAGCCCGGCCGTGCTCAAAGCACACTCGACGGAAGGGTGGCGATCATATGCCCTGATGCCGCCTGACGACCGTCGGAGGCCGCGCGCATCTCTGTTATAATCCTCGCGCGCGGAATGCGCTCACTACCGTACGCCCTGGAGGTCGCCCGTGGTCGTGGTCCCGCTTTCGCTCTCTCTCGCTCGTTTCGCCCGTTCGTCGCCCCTTCTTTTTCTTTGTTTTAAGCACCCCCCACCCAGCCATCCCACCTGGTCAACATGGTCGCAGCCGGTCTGCTCGTTCTCTCCTCCCTCCTCCCCTTCGTCCTCGCACTCCCTACCGTTGAGCGGCTCCACGTGCTCAAGGCGCGCTCGGACGTTCCCAACGGCTTCTCGTGGAAGGCCAAGGCGGCGGAGACGCAGACACTCACCCTCCGCCTTGCGCTCACCCAGAGCAACACCACCGGGCTCCAGGATGCGCTGTTCGACGTCAGCGACCCCAACAGCGAGAACTACGGTCACCACCTCTCCAAGGCCGAGGTGCGTCCCTTCATCTTTCGCGCGCGGTGACGGCGGCAGGGCGGAGTGGCGGGACTGACGGGGTTGGGGACAGGTGGACGCGATGATCGCGCCTTCGGTGGAGAGTGTGGAGAAGGTCACCGCGTGGCTGTCGAAGAACAACATCACGGCGCAGACGACCTCGGACGCGGGCGACTGGATGAAGATCACCGTGCCCGTCGCGCAGGCGAACGCGCTCCTCAACGCGGACTTCAACGAGTACACGCACGACGGCTCCGCGTCGACCTCGGTCCGCACGCTCGCGTACTCCGTCCCCGACTCCGTCAAGGACCACATCCAGTTCATCTTCCCCACGACGCAGTGAGTGTCGCGCGCTCCGGGTGTGTGCGACACCGAGTGCTCACGCTGCAGGACGCAGGTTCATCCCGCCCGTCAACCGCACCGGGCCGATATTCGAGGTCGCGGACCTGCCGCGGACCACGAAGCGTCGCCGCGCCGGCCGCTCGAAGCGTGCGGCGGTCCCTGCAGAGTGCGACACGCAGATCACGCCCGAGTGTCTGATCGCGATGTACAACATCCCGACGACGGCCTCCTCGGCGACTGGCAACAGCCTCGGAGTCGCGTCCTTCCTTGACGAGATCGCGAACCAGGCTGACCTGACGGTGCGCGGCGTTGTACATCCTCATTCATCCAAAAACTGACGGGTGGTGCGCAGGAATTCATGACGGTGCTCCGCCCAGACACCAAGCCAGGCACCTTCGACGTCGTGTCCATCGACAACGGTATTTCCGACGTCAACACCACTGGTACCACGGAGGCTACCCTCGACATCCAGTACACCGTCGGCATTGCCACCGGCGTCCCCACGACGTTCTTTTCCGTCGGTGACAAGACGCAAGACGGCGACTTGAGCGGCTTCCTCGACGTCATCAACACGCTCATCAAGGCCGACAGCCCTCCCCTTGTTCTCACCACCTCCTTCGGCTTCAACGAGGCTGCCTTCGAGGCGGAGCCCGAGCTTGCCAAGTGAGTCCCGTCACGTCGATGTTGAGCGCCGTGAATTAACAGACGTCTGCAGCAACCTGTGCAACGCCTACGCGCAGCTTGGTGCTCGTGGCACGTCCATCCTGTTTGCTTCCGGCGATGGCGGCGTTTCTGGATCGCAAGCCAACAACGCATGCAACGGCCGCGAGTTCCTTGCCACCTTCCCGTCTGGCTGCCCGTTGTATGTGGTCTCGAACACGTCGCTATGCCACCCCGCTCACGCCCGCTCTTTCCAGCCTCACCTCCGTCGGCAGCACGCAGAACATCAAGGAGACCGCCGCTGACTTCTCGTCCGGCGGCTTCTCGAACATCTTCGCGCGCCCGAGCTACCAAGACAACGCGGTGTCCGGCTACCTCACCACGCTCGGGAAGACCAACGCGGGCCTCTTCAACACCTCCGGCCGCGCCTACCCCGACGTCTCCGCCCAGGGCGTGAACTTCGTGATCGACATCGCCGGCCGCGGCGCCGGCGTCTCCGGCACCTCCGCGTCCTCCCCCGTCTTCGCCGCCGTCGTCGCCCTCCTCAACGACGAGCTCCTCAACCAGGGCAAGTCCCCGCTCGGCTTCCTCAATCCGCTCATCTACCAGTCCGGCGCCGCCGCGCTCAACGACGTCACCACCGGCTCGAACCCCGGCTGCGGCACCCAGGGCTTCCCCGCCGCCGCGGGCTGGGACCCGGTCACCGGCTTCGGCACCCCCGACTTCACTAAGCTCCTCGCGCTCGTCACCGGCTCCGCGGTCTCGTCCGGCAACGGCACCGCCGCGTCGTCGAGCTCTGCGGCCGCGTCGAGCTCCGCGGCTGCGTCGGGCTCTGCCGCCTCCTCGGCTTCCGCGACCGGGACCTCCGCCGACGCGTCGAGCGCGGCTGCTACTTCCACCGACGCGTCGTCCGCGGCCGCGACTTCCACCGACGCGTCGAGCGCGGCTGCGACTTCTACCGACGCGTCGTCCGCGGCCGCGACTTCCACCGACGCCGCGGGCGCGGCCGAGACCTCCACCGATGCTGCCAACACGGATACCGCCGCTGCGGCTGATACGAAGACCGTCACCTTGACGGTCACCGCGACTGTCACCGCGGGGGCTGCCGCGACCACAGGGAAGGGCCGGAATGCATCGAAGCACCACAACTGAGCGCTGAGCAGGGACGTCGTATTTTTTAGCATCGTATCGTACTTTTCGGCACTGGCTGCAGGCGGCGGCGGAGCGATAATGCGAGAGCGCGGTGCCCACGCGGCCGCAACCTCACCGAATTTCCTGCGAGTGACGTGCGTGCACACAAGCGTATACATATATTAAACATATGGTGGCTCACGCTGCTGAAGGTGGGTTTGTGTGGAGACGATGGTGGGGCCTCTTGGACGACGTCGACCGCGCGCTAGAGATAGTGGCGAAGTTGCAGGAACCTGGTCCTGGGGAACAACGGTTGGACAACATTCGTGTATGGGTTGACGAGCACAGCCAAGAGCCGAAGTTGCCTATGAATTCAAAGGATGATATGTTACTTTGTCATATACCGTCCTCCACGCCTAGCCATGGGGCTTTGGGACACGCCAACAGACGTGCGATGCCCTTTCAGCGTAGTGAGCAGTGACTACCGGCATGAAGTGTGGATTGACCATAGCAGACACGTTGAGCTATCAACTGCTCATGCATGATGGATGCGCCACCAGACCGGTCTGTCCGATGGCATAAGCAGCCTCTGAAGTCGCTCATCCGACATCATCCCCGAGTAGTACACTTGCTTCGGCGAACTCATCTGTTTCCTGGCCAGACAAACGGACGGGTTCTTCATCTCCGCAGATGGTGCAATGCACCGTCTAGCAATCCATCCCTTTCTGTCGGTGTTTCGTAGATGTCGCGAAGTGTCCGACAAGCATATCAAAGACAAGTGCATTCTGGAAATAGCACACAGTACATTAGGCTTGTGCTGACCTCACGTGAAGGCCTCATTTTGTGCTTTTGCCCAGTCTCCAGTCACCCACAGCCGCGAGTGCTCTCTTGCCGGTAATCGCGGTCGGGATGCTCAGAACAGCACCGTACAGCAAGACCTGCCCGAGCCGCAGCTCGACCCAGTACCACACGAGCAACGCCTCGAACGCGCCCAGCGTCGCGACGAAGGGCAGGATGCTCGGCGAAAACAGGTGGGGCACTTGCGGACCCATGTGCGCCCACTGCACAAGCAACGCGTCAGGACACGATGGACAACGTGGCCAGCAGAAGTGACACGCACCATACCAAGGAGAACGACCCAGGGCCCTGCGAGGAAGAGGGTGAACACAGCGGAGACGAACTTGGGGGGCACCTTCGGCTCTGAACGGAAGGTGTGGAAGATCTCTGGGCGGGGGTGGAAGAAGACGTCGTCGGGGTGCTGAGGTGGTGTTTGCGAAGCGGGTACGATGAGGTCGAAGAGGTCCATCTCCAGCGGCGCGTGAACAAAAGAGCCAATGTAGAGAGTCACCCGCAGAGGGTCCTCGGAGGTAGGAGGAAGGGAGGCGGGAGGTTTCGCCATGTTCTACGACGCGCATATAGTCAGCACCATGCGACCAAACAGCGAATGTGCACTCACCAGCTCAAACTTGGCCTTACCACCCGACGTGACTTTCACTGGCTGAATACCCTCCTCGCCTGTGACTGGGTCGAAGAACCGGATGAACGTCTGGTGGGGTTGTACACCCTTGCCGGCCTCGTCGACAACCTGGAACGTCAGCTTCAAGGTGTCGGTGGGTCCCAATGACAGAGCAGGCGACGGCTTGTACGTCGTGGAGAGACTAGACGATCGATACGTCAGACCAAGGCAAATGGGCAAGCGGTGGCTGCAACATACGGCTCTGCTCGCAGCTGGGCAGCATCGGAGGAGGAGATGGAGAAGCGTGGGGACTGAAGGGTAAGGACCGAAGCGTGGGCCGCCGCGGCCAAAAGAGAGAACAGGAGACAGGAGAGCGCGGCGACCATAGTGGACGTCGGCGAAGGTGGTGAGGAACGCGTCGTGCGCAGCGCGAGACGTGTCACCGCATTATGCGCGATAAGTGTGGGCAATTCGGAGTGTATGCCCATTTGCAGCTTATCGAACCCAGATAAGTCTCTGGATCCCCCCAGCAGCTCTTGTCCGCTGTGCACTAGTGTGCACTCCGTCCGTCCATGAATCGTCCTCTGTATCTTCCACGTTAAGATGTGGCTTCTCGATACCACCTTCCTCGAACTCCATCAAGTGTCCGATCCGACCCAAGAACGATACGCCATTCTGTCTCACGTCTGGAATCTGGGGAAAGAGGACTCTTTTCATGTAAGTCGTACGCCTCCTCGCGTTCGGGATCGCGCGTAAATCCTCCTAGTCCATCCGTCAACTTCACAATAATATCGCGCGCGAAAGTCCTGCGCATGCAGAGGCCTACCTCGCACACCACCACAAAGTCACCCCCAAGCTGCGCTCTCTTTGCAAGTTTGCCCGCCACAACGGCTACAGACGCGTCTGGATTGACACCTGCTGCATCGACCAGAGCAGCAGCGCTGAGCTCTCCGAAGCCATCAACTCGATGTACAAGTGGTACTTACAAGCGGCTATATGCTATGCTTTCTTGGCCGACGTTGACGACGACCAAGACCCTTCGAGTCCCGCTTCTCCTCTCCGCACATCTTTCCGCGAAAGCATCTGGTTCACGCGCGGATGGACTCTCCAAGAGCTCGTCGCGCCCCGCAACGTTGTCTTCTTGAGCCGTCATTGGACGGTCCTGGGCACGAAAACGAGCCTTCAAGATGTCATCGCGGAAGTCACCCACATCAGCAAGGCTGTCTTGACGCATTCAGCCCCGCTCCATTCAGTGAGTGTTGCGCAGCGCATGTCCTGGGCAGCGGGACGTCGAACCACGCGAGAGGAAGATCGCGCATACTCTTTGCTCGGGATCTTCGGTATCCACCTGCCCACCATCTACGGAGAAGGCGAACAGGCGTTCGTCCGCCTTCAGGAAGAGATTCTACGACGCATCCCCGACCAGACCCTTTTTGCGTGGGGTTCTCCTCTCCCGCGACGCATCTCGGACAACCACCTGAATCAACTGGATGCAAAACTGCTCCACGAGACGTCACGACGCCGCGCCGGGTCCTCGTACCTCTTCGCCTCTAGCCCGGACGAGTTCACGGAAGAGACACCCACACTTCATCCCGTTGCCCTCTCGGAGATGGAGCGTCTCGACGAGGTCATAGAGCTGCCACAGTACTCGTTGACGAGCTACGGTCTCCGCGCCACTTTCCCTGTTTTCAGTGTCACCTTTCAACGTGAAGTCGTCGTTCAAATGGCTCTACTAGCATGCGAAACTGCCCAAGGCCACAGGATCGCCCTTATCTTATCTCCGAGAGGGCCTAGTCAATTCCTCGTTGGCGGGTATCGTTTCACGACGTCCTTGTCATTCGACGGAAGCGTTAAGGTCTACAATCCTCGTCTTCTGCTCCTCCCGCGCTCCGTCCTGAGAAACATTGAAGCTTCCATCAAACCCGTCCACGTTTTGTACCGCCGCCTCGATGCTGTCGCCCAGTCTATCCACTTCCTACACGAAGGGGTAGCCCTCACCAGCGACGACATACCCGCCCGAATCTTCACCGGTCCTTGCCAAATCACAGTGCCTCGTTGGGCACAGAACCGCCTCATTGCCAAAGAGTTCCATCACAATATCCCCAGCGACACCATCACACTCAGCTCCGAAGGCGACTGGCGGGTTCTCCAACTTCACAGCGACTCCGCCGGGTCGTTAGCAATCGTGCTCCTTCTTTCCAATCCTCCGATCCTCCCCAGCGCGTGGAAACGCGAGTCGATTCACAAGCCTCCTCTGGTCGTTGAGATCGTTACGGAGAACGTGGCAGGCTTCGTAGCGGATCTGCAGGTCAAGCGTGGCGTAGATGACATCACCAAGCGCGAAGGCATCAACGTAGATGAATGGGCGGGAGAGGGCAGCACACGCAGCCGTGCGTGGCCCGGGCTCGAGATACGGTTCAACAGCTGGGGGCCGGATATCCGAGGCGACGACGAGCACGCGGGCGATGTCTCGTGCTTCGTCATGGACATCGACGTCGGGCAATCCATCGCACATGACGATGTCGACTCGGACAATCCGGACTCGGTTATCCCATCGGCTCAGGTTTCCGAAGATGAAGAAGGCAACATTTCTGCGGACGCGTCTGCCGAGGACTCTGTGGAGGTCGACTCGGATTCGGACCGCATCGACGAGTCGCCTTGGTCCTTCGCGTCGCGCGCCCGACGAACGATATCGCGACAGGAACGCGAGCTTTTGGCCCGTTCTGATCGCGCCTCCCGAGACGAGGCTGTCCCCACTACGGAACGGGAGGGACAGCGTACTACCGAACGTCCGCGGTCTCATGAAGATCTCGCGAGTCCCTCGGACCAAGAAAGCGATACATCGACAACCCGACGCTTCCACACCTACCGCCCTGGAGTCGAATTTGGATCCATGTCGGAATCGCCGCCTGCCGACGGCGAGAACCCATGACCCTCGATACGGGATAAGGGCCCTTAGTAAGTGTGTCCGTCCAACCCAAGCTACAGTAACATTATTAAAATACTTGGACAGCAACCACCTACAGGCCGCCATTCCTCATTCTCAGAGGCATCTCGCTGAATTACCATCCACAATCATCTAGTCGACCATTTGCGAGTACGCGATCCTTCCTCACCTGATGGCACAATTCCCAGAAGCAACAAGCTCGCGATGACACCTCAAGCCACAGGCCTTATGTCGGTCGTACGACGCCGCGGTATTCACCACCCTGGAGTCGACATGGCCGCGTTGAACTCGCAAAGGGCCTCGGCCTCAGTATTTGAGATCAACATCACTCGCGGGCATGACGATGTTGGCGGACTACAGTCCGTGCACCATAGCCGGGACTTTCCCATTGTCCGACACTTCACTCCTTAGCATGGCCTCATAGTGTATTTGTAGTTGAGGTGGTCGATTCATGTGGCATCGGCGTCCTCTACGGGTTCGAGTTTTGCTGATTCGAGTCTTTCATGGCTTGCGGACGCTCAGGTTGCCATGCGTCACACAGGCGTTTGCATTCCGGGTTCCAACACGATAGCACCACGATAACTTCTTTGAAAAATCGCCACGCGACCGCACAATATCACGTCCACTCCCTTACACCCCGAGCAGCAGCTCGACGAACTTGCCCTGCGCGATCGCCTGACCCACCACCTGCGTGACCCGGCTCAATGGCACGCTCGCCGTCTGCTGCGCGAAGAACGACGCAGTGTCGATCGGCGCGAGCGAGCTCGTCGGCACGTCCGGCGGCGTCCGGGTTGGGTCCGCGAGCGCGAGCTGCAGCAGCGCCGCGAAGTTCGGCGTGCCCAAGCCCGTCGCCGCGTCCCAGCCCTCCAGCGCCGGGAACCCGTCCGTCCCGCACCCGTTCGAGTCGGCCCCGCCCGGGTTGCTGCCCCCCACGACGTCGTTCAGCGCGCCCTGCGCCGCGGCCGCGTACAGGAGGGGGTTGAGGAAGCCGAGCGGGGGCTGGCCCGCGCTGAGCAGCCGGTCGTTCAGCAGGGACACGATCGCGGCCACGGCGGGGGCGGCGGCGGAGGTGCCGGAGACGAGCTGGGTGACGCCGTTGATGGCGATGCTGTAGTTGGTGCCCTGGGCGGAGATGTCGGGGAACGCGCGGCCGGTGGTGTTGAAGAGGCCTTGGTTCGTCGTCCCGAGCGCGTTCAGGTAACCGGTCACGGCGTCGTCCTGGTAGGACGGGCGCGGGAAGACGATGGAGAACCCTCCGGAGGAGTACGGGGCGGCGACTTCGGGGATGCTCTGGGCTGCCCCGACGGAGGTGACGCTGAAGTCGCCGGCTCAGCAAGAGGAAAGGAAGTCAGGAAGGAGACTCACAATGGGCAGGTGGAGGGGAAGGACGGACGGAAGGACCCGTCTGGAAGGCATGACGCTTCGCCGCTCAGGGCACCCGCGACACCTTCGTCACCCGAAGAGACGAGGACCGAGGTGCCACGCAGACCGAGCTGGGCGTAGGCGTTACAGATAGTCCTGTTTGCCACTCATCAGCGCCGACTCGGCGATGATCAGTTGGGGAGGACTTACTCTGCAACCTCTGAGAAACCAACGGTCTCAGAGTCGGGGGACTCATTCGAACCGTAGCTCATCGAGAAGACACTCGGAGTGGAATCCTGCTGGAGCATGAAGGCGACCATGTCGAAGAACGAGAAGAAGGTGGTGTCGGGGCTCCCAATAGATATGTAGGTAACGGGCACGTTCGTCGCCAGGCCAACCACCGTTTGAATATCAAGACTCTGAGGCGGACTGTTAAATTATGCTCGCTGGATACTCTCAAGGGACGTACTCCTTCGGCAGTTCCACCGTTGAAGTTTTGGACACCGTCCACAGACAGAAACTGTATCTGCTGGTTTGGGTCGATGTCAGGGCGGTCGGCCGAAAGGAACGTCTGCAAGATGACACGATCAGATTTCATGCATTGTCACAGACCCAGAACACGTACCTCAAGGTCTTGCTGAGTGCCGATCTCGGCGTCGAAGCCAGCAACAAAGAGCGTGTTGCTGCTCTGCGTCGCCGGGTCGGTGGGAACATTGTACAACTCTTGCAGGCACACCAGGTGGACTTCGGTCTCGCAAAAATCTGGAATGTTCTGCCGCTTCAGCCGGGGAGACTGTTTCGACTGACGCCTGCTCCGCCTCAGCTTATCCCCCTTGATTGAGAACGCAGACTTGGAAACTGGCGGGAGGAAGCTGCAAAGCGATGAGTGGCCGAACGACTGCAAAACCACTGTACTCACTGCGTAGTGGGGTACACGTAGGCGACATGCTCCTGCAGCGCCGCGGGGAGCGCATAGGACAGCGTGCGGATCGTCGTAGTGTTTGTCTCCGTGTGGACGTAGGACTTGAACTGGGCATCGAGTAGTGTGTTCGCTTGAGAGACTGGGATGGTGAAGCGGAGGACGTCGCCCGCGCCCGTGGTCGTGTTGGCCGCGATACCGTTCTTGTTCAACCAGCTGGTCACGGCCGCGACCGACTCCGGCTTGGGGGCGACCAGAGCGTCTACCTACAGAAAACTCAGTATAGATAATCAGCAGAGATGTAGCTAGTACGTACGTCAGCCTTGGAGTAGTGCTTGCCGTAGTTCGCGCTGGATGGATCGCTGACGGCAAGCACGGCAGCGTGGAGGCCAGCTACATTGCTCTGCGGCAGGGCAAGGCTGAGCGTAATGAGGTCATCGTCGTTGGCGTCTCCGCCCTTGATGAAGCCGGATGGAGGGCCAGTCAACTGTCGGCGGACGACTTTGGCATGAGGGTTGTAGGCCGGAAGCCCAAGGATGGTCGTAGGAAGAAGAGAAACAATGAGCAGCGCAGCTGCAAACATGGCGACGAAGAAGCAAGGAAGACAAAAGGGATGGGGACGAAGGTGAAGGCCGGAACGGTGGTTTCTGGCAGGCGTCGGCGATATTTGAGTGGTTGTATGAGCGCAGCTATCGCATCCAGTGATAAAGTAGGGTAGTATTGACTACAACTATCCGCGAGCCGATCGAGGGTGCCCCGATTCGTCGGCGGTTGAGAGCCAACGCCATCGTCTTGACAGATTATGGTGACAGATCTGCGTGAAAATCAAGGAAATACAGCATCCGGGATGCTAGTCCACACTCTTTACCCCATGTAGTGCATACAGCGGCATCTCCATAGGCACGATGGAGACCGGGCCTTTGCGACTCCGAGAAGCTGAGGTTTGATCTGTAGTCCCGGAAGCTCGCAACGGCCTGCTGATTTTGATGCGTCATGTCCCGAGTGACATCTTTCATGATGGGCGGGCTCTGAAATGAGGACGTGTGAGAAAGGCCACCCCTATATGCATGACCGCGTTGGCGAAAAGCACGGGCTCGTCCTTCCATCAATGCAAGGCGACCCAGTACTGCTCACATGTAAGCTTGGACAGTACACTAACGGCGACGCCTTTCACAGACCACCGAGCGTGGTGGCAATTGACATTGATACCAGACGTTTTTCCGGTTGAAACGGCATCGGCTTTCGTCTCACGATAATCGATTCGTCAAAAGTCATGTCCAATACTTTTCATCCACTCGTTTGGCGTCAAACAACAGCTCCAATAGAAAAGTGCGAGAGACACATACCTGAGGCAAGAAAACTCTCAACCTCGCGATACCGGGAGGCGTCAACTCTCGTGATCGGAGGTTGGCCTCAGGAGGAGTGGGCCGGACAAGTCTTCACGCATCGTGAATACCTATATGTGAAGTTGTTTCGCCATTTCGTCAGCGTAACGCCCCAGCCTCGAGTTCGGGGAAATCTGCGGACGCGCCCCTGGCGATGAACATAACGATGCCTCACCGCTTTTGACGGTGTGAAAAAAGCAGCGTACCCACGATTAACATCCATACCCGTAGACACCGCATGGCTGATGACTTGCGGACATCACTGTTTAAGGAGAGTTTGATCATTGGAACCTCGAACTCAGCTGACGTACTGACTAGGACGCTCGTGAGGAAGAAGCTTGTGCAGAGCCGAAGGATGTTCCATCTCGTCGTGGGCGATGTTGAGGAATCAGTGCAGAATGTGCGACGGTGAAATATGGTGGTGAGTACTTGAGTGTTGGGCTTTTCCGACGCTCTGAGACATCGACAGGCGTCTAATAGCGGGCTGATTCGGGCCGCGTGGGCCGCGAGGCCGCTGTTGTTGGGCCGTCCACGACGGAGTCGTTCGTCGCACCCTGAGCCGTGGCAGCGTGGAGAAAAGTGTTCGAAAACCAGAGCATGGCTTTCCCGGAGATAGAAGCTGGTAGTTGAACAGCACGACTATCGAGGCGACGACAGGCGTAGAAGCGGAGGTGCCGAGGACGAGTTCGGATGTGCCGTTGACGATGAGGCTGAAATTCGTACACTGGACGATAATGTGGGGGAGGCGCGACGAGAGGAGTGGGAGATATCCAGATTGGTCGTCTCAAGGTGTCGAAACAGACGCGCCCTGGTATGAAGATGTCATGGAGAAGACGGGGTAAGGCGCTTTGGCTTCGGGCCGAAGTCATCATTGTCAAAATCATCAAATATCCAAACGGCATCAAAACATCCTCATAGACAACCCAACTCTTTATGGAAGGACTGCAATAAATAAAGTATGCTGCGCAGATGACAGATGGACCAGCTCGCCAGATCTACTGCCATTGCATCGAGTATCCTGAGCTTCATCGACTACCTCCGGAGACTGATCAAATTAGGGACCCTCATATGGGCTATTCATACATAGCTGGCTCTTCCTAAGACGGACTGTGAAGGGAGGTCTGCTGCGCACATGGGGGCGGCCGGTGTCCGAAGGAGAGTAAAAGTAATCTGCACATAGTGGTGACACTAATACATTCATGATACATGCAATCTTGTGTGGATTCAAGGTTTATCATACTTGAAACTGACGCAAGTTCTGGATCTGGTTCCCTTCTAGGCGCATACCCATCCATTCAGACATGGATGTAGCTCCGAGGGCCTTCTCATAGAAGTCAATTGACGGCTGATTCCACTACAAACAGACAGTCGTCACATGAGCACGAATTGGTTATGGCCGAAGGTCGAGTCACCGCCCAATGACTCACCTTGAGCACTTGCCAATCGATGCGAGCACAGTCCTGGGACAACTATGAGCGCGCGTAGAGGGGCGGGGAACAGGGGGAGGAACCTTTGCCTCCGCGACCTTGCCGAGCTCGCCAAAGAGCGCCTTTCCGACACCCTTGCCTCTGTAGGATGGATCGACGAAGAGATCCTCGAGCTGCATAACCAGGTAGTGTGCATCAGAATCCGCAAGCTTTGACCGCAGACATGCGCACGTATATCCCGGGCTTGCCTGTCCATGTCGAGTAGTTGAAGAAGTACATCGCCAGGCCAATGGCCTCTCCCGGCGAGTCCGGGGTGCCCGAGACGGCGAGGATGGTGTGAGCGTATGGCGTCTCAAACAGGTTCTTCCTGTACTGCGGTGGGGTAAGAGTTTTGGCCTCAAAAAAGAGTAGTAACCGCGCGCACAAGTTCGGGAGTGGCCTTCACGGCATCTGGCTCTTTCTCATACACAGCCTAGAGCGCGAGCGGGTGAGCGGGTGCGCATGGCGGGCAGAGAGCACGCACGAGAGCAACGACGAGCTTGAGGATCGCGTCCTGCAGCGGCAGATGAGCGCCATCGTGGGCATCGGGGCGGGGGACTCACGACGTCTGCGACGGTAGCCGGGCGGAGGAAGAAGGCCATCGAGGTTCCAGTTTGGGAGAGGGGTGCGCAGGCGGCGGGCCGGCTGGCCGGGCGTGGCTGGGGCATTGTTTGGACGTGTTGACGTGCAAACTTTAATGATTTGCGCGTACCCAAACGGCGAGCAGAGCACGAAACCCATCCGCGCCGCCTCAGCCCCAGTCGACCGCCCCGATCCCCGACCATCAACACCATGGACCCCGCAAAATTGGCCAAGCTGCAGGCCCAGGCCGCGGCCAACAGGATCGGTGCGTCGCTCGTCTCCCGATGGCCGTCCCCGCACCCTCCTCCGCCATCCCGCACCTCTCTCTGCCCGCGTCCGCCGCTCACGCGTGTGCGCCCCCGCAGGTGGCAAGGGCACCATGCGCCGCAAGATCGTCCGCAAGACGAAGCCTTCGGGCGCGCAGGACGACAAAAAACTCCAGGGCGCCCTTAAGAAGCTCAACGTGCAACCCATCCCTGGCGTCGAGGAGGTCAATATGTTCCGCGAGGACGGCAACGTCCTCCACTTCAGCGCACCCAAAGGTACGTCTCTCCATAATTACCCTCTTCCACCCCCCATCCTCTGCGCGAACCAGAGCCCTCCGCACGTGCGGCCCCTATCCTTAGAACCAGCGTCCTTGGATTAGGCTTTCGCGCGTATTCGATGGCGCGTGAACGTCCAGAGCATCGGCGATTGTCCATCGTCCTTGTTTGCAGGCTCTTCTGGACGGACAACTACGCAGCGCTGCGAGAGAGGCGCGGTGCTTTGGGTCCGCCAAGGCATTGGTTCCTCAGTGCTGCCCTCGTCTATGCTTCCCCACTTCTCGCGAACCATGTTCTCATTTCCCCGCAGTGCACGCCGCCGTCTCCGCCAACACCTTCGCCGTCTACGGCGCCGGCCACGTCAAGGAGCTCACCGAGCTCGTCCCCGGCATTCTCAACCAGCTCGGTCCCGACTCGCTCGCGTCCCTGCGCAAGCTCGCCGAGTCCTACCAGGCCATCCAGCAGTCCCAGCAGCGGCCACCTGCCGGTGATGCTGATGACGATGACGACGACGACGACGTTCCCGACCTCGTTGAGAATTTCGATGCCGTCGAGGACAAGCCCGCCGAGACCAAGGCCGAGGAGGAGACCAAGGCTGAGGAGACCAAGGCTGAGGAGGAGGAGGAGAAGAAGCCCGACCTTGACTGAGCGCCCCTCCCCGCGCCCCCACCGAGCTGTGATGCATGCATGATGACCGCATCTGTAGTCGCCGTATCTGTTGTACCCCTTGCACCCACCAAACGCCGCATCCGCCCTTGCCACCCGAACCCGCCCTGCTGCCGTCTCCTGCCATTCTACGTACCTGCTTTCCCGTGCATACGACTGTCCAATGACCGCATTGTAAATTGATCGCAAATGCTGTATGTTTGCTGCCTCTCTTTCGTGCGTGTCTCAAAACCAAGCGCTATAATGTCCATCCTAATTGTACAAGCTACCAGCTGTCCTTCGTGAGCCTCAATTTCGTTTCTTGTTCATCCATCCATCCGTCTCCACCTCCCGCTTCTCAGTGGAACGTCACCTCCCAAGTGCGCACGCACCCGTCCGCGCCCGCACTCGCCAGGCCCGTCGTGCTCATCCACCACACCGAGTTCACGCCGCCGGGGCCCGCGTTCTTGAGCGCGATGTTCTTCATCGGCTTCGGCACGGACCAGACGTACACATGCGTGTCGAGCGAGCCCGAGGCGAGGTGCTGCCCGTCGGGCGCCCACGCGAGCGAGTTGATGCGTGCGGTGTGGAACGACCAGCGGCCGGTGACCATGCTCCGCTTCGGGGCGTCGAAGAGGACGATCTTGCCGGTAGACTGCAAGCGGCGTGAGTGCGCGCTTCTTGGGGAAAAAAATAAAGGGAGGAATGAACGTACATCACCAGCTGCGAGGTGCTGCCCGTCGGGCGTGAACGCGAGCGCGCTGACGGGGCCCTTGTTCCCCTCGAGCGTCGCCTCCTCTTTAAGCACCTTGCCATCCCACGAGTACAGGCGCACTTTCTGGTCCTACAGAGAGAAAAGAAAAAGACGACCCGGCTCGGTCATCTGAAGTGCAGCCCCCCGAGAAGCGCACGGCCACGCACCTCGCCGCCGACAGCCACGACGTCGCCCATCGCTGCGATTGCGCTCGGTGCGAACTTGGTCGGCAGCTCGAACACCTTCTGGTTCGAGCGCACGGCCTCGACCGCGGCAACCTCCGCGACGAGCACGGTGCCGTCTCCTGCAACGGCGACCCCCTTGGGCTGCGCGCCCGTCGAGAGCGACGCGGGGCTGCAGCGCAGAGACGCCGCTCGTCAGACCGACCTCGAGCAGCCGCAGATTGAGACTCACGTGTACGTGGTCCCCTCGAGCTCGCGCAGCTTGTCGTCCACGCCGACCGAGTGCACGGTGCCGCCCGGGGCGGCGGCGAACCCGGCGACGAGGCTCGCGTGCGCCTCGCCGCCCGCATACGCGTATTCGGCGCCGTCGTGTGCGAGCACGCGGCCGTCGGCGGTGCCGACGACGAACGTGGCGCTCCCGCCCGGCGCCCTGAGCCCAGCGGTGACCGCCTTCTGCGGGGCGTGGAGGACGCGGGTGGGGGCCGCGGAGGCGGCGCGCGCGTCGAATAGGTTGAGATCGCCGGACATGGAGAGCGAGACGATGTCGTCGCCGGGGGTCCATGTGTTGCCGACCTGCTGGTTGCTCACCCCAGGACCGAGGGACCAGGTGGTCTTGACCTTCTTAGCGTCGATGTCCCCTGTGGGTTGAGACGTCAGTTGAGAATGAGAAGAAAGAGTACGAGGGACGTACAGAGCTTCACTGTGCAGTCTGCGGAAGAGGTGACGAGCGACTTGCTGTCGGGGCTCCAGCCGCACGCCATCTACCGGCGAGATCAGAACTCGGGTGCGGAGTATGAGGCATGTGGGCCTACAATGCTGCCTGTATGCGGGCTGTCCGTGAGCTCCGCGACTACGTCGCCCGTCTTTCCATCGTAGAGGAACACCTTCGAGTCCGAGCCGACACTAGCGAAGACGTCGCCCGAGGGTGAGAATCGGACATCTTGTACGAATTTCGCATGGTTCTTGATTGGCTGGTAGGACGCAGTTGTCAGTCACGGTGGTAATGGAACCGTAGAACGGGTGTCAACCGACCTTGTCGAGCTTGAAAGGTACTCCTTGGTGAAAGACTATGGTAGTGTCGTCTGAGGCCGTCGCGGCGCGGTATGGGCGCTGTTGCCTGATGCTCACAGCGTTGATGATCTATGGAGATGTCAACCACTGAAATGAGTAAGTGCGCTCAAGGACAGGGAAGCTCACCTTAGAGTGTCCAATGATATCTCCCGTTGATGACCCCGAGTCCATCATGAACGCGTGGCCGAACCTGCCATGCTTGTGAACCCCCAAGTATGAATGTTTGGAATGTTGTACTCACTTGTCCCGTCCATCTCCAACGGCAATGATACGCTTGCTCTCCCCGTCCCATTCCAAATCCTTGCTTCAAAGTCCCCAACCTCATGAGACCCTAACACGCAAAGAGATAGAGATAGGGAACGTACTCACATACGTCCAGCAAGAACTTTGTACTCTGCCTTCAACGTCTGCTCCTCCCCCACCAAGTCCCATATTCGCACTGGAGAGCGTCTGAGCACTGGTGGTACTCACCCAAAACATCGTACCCACCATTTCCGGATGCGTCTCCCGACGCGCAGTAGAAGCCCGTGGGGGAAATGCGTGCCGCGGTTGCGTTGTGAACATGGCCGCTGTACGCGATGCAGGAGGCGACGTCCTAAGGACAGAGCATGGGTATGCTGTTCCGGGAAAGAGCGTTCAGCATACTGACTTTGAGATCCCGAACCTGCGAAGGACCCCGTCAACTACGACCTCAGGTGCTTGAGATCAGCATACTCACAATAACGGTTCGTCCATTTGTGTAGACGATCTTGTCTTTACTTGAGCTGAGCTTCGTAGGCTCTCCACGCGTCGTCACGGGGGCGCAAGGATACAGTAATCCCTTCTTGAACGACATGATAGCAGATGAGGTGGGGCGCGGTTGCTGCGACGCCCTCCGCTGCGCGCACCACGCTGATCGTCGTCGACGCGGGCGGCAGATCCACCCGATTTGGCAGACGGCGCGGTCACCTGACCTCCCCACACGCGACGCGACGCGTTGAACGGTCGAAGGCGAGCTGCCAACTCCCAGCTCAAACGACTCCAGATCACGACCCAAAAGGATGCAATTAACTGAGGAAGTAGCATTGAGGGAGAATACATATACAGATTGTTATCAGATACAAAGCAACATCACGATCAGCATGAGCAACCAAGTACTCAATCATCAACGGGGCGTTCTTCTTCGCTATAGTTCTTGAAGGGATCTTTGCGCAAGGCTTCAGCTTCTGCGCTCATCGTAACATCTTTGACAGCGGGCTTCGGACGCATGACAGTCCCGGGAGGTGTCGTGGTAGTCGAGGTTGACGGTGTGCCAGGCTGTCAACGAGTTCGATATTAGTCACCACCCGTGAAGTTACAACCCAAACACATACCTCGTCCTCGTCTCTGAATGGAACAAACTTGGGCGTCGACGGCACAGGGGGTAGGGAGGAAGTGGCAGGCTCGTCTTCGTCCCGAAACACAGGAATGGCGCTCTTACTGGACCCCGCCACCTTGCTCTTGCCCTTCTTCGCGCCCGAGTCCGCTGGACCCGCGTTCTCCTCGCCATCTTCGTCTTTGAACACCGTGATCGAGCTCTTGCTCGCCGTCCTCCCCTTCGCCTTCTTCGCAGGGGCCGGCTCCATAGCCTCGACACCCTCGTCCCTGAACACCGCGATGGAGCTCACCGAGCTCTTGCTCGCCGAACGTGCTTTGCCCTTCGCCGCGGGCACCGGCGGGGGCGGCATCGCCGCTGCATCGTCCTCTGGGGCCGGGTCCCGGAAGACTGCGATGCGCGAGCCCGACGGCGCGCGCGTCCCCCGGCCGGCATGGCGCAGCGTCGTCCCCGCCATCTTGCTCACCTCCCCCGTGTTCTCCTTGACGCGCGTCTTGCGCGTACCCAGCTCTGGCCACGGCGATGGCTGCGCGGCCTGCTCCGGGTCGTTCTCGGCGTCGCCGGTGGGGTCGACGAAGACCGGGAGGCGGCCGTTCGGGCGCGGGGCGGCCGGCAGGGGCGCGGAGAAGACGTCCTGCGTGTTGCTCGCGTTGGATGGGGCGCGCGAGGTGCGCGTGCGGGAGGCCGGTGCAGTGTCGCCGAGAGCTCGGCGGCGGGGCGCGTCCGTCTGAGGTGCATCGGTGGGAGGGGAGCTGGTGGCGATTGAGGGGGAGGCCATCATGCGCTTCTGGAACTCGCGGTGCTTGGTCTCGAGGCGTTCGAGGGGTGCGGCTTTGCGAGCGATGCCGAGAAGGAAGGTATCATCCGCTTCGGCGCGCCTGGGTGCAGGTCAGACCCTAGGAGGTCTTTGGAACAGTATGCGGCACTCACCTGTTAGCTCTCTCCAGTGCCGTCGCGTACTCCTCGTAGAGCAATGCATGGTTTGTCCCGATCTCGTTCACAAGGAGGTACTTGAAGACGATGGTGGGCTTGTCCACGTAGCTCGCATATAGCACCCACAGCTTCAAGTACCTCAGGTCGTTTCTCCACTTCCCTCCCCTGTCATCCCTGAGCATGCGCGTTGCCTCCTCAAGCAGTTCGAGTAGACCAGATTCCGCACTGTGGCCTTGCGGGTAGTTCTCCACCGTCCAGTAAACAAAGCGTGCGTACGCCTCAAGGGGGTCTACATCTTCGTCTTCGTCATCCATCGCTATCTCAACGTTGGTCCGGTGACGTTTGCGTGCGTCAGCCAGACGCGTTTCGCGTTGAGCATGAGGTGTAGTAAGGAGCTGGGAGAGTGCGGTGACACGCCTGCCGGATGCGAGAGGTTGAATGTTTTCTTTGGCAGCCTCGATGACGTCTCCGTCGACTATTACTGGAGCAGGGGTATCATCAGTGAAGACGTCGAACATCGTGCTGAGTGGCGAAGAGAGAGGAGCAAGTGGCTGCGAGAGCAGACAAAGTCCGGGAACGAGTTCAACGCAACACCTAACCCTAATTCAGGTTCTGCCGTGTCGGCTACTTCCGAGGATCGCTGGGGTTACTACTCAGTACGTGTTTGCTGCGAATATGTACGACGATGTATCCCTGTTTGATGCTCCTTTTGATCATTGTAGTACGTATACACGCTAACGCCGCGCGGACGACGAACCGTCGCCGCGGCGGTCTAATGCCACTACTGTTCATCCAACCAATCTGGGATCCGCATCCGCACTTAGTTCTGGTCCTCGACGAGGTTGCTTGACGCCTTGAGGTCCTCCCGCACCATCTCCTTCACGAGCTCCTCGAATGCGACCTTACGTTTCCACCCAAGCAGGCGTTCCGCCTTCGCCGGGTCACCGAGAAGCAACCTAGGGGCCGAGGCTGCGTCAGCCGCCTGTGTAAAAAAGACCCACCTGAAAGGCTGGGGTAAACGAAAGAAATACGCACTCGACCTCAGCGGGACGGAAGTACTGCTTGTCGACCTTGACGACAACACGGCCGCTCGCGGCGTCATAGCCTTCCTCCTCCTCACCAGTCCCGCGCCACTTGATGGTGTAACCGAGCTCAACGAACGCCTTCTCGACGAACTCGCGAACAGGATGCGTCTCGCCCGTAGCAAGTACGAAATCCTCGGGCGCCTCCTGCTGGAGCATGAGCCACATGCCCTCGACATAGTCCTTTGCTAGAGAATGCGAAGCGTTGGTTAGCATGCTTCTCCGGGATAGGGCATGGATAACACGGAGAGGAGACGGGGATTGGGAGACGGAGATCGCGCAGCAGAAACACGTACCGTGTCCCCAGTCACGCTTCGCGTCCATGTTCCCGAGGTAGAGGCACTTCTGCTTGCCGAGGTGAATGTCTGCAACTGCACGCGAGATCTTCCTGGTGACGAATGTGCGACCACGGCGGGGGCTCTCATGGTTGAAAAGGATGCCGTTGCAGGCGTACATGCCGTACGCCTCGCGGTAGTTGACGACGATCCAGTACCCGTACAGCTTGGCAACGCCGTACGGCGAGCGCGGGTAGAACGGTGTGGTCTCCGACTGCGGCGTTTCAACGACCTTCCCGTACAGCTCCGACGTTGACGCCTGGTAAAAGCGCACCACCTTCTCGAGTCCGCACGTCCTGATCGCGTCCAGCAGGCGCAGAGTACCGAGCGCGTCAACGTCGCCGGTATACTCGGACAGGTCGAAGGAGACCTTGACATGCGACTGCGCGCCGAGGTTGTACACTTCAGTCGGGCGTACGTTGGCAATGATGTACACCAAGTTCGTCGAGTCCGTCAAGTCGCCGTAGTGCAGCTTGAACTTGGTCCCCCCTAGGTGCGCCGTGAGACCCCGTCGGAAGGCAGGCGGGATTGCGACTCACTCTTTTCGTGCTGGTCGGCATAGAGCGAGTTGAGACGACTGGTGTTGAAGCTGGACGAACGGCGGATGATGCCGTGGACGTCGTAGCCTTTCTCAAGAAGGAGCTCGGCACTGCAAAGGCACGTGGTCAGCGACTGAAAGCAAGCGATGCTTGCGAGTACACGCTGCAGCCATGAGGTTCCGTGCAGTTCCCCCGCAATCTCGCACGTCGCGCGCAGTGCACACCGGAGTCACGGACGAATTCGAGGGGCATGGCCACAATTTCGAGGAACACAGGGGCCCACCATCGACGATGGACCCCGATCCTTTTGAAGGGATCCGCGAGAAGTAATAATAAACACAGATGTGCTCACAGGTAAGAACCATCTTGGCCAGTAATACCTGTACATGCGCAGATCAGGATGAGCGGCGCACGAGACCAGGAGGGCGCAGGACGCACCAGTGATGAGCGCAACCTTGCGCTTGCGATACTCTACCGCCTGCGCGTCCGTCATCTTCGAAAGGAACGGCGTCGAAACGTCGGTCATGGTGGCCAAAGTCGCGGTCAAAGGGTGGGCTCAGAGGACGGCGGGATGGAGGAGGGGAGCAGGAAGTGCGGAGTGAGGGCTGCTGATCTCGACGCGCGAGGGCATTTATTGCTTATCCGTAGGCGCCCCCTACTCGATCGCTAGCGCCCGCTGTGACCGCGATGCCGCCGCGGCGAATGTGTACATGTGTCCCGGTATATCCTCATCGACAGCCATCACCGCGCTCAGCAGGCTCCTTCAAGGCCTGACGAAGAGGGAAATCGCGATGGGCGCGGAGGGCGGTCTACCGCTCACGCCCACATAGCGAACACAAATGTCATTCATGGTTGTAGTAGGTGTCAGCTCCGAGTGCAAGAGGCGGTCCTCTGACCACAACACATCCATCGCGACCCCCGCGCCCAGCTTCAGCCGTGTGTCGCATCGACTCGAGGTTCGAAATGCCCGTACTGCGTGTCGACTGCGATCGCGCGTAGTCAACGGTTCCGGCCGACGCGCCCAATGGTCGCGCGTGTGATTGAGGGTCGGAAGCCAGGGAGCGCAGTCAAATCGGCCTTGCGGCCGCAGAGCGAGGCCGCGTAGTGGCTTCGTGGCGCCGCCAGTGCTCCTCTTGGCGGCCGCCCTAGGAACGGGGTCCCTGTTGTGCGGGGTACTTAGAGGACATCAGGCGTGCAGAAAGCGTTTTCACCAACGTGATAGCCGCGCATACTTTTGTGAACTGTCGTTAGACAGAGCCCATCGCCTGCACGCAAGAGACCACAAATCATCACAACACATCACTCAGATTGCACGCACGCGGGATCCGACCCATGCTCGTCCCTGCCGGACCCGGCTTGCCCAGCACACCTGGACTTTAGCTGATGGTGATCGCGGATGGCAGTGCTACTGTGCTACACTCGATAATAATGCCGGCTTGAAAGTTGGAAGACCCACAGCTGAGACCTGGACAGTGATCACCGTTTGATCATAAATCATATCCAGCCTCCAACGCACTCTTGTCTAAAATTGTCGTCTTGCCGTTTCACATTCGAACGCACAGCCCGTTTACCGAAGGATGCGGCTCTATCGTTACTTATCTTCGCGTGCAGGTCTGCCTGAGGGAACCCTAGGAAATTCGTAGAGATCACGCGTCCCTTCTCAATAATGTTCACGCGATCATACACATGTGCAGATAGGACATGAATGCGAGCACTGTGGTAAAAGAGTAGTCTCCCCTAGGCATCCCATATTCTATGATAAAAGAGGCGTCATACACAGCACTCACTTTTGCTTTTGTTGGAGTCACGAAGAGGGCACAGTGGCAAATGTATCCGCACAAAAGCATCGGTATCTGCATAAGAATATTCACGCAAAGTGAATGGTGCCATGTTTAAGAGGGTGAGCGCGAGTGTCACAACTTTTAATTCGTTTGAACCGTCGACCAAGGACACGATATGGTGTGCGCACCGCCACGTTACGAGCAGCTCTCTAGTTGTCGGGCATATCCGTGGTGTGAGAATCGCTGCACACAGTGAGGGATCTACATCGGAACTTCTGTAAGCCACGCACCGTTGTAGTAGGGGTAGATGTGACCGTGTTTGTTGGTATGTACTATAGATCTTTGCGTTGTTGACGGCGTGCAATTGTTGGGTAAGTATTCAAGGCAGTTTTGGGCGAGAGCGAAAAGCACCCTCACCTCCGTGTAAAAGCGATACAGTGAGAGCCGTTCACAGCATGGTCGGAATATGCCCCAGAGCGGCAAGGATGGTAGTGAGAGACAGAGAGAGATGTATAAGCAAGTAATTAAACCGGCAGCCCAAGCAACTTCCGGGCCGGCGCAAGCGCCTGACGCCGCCAAACTCTCGATTTTATCACTTTGAGCTTGGCCTCAGCCTTCTGTCGTGACCTTTAGCTGACCTCCCTCTGCTGACCCGCATCTGCCATCACTTGCTTCGCTCTATGTCTTTGTCTGGGCTTAAACGAAAGACAAAACCGTCTTCTTCTTCTCTGGCAAAGCGCGTAAAGACTAAGCACGTCCTCACAGACGAACTTCCTTGGGAAAAAGTTGTCAAACCTCGGGAGGCCGACCTGGGAACGGGCCTTGATGGATTCCTGGAGCTTGAAGAGGTTGACGATGTGGATGTCGTCTACGAGGAGACAGATGCGGGGCGGGTCGTGAAGTTTAAGGTATGATTCTTCTTTCGTGCATGTATACGTCGCCAATCGCAGCCTCCAGGTCCGAGACGATGATGACGGTAGCATCGTGGTTGGGAACTCCACCAACGTCGAGAGAAAGCAGGTGGATGTGGATGCGCTGCCCGAGCCCATACACTTTGACAGTACGCCGCTACTATCCTCCGCTGACTCCTCTGGTACTGAACGGAAGTGCAGCGAAGTCGAAGGTACCCGAATGGGTGCCATTCGGCCTACATCCTCTGCTTGCGCGCGCGTTGCACGCTAAGCATTTCACCACTCCCACTCCGATCCAAGCGCAAGCTCTCCCCTTCGCGTTGAAAAACCGGGACGTTGTGGGCGTTGCTGAGACCGTGCGTGTTTCTCCTGCACTGTGTCTGTGTTGTCCTTAACGTGCCCTTTTCGCGAATGCAGGGTTCGGGAAAAACTCTGGCATATGGTCTCCCCATCCTCCACCATCTCTTGTCCGAGGCATATGCCAGCCCTATTCCGAACTCCAGGACACGCCGCCCCGTCCGTGCACTCATTCTCGCCCCCACGCGTGAACTCGCACTGCAAGTGTCGTCGCATCTGAACGAGTGCCTCAGCCATGTCGGTGAATCGGGAGATGATGCTGCAGAGAAGGTGCTACAAAAGAAAGCGGGCAAGGGGAAGGGAAAAGCGAAGGACGAGCCGAAGGCGGACGGTGCGAAGCCAAAGCATCCTCCGTTAGTGAGTGTCGCGGCTATCGTTGGAGGCATGTCGGCGCAAAAGCAGCGTCGTATCTTGTCAAGAGGGGTGGATGTGCTGGTTGCTACCCCTGGCCGTTTATGGGACATTATCCAAGAGGTACGTCGCACGACCTTGTCTCTTCGACTGCGTATATTCAGCGTCATCACAGGACGATGAACTTGCGAACCAAATCGAGGATCTACGCTTCCTTGTGCTCGACGAGGCGGATCGCATGATTGAGACCGGCCATTTCGCGGAGCTGGACAATATCCTTCGACTCACGTTACGCAAATCAGAGTGCGCTAGGGTTCTTCTTGTGCTCGTTCTGACGCTGATGTTGCCTTCGTGCAGCGATGATGTTATTGAACCAGACAATTCCATGGAGAAGGAAGGAGACAATGACGAAGACACGAAGGAGGGCGTTCGATCCGGGGACCTGCAGACATTTGTTTTCTCTGCGACCCTCAGCAAGGATCTCCAACGGAACCTCAAAAAGCGGCGCTCCCATAAGCACAAGAAGAACGGCAAACCGGCATCTACACTTGACGATCTACTCCTACGCCTCGACTTCCGCGATCCGGACCCGGCGGTCGTCGACCTCGCCCCTGTTGGGACCGTCGTTGCCACGCTGAAGGAGTCCAAGATTGAATGTCTCGCGCAAGACAAGGACGCCTACCTATACTACTTCCTCCTCCGCTACCCCGGCCGTACACTCGTTTTCCTCTCCGCGATCGACGGCATCCGGCGGCTGCTCCCGCTCCTCACGCTGCTCGGACTCCCTGTGTTCCCGCTGCACTCCCAACTCGAACAGCGGCAGCGGTTGAAAAACCTGGACCGTTTCAAGTGCGCCGCGAACGCGGTGCTGCTAGCGACGGACGTCGCTGCTCGCGGGCTGGACGTCGTCGGCGTTGACCACGTCGTGCACTATCAGGCCCCGCGCACGGCGGACGGGTACGTGCACCGGAACGGGCGTACCGCGCGCGCCGCGCGCAAGGGCTTCAGCCTGCTCATGTGCGGCCCCGACGAACGCCGCACCGTACGCGCGCTCCTGGGGAGCCTTGGCCGTCGTGCGTGTCCTGCGCGCTTCTTTTCCGCTGTGTGCATGCGTGCTGACCCCTCTGGGTGCAGAGGAAGACGAGATGGCGGAGATGCCGGTCGAGCTGTATATGCTCGACCGCCTCAAGGAGCGCATCCAACTCGCGCGCTCGATCGACAACGCCCAGCACCGGGCGAAGAAGGCGAGCCACGAGCGGAACTGGTTGAAGGAGGCCGCGGAGGCGATGGAGATCGAGCTCGACTCCGATCTCGCGAGGTGCGCTCGATCGATCGCGTTCCTGTGTCCCCTCGCTCACCCTCGTCCCTTCTTCCGTGTTCTCGCACGAGCAGCGACGACGACGCGCCGTCGAAGCAGCGGATCAAGGCTGGTGCCGCGAAGGTCGCAGCGCTCAAAGCTGAGCTGAAGGCGATGCTCGCGCAGCCCCTCGTCGCCCGCGGGGTCTCCACGCGGTACATCACCTCGGGTATGCATTCGATTGCGGACGACATGGTGGCGGGACAATGTGCGTGCAATCCTTTGTTTAGCGTCTTTCGAACGGGTGCTGACAGACATTTCGTGCCCTCTTTGGCTGTGCAGACCACGAGACGATGGTGGGACTGAAAAAGGTGGAGGCTGGTTCAGATTTGGCGCCCGCGAAGAAACGCAAAGCAAAGGGCAAGCGGGTGAAGGAGCAGGAGTTCGAGGAGTGGCACGGTATCTCGCAGGAGTCGTGAGCTGTCGCATCTGTACCGTAGGCGGGTGCCATCCGCTCATCCCTGCTTCCACTCATGATCTATGACTCCTTTCGCGCACAGTATTCCGCTGCTCAGATGGTGTTCAGACTGTTCAGAGCAGAACAGTCCATATGCGCCTCGATGGTTTTGAACGAGTTCTGCGCGACGTGTGGTGGTTGTTCCCGGTGTGATGATCCAGTACCCATTGTTTTCCAACTCGGTCGTGGCCACAGTGGACTCTGACAGATGCCTGCGGTGCGTCCAATGGTAGCAAAACTCAACAAGCCGTGCAACCTCAATTCGGGATCACCGCAGAACATCTAAAAGTGACCTCGCACACGACATAACGTCGTCTTTTTTTCCAACACAAAGCCGGCTGCATGATGCTTTCACAGGTGATAGCAGCTTCAGGTGGGGAAAGCCCGGGTTGGGTACGCGCGAAGTCTCTGACTGATTATCTCGAACCTCTAGTGCACCTCTTGTACGACTGGCTATCCGCCGAAGAGTCCGGTATATCTAGGCAACCTTCTGGGTATATGTCTGCGTCGGCTGCATATACTTATACAGACCAATGGAGAAGTGGCGGGCCGATGATCCCGACGCACGTGAGCGTGTCAGGCAGCGAGCGCTAGCGTTGGGCCCGAGGGTCCTGGTCAAGCTCCGTCCGCCGTCCGGCCAACCCCAACATCGTCCACATCCCACCTCCCGCGCACTCCTCCACCTTTTACATTGACCACGACCATCCTCGTCTTTTCCTTCCAGAGAAGCACTCATCACCAGCTCTTACCCCGTCCACATGCTCACTAGCACTTCCCGGACTATCACGGGCCGCACTCTTCCCCATGTCGCCAAAGCCGCGCGCTCGGTCACTGCGCTCGCCCGTTCATCGCTGGAGACGGAGTGCTTAAGAACAAGTGCAGCCAAGTTTTCCACCTTGACGCGTCCGTCCTTCCGTCATCACCCGCAAGTACGCACATTTGCATCTGCCGTCGGTACGGATGCCCATTCTTCTTTCGCTAGCCTTACACCCATGCCCCCCACCATGCAGATGAGCATCCCACATTGCTGCAGAAGGAGCACCACAGACCTCTCTTCGACAAGATTCTCATCGCCAATCGGTAAGCCCGTGGTCTTTTTCCGTGGTCCCGTTTCTCAAGAAGGAGCCTTCTCTTTCCAGAGGAGAGATCGCGTGCCGCGTGATACGCACCGCCCGGAAGCTTGGAGTGAAGACTGTCGCGGTTTTCAGCGAGGTGGACGCGGACTCGCTTCATGTGAAGCTGGTACGTTCTCTCCCAGACCACGGCACGCGGAGGGTTGAAGCGCGGTTGTAGGCGGATGAGGCGTATTGCATTGGTCCCGCGCCGTCTGCGGAGAGCTACGTGAGTTCTTTCCCTATTGCTTGCGCACGTTGTCCTGAAGAGACGGGCCCTACCAGCTACGCATAGACAAGATCATCGAAGTGTGCCGCAGAAGCGGCGCGCAGGTGCGTGTTTGCGAGATTCGAGCGCATATATCTATCCTCAGTTTGGATTGTAGGCGGTACACCCGGATATGGTTTCCTCAGCGAGAACGCCAACTTCGCGGAGCGACTTGCGCAAGAAGGCATTACCTTCATTGGGCCTCCGGCGAGTGCGATCGTGAGCATGGGCTCGAAGAGGTGGAGGACATGTCGTTGTCAGCGGCAGCAGAGAAACTGACTTGAGAGACAGCGAATCAAAGAATATCATGTCTGCGGCAGGGGTTCCGGTGGTACCAGGATACCACGGGACAAACCAGGACCCCGATTTCTTACAACAAGAAGCGTCGCGCATAGGTAAGAGGCTCTTCACCTTTTCCTGCGTTCGCCTCCCGTCTGAGACTTGCCACGTAGGCTACCCTGTTCTCATCAAGGCCGTCCACGGAGGTGGTGGCAAAGGCATGCGCATCGTTCACGCACCTGGCGAGTTCCACGAAGCTCTTGCTTCGGCTCAGCGCGAGGCGACGAAGTCCTTCGGCAACGCGGACGTGCTTGTCGAAAAGTACATCGAGCGGCCGCGCCACGTCGAGGTGCAGGTGTTCGCGGACACCTTGGGCGGATGCGTGAGCCTGTGGGAGCGCGACTGTTCCGTGCAGCGGCGGAACCAGAAGATCATTGAAGAGGCACCTGCCCCAGGATTGACGCCGGAGCTGCGCGCCGATTTGAGCCAGAAGGCTGTCGCGGCCGCCAAGGCTGTCGACTACGTTGGAGCGGGTACCGTCGAGTTTATCTTCGATAACGACACCGAGAAGTTCTACTTCATGGAGATGTGAGTTTCCGTAACATTTGGCATTTGTCTCCGCTGATTGGGGTCTTGCAGGAACACTCGTTTGCAAGTTGAGCATCCTGTGACGGAGATGATCACGGGACTTGATCTTGTCCAGTGGCAACTTGAGGTGAGTATTCAACCGTCTTCACGCTTGCGTTTCGCTCACATCCTTCGTGCAGGTAGCAGCCGGAAACTCGCTTCCTCTCGACCAGTCGTCAATACCACTCGTTGGGCATGCGTTCGAAGCGCGCATATACGCCGAGAACCCACGCAACAACTTCCTCCCCGACTCCGGTCAACTCGCCTACCTCTCCACACCAGCACCTACCCATGTATTTGCGCCTCCTCTTCAGGATTACCGGATACCTCTGGCGGAGGGCACTTCACCCTTCATGCCTATCGCAAACACATCTGCGGCCATCGCGCCCTCGCTCCGTCTGGAGCAAGGGTTCGAGCAAGGTGCCCAGATTGGCGTCTTTTACGACCCAATGATTGCGAAGCTTGTCGTGCATGGGCGCGATCGGACGGAGGCTCTGAGGAAGCTGCGAGGGGCACTCGAAGAGTACAGGGTGGTTGGTGTATCCACGAACATCGAGTTCTTGCGCGACCTGGCGGGACATCAGGCGTTCATTGACGGAGACGTCGAGACAGGATTCATTCCGGTATGTCGTGCGGGCTACTGAAAATTGTGTCCCAGTTAACGTATCGTTTCAGAAACACTTCGACGAGCTCTTCCCATCCACACCCGAGCCGTCCGACGAAGCTCTCGCACAAGCCGCACTTTTTGTCATCCTGCGTGACGAGCCTGTCCCCACTTCCTCCAACCCTTGGACGACACTCACCTCTCGGCGTTTCAACGGCGACGTCTACGAGCGCACCATAACCCTCCAACCTGACACAACAGACGACTCATCCCCGCCCACCTACTCCGTCACCGTCCGCTCCCTCCCCGACCGCACGTACACCGTCACAACCACCCGTCCCGACGGCTCTTCGCGCACCTTCCCCAGCGTCTCTGCCGCACTCGAGTCCCCCACCACGCTCCTCACCACGCTCGCCGGCACGCGCACCCACACGACCATCGTCCCGCAACCGGCGCCGGCCGGCGCGTCCGCGACGAGCGCGTCGCGCGTGCACGTCTTCACCCCCGGGTCCGCGGCGCGCACCGCGCTCGTGCTCCCCGCGCCCGCGTGGCTCAAGGCGCTCTCGGCGGGCGCGGCGGGCGCGGGCCACAAGGGGGCGCTGCGCGCGCCGATGCCGAGCGTCGTGGTCGAGGTGCGGGTCGCGGTCGGGCAGCGGGTCGAGGCGGGCGCGGCGGTGGTGGTGCTGGAGAGCATGAAGACGGAGACGGTGCTGAGGGCGCCGGTCGCGGGCGTCGTGCGGGCGGTGGGGTGCGCGAAGGGGGAGATGGTGGAGGAGGGGAGGGAGTTGGTGGACGTGGAGCCGGAGGGCGAAGGAGAGGCGTAGGTGCATGGCTGGACTTCGGACGAACGGAGGGATGTCCTGGATGTGTACGATATGCTGAAGGCCTGATACTGAGCCCATGTGTGCTGACCGCGCGGCGGCCCGCCATGAACTCGCCGACCTTTGTCTGTGTCCCTAGTCTCTTTAGAGGTGCGGTGGTCGACGCTTGGTCGTAGCCCAGTCGTTCATCCTGCGATGAAGTACGTGACGGGCGTCGGCTCCGCGTCTCGCGGTCGGCGTACAGCCAGCAAGTACTGGTGGCAATGAGCTTTTGTGAGCTACGCACCCCAGTCTCAAAAGCGTCGTCGACCCCATCACATCTGTGTTTCGATGATGGATGATATACCAACGTCACCTTCGACGGTGGCAACCAACTCGTCCAGTATCTACATCTAGTCGCCCTGTGGATGGGCGCCTTTCCCGGTGTGCTTGCTCTTAGTACCTCAGTATTCGAACATGCGATCCATGTCCTATGTGGCATACGTGGGCTGACGTGGCTGACGTGGCTGGTGCGCCTTGGGTGAAATCATGCAGGCACTGGGCACTCATTTGTTTCCAGGCGTGGCCTTCTGCTCACCATCGAGATTTGCCAGCCGGCGCACTAGTTTGGCTCAGTGTAGCAACCTCCCTGTGCTAACAAAGCCTACCCGCAGCTTGGGTGGGGACGAGCGAGGAGATTATTCCATGCGCACCCAGGGGCGCCGTGCACGAGGAATGAACGCTTCCCATGCGAGCCGCATCCGCGGAGGCGGGAGTGGACGCGAGGCGGGTAAACCTGAGCGGCTCTCGTCCGCCCCATTTGAGTGGGGAGCCCGAGCCGCCATCCCGCTCCCTTCTCTCCCGTCCTTTCTCCTTTGCTGCAGCCTCCCCTCTTCTCCCACACACCCCGCACTCGCCATGTCGCCCTCCTTCTCCTCCCCCCCGCCCTCGCCCCTCCTCAACCGCCTCTCCTCCTCCACCCCCCGCGCCGCTGGCAGCAGCGCCCACGCCTTCAAGGCCATGCCCCTCAAGCTCGCCAGTGCCGCGAACATCATCGTCCGCCTCAGGCGCACCCGCGCCGCCGCGAAGGCCCACCACATCGCCTCCACCTCGGGCGACGCGCCGCGCACCCACCCCGCGCTCGCCGCCGACGGCGCCGTCCTCCCCCGCCGCGTCCCGCTCGAGGAGCGCGTCACGTTCGTCTGCCGCGACGGCGTCGACGGCGCGAAGCTCCTCCGCGGCGTGCGCGCCCTCCTCCTCCAGCAGGCCGCCGACATCGGCGCCAACGTGCTCGTCGACGAGCAGTGCGTCTTCTCTGCGCCCCCTTCTCTCCTCTGTCGCAAGCTGACTCTGCCGTTCTGCCGGCGTAGGTGGCAAATGACCATCTGCGGGCCGCGGCACAGGTCCGACGGGTCGTTCAAGGTCCATGTGAGTGTCGTTCTCGATTCTGCCTTTGTCCTTTGGCGAGGTGTCCCAAGTGGAGGGATACCAGTCCAGAGCGCCTGAGCTTGCCCCCAATCTCGGGCCACCCGTCTGCGCTGCCCACGCCGTGCTCCGCATGCGGCCACTCCGTCGACGCCCTCCACGTCCCCGCGCCAGATGGGTGCAGCCGTGCCCAGGCGACGGCGCGCCATTGGAATCAGCGTTCCCCGCTCTTCTCATGCTTCCCACGTCTTCTCGTGGCTACCAGCCCGCGCTCTTCCCTGAGGACAACGGACGCTGACCGCAGCTGCTCTCCTCCAGGTTGACTACTACGCCTGCGGCGCCCGCTCGCAGACGCAGCGGGACCCCCAGCAACCGGTCGCGCTCGAGAACATCAAGGATGTTCCGGGGCTCATGACCATCGTCTCCCGGTCAGACTGAAACCTGATGCACCCCCTCCTCTATTGTCTTCCTTCTTGTCACACATACGCACGCCCACGTCCCTTGCACGCACGCATGCCTTCATGCCTCGCCTTTCCACGTTCTCAGAGCCCCACCCACGGAAACTCTCCCTCTCCTTCGCCCACATCTAACGGACCTCTGCGGACCCTGTACTCGTACGACGACAGCATATTTTATTCACTGGCACTAAAACCCTCAATACGAATTCGCCTCGAGACATAATACGCTCTTTACACACCTTGCACCCCGCCTCCGTACCGTTACCGACGCATGTACCACCACCCCCCGAGCCGAGCCGCCGCAGCCTCGACTCCCCCCGGCCCCCGCCCCGCGCGCGCCGTAATCCTCCGTAATCGCCTAGTTACACCTTACCAGTACTGCACATCCCCCGTCAATCGCCCGCACACGCGCCGACATCAAATCACACCGCGTTCGTCACTTACTCAACGGACGGACTACGGTCAGACTGCCATCGGCTCATTGTGAGCTCTTTGTCGCTCGATCTGGGTGTTTCCTGACGGACTCCCGTAAGGTAGTCCCGGCGCAAACACGACTACGTCAGGTGACCTTGGCGCCGTCACGCTCCTCTGACGCCGGGGCCGTTTGGCACAGGGAGCACAATGTAAATCGATAGGATACTCAGGGTGCACTTTATCCGTTAAAGCGTTCTACGGAAGTTGTGAAAAAAGATGTAATCCATATATTCCGTAAAGCAGAAGTGCAAAAATGTGAACGTTCAGAGAGGAGATAGTTCTGCACTGAGAAGGAGTATAGGTAAGTCAATTTCCATGGTACCTACAGGAACGCAGGCAAATACTGTTGCCGAATGCTGTGGCGCAAACTGGACTTCTACAGCTCTTCCAATATCGTTAGGCCGTTCTCGCGCAGGAGCGCGAGTGGGGTCGCGTTTAGTTTTGGAGCAGGCCATAGCGCGTAGCGCCCTCGCGTACCACCGCACGACGGGCAGCGCGAGCGCGAGTCCGCGCACCGCCGCGAGCACTGCTCGCACGCGGCGATGTCTCCGTGTGCACCCCCGTGCGCATAGGCTTGTGCTCGCGCGCGAGGGCTCACGTCCAAACTTCCGTCAGGACTTGAACGTAGGGCATAAGTGCCCTTGCACCAGGTGGAGAGGCCATTCCACAATGTGATGTGTCTATCCGGTGATCATGCTGTTGCCCCACCTCGCCAGGCTCATGCGCGAGGAGTCTGCGGCGCACTTATAGATATCGCCACATGTGTGCGGTGCTCGCGGCGGTGCGCTCGGACTCGCGCTGCCCGTCGCGCGTGGTGCGCGAGGGCGTTAGGCGCCGTGGCCTGCTTCATTTAAAACTAAACACGCGGCCCCAGTAGTACTCGCGCTCCCACGCGAGAAAGGCATATCGATATTGGAACAGCTTTAATACCTAATCCCACGCGCATCCTTTTCCTTATGGTCTCCCGCACTGTACTGACTCCGATACACTTTACCTACTGTGCGCCTTTGGTTGAGCGCGCCAATGATATCTTCAGCCGCCGAACAGATAACTCCTCCTCACGTGCTCGAGTCACAGATTGTGACGCCCATCACACGTAGTCGTGTTTGCGCCGGGACTACCTTGGGCGGGCGGCGCGGCGCGGCGCGAAGACGAGTATGAGGACTTCTTCGTGACCGCGAGGGCGGGCGTGCCCGTCGTGTTGCAGGTTAGGCGGGGAAAGCACGCATATATAGTACGTGGGTGTCGCCCTTCCGTCGTTTAATTGCCTCGCGAAATGCAGAAAACGCTTTTATGCAGGCGCTCGCCACGATACGTCTGAGCGTTCGGACCATCCGTCGTTTACTTTGGCGTCACCGCACATACGCATCAGCTCAAATATTGTCTCGTATCGCCTTCACCCATAGTGACGCATATCGGCCGCCGCTGTCCAAGCCGCCGCCTGCGTACCTCGTATGGGGGTCGACGTTAGATGCTCTTGTTGCCGCAATGCAGCGAGACTGCTATCGTGAACGCAAACTGCTCTTGGGGCAGGAGTAGTAGTGGGCACGCTGAGAACACAGGCTCTCGCGATGGGACGAAGAGGGATTGCTCGACGCAGTGCACGGGGTCCAGCACGACGTTGGACGTTCGGGTGGCGGCCACAGGGGCTCTCTCTTGCGTTTCCTCTGCCCATCATGGCCAAGAAGGTTTCCCTCCGTTTGCCCCGTCCAGACGACGACTCGGTGTCCAGAATGCCTCCGCAATCACGCAGTACATATATCAACCACATCCTCCCGGCTGAAAAGACGGCGATCGACAAAGAAGGTCCAAACCCCCAGCATATTTCAGTAGAGCGACGCTACGTTGGCGTTCTTGGCGGCTTCCTCATCGAACCTGTCAACGAGACGGCGCGTGGTTGTCTCTCAGTTGATATCGAGAACCACCAAGGGTCGTATGAGAAACTCGTCGAGCTTGGGCGGTTCTACTACAACAACTACATCCGGCATTGTGAGCTTCCCCCACCACTGCCTCGATATTCAGCTGCTCATCGGTTACGCCTCCAGTCAAATCCGCCGCGGTCCCCACGCCTAAGACGCCATCTCACCCCTCTAGACCGTCCTTCGATAGGGTTGCGGATGAGATCGCGCCTCGGCTCGTCCATATCCCGCATAATCACTCGGAAGCAAAGAAGCTTGTGAGTGTCTCACATTGATCAATATGTATGGGTCGCATCACTCACCATGCACGCAAGGCACTCTTCCGTGACGGATGCCAGTGCATGCTGACTGGGAAATTTGAGGACAGTATGGTGGAGGAGTACCCGAGCAGATTCCCGCCGGGCGCTGAGAGTTGGCTTGCCCCCACGCGTTGTGCACATATCATACCCGAGTCCATCAACACGTTCACGCCCTCTACTAATCCCGAGGTGAAGCTGCGACGTGCCGTTTCCCCGTCTGAAACAAACACTGTCTTCCCTTGCAGGTCGACTTGGCGGCAGGCTTCTGGTCGGTCTTGGAACGCTTTGGTTATCCCAACGCGCGGACGGAATTGAGCGGGCGCAAATGTCACCGGCTGAGCAATGTCTTGACCCTCTCTGTCGAGGCTCATGTGGTAATGGGTCGCTTGTGCCTTTGGTTTGAGAGCACTGGCGAGGTCTGTCGTTCTGTTACTCTCGGCACACGTTACGTGCTGACACCCACGAATAGCCTAACACCTATGTTGTGAAGACACACCCACCGGGTCGTCGAGCGGGGAATGGGTGGCCCGCTCAAGTCACGTTCCAAGTTCGCGACGACCTCGGGATCCCCGAGCTCCTGCGTCCTAAAGAGGGCGGCTCGGAGTTGCCCAATCCCGACTACCTCGCACTCCACGCCGCTTGTTGCAAAGTCGCGCACCTGTCGGGTGCGCCTCTCGAGGGCTCGATATTCCATGGCCCCGAGTCGCACCGTGTTCTTGCACAGGACGGTAGTTCGGTGGTCGTCCTCTGTGAAGAACTGTACCGTCTCGTCGGTCCCATGTAATGCGCATACGCATGTGCGAGGGGATGCCCCACGTCCCCACCACACCCGTTCCTGTAGTTCGTACATATGTGCGTTACGGTTCGTCTCCCCACCTCTAGCCGCTACTGTCTCTTCCTATCTGTCCCCTGTCGTCTCCACCTCTCGCCGCTATCTCGTCTGTCCATGTGGCCCGCATAACCTTCGTCCATCGCAACCGTGGCGTGCGCAAGACATCCGACCAGGATTGTCCCGAGCGACAACCTTCCCGCATTCCGGCCACCATCCCCCGTCGCACCATCAGCTCTCGGTGTACTCGATATGTATAGACCGCGTCCCCGTCTCTGCGCGGAGCCTCGCATCCTGCTGGTATATCGGACCGATATCGACCCAGGCATGCACTGTGCCCTCTGAAACGGGGACGACACGCGCGGTGTGCGCGGGCTCGCACGCCCCTTGCCGCCTTATCGTCGATCCCCGGGACTAGTGTGACGATCGAGGCTTCTGGGGCCGGGGTCGTCGCCTCGATGGCCCCAACATGCGCGTTCGCGAGCTCTTCAGACTGCGGGCCGCTGGGGACGCATGCACATGTCCGGCCCTCCGCGCGGTATCAGCGGACATGAGATGTCTGTGTGCCGGCGAAGCGCTCTTGGCGCCGCGGGATCGCGAGAGGACAGAGGCAGCAGGGATAGGTGCACTAGTTGGACGGGAAGCGAGTGGATGGCCCAAGCGAGCGGCCCGCGCGAGCGTATGCTTTCGGTCCCTAGTCTCGTGCGTCGCGCCGCCTCTGCCGCGACGGGCGAACTGGGCGTCCGATGCAATGCGCACGTATATGTGAGATTGCGGACCGCTCGAGTCCCATGCGAGGGAATCAGAGATGGAGGCCGCTGCGAACGGCCCGCCCGAGGGCCGCAGGCGTGATTGGCTCACCGCGCGATGACCGTCCTGAGAGACCGCTGCAGATCACGGCTTTGCAGACAGCTCTGAGCTTCGGTGGCGGCGGGCGATGGCAGAGCAGACAATGCCCATATGATGCCGAGCATCATGCAGTGGTCGCGCGGCGGACGGATGGCACCATTTCGACGTAACAGACGTGCGCGCGCTGACCGTTGAACGGCGAAAGGCGGACAAGCTCCATCCGGACGAGCACACGACACGCGCGGAAAGAGTGCGGAGGGCGGAGGGGTTCGATGTCGGACGACGCATCACATCCCGAGTACAACCAGTGAAACCACAACGAGCGCGAGACCCGCGATACCCGCAGGCGCGCGCGCGGCCGCGGCCCCCGCGTTTTTGTTCGTCTGCGCGAGCGTGCTGGACGCGAAGCCCGAGAGCGCCTTCGAGAGCTTGGCGAAGTCGGGCGTGCCGAGCCCGGTGACCTGCGCGCCGGGCGTCAGCTCCGTTCACTCTCCTTCGTTCGTCCGCGTCCCAAGACCGCGGGAGGACGAAGACGGGGGCAAAAACACTCACCGGGTCCCACCCCTCGCGCGCGGCGAAGCCGCTCGTGCCGCAGCCGGGGTTGCTCCCCTGGGTGACGTCGTTGAAGGCGCCGACGGCGCGCGAGTACAGGAGCGGGTTCACGAACCCGAGCGGGCCCTTGCCGCCGTTGAGCAGGCCGTCGTTGAGGAGCGCGAGCACGGCGGCGAACGCGGGCGCGCTCGCGCTCGTGCCCGACACCGTCGACGTCTGCCCGTTCATGCGCACGACGAAGCGCTCGCCCTGCATCGCGACGTCCGGGTACGCGCGCCCGGACGCGTTGAACCGCCCGGCGTACGTCGCGCCCTGCGCGGCGAGGTAGCCCGCGACCGCGCCGTCCTGGTACGCCGGCCGCGCGAACAGGTTCGAGAACCCGCCGGAGGTGAAGGACGCGGCGACTTCGGGGCCTTGCCCGGTGGTGCTGCCGACGGCGGTCACGCTGGGGGTGGGGAGGCGGGGGTGAGCGGCGAGCGCGGGTGGGCGGACGGGAGCGGGGGACGTACTAGGGGCAGCCAGCGGGGAAGGTCGGGACGAAGGGCTGGTCGGTGCACTGCGCGGGGTTGTTGATGAACGTGCCCGCGACCCCGCTGTCGCCGGAGGCGTAGACGACCGAGACACCGCGCGCGCCGAGCTGCGCGTACAAGTTGCAGAGTTGCCTGAGCAGAACGCGGCGGGGTCAGCGCGGCCCGCACGTTGCGCGGGCAGGGAGGGGCCACTCACGTCGCGAGCTGGGTGAAGCCGGCGTTGTCCGCGGGCTCGCTGAAGCCGTAGCTCGTCGAGAACACGAGCGGCGGGGTCTCCATGTCGAGCAGGAAGTTGGCCATGTCGATGAACTTATCGATCGTGATCGCGCCGTTGGACGAGGTGTCGACGGTGATGAGCGACGAGGGGACGTCGGTGGCGATGCTGACCATGTACTGCACGTCGAGGGTCTGCAGGGACGTGAGCGCGGGCAGCTATGGGATGGGCACGCGAACGTACGGCCTCGGAGGTGCCCGTGCTCGGGGGCACGAAGCTGTCGACGTGCTGGACGCTGTAGCCCTGGACGCCCTTCATGTCAGGGCGCGCTTGGGAGATGAAGGTCTGCGTGCGATGAGTCCGCCGCGCTCAACAATCCGGTGCGGAGCACGCACCCCAAGGTCGGAGTCGAGCGCGTTTTCGTCGCCGAAGCTGCTCACGGCGATCGAGTTGCCCTCGGCGCTCGCACGGCCAGTGGGGATGTTGTACATCTTCATCAGACACTCGGGGGTCACAACCTTGCCGCACAGCTCCTGCGGGATCTGGAAGTCGTCCCGCGCACGGAGGCCGCGCTTGGACTTGGACTTGGACTGTGCGGGGGTCGTGAACGCCTCCACGTCCACCGTGGGCGCATCAGGGCTCGGCGCGATGAACCTAGCGACGGCGGCAGTTAGGTGCTGTATTTATGGACGGGCGCGCGGCGGGCGACGTACTGCGTCGTGGGGTAGATCCAGGCGACGTGGTCGTGGACGCTCGCTGGGAGCGAGTACGCGAGCGTGCGGATCATGGTCTTGTTCGAGCCGGTGTGCACGTAGCTCGTGAAGTTCGCGTCGAGGAGCGCGTTCGCCTGGTGGACGGTGAGGTGGAGGTCGAGCATGTCGCCCGACGCGCTCGCGACGGAGGTCGAGATGTTGTTCTTGCCCAGCCAGGCGTTCACCGCCTGCACGCTGTCCTGGGACGGCGCGACGAGCGCGGCGACCTGCGCGAGGTGACAAGAGAGCAGACAGGCGTGCGTGTGTGCGTGCCGAAGATAGCCAAGGGGCGCGGCGGAGGTCAGCGATCAGAGATGGGGAAGGGTAGGGCGATGCGGCGGACCTGGGCCTTGGACAGGTGGCGCCCGTAGTTGGCGCTGTCCGGGTCGCTCACGTCCATGAGAGCGTCGTGGAGGGCGGGGACGTTGGTCTGGGGCATGGCGAGCATGAACCGGAGCGTCTGGTTCGCGGCGGGGGCGGGCCCGCTGGGGGAGTAGCCCTTCGGAACGGCCGGGTGCTCATCGCGGACGATCATCTCCGAGCGCGTTATGATGCTGGGCCGGCCGAGCGAGAGGGTAACAAGAGAGAAAACAAACAGCGCAGCCGTCATTGGAACCATGGTGAATGAAGCAGCAAGGGAAAGAGTGAACGAGAAGCAAAAAGAGGGAAGGAAGAAGGAAAGAAAGAAAGAGAGCAGCGGTCAAGAAAAGAAAAGCGACGGAAAGCAACCAGGGCGAGGTGCCGCGGTATAAAAGAAGACTGCCGGCTGTGTCGCTGTGGGAGCAAATCAACGCGTGCCGCCAGCGCTCGCCCAGCCCGCGATCCGTGTGGCCGCTTGGCCGGCAGCTCACGCTCGAGACTGCACAACGATCTCTTTCGCGTGCACAGTCTGTGAGCATTCAAACTGGCGGGGCTGGGGACCTCGGCCGCGGGTCAGTGGAATATGCCCCGTGTATCAGGCGCTCTGTCAATATTAATAGTCAACGCCGGTCCACTGGTTCGATCCCGGCAGAGGCGTCCCACAGGGAAAACAGGGATACGCGGCGTATCCGGGGAACATGCCGATAACAAAGTACCAGATGTCGACACCATCTCTACTGCCCCGGACACCTCGTGTAAGAGGTAGACATCGGCTAGACCACTCACCTCAGCACTGAGCGCGGGAGCAGTTCCGTGATATCGTAAACGCATGGGCATGCGTTGGGCATGTGCCCATCGATACATAGCGCAGCATCGCTTGCAATTGTCAGTGTGGGTGCAATGTCTAGAATAAATGGCTCAACTTGGGAGTAGGGCCGGGCGTAAGTATTTGAAGGCGGAATCTTTGTGGTGTTTTCTCCTTTCGAGGCTTGGCAATCCAGGTCTTCTTAGGAAACGCATGTTAGCATATCCGTTGTAAAAGGCAGCAACAGAGTGGTGAGGATGTTTTGATGGTCACTATATTCTGGCCCACATCGTATCGGCCTTGTCCGATTGTTGAGAACTTCACGTGTATAACCTCTTGATGCAGCCACAGAGATGTGATTAGAACTGGCCAATTTGTCATGGACGTCGAGTTGGGGTCAGGACGTTGATCCAACTCTGCAAGAGCTGGATCACGCCGTAGAACCCAAGGATCCGTGATTCGTCTCCGAACAGCGATGTAGAAAACAGCAGCCAGCTTCTTCGCGTGATGGTTCGTATAAAGCCGGATCTAGCGACGAACGGGCGTAAAACAACGGTCCGGTGCGAGCCGCACAAATAAACATCATCGTTTTGGTTTGGTTGGCTGAAGCCGTGCTACATACTTGTTGGAAACTTCCGTTTCGACCACCATCCTCCCTCTTTTCAAGTCAGTCATATAACGGACGACGTATAGAGAGCAAGGATGTCACCGGGCCAGTGTCGTGTGCGTAGTTGTGTGTTAGCATACTCTGTTGCAAGTATTTGAAGAACCTGGTCGTGTGGGCGGTGGTGGGGTGCGACTGGGGACGAGACCAGAAGAACTGTGGCCACACCGTGGCACGTTGCGCGCGACGGCTGAGGACGAAGCAGAACATCCACACGCAGCCTCCGTATGCACCAGGGGATGAGAGCCTTCCTGTCCACACGTCTGCACATCGTGACCAAAGCAAGTCTTCTTCTCGCGCCGGAGAAAGTTAATCAGAGAACCTCACAACTCCCCGGACCTTTGTTGAACCCAAGCTGGCGCGCAGCACTCCGGATTCATCGGGAGAACTCATCGGTGGTGAAAATTCAGCGCTCAACAAACGATCCACGGCCAGACAGACGGCCGCTCCAAACCCACGCGCGTCGGTCCCGACGTGCCCGGCCTCGCGGGGCAACGCGCTGCGGCTGGCGTCGACGGCGATCGGTGTCCCCTCGACGCTCGTGCTAGGCAACCGACCTGGTCCAACCGCCGTCGTCTTGGTACCCACTGCTCGACGCCCAGCGCACACTCAAGTCTCAGGTACAGGCATAGAGCCCGATAGTGCGGGGCATCGGCGACCGAGGGCACGATGGCTTCTCGGACATCCTAGATCTCGTGTTGAACTGAGACTCGCGCCAAGGTCGGACATGCACAAATGCCTCATCGTCGCGAACTGCGGACGCGTACGTGCGGCGCCGGGCTGGATGAAAGCCGAGGTTGGTGGCGCGTGCACGTCTTCGATTTGGAATGTAGTAGTCTCGGCCCTACGGGGTGCGCGCTGTAGTCTATGGGCGGGTCTGCGTGTAGCGTACATGTGGGGCTTCTAAGTAGCGGAAGCGCGTAAGACAAATCGGCGTCGAGCATAATTAACGTAACGGCGTCAGCAACCAAGAAAAAAAACTCAACGCTGTCGAGCCCTCTATTCATCGACGGGAATCAACCGTAACCGTTCAGATTATGACGTGTTGTGCTATCCCGCATCCCCACCCACAGCCAGCAAATTCACGTCCCTGCGCGCCTCAGCGCGGGCACGAAGGGACGGGAGGGGGAAGAAAGGAGAACTTGTCAACAAGCAGGCGCGAGGGCGCCAGCGCGCGCGGGCATCGCGGACGCGCCTGGGGTCCGCGCGGGACACGAGGCGCGGAGCGAGAACGAGGGGGCGGAAGCGGGAGCGGAGTGATCCACAAATCGAGATTGCAGTGTACATTTTCGAAGCTGCGAGACAGACGAGCTGTGTGACGAAGCCGACGGTGTGGGAAGGCGTGGCGGCACGGGGCGAGACACGGGGATGCAAGACAATGCGGGAACAAAAGCGCGGGCGTCAGAACCGTCGGAATCAGACTGGAAGGGGAAGAAGGGGACGCACGTATAATGGAACAAGACAGCACGATTGACGGGACGGACAGAGAGACAGAGGTTTGACGTGAATGGTTGCGTGACGGGAATGATGACGAGACAACGACGATGGGAGACAAAGATGTGAGGGCGAGCGGAGAAGATGCGGGTTCGGAATGTAATCATGAGATGGGCGGCGGCCGGAAGGACATGATCTCATCGTAGAGCAGCTCCTTGAGCTGTTCTCGGCTGATATCGTCCTTGTGCACTGTCATGTTTCATGTTGATCAACAAGCCATCCGGAGATACAGCGCGGTGAACGGAACTCACGATCGAACTCGAAGAACTCGGGGTCCAATGGTGGTGCGCATGGCTCATCGTCGGGATCGTGCTGGAAAAAGAGAGCGTGGGTGAGATGACGGTGATCGTTAGTATGTAAAGAAAGCACCCACGTATGCCTCAAGGTAGGGATGCGCGAGCGCGTCCTCGACCGTAATTCGCTTCTTCGGGTCGAACGTCTGCATGACTGATGAACAACGCATCTCGTTGTTAATTGTGCACGAAGACGTACCAATGTCCTCGTCAAGAAGTCGATCGCAAGCGGGTTTGCATTCGGGAACAGCTGCGCGAACGGCTTCCGCTTCCTGAATGGCAACGCGCGAATGTAATCACGGGACCGGCGCGTCGTGATCGCATAGAACTCGTCCAGGGTCGGCGTGCCGAGCACATCGAGGATAAGCGTTAGCTGGTGATGGTAATCACGCCCAGGGAAGAGTGGCTTTCCAGAGAGCATCTCCGCGAGGATGCAGCCGACCGACCATACGTCAATCGCCTGTTCATGGACACGTCAGATGCTGGTATCCAAGGCAAACGATGTAGGGAACACAAAGAGGGGCGCGGTAATGATGCTTGTTCGCGATCAGGACGCGTCGATGGGTGGGCGGATGAAGGTGGGGGAGATAGACGAAACAAAACAAACGAGATGCGCACCTTCGTGTACTGCTTGAACGTCAACATGATCTCCGGCGCACGGTACCACCGTGTCGCAACATACTCCGTCATGAAGCCTGTCTCAGTCCCGCTCGGCTCCGCAGTCTTGACGGAGCGTGCCAGGCCGAAGTCGCAGACCTTGAGGTCACAGTTCGCGTTCAGAAGTAAATTTGACGGCTTGAGGTCGCGGTGGATGACATCGGCAGAATGCAGGGCCTTGAGCGCGCGGAGAGTCTGATAGATGAAGTACTGCGCGTGGTCGTCGGAAAGGTCCTGCGTGCGGATGACCCGGTGCATGTCCGTCTCCATCAGTTCTTGGATCACTACGCGACCACGGCGCGCGGAGGATGAGGAACAGCAACGGGAACAGAAGAGGACGTGAGCTCGAGCGCAGACTGTCTGGGCAACGGGTCCCACGCACAGTAAACTTCCTTGAACTGGTCGATGGATGGGGGCTTGATGATGTCCAATATTGAGATAATCTGGACAGGGCGCAGCAGTGATGAGCAAAGGACGTGATTGCGCGCCCGGGAAGGAAAGCCCGACAGTCGGGAGCAGGCAGACCGCAGCAGTGGGGGATGTACGCACGTTCTCGCTCACGCCGGCTTCGGAGAGGAACTTTAGGAGTTTGAGCTCGCGGAGGGTGCGGAGGCAGAACATGGAGTGGTCGAAGGGCGCGATCTTTTTGATGGCGACCTTGCGCCCGGAGGGGCGGTGGATGGCAGAGCAGACGATGCCATATGCGCCCTCACCAACGACATCCAGCACCTGGTACTGGGTGCCTGCAGGCAGAACGACGTCGGTGGAGAAGGACATCGGATCGGCGCGTTTGCGCGGGTGCGGCGGAGTACGGCGGATGTATGCGTGCAAAACGAAGGCAGACAGCACAGTGAGCTCGAGAAGGTGGAGCGCAGCGGGCATTGGACGCGGAACGCAACGTACCAACGTTGAAGCGGACTTTCCGAGGGGCGGGCTGAGCGGTGGACGCGGCGTGGGAGTGTTTGGACTTTGCGGCGGCGGCAGGCTGGGCAGCTTGCTCGGGCATGGTGGCGGCGTGCGGGGAACGGAAAACGGCGGAGGAGGGGAAGAGGGCGAGGCCGGGCTCGTCAGAGAGAGGGCAGGGGAGACAGAAGACGACGGGAGGGAGGAGGGAGAGATATATAGATGCGGTCTTGTGCGCGCCGTGCTTCCCGGCGACTCGTTGTCCGCGCGGTGCCCTGCAGTGCTCCCACACGCCGTTCCCCTCGCCCCCGCCGCTCCCCCGCCAGACCAATCGCGCGATCCCAGCCACGACCCGTCCCTTGACACCCACGCTCGTCTCGACGGCAACCGCACCGCAACCACGACAACCACCCCCAGGCGCCCAGAGCCTCCGGATCCGAGTTCACACACTGATCTACGCACGCCCCCCACGGGCCCACGGGGCTGCATTGCGCTCGATCAGGATCAGATTCTCTCCCCGCCGCGCGCATTCTGCCTGTCCATTGAGGGCGACAGTGCAGGGGGCGTCGCCGGTGATTGCGCATTGCTGATACCGAACTCACCAGGGGCGTTTGCAGCAACTAATAGGGTCTCCAAGTCCTTGCGCGTCGATAGACACCACTAACGACGTCCGCCACTAACGCGCGTCAGGCGCGATGGTCGTCGTGCCACGCGACTGCATCACCCGGTCCTGCGAGTCGTCGTCGGTCACCCGTCACCCATCGCAACCGTGAGGCCTCCGAGACCTCGTCCGCGGCCACAGACTCACATCCAAGTTGGGAGGTCGTCGGTGGCCCGCAGGCGAGCGCGTCAGTAACCTTGCTTCAACTCAACCGCCAATGGCGTCCCTGCAGATCATCCATGTGGCGCGCCCTGACACAGTCCTATCGTCCAACCTTGGTCCTCTGGGATCACGGTCCCCAACCCTACTCTACAAAACAACCCTCTCAAACGCCTCTCCGTCACTCGTGGGGCTTGACGAAAACATGGAATCCGACACCTGGCATGAGCTGCCCGCAATCATGGAGACCGAAATCCACCGTGCTTCACGGATTCCCCAAACTCGACTGTTTCACGACACACGAGCCCATCACGTGTACATACTCCTAACCCCGCCATCAATCATCAAATCACCGCCCCTTCCACATCATCTCCCGCCTTCCAGGCCCCGCTGGGCATTCAAGCAACATGTGTGAGAGATAGCTGCAAAGGTGTCGAAATGTCATATTTATCGTATGATGCATACCCAGAATCACCCATATCGGCAACACTGCGCACCGCCCGTTGCGTATCATCCCAATCATCCTATCATCCATATGCATCGCACCAGTTCGCACCGCCATTTTCGTCTCTCCATCCTGGTTGGCATACGCTGAAGTCGCTGAATATTTGGCTTCAATCCAGATACGCCCGAGATCGTAGCTTGGCGGCTAATGGGACTCTTGCTTCACGTTCGTGGGCGACGGATGGTATCAGCACCATACGCCTAGCCCTGAAGCAGCTCGGAATCGCGCCGAATCTCCAGGACGCGCAAGATCAGACGATGACGGCCGTGGCGTCCGTGCCCTACTGTTCATGAAGCTGCAAGTACAGCGATCGCCTCCTTGTCGGCGCACGGACGAGCATCGACGCCCCGAACACGTCGCGCGATAATGATCATCATTTATTGCGCGCAGGGGAACAGTGCGGACGCGGTGAGTACGGCTGAGGTGGCTGTATTCTCTTCCGACCCCCGGCGCGACGCTGATGTGTTCATGTACTATGGTGGCTCAAACAGATATCCACCCCTTCATCTCCTTATCCGCCATAAAGTGGGTGCGAGCGGGTGCGCCACACGCGCTAAAATGCGCCCGCCAATTGCGCTTTCCTGGATTTTCCCCCGTTGCCGCTGCAATGACGGTCTGGAACGAGGATTTCCTTCGCTCTCGCCGCCCCGAACGCCGCTCGAGTTCTCTGTCAGTCAACGTCACTCGCCGCCCTACCCCGCCTCGTCTTGGATTGATAGGGACGCAATCGTGAGTGAAGGCTCGTCAACGCTCCTGCAATCGCGTCAAAGACGCACAAAACGGCGGGTGTTTCATTCCGTTCATGCGTCGCCTTGCACGTCTGATCATGGTGCTGCTGTGTAAGCTATCTGTTCAACTTCAACGTCTTCTCCGCGCGCATGTCGCTGACGCCGCATTACCTGCACCAATCGAAATACAGGGCTTTCAGACGGATCTCTGGAAGGGAGGCGGATCACGACAGTGACATGCATCTGCGGCGCAACTTGTCCTACAGAGCTTCTCTCTGGTCCGCCGCCGCCGCGGATATCGTGAAATCTCCTTCGAGAGCGCGCGCACGCCGAATAGAAAGAGAAAGACGGCCGCCTGGCAGATATGCAGCATACACTCCCGACCATCTTAAGTTTGGAATGTTGACAAAAGGTTCAGTTGAGGCCAGCTGTTCGGATGGCGCTAGCGAAAGTTCGCCGAGCCTCTGGCCCACCAAACTGTTCTCTAGCGCGCATGAAGCGCTGGTGACGACTCCCCAGTGATCGAAATGGTAGACAAGCATTCATGTCGTTTGCACGCACATTTCTATTCCGAGCAATGCCTCAAATCGCCCTTTCTTGAGAACAGGACCTGTTTGTGCTGGCTAGCACGTTTTCCTTGCGCTCAGCACGGTTGGCCTTGCCGACGATTTAGTGCATAGGGAAGAACGACGGCGGTCCCGCACCTCCACCTGCCCAGTCGCTCGCCCACTCGCCCAGTCACCCACTGGCTACCGTACGTCGGGCAGCGCTGATCCAACCCATGGCAAGGCGCTCACAGTGTGCCTCCTACTTTCCGTCCTCCTGACAGCACACATGTCTTGCACATGGACGCCCCTCGTGGCGTCCGTTCCGGGATCGGGATCCGGAGGCTGGGGCGCCGCGGAGAAACCGGGGACCCGGCTAGGTTCAGACGGTGCAGGCGGCGGCGGCGTTCGCTGTAGTGGGCCTGTCTCCTATACCTATACCTGCACAGTGCACGGGTGCACGCGCGAAGGCGTCGTTCCCAGGTATGTCGCGACACTGTCTTCCACGGACCTCCGATCTGATGCTCTGTTTCTGCCAGGATGGTAGAAGGCGGAGGGTGAGTATTTGTCACGCAGGGCATCTTCTGTGCGCGATATGCATCGCTGGTCTGCATTCCTTGCTATCTCTTCCTTGGGCAGGCGGCGTTTGTCCCGCTTCGGGTGAAGTATGCCTGGCTTCTTGGGGTCGAGCTTGGACCGATGCGTCTTGGCTCTAATCTTTGCACTTGGCGCCCAACTTCTTCGTGGATAGCCGCGACGACGTGCGTGTGGGGTCTCCGCGGCCGCATCGCCCGTCGCCCCGGTCCGGACATGGATTTGTCGCTCATGAAGAAGAGCGGTTCATCGGGGCTACGATTGCCCCTTGTTTCTGGAATGTGCGTCCATCTGGCCGGTCTACAAAGACGTCTGCGCTTCCGGAGGCCAGTCGGTGGATGTCTTTCTTCATTGTTCAGGTGACCGGAACCTCACCCCGGAAACGCGTGGGATGCGGAGTTTCGTTCGATGATGCTGCTAGAACTTCATCGACATGTCGGCGATCGTAATACAGTACGCTGTGAAAAGTGCCATCTCGTTGCTGAAACTTGACCGCTTCTTGGAGCTCCTTGAGTAATCGTGTGACTGTCAAGACAGTCTACGTCGATATGGGCTCCGCTGCGATGTTGAAATGAGTCGGAAGTTGTGGGAATAATGACATGAGGCAACTGCACCGCGGTATCTGCGATGGTGGTGGTGGTGGTGGTATCGCCGGGCGTGCGAGCAAGATCCTGTGGTTCTTAGAACTTCGCTGTGAGCATAGATGAATTTCCAAAGCTTCGGCACTGCAATTGCGGAAAGAGAATTCAGATAGTATGTACGCCTTTACGCGAGTGGTGGGCAGCAACGCTGCTGCAGAGGTCTCTCAAGTGGCGGGATTACGACCCCTTAGTATTCTTATGCATCCCATCCATGACAGAGCCTCAGAGTGAGGCATCCTACGTCACGGCTCACGAGCCCGTGCAAACTTGTCCGTTGAAAGTTGGGAGAGGGATCCCTCGGCGCACGGGGCTCTTGAATGCCCAGGCGTTCTGTGTCACGCCGCGTTCCGCGGAACATGCTGGGCATGAGCTGGCCTGAACAAGTGTGGACCGGAAGATGCCGGGACTTGGACAGTGGACATGTTTGGACGCCCAGTGTTTGCCAAAGCGCCGGCCAACTGAGGGGCCAACTCAACTTCCACGTAAACTATGCTGGTTTGGGGGCGGCTGAGTGACATAATCACCCGCCTCCTCCTCCTCCTCCACTCCAACCATTCCAACCACTCCAACCGCCCCTGGTTCCGTTGCAACAGTACCTCCAATGGCTGGACCGCGAACCCGCTGCCGTACGTAGTGCCGCTCGTGACCTTCGGCGTGCCGTCAGATGACCTCTGCGGGGATGACTTTTGCCGCACTAAAGCCAATGGAAACACGGACGCATAAGCTGCTTACCGCTGATATATGTATAGCGCGCCCTCGAAAACGTAGTCCGGCTGCGCCTCCATCCTCCCTGGCCCCGCTCTCTGTCCCACTCTCTCGCTGAGAAATGTCTGTCGACGAGAAGAAGTCGGCGTCCTTCGTGGAAGAGGCCTCTCCGGCCGAGGAACCGAGCCCCCGTCCTTCTCCGACGTGGACACCAGAGGAGGAGCGCGCCCTGGTCAGGAAACTCGACTGGAGGATCATGCCAATCGCCTGCGTTATGTATCTTTTCGCCTGTGAGTACCATATATGTTTTCCAGGCGAACGTAGGCTTGAATGGCTAGCTATCCTCCAGACCTTGACCGCACAAATCTGGGGAACGCGCGGCTGCAGGGATTACCGCAAGATACGCTCGGGGGTGACCCTACCGGCAAGCTCTTCGACTGGGTGAACTCGGCGTTCTTCTTCTCATACGTGCGTCCATTTTCTCTGAGACGATCGGCCGAGCATCGTCTTGACATGCATACGCAGATCATCTGCCAAATCCCCGCTACTGTTCTTTCCAAGCTCTTCCCCCCACGGCTTTGGCTGGGAGGCGCGACCATTGGGTGGGGTCTTTGCTCAACGCTCATGGTGAGTCGTCCCGCCGCTCTGACTCGTTCCCGGGGCGTAGCAATGTATACATGTTGGTTTAGGGGGAGCGTAGCTCAGCCTTGTGAACCTGGTTTTGCTCTAGTGGTACCTCCGGGCATTTTCTGATATGATTCTCGCATTCCCCTAGTCTGCAAGCTTCAATTTGGCAGGATTGCTGGTCGCGCGCATCAGTCTTGGGGTCTTCGAGGCATGCTTCGGTCCCGGTATCCCGCTTTACATGTGTGCGTCCCATCCCGCTGCTCCTTGGTTCGGTTATGCGCGTACTCACAACACCGACGCCTCGATCAGCGCTGTTCTACACCAAGGAGGAAATGGGTATGCGCATGGCGTACTGGTTCAGCTTCGCCGCCATTGCCGGCGCCTTCGGCGGTCTCATCGCGTTCGGCATTCAGGACGCGCACACAACCATCGAGAACTGGCGGCTTTTGTTCATCGTCGAGGGTGTCCCCACTGTACTAGTTGGAGTCCTCGCTATGTTCATTCTCCCAAACAGGCCGGAGGAGACGCACGTGTTCAATGAGAAGGAACGCGAGATTGCGCTGGACCGAGGAAGCCGCGGTCTCAAGGCTGATACCGGACGCACGGTGAATAAAAGCCATATCATCGCCGCGTTTCAGGACTGGAGGGTGCGTATATTGTCTTAGATGTGCGCACGAACCACGACGTCTCATGTCGGCTTTTCAGATCTACGCTGCTGGCGTGCTCTACTTCGGCGCGAACGTCGCACTCGCCTCTACTTCTGCATTCCTGCCGACTATTATCAAGAGTTTTGGGTTTAGTATGTGTTGTTTTGATTAGTACCTTGGGTTTCACTCAATCAGAGGTTACTGTTAACAGCCAACGCCCTTGCTCAACTGCTCACCGTGCCGCCCTACGTCGTTGCTGCGATCGTGCTCTGCTCATGCTCTTACATCTCGGATCGCATCCAAAGTCGTGGCCTGTTTGCCGCGGGTGCTAGTGCTCTGGCCGGGATCGGCTATGTTCTAGTGCTCACCGTCCACGGCAACCAACACGTGCGCTACTTCGCGATGTTTTGCATCACCTCTGGCACATACACGACGATTGGGATCGTCATTGCATGGTGTACGCTGAGGCTTACCACCACCCTGGGGAACCTTTACTGATACACGCTTGTCGCTGCAGTCGCCCACAACCTTGGATCAGAGACCAAAAAGGCAACAGGCACGCCCATTTACATGGCGATTGGCCAGTGCGGGTCCGTGCTTGGGTCCCACTTGTATCCCGCCACGGAGGGCCCTCTGTATACGTGCGCATTTTCTGGTTTGAATTTGTGAGAGGATGTGTACTGACCCATGGGTGACTTGCAGCAAAGGATTTGCGATCGCCGCGGCGTTCGAGTTCCTTGCTGCTCTTGCTGCCATCGTCCTTACGATCTCCTACCGGCTCGAGAACCGGCGCCGCGACAAGCTCTATGGTGTTCAACTGGACCCGAACGCGCCCGTCGACACCACTGAGCTGGCGGACAAGGCACCGAACTTCCGATACACGCCCTGAGCGCCAAGAGCGGAAAACAAAGGGCTGCGGTAGTGCGAGCAAGGCGTTCGCAGAGATTTGACGACGCCCGTGGAGGGAACACGAAAATACCACCATCTCCGACGAGCTTGTTCTGTATGACCATGTTTCCCTCGATGTACGACTGTTACTCCCCCGTGTGGGCTGATGCACACGGACCCACGTCGCAACACGGCCTCATTGGTCTGGAAACCCGGTCCCAGCCAAACCTGCGGCAAGATCAAGTGATGGTTCGTCGACTTCGTGGTGTCCTCGTCGCCGATGCGATAGTTACACTATGCTTGGCATAGATTAACAGCGCACCCAAGTGACTCATGATCAACGAAGGGTTCTAAGTAATGGGCCAGCTGGGAGTGATCGCACACGGACGCAATCTGAAACGCCGGACACACTAAGCACCGTCGAACCCCCTTAATACCTTTTGCAAGTGGTCCGTGAGCAGGCCCTATATTGCACGAAACAATGCGAGTACCATGACGAACAGAAGCTTGCGACGCGCTGTTGTTGTGTCTAGGGAGCAGGCGTTACTAGACAATTGACGAGCAACGAGGCGTGGCGGAAGCGAGTCGCGCAAGCGCTAGCTTAATTAGAGTCGGTTACATAAGCCGATTCCTTGATCTTTTTCTCCCGCCATCCTGCGCCTTCTCCGCGCCCGACTCGTCCCCGACAGCGTCAACGCTCGCCTCGGCAGAGCCCTTGAGCACAAGCCAGGCTATCGTCTTACCTTCACCCTCATCTCCAGCCTCCCTCGGGACTTGGGAAGATAGAAGCACACTCGCCATGGCCTCAGACTACTCACCCCCGCCGGAGCCGCGCCCGCAGCCTCACCCATACCTACACGAGCCATTGCTCTACATATCCAACCTGCCGCCATTCGTGCGCGACGAGGAGCTTGCCATCGCCTTCCAATCGTGTGCACCCTTCCGCCTCAACATCCCGCGTCCGCCCCCGACCGGACCCGCCCCACTCTCGGGCACGATTGAGTTCAAGTACCTCGAGAAGGGTGAGTCCTCGTTACATCTTGCGGGAAGACATATGAGTCTTGGTTGAGATGGAAGATCGGGGGGAAGGCACGCGTAGATGGAAGGTGTGACGAGGCCACAACTGCCTCGTGGGCCTCGCTTGGGGCTTCGGGATGGGGCTGGAGGGACAGGGAAAGCGTAATCTTCATCTGTTACGCGTGATTCACGCGAGACGTCATGGAGAGGCGTTCGGGGTTGCCTTGTAGAAGGCATGGCACGTACGATGGATGAGAGCGACTGCGAGGGACGTTCTACAGGACGCATACATGCATCCTGCAGGCTACTCAAGCGAGTCTCCACTTGCCCTTCTTCCCCTTCTACGCGATATGTGACAAGTTTCTAACCTGACACGACCTTCTACAGCTGAGAAGGCGCTTGCAACGCTGCAAGGTCGTCCGGTCCCTGGCGTTCAGCAGACCGTGCTCCTCACCCTTTCCCCGTACCCATCAACGACCCCTCCTACTCCACTACCTCCCCCCAATGCCTCGCCACGAGTTGTCAAGCAGCTCCCTCCAGGATTCACGGACTCGCAACTATACGATATTTTCCGGCCCTTTGGTGCCCTGGCTTCCGTCCGCGCTCAAGCCCAGTTCGGCAAGGACAGTGGGATGATCGAGTTCTGGAGGGAAGAGGACGCGCACGAAGCCGAAGAGGATATGCACTGCACGGAAGTCGACGGACACAACATCGTGGTTCAGGCCTACCAGCCCCGACGCGCCGGACCAGCAGCGAGCGAGTTCAGCCCTACGGCGCAGCCTTTTGTCCCCACCGGCTCGATGTTCCCATACCCTCAACAGGTACGTTTCCTATGCGTTGTTTTCTGCGATCGAGGCCAACATCATGGCAGTACTCTCCCCCTCGGCAAGCCCCTTACCCCGGACGTCAGCAATCTGTTTTCGTCCACGGTCCTGGACAACAGGTCCAACTTGCGCCGGTGACCGGTCCTGGCTCAACCAGCCATAGCGGACTGATCGATCCTTGCAACTTGTTCATCAAAGTGAGCGAGGACCTCGCGTGTTCGACAGGAAGTTGCTAACCCCTTTGCAGAACCTCGACACCTCCATCGATTCAAATGTGCTGTTCTCACATTTCCGCCAGGTATGTGTCGTCCGTTGTCACGCATGCATCACAACACCCATTTTTTGCATCCCAGTTCGGCCAAATCGTCAGGTGAGCCGTATGAGGGTGTGTTATTGGAGCGTCGATAACCCGTATATAGTGCTCGTGTGATGCGCAACGAGGCTGGCGAGAGTCGAGGTTTTGGATTTGTCTCGTACCAGGCGCCTGATCAAGGTAATGTGGACATCACCTGCTCACTTTTCTCTAACTGACAATCTAATTCGTAGCTGCCGCCGCTATGAACACGATGAACGGACAGCAGCTGGGCAACAAGCAGCTTACGGTCCGTCTTCACGAGCCCAAACAGCTCCGTCAGGAGAAGCTTGCGCACCGGTTCGGTGGGAGCGGCGGGCACCCTCGCAGCAGTAGCGGAGCAACGAGCCCAACGGCGAGTGAAGCAGGCGAAAGCTATGCGGGTTGGCCGAGTCCCAGCAGTCATCCTGCCGTCCTCGGTTCTCCTACACTCAGCCACCACGAAAGGCAAGATCGGGGTCGTCGCAGCTCGGGCAGCTTCTTCCATGTATGCGCTGTCACTCTTTCCATCGCAGGATCGTACTGAAGTATTCGTTCAGGCTGCACTCAGTGGGACGCTCAACCTGCCGATGCGTTACGACGATCTTTCGGCTTTATCGCCCGTTGTGCGCAAAGAAGTGCTCACTGGAGAGCTCAGTCGACGACTCAAGGGTCAGGATGGCCTGGCTGGATATGAGCTCGAGACGGTCGTTCAGTCGATCGTTGCACTATCGCTCAGCGAGGTCGTCCAAGGTCTGCAAGATCCTGCCAGACTCGCCGATATTGTCGACAATGCAAGAAAGGCGAACGGGTTGGCCAAGTCTTCGAAATCGCCCTCACCGTCTCCTGCCGCCTCGCAAGATTCCCGACTCCTTGAACCCAACGCTACCGCGTCCGCCCCCGACCACCCCTCCACCCCACTCTCCATGCCGGCCACGCTATCAACACCACCACGGACCGAGTCGCCGTCAGGCTCCGTTGCCGCCCCTCAATCCGAGCGGGACCGCATGTTCGCCGCTGTCTCGCGACTTGAGCCGCAGCAAGTCTCCGACCTCACCGACCTACTCATGTCGCTCCCCAAGCGCGAGCGCGCCATGTGCTTGTTCAATGTGGAGGTGCTTCGCGCCAAGATCGCAGACGCAAAGCTCGTACTGGAGGTCGACGAGACAGAGGAACAGACGCCCGCAGTCTCTACCATACCAGTGCCGCAGACACCTCAGCAGCGCAAGACGAACGCACCTTCGCTCGCAGAGTCGCCGCACACCCCTGCGCTCTCCAGCCGCGGCCCGAGCGCAGCCGCAAGCCCTACTCCCGCGACCCCAGCGCAGCAGCAGGTGTACACACTCGCCTCGCTCGCGCGCTTGCCGGCAGCGAAGATCCTGGAGCTCGTCAACTCGAACCAGGTCACGGGGTTGCCGCTGCCGAAACCAGACGCGATGGTGGTGAAGGCAACAGACGAGTTCATCGATTCTCTTCTCGACAAGCCTGTAAACCAGCAGAAACAGCAGCTGGGCGACAAGCTGTGCGTATTCTTCCCTGTACTGATTCCTGGACTCAAGCGCTGATCAACGTCCCCGTTCATCTGTACTTTGTTTTTGACAGCTGGCGAGTCGTGAAGGCATTCGGGATCAAAGGTGCCCCAAAGATCACGATCGCTCTACTGGACCAGGACGACCTTCGCCCGCTAGCACATTTGATGAACAGCTACCCGTCGGTACTCAAGGAGAAGGCGCTCCTCGTTCAAGCTGCCCAGAGCAAGTGAACGTACGAATCGCCAATCAACGGAGTCTCAGATATACCTCGCATTCACGGAGGAGAGAACAGTTACCCCGAGCGAACACATGTGAATATAGTCACTACCAGCTACAATACTACAGCTCGCATCTACCCGCTTTGTCAAGCCCACCCCCGCCCGCTTTGCTCCCATGGTCTGCGGACCAGGGTGCCATACACTCGTCCTGTTCGTAATCCCTTCTTCTTCCCCGCAGATCCGGCTCGCTGACACTCAACCTTCAGTCTTTCTACCATCTAATGGAATACCAGTCCTTTACCCCTCGCATCCTGTCACGCTTGCATCCCCACTACACGCTGTTGCTTGTTTACCTCCCATCCCTCTTCCGATCGTTCAACCCGTGCCTGGGACCTCTCCCCACGCGACCGGTCCCATACCATTTACGACCTTCATGACTCTCCCACGTTGCTTCTTCCGCCCTCCCCTTTTGTCTCCCTTTTCTCGTCCATCGCTACCATCTGCCGTACCTGTCTATCGAATATACCTGTACGCGCGAGCTCTCAAGCCAATGCAGCCGTCGAGCTCTCGAGTAGACCGCAGTCATGGATTGCGGTCGGTGGAGGATAAGTGCCGTGGTTGAATGTTGGGGCGCTTATTCGGGCGTCGGCCGTACGCAGGCGACAACTTGGCTCTTTGACCGCCATGTGCTTCGAAGCTCTCATCGTCATCCTGCCCTTTGGTCCGTGCTTTGCCTGCTGTTGTCCAAGGTGTTTCTGTCGTCAACGCCTGATCTTTCGTCGTCGTCGCCGCTGCCGCCGTTGCAAGATGCGACTTCGCCTTCCGCGACGCGCCGGTCCTCCACAGATTGCCGTCCCGAAAGTGGTGGCATCGTGCGCATATATGTACATTGCGCGATGGCTGCAATACCTGATCGTCAGCTGATCCCCCCCCCTCCAGCTTCGCCGCATCAAACAGAGGACGGCGCGTGGGGTTTTCCTCAGGTGCAGCGGCTTCTTCCATGCGGCACCGCGGGTTCGGCAACAAAGTATCACGGGGAACATGAGGCGCCGGGGCCGCCGCGTCGTCAGTGTTTTACCCCAACGTAAGGCTAAGGGTAGTGCGCACTACCTGTACGGCAGAGATCCTAAGACAGCTCTATCTACAGAAGACGCCGATTTTACCTCGGAACCTACGCTGTGGAGGGACCGCACGCAGATACTATACTCCGAGAGTTTGATCAAGCGTACTCGCCTTCTGATGGTAGCGACACCAGGATAAGAAGGCCCAGCGCCGTCGGCGCATACAGGGTTCATGCGTTTGTGCCCACTTCCTCTCTAGCCTCTTTGCCCTCACTCATCGCGGGATAACCGCCGACCCCCGCCGGTTCGCCCGAAGCCACAGTCAATCACACACACACGGGTCGACAACCAGTCCTCCAGACACTCCATCCAAGCCATGGCGAGCCAGTTCACCCTACACACGTAGGTAGCCGTTGCGTGTAAGCTTAACATGCTAAACGCGGAGCTCCAGCCTCGAAAGTCTCTGGGTGGCTGTCGGGTCCCTTGGTGAGTTATGTCACCTGGGTTCGGTGTCGCTTGACAGACACTGACACTTTCTGTCATCGACCAGCCCTGGTCGGCTACGATTACCTCCTCACCCTTGACCGCGAAATCAAGTACATCTGGACGAGGAAGGTCACCAGCGCGAGCGTGATCTACGTCATCACGCGATACTGTTCGTTGACTGCCATCGTCCTCACGCTCCTCAACTTCTTCCCTTGGCCAGGGAAATCATCCTTCGTGAGCGTCTTCATGGTGGACGGCTAATCGTTTCTGATCCTTTTTGCCCCGTAGAAGTACGCCCGCGGCTGTGCCCATACGTCCGCATTGCACGAACGCTAATCCGCGCCACCATTGCACAGGTGTAACGCGATCGCACGGTCTGATTCCGCGCTAGATGCCGCGATCATCCTCTCCTCGGCCAGTACGTTTGTTCATTTAGGGCGGGATCCGACATGGCCAGGATCCGCGCACGACTGACGGGAACATACGGCAGCATTCTCGTCCTTCCGTGCGTACGCGCTATGTCGCCGCAAATCCGTCGCCTTCCTCGTCTTCGCACTGGAGCTGGTAAACTCCGTTCCCTCATTTGTGGGTCAGTTCGCTGTCCCAGTAGGACGTTGAACTCATGGCGTGGTACTCCCAGTACGGGGCGATCAAAGTCGGGGCGAGCTACAACCCAGGACCGAACAACACCAATGTCCTCTGTGATATGGACTTCTCGTCCTTGGTACCCTTGCGCAGGTGAGTGAGTCGTGAAATATAGCCGAGACCCAGACTAACACCTTCCTACCACCAAGTGGTTCGTACACGTTTAAATTGTCATCCGATTAAGTCCCATGACTTGCACCCAACAGTAATAATTGCCGGGCGTTCATGCGGAGTCGCCGCGGATCTCCTCGTGCTTGTTCAGACATGGAAGCGAACGTGGCCATGGAAAGAGGGTGAGAGGCCAAAGTTTGGCCTCGCAACGGTGCTGTTCAACGACGGTATGCACGTTCCCTCCTGTCCGGATTGCGCCCGATTGATAACTCTCCCACGACCTGGCAGGAGTCGCGTACTTCCTGTAAGCTACTTTCCTTCCCATGTCAGTCGATGTTACCGACCCATTCTCCCGTAGCGCACTTCTTGTCGCCAACGTCATCAACCTCGCGTTCGTCAACAACGTTCAGGTGCCACGTTTTCTGTTTGACGTGCCCCCAAAGCTGACACCCTTTCCTCAGCTGCTATTCGCTCTCGTGGGCTGGATCAGCGCGTACGCTCTCCAGCCAGAATCCCGCTTGACCGCATGCTGATTGCCGCTCCGCGTACAGAACGACGGTTCTCTTCACCTGCCACTTCATCCTCGATCTACTCGAAGCCGCCGCCCGAGCGGGCGGCCTCGGGGGCGAGCCAGAATGCATGTCGTCGGTGCCTGAGGTCATCCAGCCGATTTCGTTTCGAAACACTGGAGGCATCGGTGCACCTGGCGACGAGCCTCTCGGAGTGTACGACGCGGTGGTCAGCTGGGGCGGGGTCGTGGGAGCGCAGCGAAGAGAGCGAGAGCCTCTACACGTACGACTACGACTTTGAGCTCCAGGAGAGCCCGAGGGAAGAGCGCATGGAATAGCGGGAGGCGGATTTCACATCTAGGCGGCGAATGATAAAATCGGTTTGCCTCCGTCCCTGCCGAATGCACCGAAGGAGCGCGTCTAGCTTATTAGCTCGCGCGCGAAGCCAGTGACGCGCAGCACCACGCGCGAAGAAGGCGAGCGATGCGTGCAGTCGGCTGGCCGCGGAGGCGGTCGAGATTAGACTCCGGTCGATCTCGCGAGATGCCGCATAGTTGCGTTGCGCAATTGTCACGGCGCAGCAGTCAGCTGCTTACACTAGTACCCGGAGGCTGACGAACTAGAGCGTACGCGCGTGAGACTTGTGTTCATTTGGCTCATGCTCGGTTTCGTCGCCGAGTTCTTGCGCGAGCAGCAACGACTACGCGCCGTCGGAGGCATCCGTACTTGGACAAAGGCCGCGAGTCGGAAGCTGACGGGAGCTGAGGGCGGTCGACGCTCTCACCACTGCCCGTCTTGCCCGGGCTAGAGTCTGGACTCAGGGTCTCGAGCAGCGTGCCTTGGATCGCGGCGCCCCGAACGCTGGTGCTTGTCGTCGGCATGCACGGCGGACCCTGAGCAAGCCGAGGGGCGAGGGACAAGCGGCCCAGCCATCAAGTCGGCTGAACCGAGGAGGCTAGCAGACGGGGAGCGCTTATGGTCATGGCGAAACGCGCGCGCGGGAGCACCTGTGGCGACTTATTCTCAGACCACGACGTGCTCCCGGACCCCTCCCAGCGACTGTGCGACGGCGACGAAATGTCACAATCGACACTGTATGCACATGCTCTGCCGCGGGTGCAGACTGGTATCGTCGTCGCCCGCACCGCAAGACTCCGAGTCTCCGGTGCACCAGCCTTATGCGTTCGGCCGCGGAGTCGTGCTTGCTGCGGGTAGGTATGTGTGCACCGATGTTCGCTTCAGAGGGCCTGCCATGCGTATGTTTCGACTTACCTGTCGTTTCATTGGATCTCCGCGCTCGCATCGCTCAGCTGGATATCGAATTCGATGACGTGCAGGGAAGACATCGGCCTCCGGATTCAATCCGGATTAGCGCTTTACTGTCCAGCGGCGACGTCTCCATGAGAGTCTCCGCGTTTAGTCAAGTGTAACTTACTGTGCGCGAAGCGTTTCGTGTTTTCGGGTATGTACCGTCATGAAGGTCTGGGTATATATGCACGCTCTGGTTCATGGTCGCGGCCATACAGAGCACTCACTTGACGCCTTCTCTGCAGCCCTGGCTTGATCTCAAACGCCACTTCAACCCCGGTCACAGCTATGGGCAGCCAACCCAGGTACGTACCTGTTGACGGTACCGCGAGCCGGTGTGCTCACGTACGCGAGCCAGTCTTGAGAACAAATGGGCGGTGGTCGGAGTTATCAGTAGGTGGTACACCTCGGTGGAGTACGAGTTTGAATCGTCTGACGCCTCTTCACGTTTCCAGCTCTCATCAGCTACGACCACATCCTCTCACTTGATCGCGAGGTTCAGTACGTCTGGAGGAGGAAAATCACGAGCGCAGGCGTGATCTATCTCGCCATACGTTACTCCTCATTGGTCTCTAACGTCCTCACCCTCGTCAATTTCTTCCCTTGGCCGGGAAAATCAACACCAGTGAGAGCCTTCCCGATCCCTGACAGCTGCTAGACGCCTCTGACCCCCTTGACTTGACAGAAGTACGCACCCGGCCGCGCCTGTTCGCGCCCCGGCTCTTCGGTGGCGCACACGCTAATCTGCGTTACCGCCTCGCAGGTGTAACGGGATCACAGCGGCTTTTTCTGCGATGAGTGCCACCATTCTCTTGGCCTCTGCGGGTGTGTTTATGACTCGAAAGACGAGATCGTCCAATGACTGATATCAGCATGCCATAGTGTTCTCGTCGCTGCGAGCGTACGCGCTATGCCGACGCAAACCCATGTCTGTCTTAATTTTAGTGCTAGGGTCTGCGAACGCCATTCCCTCGGTTGTGAGTGATGTCACCCTCTCTTCCACTTGACCGTGTCCGACTCAGCTGTGGGCTTCGCACAGTTTGCAGCGATCAGGAATAGGGCCACCTACGACCCAGGACCCAACAACACCGACTTCACCTGCAATGTGGATTTCTCGCAATTTCTGTCCCTCCGCAAGTGAGCGGGCTAGGTGTATCGTGCATCAAGTTCGGGCTAATCACGTACTTTCATAGGGGTCCGTCATCGCTTTTTCCCTCGGTAGACGGCTCTTGACTTGACTCCAAACAGCGATCATCGTCGGGCGTTCCTGCGGGGTTGTCTGCGACTTTCTGGTTCTTATTTTGACGTGGAGGCATGCAAGACCTTGGAGAGGAAGCGCACAACAGAGGTTTACCGTTACGACGGCGCTTTTTCAGAACGGTAAGCACCTTGTTTTGGGTCATCGTGTCTGTACACTGACGCACCCACTACATTATAGGTGTTGCATACTTCGCGTGAGCCATACGTCTCTTCCGCGTCTGTTCTCGTCATTGACACATTATGCGTCCAGTGTACTCGTTATTGCCAACGTCATTAATCTTGCTCTCGTCAACAACATCGAGGTAACACTACACCTCATGCCCTCGATGCTTGCATCGCCGTTCACAGCTGATGTCACCTTTCCAGTTCTTGTTCGATCTCATCTGTGCGATCAGCGGGTGCGTTCCCCGCGACGATTCCACCCCGTTATCTCTGCTGACGGCCTCCCGGTGCAGCACGACGGTGGTCTTGACCTGCCGCTTCATCCTCGACTTATTCGAAGCGAGCGCGGGCATGCCCGTCGACTCTGTCCCCACAATACGCCTCACGGCCGTGTCTACTAGGAGGCCGTCACGCTCGCTCGCGTCCCGACACGCCGGCGGTCTCGGGGGGACTCGCTCTTCCCGAGGGATTTTCGGCGCGGATGTAAGCTGGCGCGGGACGGAGGACAGCGAGAGTGTCTACTACAGTACTACGGACGAGTGCGTCTTCGAGCTCCAGTCTGTGGAACGACGAAAATCGGATGTGCGCCCCTTTAGATAGAATGTGTCTGTAGGTTAGATCGGGCCGAAGCCATGCATGGTCGCTATGAAGTTTGCTGTTGTTTGTCACCACGGGATGGCTGCTCGAAAGAGACGATGACGTCATGCCGGCGACCATACAAGTATGCCCGTGATCTGTTCTCGCCGATGGTGACCAGGCTCATCAAGGACGTCGCTGGAGCCGCGGTCCTGCGTTTCCTTGGCCCATGGCAGATCGATATTTTGTGTTGAAATATTGCTCGCTGGAAGACGTCGGTGGCGCTTAAGCGATATGCTGCCACACCACTGGGATAAGATGCTCAAAGCGACGGCCCGGCCCGAGACCGACCAAATTCCTGTTCGACGCCCCCCCTCGTTCCACAGACGCTCCCCCCCTCGTACTCTACCCAATACTCGCTACACAAAGGCAAGATATCCCTGGCTAGCACCGGCTCCTCCTCGGACGGTCGACACGGCGCTTTCCGCTGTCCAGCCTTGCGTGCCTGCCAATGGACTTGCTCCTGCATTAGGCTCGCTCCGATCACGCCTCCCCCGCTCTCAAATGGTGCTGGCTCGCGCTCGCAAGGTGGTCATTCGATGGTGTTGGAACAGGGTTCGTCTTTCCTCCCTGCCCCCTTTCGGCGCATCCGCCTTCGCCACCGTGCGCCGTTGTCAGCGTCGCGATCCGCTCTGTTCACCGTAGCGACCGCGGCGCTGTCAAGCTCGAGGGTGGTTCTCCAGTGGCGCGATTGGGGCTGCATGCTGACATTCCCGGCATCCTATGCGATGTCCATGAATACCCTCCGCTTCACTTCTCCAGACTGCCACCACGAGGGGCGGCGCCCCCGGACAGGTCGGAAGGTCCCTTTACGTGCGTCCTCGCTCAGTGGTGCGTCTGCGTCCCTCCCTACCCTCTGCGTCTCCCCTCATACCTTGCCTGCATCCGTCCGCATCCGCCTCGCCGGGGAATCCGCGGTCTCGGGCGCGAACTCGCTTTCCAGACGGCCCTCGGCGCGGATGGAATCAAGGACGTTTTCCGAAGAAAGGCTTTGAACCGGACGGTGTGCACTCGGGTCGAGACGTATGGCGTCATACCAGAAGGTGTATCTCGGTAGTTCGCGCGTTCGCACTTGGGAAGCAGACGATCGGAGGGTGCTTGTCAAGAAACGGCGGCGAGGCACGGCTCGGGGAGGCCGGTACATCCCGCGCGGGGGTTGACCTGCGGGCCCCATGCCGCACCGAACGATAGAGTCCTACGGACGGTTAGAGACTGATCGGCACTCACGGGAGCTGGCGTGCGGCCGGCGACTCGTTTCGGTGCCCACCGTTCCAGATAACTAGTGGAGGGCGAGATCGATTCCTATCGCGTTCACCTCCCCCACCTCCTCGACGAGCGTGAGGAACTGGTGAGTCTTGCCCCCGTATATCTACGCAGCACCTAAATATACTGACGCCCTGGTAGATACTCGGTCTCTCCAACGCCCGTCGCCGGTATGGACAGTGCAGCCGCCCTCAGATTGTGCGTGCCTGTTGATGGTACTGCGAGCTGGTGTGCTCACGTACGCGATCCAGTCTTCAGAGCGAATGGGCGGTGGTCGGAGCCATCGGTAGGTGGTCACCTGGAGTATGAATCTGAATCGTCTGACGCCTTCTCTCTTTCCCAGTCGTCACCTCGTACGACTACCTGCTCATATTTGATCGCGAGGTTCAGTATGTCTGGAGGAAGAAGTTCACAAGTGCAGGCGCGATCTATATCGCCATACGTTACTCCTGTTTAGCCTCCAACATCCTCGTCTTCCTCACTTCTTCCCTTTCCCGGGCAAATCAACACCAGTGAGAACTTTCCCGACGGACCACACATGCTAACCGCCTCTGACCCCCTTGACCCGGCAGAAGTACGCACAACCCGGCTGCGCCTGTTTGCGCCTCACTGCGTACACTAATTTGTGCCACCGCCCCGCAGGTGTAACAGGATCACACTGGCGTTTGCTCTATTAGGCGCCGTCATGCTCATAGCCGCCGCTGGTGGGTTCTGGAGGCGAAAGCTGAGATCTTCCAATGACTGATAACAGTGCACTGTAGTGTTCTCGTCATTGCGGTCGTACGCGTTATACCAACGCAAACCCGTGGCCTTCCTCGTTTTAGTGCTAGGGTTTGCGAACTCCGTTCCCTCCATTGTGAGCACCACCATCCTTTCTTCCATTTGACTTTGTCGTGCTCAACTCTGGGCTTCGCTCAGTATGCAGCGATCAGGGATACATCAATTTACGACCCAAGCGGCGGCAACGTCATGTGTGTCGTGGATTTCTCGCAATTTCTCTCCTTCCGCAAGTAAGCGGGCTACGTGTATCGTGGATCAAGCCCTGGTTAATCATCTCCTTTCACAGGGGTTCGTTATCGCTTTCTCCCTCGATAGACGTCTCTTGACTTGATACCGAACAGCGATCATCGTCGGGCGCACCGGCGGCGTTCTTTGCGACCTTATTGTCCTCGTTTTGACATTTAGACACGCAGGACCGCGTAGAGGGAAACCGGCGTTCAGCCTTACGACGGCTTTCTTTGATAATGGTATCTACTTTTTTTTGGGTCATTGAGTCTGGAAATTGACGCATCCGCCGCATTGCAGGTGTTGCATACTTCGCGTGAGCTATACGTCCCTTCCGCGTTTGATATCGTTGTTCATATATCATGTTTTCAGTGCACTCCTCTTTTGCAACGTCATGAACCTTGTTTTCGTCAACAACGCCGAGGTAAGACTGCACCTCATGCGCTTGGTACCTCCGTCAAAGTCCAGGGCTAATGTCACCTTTCCAGCTCTTGTATGATCTCATCGGTGGGATGAGCGCGTGCGTTTCCAGCTATCCCTCTCCGTCACCTCTGCTGACGACCTCCCGGTGCAGCATGACGGTGCTCTTGACCACCCGCTTCATCCTCAACCTATTTGAAGCGAGCGATCCCACCATATACACCACAACTGTGAACAGCTTATCGCCGTCACGCGCCGTCGCGTTCCGCCCCGGCGTCAGTCTCGGCGCGACTAGTCCCTCCCAAGCAGTTTTCGCCGCGGATGTCGCCTGGCGGGTGCCGAGGACAACGAAAGCGTCTGCAGCAACAAGGAAGGCTACGGCTACGAGCTCCAGGTGAACCCGGGTCGGAGGGAGTAACCTCTGGACCGAGAGAATCGGATGTGCGCTGCAGCGGATGCGCTCCGTGGTTGGCACGCTGATATACCGGACACTGGTGCGCCCCACCGGGGATGATACTTGGGCATATCTCCCCTTTGGACACGCACCAATGGTACCTAGACATATATACCTGTCGGAGACATCCCATCGCCTTACGGATCACGCCCTGGCTCTCAGGCTCCTACTACCCACCCTCTGTTTTTGTCCCTGAGATCGAGCGCACGCATACTACTGTATATCTGTAAAATGGGATTACCTAAACGGATGTTTTTGTGATGTCGCGAATGGAGGCATTGCCTGGTTGAGAAGGTGACGAGGAGAACAACTCCCTCCTCTCCAATCTCCTCGACATCCATGTATCTGCCATCGCAGCGTCGCGCGTCGTAACGTCTGGCTCACTTACCTGCGTCCCCTGGGCTGCTTCCAGACCACGATCGGCGCCGTGCTCCGCTGGACGCTCTTCCGGGTACGGGAGATGAAGGAGGTTTGGGGTATCGTGGCTTCTCGACGCGAAGGCGTTCGCTCAACGCAGCTCCGAGAGGATGAAGTACTGGGCTCGCGCTCAGTTGCGGATAATAGTGAACACCCGGACCGCGCGCACACGCCCACTCAAGATACCATCTTCCTACTCTACCTAATACTCACTCTACGCCAGCTCCTCTTCGGAGGGCCGACACGTACGCGCAGCTCATCGACATTCTCCGCGGAGTACTTATCCGGGTTTTTCCATTGCTCTGCTCGAGGTCAGGGCCGTTGCGGAGACGCCCGTTTCTGCGCGCCTGATGGTAGCTCTTTCAACTCGCTCCGATCGCTGCGCCTCCCCCGCTCCCCCTTCCCCGCTCTCAAATGGTCTTGGAAAGATGGCCAGTTGGTGCTAGCCAGTGGGACCAAGGTTCGTATATCTTCCCTGTCCCCTTTCGGCGCATCCTGCTCTCGTCACCGGCTTCGCCACCGTGCGCCCCGTTCTTCTTCAAAGAAAACGCCAGTGTCAGCACCGCGATCCGCCCCGTCTACAAGTGACGGCGGTGGCGCTGTCAAGTTCGAGGGCAGTTCCCCGGCGGCACGATTGGGAGTGCATGTGCTATGCATTGTTGTCCAGGAACCGCCTGCATCCTCCCACCGTCCGTCTGGAGTATACTATGAGCGAATGCGGGCGAGGAAGGTGCTGCATCCACAGGGCTTCTAGCGCGAGGGGCGCCGCCCCCGGACAGGTCTTCCCCATGTCCTCGATTGGTTTAACCTCGCGCGGTGGACGCCTAAATTCGAGGCGCGAGGTTTCTCATCGCGCTTGAGGAGGCGATCCGGAAGGTCCCTTTCATCCTCGCCCAGTGGTACGCTTTCTCCCTTCTGCCTCTCCGCGTCTGCTCCCCTCGTCCTTGAGCGGCTGGCGCATACAATGCCATCTGCGCGATTTCCGAACTCTCTCGCACGCGTGTCGCTGCTGCTACATGTGCGTTCGTCGTCCCTTTCGCGGCCCCAAGTTTGAACACGCTCCTCCGCTTCCAGTGCGCCCGCCGCTCTGCGCATCGCATCGGCCGGCTCTACCAAGCAGCAGGAGATCGCGGTCTCCGTACTCTCCAGATGGATCTGCGGCGTTCTGCGCGGGTCCGTCTCAGTGTACCTCCTTGATCGGCGCGGATGGAACCCAGGGCGTTTCAAGCTTGATGCAAGACGGCAAACCGTCTCTAACCAGCTTAACCTCGCAGGATCAAGGCTTCAAGCCGGAAGGTTTACCCCGCTCCTCTCGATCGCTTCCACCCGGGAAGCGGACGGTCGGAGAGTTTGGCAAGAAACGGCGGCGAAGCACCGCTCGGGGACGAGGGACGGCACTTCGGGGGGTGCGTAGGCACATCGAGAACGCGTGGAGGTCGACCTGCGGTCACTATGCCGCACCGAGCGATGGAGACATATCACGATGGCGTAGCACTCGCCAAATAAGCCGCAATGCAGCAGGTGCGTTCGTTCGAGTTCTTGCACACGCCAACGCTGATTTGCGCCACCATCGCACAGGTCCACCGCGATCGCACGGTCCGATTTCACCCTATGATCACTCTCTCGCCGAGCGGTTCGTTTGCCAAACGATCCATTGACAGGTCCCATACATGAGTGATGGACCATGCGACAGCAGTCTCGTCGTTGAGTGCGTACACGTTATGTAACCGGAGCTGGTAAACTCCGCTCTCTCATTCGTGGGTCCGTTCGTTGTACTAGCTAGGCGTTAGACTGATGTCTGGCTGTTCTCAGTATACGGGGCGATCAAAGTTCGGGTCACCTACAGCCCAGGACCGAACTATACCGACAACGTCTGTGATGTGGACTTCTCGTCCTCAGTACCCTTCCGCGAGTGAGTGAGTCGTGAAATCTAGCCGAGCCCAGACTAATGCCTTTCTGAGAAGGCTGATTAAAGCGTTGGATCGATCGCACGCCTGCCTGCGGATGGTCGGAGACTGATCAGTGCTCACGGGATAGCGTGCGGGCTACGACTCGTTTCGGTGCCCATCGTCCCCAAATAACTAGCGATTCCTCTCGCGTTCACCCCCCACACCCCCTCGACGAGCGTGAGGAACTGCTGGTGGGTCCTCCCCCCGTATGTCTACCCAGTACCTACTATGCTGACACCCTGGTAGATACTTGGCCTCTTCAACGCCCGTCGCCGGTATGGACAGTGCAGCCGCCTTCAGATTGTATGTGCCTATTGATGATACCACGAGCTGGTGTGCTCACGTACGCGATCCAGTCTTCAGAGCGAATGGGCGGTGGTCGGAGCCATCAGTAGGTGGTCACCTGGAGTATGAATCTGAATTGCCTGACGCCTTCTCTCGTTTCCAGCCGTCACCACCTACGACTACTTGCTCATATTCGACCGCGAGGTTCGGTATGTCTGGAGGAAGAAGTTCACAAGTGCAGGCGCGATCTATATCGCCATACGTTACTCCTGTTTAGCCTCCAACATCCTCACCCTCCTCAATTTCTTTTACTGGCCGGGGAAATCAACACCAGTGAGAGCCTTCCCGAGTACTGACACATAGTAGACGACTCTGACCCCCTTGTCCTGGCAGAAGTACGCACTCGGCTGCGCCCGTTCGCGCCTCTACTCTTTTGCAGCGCACACACTAATCTGCGATACTGCCCCGCAGGTGTAACGGGATCACAGTGGCTTTTTCTGTTTTGGGGGGCATCATGCTCATGGCCGCCGCGGGTGGGTTCGGGAGTCGAAAACCGAGATCTTCCAATGACTAATAACAGTACACCGTAGTGTTCTCGTCGTTGCGATCGTACGCGTTGTGCCAACACAAACGCGTGGCCTTCCTCGTTTTAGTGCTCGGGTCTTCAAACGCCTTTCCCTCGATTGTGAGCACTCCCATCCACTTACCTGTGTCCAACTCAACCTGAACCGCGCTCAGTATGCAGCGATCAAGAACAAGGCCACCTACGACCCAGGACCCTTTGGGGTTAACGTCATTTGCACCGTGGATTTCTCGCAATTTCTATCCTTCCGCAAGTGAGTGAGCGAGGTGTATCATGGATCAAACTCGAACTAATCAGCTCCTTTCACAGTGGTCCGTTATCGCTTTCTCCCTCAGTACCCGTCTCTTGACTTGATACCGAACAGCGATCATCGTCGGGCGTTCCTGCGGCGTTCTCTGCGACCTTATTGTCCTCATCTTGACATGGAAACATGCAGGACCGCGTAGAGGACAGCAGTCGTTTAGCATTTCAACGGCTTTCTTTGATAATGGTAACTACGTTGTTTTGCGTCATTGAGTCTGGAAATTGACGTATCCGCCGCATTGCAGGTGTTGCATACTTCGCGTGAGCTACACGTCCCTTCCGCGTTTGATTTCATCATTCATATATCATGTTTTCAGTGCACTCCTTTTTTGCAATATCACGAACCTTGTTTTCGTCAACAACATCGAGGTAACGCTGTACCTCATGCGCTCGGTACCGCCATAAAATCCAGGGCTGATGTTGCCTTTCCAGCTCTTGTTTGATCTCATCGGCGGGATGAGCGCGTGCGTTTTCCCGCCATTCCTCTTCGCCACCTCTGCTGATGACTTTCTGGTGCAGCACGACGGTGCTCTTGACCACCCGCTTCATCCTCAACCTATTCGAAGCGAGCGATCCCGCTACATACGCCACGACTGTGAACAGTTTATCGCCGTCGCGCGCAGTCGCGTTCCGCACCGCCGGCGGCGTCAGCACGACCAGTCCTTCTCAGGCGGTTTTCGCCGCGGATGTCACCTGGCGCGGTGCAGAGGAGAGCGAAAGCGTCTGCAGCAACAAGGACGGCTACGGCTACGAGCTGCAGGTGAACCCGGGCCGGAGGGAGTAACATCCGGACCGACTTGAGAAATCGGATGCGCGCTGCAGCGGCTGCGCTCCGAGTTTGGCACGTTTTCGTCGCTGATATACCGGACACTGGCACGCCCGGGGATGATACTTGGGCATATATCCCCGTTCGACACGCTCCCGCCACCTTCATACCCACCCCGTGTTTTTGTTCAGATCCAGCGCGCGCATGTTGTATATGTACAATAGCTATAGGACTTATCAAATCGGATTTTTGTTGTATTTTGTTGTATTTGGAACTGAGGGATCGCCCAGTTGAGAAGGCGATGAGCGTAACGTTGTAATAGAGAGCCTGGCGCTGAAGCGCTGAAGCGTGGCGCACACCGTCGCGACAGGTCGCGACACCACCATGTCACATGACCGCGACGCGAGTGACTGTCCTGCTGGTAGACCGCCAACCGCGTGCAAGCTCTTCCTCTTGGCTAAACACCCTCCTAATGTTCTGCCTCTGTGAGACAGGCTCGTGGTGAGCGCGACGCTCAGCGCAGCTCGTTTGGGCTTGCTTTGTGCAGACGCCGAGATTGCATGAACATTGGCTAGGAACAGCTAGGAACACGCAGCACCCACCACCTCCCTCCCACTCCTCCTCCCCCCTCCTCTCCACTCCCCCCTGCCCGCACACCGTCATCCAGATGCATATTCGCCATGGCCACTACCCACAGCCTCTTTTGACACGATGAGACATCCCTGCTGCAAACCATCGATTTTGAGGTCCAATCCAAATCGACAGTTCTCCTTACCCTCACGATTCGTGTTCACAGTCCTGGGACTGGAAAATCTCGGCCTTGGATGGGCAGCTCCCGAGCCCTCTCATCAACGCGACCGGCGTTGGATCACTGTATGACGGTCAGCTCTCAGTCCCTTTCCCAATGATCAGCGTTCAGGGGGTGCCCACATACGTCGAGGATAGCATGGGGACTCCATTCGCTCCTTTCTTCGGCCTTCAGGAGCGTCGCTCTACCCCGGCGATGTGATCTCTCCCCCGAGCGCTGCGCCGGATGGTGTGGGGGCCCATGGTGCGGTTCCGTGCGTACATAGCGCCCTCCACCCCCGAGGCACAAGTTTCGTGCCAACCTCTGTCGGAGACTGTGGAACATTGTTTGTGTTTATGTATTGCTTTCATCTCTCGTCTTCGACTCTTTCGAGAGCGCTGAGAGTTCTCCAGGTCTGGCCCCACCTCCGTCCCTTGGGGATTCACAGCGCAATGACAAGCACTTCCAGTGCGACGGTTACCTAGAATGTATGATTTCAACTCGAATTTAGTGGCGTTGGCTCATTCTCACAGGGTTCTAGACGAAGTTCAAACGTTCAACTCTCAAGAGCGCACCGACATTGGGCCCTTCCCCTGCCCAGACTCCGTGTGCCTCTTCGCAAAGAACCATGATCTCACCCGACACGTCGCCTCACACTAAGGAGAAAAACGCGAGGCCGTGAAGTAGGAGCGGGTCGAGCGGGAAGTCAACAACAGCCGCCAGTGACACCAAGCGGCGTGTCCCAGTGCGTACATATCCCTCGTCTCTCTCTCTCGCGCGATTTCCGGCCTACTCCCTCCCTGAACCTGCCGCCGCCGACCGCACTCCCGTCTCCGCAGGCACGCAAGCGTCGCGTGCATCAGAATTGCACCACTCTCAAGGCCCGGCGCCCCACGCGAGCCTCTATGAAAAGAGCGCTGCCGGCTCGTCTTAGGCGTCGGATTTCGATTGGGGGTGGTACAGATCTCATGGACGAGAAACGAACGTGTGGGTCTGCGCGGGGGACGGAACACCTAGCTCGGCGCTGGGTGGGTTCGTCTCGCGGTGGATGTACGCGTTCACGCGTGGGATACTCTCTTGTTTTCGGTTTCTCGGTTTTCTACCTCTGTGTCCTCGTCTCGGAATGGCCCCCAGCAGACTGTGCGGGTTTCCATTGGTTGGAACTCCTATCATCGAGGTTTCCATCTTTTTGCTTTTCCGCCCACATGTAGCATGGCAGCATGATATTCAAGGCTGGATCCCGAGAACACCAAACTGCATCGTTGGCGCGGTATGATTCGCACCAGTCCCGGCTGCCCGGTATCCGCCGTGATCGCGACCTCTGCAGATGCGCGACGCAACCTCAAAGGGTGTCAACGCGGGAAGAGACGTCACGCCAAGTAGTGAGCTCACCAGCTCTCCCGTCGAGATTGATGATGAGCACAGGATAAGACGTGAGTCGCCGATACACCGGACGTTTGGTGCAGACGCACGAGCACACCCAACCGCCCGCAGCTCGCGATCACTGTCATCGCTCGCATATTCGACCTTCGCGTCCGCTTTGTCCATTCGTCCTCGCACGCCTCGACCATCCTGTCCGCAGTCATCCCATGAGCCGCACACTAACCCCGCGCGGTGAGATTACGAGTACATATGCTGTGTGGATGGGTCGGGGCGCTGACAGGCCGCGGCCGAAGATTGTAGCGCAGGGTTCATCCGCGAGAAAGAGTACGGGCTTGCAGTCTCATATTGCACCTCAACAGAGGAGTGTACTATGCTGGGGCACGTAGTCGACCTCGCGTTGGACCAAGGCATGTCGTGCTTCCACATCTTCCGATCTCTAGCTGACTCTCGGCCGTTCCACCCCTCACTGCCCCAGGTCATACTTGGGTTCCCGACCTCGAAAAACGAACACGCCCCAATCTCCTCCCGCATCTCCGCCCGCACGGGTCCCGACAAGTTCGCGGACCTCGTCGTTCACATTGCACCCTTGCTCCAAACTCTCCGTTCCGACGGCGCAGGCCTCAGCGCGCCACCACTCGCGGTCGCCCCCCGGCTCCTCTCCGCTTCACCGCCTTCCACTGGGGGCGCTGCGAGGGGGACGTTCCGGGTGCCACACGCCGTCGCCGCACTCTTTCGCGACAGCGTCGTCCCCGCAACGTGTGGCCGCGCAAGGGTGTCCACGCGATCCTCGAAGATGGCGCTCCGCAGGCTCCGCGTCCTCGACGTCTCTCCTCCTGATCGTGTCTTTCACCCACTCACGTATATTTTGTTCCCCTTTCGACTCTTTTCTGATGATCGTTTCGCCCATATCATCTCATCTCGGATTGGCGCTCCCCGCATCCCGGCCTTGTTTGCCCATCGTCTTTGCCAGCGCCGTGACATACCTCCCTCATCTATCCCGCATCGTCTCCAGGTGTGTCCCGCCCCCTTTTGCACTCGCCCTCCCCAGCACCTCACTCCTTTCCTCACTCCTGCTCCCCCTCTCCCTCTCGCATCTCACGTCTACGCGAACTCGTCGGTACACCTTCGGCTGTGTCGACTCTTCCCCAGTCTGCCGGCAAGGGAATAGGCCCTCGTGCACGAAGGGTACATATATCTATTCATGCACTTACATACATGACCGCTGCAGCATACGAAGCCACCTGTATAGTCGCTATATGTCACGTAGCAACTGCACTAGCATAGTATAGAGGGTTTGATCGATCGTACTCCTGCCCACGGAGTAACGGACAGTTAGGGACTAACGAGCCCTCAAGGCCTCACAGGGGTAGCACCCTCGTGGCGATCGCACCCCTTTAAGCGCTCATCGTCCCCAGATATACTGGCGGGGGGCAAGACCGATTTCTCATGCGTTTATTCCCCCGAAACTGGTGAGTCCTGCCCCCACATTCTCATGTTGTACCTGTGCTCACGCCCTGGTAGATACTTGGTCTCTTCAACGTCTGTCGTCGCTATGGACAATAAAACCGCCTTCAGAATGTACGTAGCTATTGAGGGTACCGCAAGCTGGCGTGCTCACATACGCGAATCAGTCTTCAGAGTAGATGGGCGGTGGTCGCGGTCATCGGTAGGTGGTACACCTGGAGTATGAATCTGGATCGTCTGACGCCTTCTCTCTTTCCCAGTCGTCACCTCCTATGACTACTTACTCACACTTGACCGCGAGGTTCAGTACGTCTGGAGGAAGACTACGAGTGCAAGCGCGATCTATATCGCCATACGTTACTCCTGTTTGGCCTCCAACATCCTCACCCTCCTCACTTTCTTCCCATTCCCGGGCAAATCAACACCAGTGAGAGCCTTCCCAAGCCACCACACATGCTGGCCGCCTCTGATCCCCTTGACCCGGCAGAAGTACGCGCCTATTTGCGCCTCAGCGCACACACTGATCAGCTACGGCCTCGCAGGTGTAACAGGATCACACTGGCTTTTGCTATATTAGGCGCCGTCATGCTCTTGTCCGCCGCGGGTGGGTTCTTGAGTCGGAAGCTGAGATGTTCCGATGACTAATCACGGTATGTCGTAGCGTTCTCGTCGTTGCGAGCGTATGCGTTATGCCAACGCAAACCCGTGGCCTTCCTCGTTTTAGCACTAGGGTCTGCGAACGCCGTTCCCTCGATTGTGGGCACTCCCATCTGCTTACCTGTGTCCGAATCAACCCTGACTTTTGGTCAGTATACAGCGATCAAAAACAAGTCAACCTACGACCCAGGACCTAGCGGCGCCAACGTCATGTGCAACGTGGATTTCTCACTATTTCTGTCCTTCCGCACGTAAGCAAGCTAGGTGTATCGTGAATAAAGCTCATGTTAATCACCTTCCTTCACAGCGGTCCGTTATCACTTTCTCTCTCGGTAGACGTCTCTTGACTTGATAGCAAACAGCGATCATCGTCGGGCGTTCCTGCGGGGTTGTCTGCGACCTTCTGGTTCTTATTTTGACATGGATGCAAACAGGACCGCGTGGAAGAAGCGCACACCAGGAGTTCCGCATTGCGACGGCTCTTTTTCAAAACGGTAAATCCGTTGTATTGGGTCATTAAGTCTGTATGTTGACACATCCATTACATTGCAGGTGTTGCATACTTCGCGTGAGCCATACGATACGCCTCTTCCGCATTTGTTCTCATCGTTCGTAAATCATGCCTCCAGTATTCTCCTCGTTTGCAACGTCATCAACCTTGTTTTCATCAATACTGTCGAGGTAACGCTTGACCTTATGCGCCTGATAGTTCAAAGCTGATCTGGCCTTTCTAGGTCTTACTCGATCTCATTGGTGCAATGAGCGCGCACGTTTTCCTGACATTCCTCTTCGTCTCCTCCGCTGATGACTTCCCGGTACAGCGCGACGGTGCTCTTGACCACCCGCTTCATCCTCAACTTATTCGAAGCGAGCGATCCCACCATAGGCGTCTCGACCATGCACAGCGTGCTCGCATTCCGATCCATTGACGGTCTCAGCACCGCTAGTCATTCTCAAGGATTTTTCGCCGCCGATATCACCTGGCGGAGTGCAGAAGACAGCGAAAGCGTCTGTAGCACCAGGCACGGCGACGGCTACGAGCTCCAGGCGAACCCGGGCCGGGGGGAGTAACGCGCGCCCTTTCATATCGCATCATGAACTTGTAACATGTACCCGTGAGTTATATCTACCTCGAAGCTACCTATGTGTCTTGAGACGTTTCTGTGATGTTTGTTGTTTTTTTCTCCCGGAAAATGACTGATCATCAGACGAAACGGTAGCCATGTTCAAGAGGCGATGCGCGTTTGCTCTGTGTTCAAGAGACCAGCGCGCTGTGGGTACTAATGGCGTCCATATCCGTGCGCTGTCGTTCTCCTGACACAAGAATCCCCCAAAAGCTCTGCATTCGCAGCAGAACAGAAGCCCAGCCACTGTCCCCGGCCGCTGGTGGCCGTCGCGCGGGTGACGTCAGACTTCGCTCGGCTCTCCTCCTATAAGTACCAGCTCTTGTCGCGCCCCTCGAACTTCCCTCCTTCGCCCCCTCCTTCGCACTGCTGTTATCATGGACGCCTCCAAGTACAAGGACGTTGCCGTCCGACGCGGGTACACGTACCACTACTACTACTCCCGCGCCACCGCGGGCAAGCCGACGCTCCTCTTCGTCCACGGCTTCCCGTCCACCTCCTTCGACTGGTCGCGCCAGGTCGCCCACTTCGCCCCGCTCGGCTACGGCGTCCTCGTCCCGGACTGCCTCGGCTTCGGGGGAACATCCAAGCCGACGGACTTGACCGAGTTCCGCCACAAGCTCATCGCGGACGACCTCGTCGACCTCGTCGACGCAGAGGGCCTCGACGACGTCGTCGCGATCGGACACGACTGGTGCGTCCGTCTGAGTTCCTTCTGAATCTTGGAGCGGGTGACGGGGCGCTGATGTCGTCGCGCTTGCCCACCCAGGGGATCCGCGCTCGTGTCGGCGCTGGCGCAGCACTACCAGGACCGCTTCCGGGCGTTCGCGTGGCTCGCGGCCGGGTACTTCGAGCCAAAGACGCAGGCGGTCGACCCCGACGTGATGTTCCACTTCTATGGCTACTGGGAGCTCATGAACGCACCGCACGGGCCCAAGCTCATCGAAGATAAGGTGCGCCGCCCGTCCGAACTTTATGACCGAAGCGCGCCAACGCTGACTGACACGGTGTCCCGGCGGCGCAGATGGACAGTTTCCTCCAGCTGAACTATTCGGTGGATCCCGGGCTCTGGAAAGACCATCTCTTGCCCCGCGGTGCGTTTGCCAAGTGGCTCGAGGCGGACCGTCGGCCGGGACGTCCGGAGTGGTTGTCTGAGGAGGCAAGTCGAAATCAGCAGCATGCGATGAACGAGAGACTGAAAGACCAACCGTTAGGATTACAACCACGCTCGAAACGATCTCTTGGAGGGCGGTATAACGTCCCCCGTGAACTACTACAAAATCATGATCAACAAAGGCAACTTGGCCGATCACCAGGGTGCGTGCATGCGATGTCTGTTCTTCGCGTGTCCGGTTGACAATTCTTCGTTTGTCCAGCCCTCCCTGAGGCGAATTGGCATGTCAAGAAGCCGGGCCTCTTCATCGCGACGAAGCGCGACTCCGTGTGTATCCCGGACCTTGGCAAGGCGAGTCTCGCCAAGTACGCGCCCCACGCTGAGGTCATCGAGCTCGACGCCGGGCACTGGGTGCAGCTGGAGGCGACCAAAGAGGTGAACGAGGGGCTGGAGAAGTGGTTGCTCAACCTGCCGTCTGCCTCGGCACAGAAGCTGTGATTCACGGACGTGGCCCGTGTGATTACGTAAGATGCTGTACTTCTTCCGTGTACTATAGTCGACACTTGTTACTTTACACGTAGGTCGACAACAATATGTCCCCCTCCCGCCGACCCCTTCGCGCGCCTTCACACTCACGGCCCCGCCTTCGCCGACAGCCGCTTCCCCGTCGACGTCGACACCCGGCACCCCACTCGCTGACGTTCCGCTCGTCCGCCGTCCGGCCGGGCTTCGTCCTCCGCCGTCGCCCTCGTCGTCGTCGCAATCGTGAGGCCAGCGCTGAACGGATACCGAGCGCGGACCGTGGAAGGCTCTCGTCGACGCCGTGGCCTCGGTCCGGTATGCGTGCCCGGCGGCGGCGGCGGCGGCGTCGAGCTCGAGGATGAGCAACGCACCGACGATGGCGCACAACTCGAGCTGCCCATTGAGGCCAACCCCCGTCTGCGGGAACGCGCGACGCGCGAAGGTGTGCGGGCTGTGGGCGACGTCCATCCGGGCGCTGACGATTACTGGCAATGTTAATGAGTACTGAGTACTGAGTGGTAAGAAGCAAAAGGACTCGATGATTGCAGACTTTGCAGACCTTTGCAGACTGGATGCGTCCGGCATCACCGGGCCGGAAAAACCGGTCCGACCCGCTTTGCCCTGCCTACACACGGCGATTCCTGGAAGACTTGAGAGATGGAAGCACCAAGCCTCACCATGAAGACTTGAAGATTTGAAGCTTATGCGTCCGAATCGCATTATGACACGTACTGGATGGGAACTACACACACGTTACAGCGGATACTTCAGAGACAAATTCGTGATAACCTCCATCGCATCCGAACGGTAGTCGTCCCTGATAACACTCGTCTCCGGGCCGTCGCGAAATACGAGCATGCGCCGCTTCCAGGACGTGTAAAGCGGCCACGCCTCTCCCTTTCCGGGGGCGTTGGGGTCAAGGTCGTTGATGAAGTGGATGACGTGGTCGACGAAGCCATCGCGGATCGCGGCGTCTGCTATGCGACCGGTGTCCGTCTCCCGAACTGAAGGGTGAAACGGAAATACGGTACTTAGATCAGACCCATGGAAGGCGCCAAGGAGGGGAAGTGATTTGTAACGTTTGCTCACTAGCCAGGCAGGGCGATGAGAGAGTGGACCGAAAACAAATACAGAGACTCACAAAACGCCCATGTAGGTTGAAGGTCAGACCTGTACTTCAGGAAGAAGCGGCGAGGGGCTTGAAAGACCAAATCCCCTTGGAGGTCGGCGATACGTGCGAACTGAGGGGAGACGAAGAGCGAGATCCAGCCTGGCACTTCGCCTTGAGGGTAGAGTTCGAGTAGCTCGTCAATCTCAGTTTGGGTGGCGGCAGGCATGTAGTTCGTGGTGATGTATTCGCGCGTCTGGTTCTCGGTGGTGATGTTGCTCGAGGACAGTGCGAACACGGTGCCCTCGTCATAGCAGCTCTGTTTGTTGTGAGGAGACAAACATAATTGGCGAAATCAAACAACGTACGCCTGAAATCATCGGGATGTTGGCGATGCTGCCGCTCATCACCAGCTTCTGCGGTGTGTCCACCAAGAACACGCCGTCTACCCGAGGAACCCAAGCCAAATTGAGAGACTGTTCAAACGTCGGAATGAGCCTCCGCGTTTGAGATCACCGCATATATGCGCACCTGATAGGAGAAAAAGGATGGAGATCTGTCGACGGCCTGTCTGAGGGTACCGAAGTCGACGTTGCGCAGACATTCTAGGGTATCCACTCGTCCATGGCACCCTACATCGTGGACGAGAGCGTCGTAGTATCGCTGGCCGTGTTCAATGGGTCCTACAGGGATCGGAGCTCCGCTTTGCATGATCGCACCTCGGAAGAGGCCCTCGCTGTCCCCGTGATTAGTGGCCATCTGTAGCGCCACGGAAATCGCTCCAGAACTTTCGCCCCATCTGTGTGACACAAAATATGGGTATAAGTTCGCTAGCGATAAGATTGAGATAGAAACCCACATTGTGACCTTGTGCGGATCGCCGCCAAAGGCAGATATGTACTTCTATACCCACCGAAGGGCGAGACGTTCTAGTGGTGAATCTGCTCAACATATGCACATCAGGGAAGAGAACATCACGAACGATCCCGTAAGCCGATGTTTCCAACACCGGCAGTCTTGACTTCTTTTCCTGCGAGAAAGCCGTACGCTGTGCAGATGCTTGGGCTTAGATGTCTCCTACGATATCTGTGAGATGGCTCATACCTGAGACGCTATAGCCACAATGAGCCTGATGTTCAGGTGGATGCATTACGACGAACGTACCGGTAGTTTATGCTGACAAAAAGGATTGGTCTTTCAATCTCAATGGATCGCTGCACGATAAAGGTGCCATCGTATCTGAAGGGTTCATCTTCTTTAAACAGTACAATTAGAGCCGGAACACATGGCTTACGTGGACGAGGACCCAATTTCGAAGCCACCTAAACGAAGTATAGGGTGGATGAGTATGCGAACGCGATGATGCGTAGCGTATACTAACCTCCGTGTATCCACTACATGTCGAAATTAATCGGGACTCAAACGCTATTTCAAGTGCGAACACTCACGACGACGACAGGGAATGCTTCGCCTGAGTTCTTTTCTGGCTTGACCACATTGACAAACAAACCTATGGATCGTGAGGGTAGGTGAGCACTGACGGGGAGTACGGCACAACCAACCTACAGTCTTCAGCCTCTGCACCACTTGGGGGCGCATATATGAGGCGGGCGATGCGGGCAACGATGTCGTACCACATTTGAAGCAAGAATATCGATGGTGGTTTTATAGCCTGTTGTGGGCACGCCGGGCCGAAGGCTGTCGCGTCGCGGACCGCGCCGGCCGCGTAAGGCTCTACAAGGACAGGGGCTCCGAATCGCCTACGAAAAGAGTATGTTGGCAGTGAGTGCAAGGCGCAGACAGATTGAGAATGGCGGACGTACGGGGCGCCTCCATAAGGGATACCTAGGTACTTCGTTATACTAGGGCCGGCCGGTCGGCCGAGGAAGAAGGCGTCGTCTAATGCCACGTAGGGCGTTTGTTCAACAGCGTCACGGATTACGCCAAACATGGCCTGCAAGCAAAGAGGTAGGAGTAGTAACCGAATGGAAGGCATGGCGTGCAGTACAGAGCCGGAAGGAAGGGGGAGAAAAGTATACAAGCAAGGCCGAAACGAAGCCAGCTTTGTAGCTTCTTTAAGCGAAGAGAAGGTATTGTTCGACGTCCGCCTCAGACGATCGGAGACACGTGCCATGACATCGGTTTGGACACGTGCTCCTTGTGCGCTGACGCAAGTTCATAAAAGGTTGTTGAGATTTGAAGCAGCGTTATGAAGCAACCAGCACTGTATCCCTGTTATTTTACATGTACATACAGGCGATTTTAGCGTAGCATTGGCAATAATGGAGGGCTCAGACGTACGCGCGCGGCGAAATACTACACTGCAGAAGCAAGCCCTTGGAAGCTCCGGCCGAGAAATGTGATCGACAAGCGGCCCGATGGAGGCTACCAACGGAGAGCGCTTTCAGGGTCAGAAAGCATGGCAAGAGGCACAGCGAAGGCCAGCGCTCACCTATACTAGCCCTAGCTCTGCGTCGCGCGTCTACGCAGAGATATTGAGAATGAACTGGGGAACCGAGGAGGAGTCTTACCTGGTTTACTGGCGACGCCAGGTCACAGTGGATTCCATGGGCCACTCCTCCACGGTCGCCCTGTGGTGCACGGACATCCCGAACACCGCCAGTGACGGCCGAGGATCGTCCTCGCTTTCCCGGGCTTCGGCGGGCGTGTCGGAATGGAATCCGCGACGCGCAAAAGTACGGCTAGAGATCGAGCTGCGAGTCCAGAACGCCGCAGCCTCGTGCAGGTCGAGGATGAAGCGGCAGCTGAGCACAGCGACAGTCCTGTAAGAGACGACCGATGAGAGACAAAGTATATCGAAGGGAAGAGAGCGGCGCACATTTCGATCCAGACAGTCAATGCCAAGAAGATCTGGAGGGGCGTTGCGTCAGCCGGTGAGGGGATCAGGAGAAAGGAAGGGACTAACGCGGGCATGCTGCACAACGGTGGCCCCCACGATGTTCAGGAAGGAGAGTGCGCTGCAAATAGAGTCGCCTGAGTACAACTCGCTGAATAAGTAGATCCATCGCTCGGAACTTACACGAAGTATATCATCCCGTCAGTAAACAGAGTCTGCGTCACGGCTGTAATCATGGTCCGGTTGTTGCGAGTGAGTGTTGGTCGTGTGATCCTCCATGTCACTGTTAAGACGATCAAGTCGCTTGCCATTGCACATAGTCGAGGCACGATGTTGCCTAATCGGGACCAAGAGGGAATTCAGCTTCCATATATGCCGAGATAGATCAAAAGCATACGACGCACCACTGCAAGAGTATCGATAATCAGTACTCAGTACTAGGGGATACAGGGGAAAGAAAAGCTACTCACACTAAGCTTTGTGTGCGAGTAGTGTTTACAACGAACAATGCGTTTGTACACGAATGAAAAGGGTCGGCATCACTTGTCGTTGTCTTTGGGTCTGCGAAGAAGAACTAAAATGCGTACACGACATCAGTGGTGGCACAAATCATCACAAGTGAACGGCGACTCACCAAAGAAATGAATGGATCAACTAACGAGAGTGCGAGGACCGTGCAAAACGTCCACTTATTGTGCTTAGTGAGCGCGAAGGCTCGTAGCGCGGTGAACACTTCCAACGTCATCAGACTCAGGTTGCGGCGATATGAAAGTGTATCAACAGACCTGCAGCTCCCGTGAGCACCACCACATCGGTCGCTGCGGCCACGCGAAGAATCGCGCTGCAACTACAGACGGGAAGGCCATGAGGCAAACACACAAAAAGTACGCATACCGTACGCACCTCTGCACGACAGCAGTCAGTGAACGCTCACGCGAATGACGAGTTCACAAACACTTACGATCGTCGTTTTCCAGGGAAATGGCGTTAGGAAGACAAGTAGAACGATGGCGCCTGCCAAGCCCATGTACCTGATCGTCAGGAAGAGGAGTGACGAGCTCGAGAGCGGTCGGGACCAGACATAGCGAACTTCCCTCGAGAGCGTGAGGCAATAGTCGAACAAAAAGAAGACTGCAAGCAAGATCAGTACCTGAATTCTGTGAAAAGGCGAATCCTGTGATCGCTGGATGTCTTACCTGATGCTGCGGCGATCTGGTACCCAACTCCGTCAATATTGGCAAGCAGCTCGAGACTCCTTTAAATATGTCAGAGTCCACTACAACCAAAGCAAAGGACGCAAGATCTCACCTGGTACTCATGTACGAACCTTCAAGCACGAGTGTCCAGCACGCCGACGAGATGGTGGAGGTACGAGACTGGTACTAGTCCCAACGCGCTGGTCGCGCGGGGCACACATTGGGTGACCACCTGAATGGGAACTTTTGCAGGGTCGCTGTGCGGTTACATCCGCGTGATGCTGCGGTCGCCGAGTTGCTGTAATCGCTCAGGGACTACACAGCCGAGAAGCTAGGGCACACGCGCTTTTGATTGTTGCCGATGAGCTCCCCCTTTCATCAAAATCCTAGTAAATTTGTAGTAAATAGCACGACGCTAGACAACACATGGATACCCGCCTCACAGGATGTGGTGGTGATTATCAGATAATCAGATATTATGAATGCAACTGGAGGAGCAGGAGACAAGAGAGGCCCAAATTAGTTGGCAGCCGACAGCAATTAAATCAGGACCAACCCTGCGTCGAGTGTTTGCCGCATATTGGAGGCTCTGACAGCGCCATCAAACATGTTGGTGGTCAGTATGTGAAGCGCAGTGATCCGCAACAATCAGCTCTCACCTCCGCTTTGAGACCATCGACAACCTCGAAAGCGTGTTGCTTGAATGAACTCGGATGTATGCAAAACAAGTGACGTGGGGGTAAAAGCGACATGGTACATAAATGCGATATCGATACAAGGAATGAGCAAGATCCAGATGTGGGCATTCATGTGCGAGTCCGAGAGGGTAACGACGAAGATGGACTACAACGGAGACAGTCCTTGGGCAATTCGTTCGAGCGCCATGATGGCGTCCTCACGACTCATGTTGTTGAGCACCTGTGCGGCGGTCGGAACAACAGAGTCCTCAGACCCCATTGTGGCGTGCACAATAAGACGCGCGACGACTTCGCCCTGAGTCACGATGGTATCAGGAAAATGTCAGGACAGCAAGCGAAAATCGTACGCACCACTTCCACCATGCACGCGACCACGATGAGCCTGCGATTACCATCTGTCAGACAAAAAAAAAGAGGGAGTATACGCAACATGGACACGCACCAGATAATGATCCAAGTGATTCGATCCATCGCGTTGTTGTTTAGGTGATCATGAATCGCACTAAGCTGAGCGTCGAACGTTGGCTTGTCTCTTAATCATCGGACAAGTATGCACCACTCACCAGATCCTCGGCGACTGCGATCTTCTCGTTCAAAACCTGAACCCTCGGCTCAATCTCCATATACTCCCGCACCGCGTCGTATAGAGCCTTGAGGCTAGCTTCGTCCCAGAACAGCTCCGGTACGTCAAGCACGTTGCTCACGAGGTTGATGTCGCGACGAAGAGTAAAGAGACGGCCAGTGAGCTTGAGCGCCTCCTTGCGGGGGATTGCGAGAACGCCTGTTGCAGCGAGCTGAGCGGGGATGGAGCGCGTACGGGGGGAGGAAAGGATCCGGTGGGCCATGGTCTCGTAGTGGGCAAGGAGAGTCGACTGGGCCAGCGCGTGTGCAACTGACAGTTGAAGGAGGTGGGAATGGGTCTTGAATGCTGCATATATGCGGCCCGTTGAGCGACGAGCCTAGAGAAATCCGTACCTCACTCACTAAAGAAGTCGTTGTATATGCGGGGAAACGCAATGTTCGGTTCATGCTTCATTGGGTGGAAGAGGTCAGAACTTGACCTATCATAGACACTAGCTCTGCTCACCGCATAGTGGAACGCTTCGACTTCCCAGTCGTCGAAAGGGATCTTCCGCACCATGTTCAGGCCAGCTTCCACATCCTCGAGGATGCTCAACTCTTGATCTTCCCGCATTCCGAAGAAAACGACCACGCCATACTGGAAGAAAATCGCCTCCGCGAAGTTCTGCTCGTCTGTTGTGATGGTACGCCGGGGGGTCTTCCGAGGCCGTCCAAAATTCTGTCTTCGGGGCGCTATGATCACCGGATGACTGTCTTCTGGGCTGAGAAAGGGAGCACCATCCTGTGAGCGGGCGATCTGACCGACTTCTGAGACCACCCCCGGGCCTTCAGGCGTTGGTGCCGACGGACGATGGGTCATGGTCTCCGGTGAAGTAGAGGGAATGAACCCGTCTATACCTGGGGAAGTGGAGGGGTCTAGTGAGGCAAAATAGCCACCTTGGTAGCCCTCGTCTTCCGCTTCTGAGAGACCAGAGCTAGGATCCTCGTTTCCAGGCGAAGTGGGAGGCGCAGACGACCGAATATTGGATCCAGGGCCATAGCCGGGAAGAAGGGGGAGATGATACATCTACCACAGTCGTTGAAGTCAAAGTCTCAGCGAACACAGAGTACGCCGCTCACCACATACATGGCTTCATCGAACACGCGAGGCTTGACGTTGTGCTCGCGCTTCAAGAAGCTGGCGAGGAGTTTCATTTTGAAGCTCTCTGCGACACAGTACGCCGTGATGCGTCTGAACCCTGCCTTCTCGCGCTGGTCTTTGTTCATCCGCTCTCCCGCGCTCTTGTGCTCCCGCAGCCCCTGGTCTGTCTCGTATCCGTGCAGCGCTTCTTCATCGTCGTCCGCGTCCAGTGGAGGAGGCTTGGTTTGTGGCGCGGAGGGAAGAACAACAAGCTTCTGGGTGGTCTTGGATGTCCGTTGTGTCTTTGCTGCGCCGGTGACCGGGTTCGTCAGCGGTACGCCCGACAGGGATGGGCGACGGGTGAGCTGGCGGACATGGCTCGTGGCGGACGTTGTGCGGGTCGGACGAGTGCGGAACGTTGGTGAGGGGACTGCCGGGGGACGGGGCGCCTGAGGGCTCGACATGGACTGTGGCGTTCTTCGCTGACGGCTGGCAGATGCGAGAGAGAGAGAGAGAGCAGGAGCAGGAGGAAGAGCAGGAGGAAGAAGCAAGAGTTCTTCGACCAACACCCTCCAACACCGTACCTCCGGTTTCAACGCAGGCGGGCGCCACGGCCCGGATCGGGCGGAAGGCGCACTGCAGGACGCTCGGAACTCGTTTAAATCTCACTGAATCATCAAACAGCAATCTCATTCTCCGACCAGCTCACGAGCTTCCGAGAGCTCTGCGATATACCCCGTCTTCGAACGTCGTCGGGCCATTGAAGGCTCGGTGGACTGGGGGTAGACGACGCTTGTACATTCTCGGCCTCTCCAAAAAGCGATCCCGAACGAGAGGCTGCACTGAGCAACGCGCATACCGCAAGCCTATTTCACAGAGGTGGAACGTTAGGAGGAATTTCGCGCAGTCAAGACTAGAGAGGAAGAGCCTGCTCGCGTCGCGGTCAGGTACGTAGACCCTGGCATGCAGTGTCATAACTTCACGCCGATGGCGGCGCAGTGGGCGTCCATGGTGAGCTTGACGCGGCCACGAATGCAGATACACGCAGGTCGGGGTGATGGAGCTGTGCCACCCTGTCTTTAGTGGTCTCGTTCTCAGTTGACCAATCTCGATATATCCTAAAATACATCCGATTTGGTGAGTCTGTTTTTACATATACAACCGATACAATAGAGACGGAGATGAGCAGGGAGCCAGGAGGAAGTCGCGTAGGGAAATGGGAGAGCGTATGGCGTGCCGTGTGCGTACATGCGAAGTAAGTACCAGACTTGGTGCAGCGCGCCAGTGACGAGCACGCGCCGAAGCTCGGATAGCGATCGAAATTCGAATCGACCACATCAGCTACAGAGCACATCCGGTTTTGTGTCGTCCCATATCTCATTCCATCTGACTCGGCTTAGTCTGGAGCTCGTAGTTGTAGTCGGGCTCGTTGCTACAGGCGCTCTCGCTGTCTTCCGCATCGTGCCAGGTGACGCCCGCGTCGAAAACGCCTTGAGAGAGACTGGTCACGCTGAAACCGCCGCCGACGTTTCGGTACGCCGGGGCCGGGTGCGACGGCCTCAAGTGACTGGGAGCGGTCGGGCCAGGTTCCAGGCGCGAGCCGTCGCTCGCCTCGAACAAATCGAGGATGAAGCGGCAGGTCAAGATCACCGACGTGCTGCACCGGAAGATCATCAGCAGATATCGCGGAGCGGGACGGCGGTAAAAACGCACGTGCTCATCGTACCCATGAGATCGAGCAAGAGCTGGAAAGGTGACATCAGCTTTGAGCTTTGATGGAGGCATGAAACGCTTGAAGCGCAGTGTTACCTCGACGTTGGTGACGAAAACAAGGTTCAAGAGGTTGCAGACGAGGAGCGCACTGGATGCATCATGGGTGAACGACGAGGACAGACGCGGAAGGGACGTACGCGAAGTATGCGACACCTGAAACGCAGTGGATGGTCAATGTACGGAGTCACTGACCTACAACGACGTAGTTACCATTCTGAAACAGAGCCGTCGTGAGGCCGAATCTCCGGCGTGAGCTTCCTCTACGCGGTCCTGCGTACTTCCATGTCAAAATAAGAACGATAAGGTCGCAAACAACCCCGCAGGAACGCCCGACGATTATCGCTGTTTATTGTCAAGTCAAGAGGCTCTGCCGAGGGAGGAAAGCGACAACGGACCACTGTAAAAGGAAGTTTAGCGCAAGCTTGATTTACGATACGCCTAGCCCGCTGACTTGCGGAGGGATAGAAACTGCGAGAAGTCCACGTCGCAGACGGTATCCAGGTTGTAGGGCCCTGGGTCGTAGGTGGCCCTATTCTTGACCGCTGCATACTGAGCGAAGCCCAGGGTTGAGTTTGATGCAGTCAAGCGGAAGGAAGGATGACAGTGCTCACAATCGAGGGAACGGCGTTCGCAGACCCTAGCACTAAAACGAGGAGGGCGATGGAGTTGCGCCGGCACAACGCGTACGCTCGCAACGCCGAAAACACTACGGCATACTGTCATCAGTCATTGGAAGAACTCGGCCTTCGACCCGAGAACCCACAAGCGGAGCCCATGATAATGATAGCACCCATCACAGAAAATGCCACTGTGATCCCGTTACAACTGCAGGGCGGTAGCGCAGATTAGTGTGTGCAGTGCGAAGGAGCCGAGGTGGGAAAAAGCGCAGCCGGGTGCGTACTTCTGCCAGGTCAAGGGGGTCAGAGGTGTCTAGCATCTGTCGGTGCTCAGGAAGGCTCTCACTGATGATGATTTGCCGGGCCAAGGGAAGAAATTGACGAACATGAGCATGTTGGACGTCAATGAGGAGTAGCGTATGGCGATATAGATCACGCCTGCACTCGCGATCTTCTTCCTCCAGACGTACTGCACCTCGCGATCAATGTTGAGGATGTGGTCGTACGTCATTACGGCTGGGTTGAAGGTGAAAAGGCATCAGACAATTCAACTTCGTACTTCAGGTGTCGCCTACTGAGAGCTCCGACCACCGCCCATTTGTTCTGAAGACTGTTCCACGTGTGTGAGCACGCTAGCTCGCGGTACCATCAACGGCTACGTACGGCGGTTGACTTCCCATAGCTGCGACCGATGTTGAAGAGACAGAGTATCTACCAGGATGTGAGCATAGGTGCAACTTAGGAATACAGGGCAGGACTCGCCAATTCCTCAAGCTTGTCGTGGGGGATGGAAGGGGGAGGTTGACGGGTGCGGACGTTGTCTCCGCCGGGATATCTGGGAACGGGGAGGACCTAAACGACTGCCAGCTAGCCCCTGATTAGTCCCTAACTGCCCATGGTCAGGCGTACGATCGATCCAACGTTTCAGTTGGCCTTCGTAATTGACTGCTGCCTTACGCTATGCTAGTTCGAGGCGGCGGCGTGAGCCTGGACCTCGCTAGATTCCATGGCGGTTGACTCACTTGCGGAAGGAAACCACTGAGGAGGTGGAGGCCGTACTATCCCAGAGGTTGCTTGGACCTGGCCAGTTGTATATGGCCCAGCTTGAATCGCCCCGTACCCAGGCATCAATTGTCGGACGCGAACGGTGCCAGAGCGAAGACGGGTTTGCGGTGGCATGGCATAGGCGGACGAGACCTCGACGGACCAACGAACGCACTGGGTGGTGGCGTCTAGCGGGGACCGTAAGAGAGCGTTAGTACCCCTGTGAGATAACTATCAACAGGCCTAGGGGCGCACGGCCAGCGCGAACTCCGAGGCTCATCGACATGATGGCGGAGTTGCATTGGCGGCACAGGGACCGCGGAGATACTTATAGCTGAACTATGTTACAAGTTGTTCAATTACCACACGTGAGACATCAGACAAATGCGACGCCGAAACCTCAGTCAGAATTGCTTCGAGTACAGGTTGAACATGTCCGCGAGGCGGCCGTACGTGACGCGCGTGAGCTCCAGACGCTTGAGGAAGTCCTTTGAAACGAACATTGTTCAGAAACACGCGTGACGTCCAGAATCTCGACACGCAGTACGTACCGCGCTGGCCTTCTCGCAGGTATCCTCCTTGACACCCTCGGTTTCGCCACCTTGAACGCCGACGGACAGCTCGAGGTCGGTCCGCAGCTGGATGATGTCGGACTTGAGCTGGTGGACGCGCGTTGCTCGTCAGATACAACCACTCAAGAATACGAAGAACAACGTACAATTTGCCAGATGCCCGCGATGGCCTCGGACTTGATCGCGACATGGTTGATGCGCTCCGTCGTCTCCGGAAGAGAGTCCTGAAACTGCTTCAGGGACGACTGCTGCCCCTTGACCTCCTTCAACATCTGCTGACGCTCCTGGTACACACGTTCTGTTTCTGAAATGATGCCGATGAGACGACGACGGTGCGATCCGAGCCAGAGGACGGACCTTCATACCGGTGGTTAAGCACCGTTATCTCGGCCTTCTTGTTCAGTTTATCCAGCACCCGGTTCTTGAAACCGCAGAGGGTGAGGCACAGAAATACCGCACATCCGAAGGAACTCACAAAGACACGCCTGGTAAAGCGAGGACTGACAGCTGAAAAAGCGCCAACGGCAGCCTTCACACCTCTCGCGAGCACTCCGCCTGTCGCCTTTGTAAACGCCTGAATCTGCGAAGATGAACATGAGCGATTGCCAAGCATTCAAGAAACGAATCGTTGGGCGTACCTCTTGTTCAATTCTAGGTATCGCGATTTGCGAAGCACGAAATCCAAGCGCGATTAATCCAGATGGCTCATACGCGGCGAAAGGCTGCGGAGTACGCACTGCAAGAGCTTGTCCCCGAGTGTCCGGACGTGCTTCTTGGCCACTCGCAGCTCGCTGTTCAACTGGGTTCCGGCGGCCTGCATCGCGTCCTCGAGCGTAATGCCGAAGGTGCGGACGTCCTTTGCGAGCGCGACGAAGCTCATGCGTGACTGCTGAGCTTCGGTCTCCTTGACCTTGATGATCTGCAACGGCGGCATCAGCGTAACGAGCAGGGCGTCGATTAAGTGTCCCACCTCCAAGAAGTTGTGTAATCTCTTGTTGAGATCGTCGACGTCGTCACCGATCTTGACGTTGGCCAAAATGACCTCGGAGTACACTGCACATCGAAGGGTACGTTAGTCCCGTCCGAGCGAGCGCAAGGCGTCATGCTACGCACTTCTGAGAACGGAGACTCCCACGGCCGCGACGTCGCGGCTCCACGACAAGCTCTGCTCGAACCTCTGAGACAAAGGGAGTGCCGGTCAGCACAGGTATACGCGCCGTTGAAGCGCGCATATACGCACATCTGAGAAAGCGCTCCAGGTAGGAGCCAACCGCGCCGGCTGTCCTTTTGCGTCCTTGTTGAAGCCGGCGGCGTCAAACGCGGCGACCTCGCGCGCGACCGCGGTGAAGCCAGCGCGAATCTCGCGCGTCGTGTCACCAAGCGCAGCGATCTCGGACCCCATGTCCTCCGAAATCGAGGTGTCCTTGAGGCCTTCCATGAAGGCCTCGGATGCAGCGGCACGGACCTCGGGGTCGGAGAGCGACTCTTCGAGGTGGAGGCGGTACGCTTCGACCTCCTCTTGGGGGACGGTGGACGAGATGGTGAGGGACATGGCGGGGGAATGGGACGGTGGGGGTTGATGCGGCGAGAGACGGGGCTGAAGAGTTGGAGCATCTGGGCGCAAGGATTATATGTCGCGCAAGGGTGGTCGGAGGAGAGACCGTGACGAGCGAGCGCACTTGGACACGCCGGGGACGCCGAACAGGGCGTTCCAGTCGCTCTTTCTGTGCTCGTGAAAGTGGCTTCGAGTTCGGGCCCGGTTCGCACGTTGCCGTTCCTTCGCGGCGAGTTCATGGCCCGTCAGACACCCGGGGTCCTGATGGCCGACAACATGGAAGATGTCGGCGGAATGTGGCACGTCCAGGGGTATCTGCATGTATGTTCGGCCTGGAGTCAGACATGACTGTATGCGGGTCGGGAGTCGAGCAGAGAGTTGTGAGAGAGCAAGGAGCGCCGGGAGGTCTCAGCAAATCGGGCGCCGCCTGTGCTGGTGCCATCCGGTGTCACCCGAGGCCACCCGAGGCCGCTCCTTGCTGCGTTCGGCGGCTCGGTCCTCGCGAGAGTGTCTGCTCACTAGCACTCCTGTCTTCCGCGCGAGCGTGTGCTCGATAGCCGAACATGCTCTTAGCTTAACTCCACCGAGCTCGCGATCGCTACCTCTGGGCTGCAACTGCTGCCAGACGCCGGACACTGGCCACGGACAATTGCAAGTTCGCCTCCGTGTGGCCGATATCCCTGACGTCAATGCGCGTAGCGGCCCCAGCCTGCGAGCCTTCCACCCCCGCTCGTCTTTGTCCCAGTGCGAACTCGAAGTCTCTCTCTCCTTCCAACGCACCATGGCCCCACCTCCCTCTGCACATTTCCAGGAGCTCGCGCACGAGGCTCTGAGCTTGAGCCGCCTCCTCCCCAGCTTTGAAAGGAAAATCGCCGAGATTGACGCGATCCTGGCGAGCGAAAAGCACGCCAGGCAGTGGGCTCAAGCCAATGACGTGAGCTTTCGGCTGAACAAGCACCCCACTCCCTCTAACGACCTTTCACGCAGGCATACTCCAAGTTGATCATCGACTCGGAGGTCGCTGCGAGCCGCTTCGTTGCGTTTCTGAAATGTACGGCATCGTTCAAATCGGCATTTGGCGTCGTTGATCTCATCTCCCCGCAGTCTACCTTGTCATCGGCGGCGACAGGGCTCATGCCTCCGTAGACGAGAGAATCTCAACGCTGTCGATGGATGCCGAGGTACTGTTGTCTCCGGTGTCTGTCGATGCATCCGTCTCTAACTGCATTCTCGTCAGAGTTTGGAGTCGATGTACACCACCGGCAACTTCTCCACCGAAGCAGATGCGATATCCAAGTCCTTCGGCGCCATCACGACCGACCTGCAGCACATCATCAGCGACATTATGAGACAAGACGCCGAGAGCGCGCGCCATCAATCCGAGAGCAGCCCCACCGAGTGAGTCGCAGTTCAAGCATGCTTCGGTGCTGGGTTGACACCGCTGTGAGCAGTTCCATCCAGGCGTCCACGCGCGGTGTACAAGGGAAAGGGCTCCTGAGTTCTTGGTTCAGCAGTATGCGCCAATCCGAAGCCTCTACGCAGCTTGAGGAACCGCACGCGCCACTCCAGCGTACGGGCGCGAGTCATGCCGAGTCTCTGCGCGATCTCGCGCACGAGGTCGCGCAGGGCGTTGACGAGGTGTGCAGCGTGCTCAAGAAGCATGCATCGCTTTTCAACGCGGTATTCGACAAGCCGATATCCAAGGTACGTTGAGGCTCTGCGTGCCGGTGCACACGATCGCTGAAGACTCTCGAAGCTCGCAAAGGAAATACAGGACCGCATCGCGGCGCTCAAGGCCGAAAAGAACGGCGTTACTCAGGTGCGCTCTCGATGAGTGACCTGAGTTACAGGAAGGGGCTGACAGCGTCTTACGGCAGGCTGAGCAGTATCGACACTATTCGGCGCAGGAACGCGCCAAGGAGGCGGTTCCGTACTGGACGGAGCTTGCTGCGCTTTACGACGTCTACTCCAAGACAAACAAGTTCTAGTGTCTGTGACATATCCGGTGGCATGCGAGTTCGCGTTGCGATGCACCTGTGCATTGTAATGACGGAGGGTACTCTCTTTCTATGTTTTCCCTCTCTCCACGCTTTGCGCATTTGAGTCCATCCGTGCTCCCGGCTTCGCAAGTCGTTTCATTGGTTTATGCCGCTGCCGAGTACGCCTGTGCCGCACGCAGCCGCCTTCGGCGTTTAATATAGGCGCACGGACTTTTGGATCCAGCGCGGCACCAGCCGCAGTGACGACGACGAGGGTGGCGTGTTCAACAAGGCCGTGAATTAAGAGGAGGACAGCGGGCATGAGCCGACGACGGCGGGCACGGGAGTCCTCCGGCTCGGGCCCGACGTGGGCTGAGGCAGGCGGGCGAGCCGCACGCCCGGCGAGCCTACAGCGGGGCCCAGCTGGACCGAACACGAAATGAGTCTCATAGAAGCCTACTAGAAGCAGCACCGGCCTTGCGCCACGACTCGCCGCCGGCCGGGACACCCTCACCCCTCCTCCTCTCTCGCCGCCCAGCAACGGCGAGCACGGTTCTTTGCGGCCCCTAAACTTCAACGCGCACCTCCGAAGACCTCGGTTCGGCGCAACAGGACATGTCGAGAGCGCATATAAGGCCCCCGCACGATGAGCGACAGAGCCTCCCAGTCGTCGCCCTCTGCTCAGTCTCTTTGCTACAGGACCCTCCCGTCGTCCTCCCTGCTCCGCTAGTCGCTTGCTTCCACGATGCGGCCTCTGCACTATTTCCTCCTTCCCCTCCTGCTCTCCGCGCTCTCCCTCGCTTCTCCCCCGGGATACATGAGCATCCCCAAGTTCGGATCTTCGCCCACCGTGAAGCTCGACGAGGCGACGGTCACCGGCGTCAGGGGCAACAACGTCGAAAAGTTCCTCGGTATCCCATTCGCCGCGGCCCCGTGAGTCTCCTGCGGTGCATGCCTCTTCCCAGACGCTCATTCCGATCCTCTAGTCGTTTCGACCTGCCGCAGCCAATCGAGGCATACACCAAGTCGTTCACGGCTACCAAGTACGGCCCGGCGTGCCCCCAGCAAGCCATCACGCTCCCACTCCTCTTCGCCAAGCTCGATAAGTGGAACGTCGTCCGGCAGATCGTCGACAAGGTCTACACGGCGCTTGTTTTGAAGGAGACCAGTGAGGACTGTGCGTCTCTCGAGCTCTGTCCCCCGCGTACTAGGCGCGCTCACGTCAGTCCCGTCAGGTCTCTCGCTGAACGTCATCGCTCCTCGCGGGGCCGAGAAAGGCGACAACCTCCCCGTGCTCGCAGTGAGTCTTCGCATGGTCGTAACGGAATAGCAGCTCAGCAGCTCATCACACGTGTTGGTCGTTTAGTGGATCTTCGGAGGTGACCCCCTTTGCCACAAGATTTGTGCCTGTTCTGACGAGATGCCCTTACACGCATAGGTGGCTTCGAGATAGGGGGTTCTAGCCAGTGAGTAGCAATGTATGCGCGACAGTGCACCTTTCTAATATGTGTATGCTAGATACGACGGGACCTTCATCGTGCAGCAGTCGCTGGAGATCAACAACCCCGTCATCTTCGTCAGCATGAACTACAGGTGCGCTGATTTCTTTCATGGTAGTATATGCATACTGACTTGACGTCGTCGACAGAGTATCTGGTGAGCGCCGGTCCACGCGGGTACAATGCACTCCTGCTCAGATTTGGCGTCCTACACAGCATACGGGTTCCTGGCCGGCAAGGAGGTCAAAGACGCTCATGTGGGGAACCTCGGCCTGCGGGATCGTGAGTTGCTCGGCGTCGATATGTGGCATGTGACTGACGATCAAGAGCAGAGCGTGCGGCACTCGAGTGGATTCAAAAGTACATCCAAGCGTTCGGCGGAGATCCGAAAAAAGTCACCATGTGCGTTCATCCATCTAAGCCATCACCTTCCATTCTCAGGCATGCCCCACAGCTGGGGACAGAGCGCAGGGGCGATATCCGCGTCTCTCCATATGCTTGGTAGCGGCGACCGCAACCGAAATCTCTTCCGCGGCGCGATCATGCAGAGCGGTGCGCCTATCCCCGTCGGGGACATCAAGAACGGTCAGAACGACTACAACACGCTTGTGAAGGACACTCGCTGCTCCAAAGCCACGGATACGTTGCAATGTCTGCGCAACGTTCCATTCGAGGCTCTCAAGCGTGCTGTCGACAATTCTCCCTCCTTCATGACACATCAGGTGCGCGCCACCCTGATATACCTTCCACCTATGCATGTAACAATCTCTCGATCAGTCCCTGAACCTCGCATGGCTTCCACGCGTAGATGGAGACTTCCTTGAGGACGAACCGCAGAAGATGGTGGCGGAAGGACGCGTCCTCGATTTACCGATGATATCAGGGGTGAGCATTACTCTTGATATCCGTCGGGTACTCGTGCTGAGCACCAACAGAGCTGCGAGGACGAAGGCTCAGTATTCTCCCTGGCATCGCGCAGCTTGGTTGCAACAGACGAAGACGCGCTCCAATACATCCGCTCCACCTACATGCCACATGCCACCAGGCACGAGATGGACCGTCTCTTCGAGCTATATCCCATGATGGACGTCACGCGCAGGAACCGGCGACAGCGCGGGGTGTCGTCCATAGTATTCCCGCAGCAGTTCCAGCGCATCGCAGCCATCCAGGGCGACCTCGTCTTCCAAGCGCCCCGCCGCTTCTTCCTCAAGCACCGTTCTGGAGAGCAGCCCACGTGGGCCTACCGCAGTACGTCCGCGTCGCCTTCCGCCAGGGACCTCCGACCGCGACGAAGCTGACCGAGTCCACTGTCTGCTAGTGAGCCGCACGTTCACCACCATGCCCAACCTCGGCGCCTTCCACGGCTCCGACCTGGTCGACCTCTTCCCGTGGACCCAGCGGCGGATCCTGTCGGGCAACGTCGGCGGCGGCTACCTTGCGACCTACAGCGACCTCGCGCCGTACTTCATCCACTTCGCCGCGGAGCTCGACCCCAACTCGCCGGTGAGGGACATCGCGAAGTGGTACCCTTACACCCCCGAGCTGCGCCGCATGCTCACCTTCCACGACGACGGGATTGAGCCGATCACGACGAGGGACGACTACCGGTCTGACGCGATGGAGTTCATGACGGTGTTGTCGCGCAAGTACCCGATGTAGGCTGGTGTTGGTTGCGGAGGAGCGGGGGAGGAGGGGTCGCGAACACGGACGGGCTTGGACGTTCTAGAAGTCACTCGGCGATGTACATTATCTCGGTCTCTCATAAGTTTGAGCGAACTGCCGCTGGCTTCCACGCGTGAGGCTTCGCATCGCCTTCTAAGCAGTCATTTTGTGGCGACAAACAACCGCAAACATCACAACGACGCTTTGATAAGATACCTGCACTTTGGGATCTAACCGGCAGACACATTCTAAACGTTCATGAATTCGATACGAGAGGGTGCACATCCGATTTATGTCGTTCCGGGTTTGTTTGTTTGCTTGTTTACTCATGCTAAATCCCTTACTGTGGGACCGTCATTGTCCTTTGGTGACCGCGCAATAGCCTTTTGGTGGCACGGTTCTGTGAACCACTCCCGATTTGCTTCAAACTTGGTATCTAGGTATATATACTCATTGTCGTTCTATGATTGTCATGACGTCATATGGCTACCGTGTCTTCGGAGCAGTCATCTTGTGGTAACAAACAACCACAAACATCACCATGACTCTTCTGAGACACATGGATAGCTTCGAGATCTAAATCACAGGCACGCTCTACATGCTCACGAATCCGATCTGAAAGCGTGCACATCCGGTGTTTGTCGTTCCGGGTTCATAGGCTGGAGCTCGAAGCCGCATTCGTCTTTCTTACTCCAGTCGCTCTCGCTCTCTTCTGTACTGCCCCAACTGACATCCGCGCCGAAAATTCCTGCAGAAGCGCCAGTCGCGCTGACGCCGCCGACGTGTGCGAACGCAAGCGAGCGCGAGCGCACCATGGCCGAGAGGTGTAATGTCGGGACAGTGCCGAAGCGCGCCCTCGCGCTCGCTTCGAATAAGTCGAGGATGAAACGGCAGGTCAAGACCACCGTCATGCTGCACCGGGAGTTCGTCAGCAGGGATAACGTAGCGGGATAACAGAAGACGCACGCGGTGAGCGCCCCGATGAGATTGAACAATAGCTGGTTGAAAGGTGGCATTAGCTTCGAACTCTGGCAGTGAAGGCATCAAGCGCATGGGGCGCAGCGTTACCTGCACATCGTTGATGAATGCGAGGTTAATGATGTTTCCAACGAGGAGTGCACTGTCGGAAGTATGATGTGTGTGCGAAACGCGGAAGGGAGGGACCTATGGCTTACGCGAAGTAGGCGACGCCATTTTGAAAGAACGCCGCGGTAATTCTCAGCCCCTGCTGTGCGTTTCCTCTACGCGGACCCGTATGCATACATGTCAAGATCAGAACGATAAGGTCGCTCAGAATCCCGCAGGAACGCCCGAGGATGATCGCTGTGCGGTATCAAGTCAAGAGATGTCTACCGAGGAAGAAAAGCGCTAACGGACCCCTGTAGAAGTGGGCGATTAGCTCGAGCGTGGTTCACGATACACCTAGCCTACTCACTCGCGGAAGAACTCGAAATGTGAGAAATCCGCGTTGCACAAGGTGAGCATGTTGTGGGGTCCTGGGTCGTAGGTGGACCGAGTCTTGATCGCTGCGTACTAGGCGAAGCCCAGGGTCGAATTCGACACATTCAAGTGGAAAAAGAATGAGAGTGCTCACAAGCGAGGGGACGGCGTTCCCACACCCCAGCACTAAAATGCAGAAAGTGAGGGGTTTCCATTGGCACAGCGCGTGCGCTCGCAGCGACGAGAACACTGCAGCATACCGCGATTATTCATTGTCGAATCTCAGCTCTCAACTCAAGAACCCACCCGCGCCGGATATGAGTATGACGGTGACCAATAAAGAAAAACACAGTGTGATTGCGTTGCAGCTGCGAGACGGTAGCGCAGATTAGCGTGTGCACTGCAAAAGAGCCGGGACGCGAATAGGTGCGGTCAGGTGCGTACATCTGCATGGCAAGAGCGTCAGAGGCGTCTAGTCTTTGTCAGGTCTCATGAAAACCCTCACTGGTGATGATTTGCCCGGCCAAGGGAAGCAATCGAGGAAGCCGAGGATGATGGTGACCAATGAGGAGCAACGTATGACGACATAGATCGCGCCTGCACTCGTCATCTTTCTGCTCCAGACATACTGAATCTCTGTATTGAGTGTGAGGAAGTAGTCGTAGGTGACGGCTGAGAACAAAAGAATGGATCAGGCAATCCAACTTCGTACTCCACGTGTACCACTTACCGATGGCTGCGACCACCGCCCATTTGCTCGCGAGACTATCTCGCGTACGTTAGTATGCGAGCTCGTGGTACCATCTTGCAACGGCTGGTACGTACGCGCCGATAGCGATTTGGCGTTCCATAGCTGCGACCAGCGTCGAAGAGATGTTTGAGATCAAGCTGGGGCTGCGAAGCAGGGCACAGGCGTCGAGTACTCAGTATGGCAGGGACGAAGAACCAGAGTGTTCTTATACATGAAGTTACGTATACCCGAAACGCTTCGGGTAGTGCGGGCGAGTTAGTCTGTGAAAATTTCCTCATGAAGGCGGCGCCGCGGAGAAGGGTGTCGCTGTGTAAAATATTAAGTATGCCGATATCCGCATCCTCGTGGCACGTCACCGAATTCGAAATCCGGTTGAGCGGTGCGAAGGTGTAGAGCAGAGCCGTGACACGCACTGCAGCGGTCTGAAGTGAACGTTGATCAATGCACATATAAACAATACGACTTGAGACACTGCATGGCTAAACGCACAAGGCTGGTGCGCAGGAGAATCCGAGTGTTGCGGTGTCCATGAGAGGATGATCCGTGAAGTTGTGGTGAGAATCTAGTACATCCGGTGACAGACAGGTGAAAGCACCGGGACGACGGACGTGCCTTCAAACGTTGACTATCCTCCATTTAGACGAGCAAGTAGCAGTCAGGTGAAATGTTACGAGGCCCCTGGCTGTCATCTCTGTCCATCGTCGCCGTTGCGGAGCGGCCCGGAGAGGGTTGTGGTCCAAGCTGAGTAAGTCAGCCGCGGAACATAGGCGCCCATGGCCTTCGGCCTTGCTGAGCCGCCTGCTCTTTTGGCTAGCGCGTCTTCGGGCGCACCTGAAAATCCGAGTTCGCTCTCAGTGTTCGGTCTCTGTGCATGCCGACGACAAGCTCCAGCACTCGGGTGCGCGAAAACTGGGACGAGCGGGACGAGCAGGAGGGCCCGGCGATCTAGCGCGGGGGATGGGGGTGGTACAATGTGATTATGTCCATGGAGCGGCAGCTTGCAGTGTGAGTGCCGTCGACTCTGGTCGCCGGACGGCTCGCCCGCGACCCATTTACTTCCGCGTGCGGTGCCCAGGCGCTGCGGGTGGTCGAGCGAGCGCGGACGGACGCCGTCTCGGGATCTCCTTCTTCATGCGGGTGTGTCACGTTGCGTTTTCCCTCCCCTTATAGCTTGATTGGGACGCGGTAGCAATATGTGCAGTATGTAGAGGGTGGTATGTACGAGAGGGAAGGTTGGGGCACGGAAGGGCGCGAGTCTGTCTAACTTAGGAGGTATGTCTACCGAGGTCTGGCGCGTGGTGAGTGGGCTGTGCCCGCGACAGGGGTGGTGTGTTGTTGTCGGGCCGCCGCGGGATGTCGTCGAGGACGTTGTCGGACCGGTGCTGTGCGCTGGCGTGTTGTTCCAAGTTAACAGGCCGGAGCTCGAAGTCGTAGTCATCCGTGGTGCCGGAGACGCTCTCGCTGTCTTCTGTCCCGCGCCAGCTGACATCCGCGTCGAAAATCCCTCGGGAGGGGCCAGCCGCGGCGAGACCGCCAACGTGTCGGGACGCGAGCAAGCGCGAGGGCACCATACTGGGCATGTCAGAGAGGCGTACTGTGGGGCCAGTGCCGAAGCGCGTCCTCGTGCTCGCTTCGAACAAGTCGAGGATGAAGCGGGAGGTCAACACTGCAGCAGTGCTGCACCGGGGGCTCATAAGCAGAGATAACGGAGCGGAATGGCGAGAAAACCCACCCGGGCAATGCACCGACGAAAGCAGGCGAGATCTGGAAAGGTAACATCAGCTTCGAATTCGGGTGCAGGTATCAAGCGCACAGGTTTACCTGGATGTTGTTGATGAAAGAAAGGGTCAAGACGTTCACCAAGAGGAGGACACTGGACGGGCAGTGTGTGAGCGACGAGAGCAAATGCGGAAGGGACATATGGCTCACACAAAGTATAAAACGCCTACAGTGTCGTGTATGCGTCAATGTACAGACTACAATTACCCAGAAGAACGCAGTTACCATTCTCAAAAAACGCCGTCGTAAGGGTGAACCTCTGGCGTGCGCTTCCTCTCCATGGCCTTGCATGTCTCCACGTCAACGTAAGGACCAGCAAGTCGCAGATAACTCCACAGGAACGTCCGACGATGATCGCTGTTCGATATCAAGTCAAGAGGCGTCTACTGAGGGGGAAAGCGATAACAAACCCCTGTCACGAAAGGAGGTGATTGGCCCAGGCTTCATTCAGGATACACCTAGCCCACTCACGTGCGAAAGGACTTGTGTCGCAAGAAATCCACGATGCACTTGGTGCTGATGTTGTTTGGTCCTGGGATGTGGCGGGAACGAATCTTGGTCGCTCCGTACTGAGAGAAGCCCAGGGTTGAGTCGAACACAGCCAAGTTAAAAAAAGAATGGGGATGCTCACAACCAAGGGGACAGCGTTCGCAGACCCTAGCGCTAACACGAGACAGGAGATGCGTTTGCGTTTGCACAGCGCGTGCGCCCGCAACGACGAAAACACTACGCACACAGTGATCAGTCATTGGCAGAACTCTGCTCCCGACTCAAGAACTCACCCGCGGCACCCACGACAACGACGGCACCCATTACAGAAAATGCCACTGTGGTCCCGTGACACCTGCGGGGCGGGAGCGCGGATCAGTGTGTGCACCGCGAAAGAGCTGAGACGCGAACAGGCGCGGCTGCGTGCGTACATCTGCCACGTTAAGAGCGTCAGAGGTGGCTGGTATCTGTTGGGGCTCGGGAGTCAGGAAGACGCTCACTGCTGATGAATCGCCGGGCCAAGGGAAGAGATTGAGGGAGTTGACGATGTGGGAGGCCAAGGAGGAGTAACGTGTGACGATGTAGATCGCACTTGCACCCGTGAACTTCCCCCTCCAGATGTACCGAATCTCGCGATCAAGTGTGAGGAGGTAGTCGTAGGTGATGAGCGCTGGGAAGGAGGAACGAGGGGTCAGACAGCTCAAATTCGTACTTCGGGTGCACCACCTACTGACGCCTCCAACCGCCGTACACTTATTCTGAAAACTGGCTCGCGCACGCCAGCTCGCGCTAACATTAACAGCTACGTTCGTCGGCTGACTTCCCATAGCTGCGACCGGCGAGTGACTTGAAGAGGTGTTTGAGAGTAAGCTAGGGCTGCAGAGGAGGGGACAGGCGTCAAGTGAGTGCTCTGTATGGCAGCGACCAAGGACCAGGGCGTCCTTATACATGCTCAGACCCTCATGAGGTTACGTACCCGAAACACTTCGCGGGGGCGCGAGCAAGTCAGCCTCGACCAAATTTGGGGATTATTTCATCTCGATGTCGCTGCGGGAACTCCGGTGGGGGATCCGTGCCAACCTGGAGATGAAATGGAACGATGGTCAGAGACTCAGAGTGGAGATAGACGTAGGCTAGCCACTGTGAAGTGAGCATAGCTGATGGCCGCGACCGAGGCCGCGGCGGTGGAACTTGGCGGATGGACGGATGCAGGGAGTCGGATCCGAGTGTTGATAGGGTGGTGGTGACATGGCAGGTGTCGAGAGTGGCCGTCCGAGTGATCCGAGAATGGCAAGTCGTCGCTACCATCGTCCGCTAGGCGGCGCATAAGCGCCAATGGTCTCGGAGTCGGGTGGCCACACCTCGGCCTTTCTTTCAAGGAACCCGCTTGTAGCTCGCCTTCTTCGCCCGTCACCGAATTTGACTGTGCGCGCAGAGCGTGCCAGATGCGCTATTTGAGAGCATGTATAACTCGAGCACGCGTAGAAAGTGGCAACAGAGATGGCTCATTAGTAGTGGGAGGCCAGCGGCCCGGCGAGACCCGGGCACTTACGTACAGTGACCGTGGCGAAAGGCGAGTTGCAAGGAGTACCGTGACTGGCAGGCCCAAAGCCCGGTTAGCACTCCACACAGCCGATCTCCGTCGAGTACGAGCAGGGACGCGTGATCAACCCATCCTCTTCCGTCGCCCGCGCCAGATGAAGAGAACATGGACTCCATCCAGGAGACCGGGGCGTGTCGTTGAAAGAAGTACAGGCTGCTATGGTCTCCTAGCAGGGGCCGTCGAGAGACGGGGACGCCTGTCGAAGAAAAATGAATCAAATCGGTGCATGGTGTGTCGTGGGGGATGACGACGGGGACGCACGAGGCCTGGAAGATAGGGCTCATGGACGAGACCGTAGATGCGCACGATCTGGCCCATGTGCCAGCCGCCGGGGACGCCAGTGTCTATGGTGAGTCACCGTGAGCTTGGCGTAGTCACAATCAGCGAGAGAGCAGCCAGACGATGCCACGATCTCGGATACGCGCAGGTTGGAGAGATGGGAGGGAATGGGAGGTCTTGACGCCGGCGCGCCTGTCTTTTTCGTGACGTCATATGGCTACCGTTGATTCCGGGCAGTCATCTTGTGGTGACAAACAACGACAAACATCACCACGACGGGACACATGCATAGCTTCGAGACCTAGATCACAGGCACACTCTACATGCTCACGAATCCGATCTGGAAGGGTGCGCATCCGATATTTGTCGTTCCGGGTTCACAGGCTGGAGCTCGAAGCCGTGATCGTCTTTCTTACTCCAGTCGCTCTCGCTCTCTTCTGTACTGCCCCAACTGACATCCGCGCCGAAAATTCCCTGGGGGTTTCCATTGGCGCCGAGGCCGCCAACGTGTGGGAACGCAAGGGAGCGCGAGGGCACCATGGCTGAGAGGTGTAATGTCGGGACAGTGCCGAAGCGTCCCCTCGCGCTCGCTTCGAACAAGTCGAGGATGAAGCGGCAGGTCAAGACCACCGTCATGCTGCACCGGGAGTTCATCAGCAGGGATGACGTAGCGGGAAAACGGGAAAACGCACGCAGTGAGCGCCCCGATGAGATTGAACAACAGCTGGTTGAAAGGTAACATCAGCTTCGAACTCTGGCAGTGAAGGCATGAGGCGCATAAGGCGCAGCGTTACCTCCACATTGTTGATGAATGCAAGATTAATGATGTTTCCAATGAGGAGTGCACTGTTGGAAGTATGATGTGTGTGCAAACAGAAAAAACGCGAAAGGGAGGGACCTATGGCTTACGCGAAGTATGCAACACCGTTTTGAAAGAATGCCGTAGTAATTCTCAGCCTCTGCTGTGCAATTCCTCTACGCGGACCTGTATGCATCCATGTCAAGATCAGAACGATAAGGTCGCAGACAACCCCGCAAGAACGCCCGACGATGATCGCTATTCGGCGGTATCAAGTCAAAAGATGTCTACGGAGGAAGAAAAGCGATGACGGACCCCTGTGAAAGTAGGCGATTAGCCCGAGCGTGGTTCACGATACACCTAGCCTACTCACTTGCGGAAGGACTCAAATTGCGAGAAATCCGCGTTACACAAGGTGAGCATGTTGTTGGGTCCTGGGTCGTAGGTGGACCGAGTCTTGATCGCTGCGTACTAGACGAAGCCCAGGGTCGAATTCGACACATTCAAGTGGAAAAAAGGAGAGTGCTCACAAGCGAGGGGACGGCGTTCCCAGACCCCAGCACTAAAATGCAGATAGAGAGGGGTTTGCATTGGCACAGGGCGTGCGCTCGCAGCGACGAGAACACTGCAGCATACCGCGATTATTCATTGTCGAATCTCGGCTCTCAACTCAAGAACCCACCCGCGCCGGATATGAGCATGACGGTGACCAATAAAGAAAAACACAGTGCGATTGCGTTGCAACTGCGAGGCGGTAGCGCAGATTAGTGTGTGCACTGCAAAAGAGCCGAGACGCGAACAGGTGCGGCCAGGTGCATACATCTGCCATGTCAAGAGCGTCAGAGGCGTCTAGTATTTGTGCGGAATGCTCTCACTGGTGATGATTTTCCCGGCCAATGGAAGCAATCGAGGAAGGCGAGGATGATGGTGACCAATGAGGAGTAACGTAGGACGATATAGATCGCGCCTGCACTCGTCATCTTCCTGCTCCAGACGTACTGAATCTCTGTGTTGAGTGTGAGGAAGTAGTCGTAGGTGACGGCTGGGAACGAAAGAATGGATCAGACAATCCAACTTCGTACTCCACGTGTACCACTTACCGATGGCTGCGACCACCGCCCATTTGCTTGAGAGACTATGTCGCGTATGTTAGCATGCGAGCCCGTGGTACCATCTTGCAACAGCTAGGACGTACGCGGTCAGAGCGATTTGACTTTCCATAGCTGCGACCAGCGTCGAAGAGGTGTTTGAGATCAAGCTAGGGCTGCAAAGCAGAGTACAGGCGTCGAGTGCCGAGTATGGCAGCGACGAAGAACCAGAGCGTTCTTATACATGACGTTACGTACCCGAAATGGTTCGGGTGGGGGCGGGCGAGTTAGCCCTCGGAGATCCCCTCATGAAGGCGGCGCCGCGGAGAAGGGTGCCGCTGTGGAAAATATTAAGTATGCCGATGTCCGCTTCCTCCCACGTCACCGAATTCGAAATCCGGTTGAGCGGTGCGAAGGTGTAGAGCAGAGCAGAAACACGCACCACAGCCATCCAAAGTGAACATCAATGCGCACATACACACCGCAACTTGAACCACCGCACGGCTGAACGCACAAGGCTGGTGCGCAGGAGAATCCGAGTGTTGCGGTGCGGGAGAGGATGATCCGTAATGTTGTGACGAGAATCTGCACCCGGTGACAGACGGGCGGGACTACTGACGTGACTATCCTCCGTTGGGAAGAGCAGGTGAATGTTTCCAGGCCCCTGGCTGTCATCCCGGATGTATTTTGTCGGAGGCGGGAGTGACGGCTGGTCGCCGTTGCGTAGTGGGAGGAGAAGGAGGACGCGGGTGATTCCAGCTCACGAGAGTGGAGAGGGTCGTGGTCCAAGCTGAGTAAGTCGGTCCCGGGGCATAAGCGCCGTGCCATGGCCTTGAACCGCCTCAACCGCCTTAGGTTCGGAGCAGTTTCATCTCGACGTCGCCGCAGGAACTCCGGTGGAGGAGTGCCAACCTGGAGATGAAATAAAACGATAGTCAGAGCGGAGAAAGACGTCGGCCAGCCACTGTGAAGTGAACAAAGTCGATGACCGCGAGCGAAGCCGTCGCGCTGGAAGGGCCGATGGACGGATGCAGGGAGTGAAGTTGATAGCGAGGGTGTTGGTGGCATGGCAGGTGCCGAGAGTGATCCGAGAACGGCAAGTCGTCGCTACCACGTGTGTCGACCGCCAGTTGTAAAATGACAATATACGATCGCACCGGTGCCAGACTCGTCCAAACCTTCGATTGAGGTAACGAATACAGCGGTAGTGCGGGTAGAGGTAAGCTGGCGTCCGTGGGACGCGCGTAGAGTACATAAGAGTCCGTATGGTCTCAGATCGCCCGATCTGATGGCCGAAGTTCGGCGAAATACTTCGCCGAAGTCAAGACGCCCGAGCCCTGCTCGCAGCGTGGCCGAAATTCGGCCGGTACGCCGAACTCTGGCACCGAAATCCGGCACGTGCGCGCCCTGCGCGCCCGTACCTTAACATCCTCCTCCTCTGGACCGCAGTGACGGTCCTACTTGCGCTCAACGCTGGGCCCCGACGAGATGGAGATAGCGGAGGGGGACACAGGGGCCGCAGAGGTAGACACGACAGCGCCAGTCGACGAACTCGACGCGATCGGGGGGGTAGCGTCTTCAGCCTTCATCTCCACGTCCGGCGCAGAGGTGTACTGGGGGATGCGTGCGCCGAAATTCGGCGCGCTGCTGCGGGGGATAGTGCCGAGGAATGCAGGGGTGGTGAATTCGGCCAGGGTGGGGATGACGGAGTCCGGCGCGCGAAGGTGAGAGCGCATCGCAGCGGCGAGGTGCTGGAGTTGGCGAACGCGCTGATCGCCTGGACTGAGGCCAAGGAGTGCGAGCCAGGCGGCGATGTGGTGAAGTTCGAGTGCGCGGCAGTCGAAGGGGAAGGCCATATCGGCCGGAAGGATGTCGGGCTTTGCCTGGACGAACTGGCCGAGGTTCACAATGAGGGAGTAGAGGCCCTCGACGGAGAAGAGTTCGATCGCGCCACGGAAGAATGCGGATTCACCGTACTCTTCGGCGACACCAAAGGGAGGCCGGCGCGGCGATGCGATGGCGAGCACAGCAAGCGCGGCGCAGTCATCTGGATGAGGTTCGCAGCGATCTTCGGCGTCGGCGGACTCTTCAGGGAGAGCTCCGTTCGTGTCACGGACGGCCGACGGCCAGAGCATCGGATGGGAGTCCCGAATGTGTGCGGCGATGTGCGACTCGTCGCCTGGGATGATGGTCGGCAGGAGGCAGTTGAGGTGATCGCGCCAGTCGTCCGTCGTGACCGGAATGACGAAAGAAGAGGGAATACGCGGCCGAGTGGGGTCCGAAATGAGAGTGGGGAGCGGCGTATCCATAGAAGGAGCGGCAGGCAGCGGATCCGGTCCGCGCATGGCTTCCAGAGCGTTCGGAGGAAGAGGGATGGTGCCCGTCGCAGGAGGACGGTATCCAACGGAGTTGACTTCGCGAGTGGCCGTCTTGCCCTTGCTGGACAAGCTGATGACGGCCGCCAGTGCGTCGTCGAACGGCATGAGAGCGTCAGTTCGGTCCAGCGAATACGAGCGTACAAGGTACCGCTCGCCTTCGCTGCGCCGAGTTCGGCCTTCAACGTGCTGCTGATAGACCCAGCAGTACGCGCGTTTTGCGTAGTGGTTCGGCGGGCTCTTCGCGAGTGCGGCCATACGCAGGTTCTGCGCCTGAACGGCAGTCACGATGCGGAGTCCGCTCCAAGGGCCTAGGTCCAGACGCTCGAAGTCCCCACTAGAGGGCTTTCCGTGCGTGCTGGCCAGACGCTTCTTGAGGTCGTTCGTCTCCTTCTTCTCGGCGTCAGGTCCCATGTTGCCGGACGTTTTGGCGTCGAGGTAGTAGGAGGCGTAGTTGCGTTCGCTCTCGCTACGTGTGTCCGCTAGAGACACATCGGCGTACCACCGCGACCATGGAGTCTCGGGGTGGCCGGCGAGAGAGGGGTCCGCTTGACCACGAGTTGAGCGAAGTGACGACCTAGTAAGGTCACCGAAATTGTAGTCTGGGTCCGTAATGAGCCTCTCAGGCTGCGCCTGAACAGTCACAGAAGGACCCGTAGGTTGAGGCACAGAGGGCGGCGGGGCCATCACAGCGAATTTCGCTACGGTGACCTTGGCCGTGCTCTTTTCGGCAGACTTCGCAGAGGCCTTTGCAGAAGTTGCAATGGCCGGTGCGAAGTTCGGCCCAGGGGTGCGATTAGGCGCATTTGCAGAAGGTGCCTTGCGCGAAGGACCCGACTCGTACTCAGCGGGACGTTTATTGCCCCGCTCAGTCCGAGCCGAACCGTGGTAGGTGGATGCGCGCGAATTGGAGCGGTCGCTTCGGCGCGCGTTCGAGTAGTACGGCCGGTACTCTCGATCGTGGTGACGTCCGAACCGGCGGCTGTCTTCATCTCGATCGCGCCGATCATTAGAAGATCGTTGGCTCTGCGCGTCCGAGTCTTGGTTCTCCAGCTCGCGGATCCGGGCGGTGATCTGGTTGTTGATAACCTGCAGCGTGTTCGCACGTTCTTCAGAAGCGGCGAGCTGCGTTTTCAGTCGGATGACCTCCTTGTCAAGCTCTTTGCGGGCGCCGACTGCATCGTCGCGAGCGCGCAAAGCGTCATTGCGAGAGTGTTCGGCAGTGGCTAGCTTGGCATTGAGTTCGCCGACTTGCCCCATGAGGGACTGCTGAGTGGTGAGGAACGACTGCGTGACCGTAGTGAGCGGGTCCACGTAGTGTCCGTATGCTGGTGGAGCGAACTGCGGAACTTGAGCAGCAGCAGGGTATCGGCCAGCATGGTAGAATCCGGCGTATTGTCCCGGATACGGCGCAGAAGGGGGCGGCGGCGCACTTACAGCGTTGTGCGCAGCGTCGCGTTGGTAGTCCCCTCCTCCTCCGACCGACGTTGTGAGTAACGCAGGGTCGATCGTGCCGTTCATGGCGACGTCAGGCGGCGCAATTTCGGCGTTTGGAGCCGCATGTGGCGTCGCGATATAATATTGAGTTGAGGCTGGCGGCGGCGGCGCATGGGTCCAGCCGTTCGGCGTGGGCCCCTGCGCATCCGTCGCGATGGGAAGTTGTTGGTATTGGTTCGGTGGGTAGGACATGGTGGGAGCGTGGAAGTGCGAAAGATGCGGGTGAGGCGCAGGCGCGAGCACCAGAGAAGCCCTACTTGAGCTTATCGGGCTGTTAATCTTGCGATCTGCGCCGATCTTCGGATTTTCGGCTTCTCGTTCCCGTTATCTCGGGTTGTAGCGCATGGCTGATGCCCATGGCGCTTACCTCACGGCGTGGCAGGCCCGAAGTGTCCGCTACGCCGAGTAGAGCAAGGTAATCGTCAAGGGCACGCAAGTTTTCGCATTCTGCTAGCTCTTCCCATGTGTGTTCGCCCACGGTCCACCGTACCATGAGTTCTAGCTTATTCCCATCCCAGCGGTGTCCAACAATTTCGTCTACCAGCCATTCCTGGTCATCTGGTACGCCGAAATCGTAGAACCGCTGTGTTTCGCGTGCAGGGAATAAGTGTACGTCGCTAGGTTCGTATTTCCGTAGCAGACTCGCATGAAAGACTGGATGTACCCGCCGTTGCTTAAGTTCGGCGGGCAGATCTAGCCTGTACGTAGAGGTTTCAGGGTGTGCAGATAATATCACAAATGGGCCGACAAATTTCGGCGCCAGTTTGCGTGCACGCCCTTTCGGTAGCGAAAGGTTTTTGGTGGACAAGTAGACCTTGTCACCATGCTCGAGTGATACGTCCTCACGCGACCGGTGCTTGTTCGCTTGGTGCGTGGAGACCACTCGGGCTTCAATGATAGCATCGTGCGCTTGCTCAAGGTTCACTCGGGCACGCTCGACGAAGTCGCGTGCACCCGGGAGAGCCTTTTCAATCGCCGGAAATCGGCTCATCGTCGGAACGTAGCCGTACGTCAGTTCGAACGGCGCAAATCCTGTTGACGCGCTGATGCTTGAGTTGATAGCGAATTCCACTAGGGGGAGTTGATCCGCCCAGTCCGACTGATCAGGCAGCACAATTGAGCGCAGAATTTGAGCAACGCTCCGATTTGCACGCTCAGTTGCACCGTCTGTCTGCGGGTGGAATGACGTAGACATTAATAGCCTGGTACCGAGCATACGGTGTACCTCGCTCCAAAATCGCGAGGTAAACTTCGTATCTCG